AACTCGAGAAAAAGGAAAAAGTATTCCTTAGGGCCGCTTAGTGATATAAATAAATTACCAAAATTAAGCGAATGCTCAAACTTCAATTTTGAAGCAATAATTCTTGAAGGTTTTTAATTTTGGAAGAAGTCAAATGAAGGAAGAAAAAGGAAAATAATGATTTTGATTTCAATTCATGTGGAATTATAATTGGATGAAATGGAAATGGAACACGAGAAAGGAAGATTTATTCAAGTGGAATCGATGGTCGATCACGAATAGAGCGCTAATGACGATAGACTTTTGTAATGACGCCAAGCAAGCAATAAGGAAGAATCAGAAAGAAGAAAACCATAAAAAAGTCAAGAAGCCATCAAAACAAAAAGAATGAAAAAGAAAAAAAATAAAATTCTCCAAACGAAATTAATTAATTTTTCCTTCGCGCTCAAATAGAACATGACAGTATGATCCCGTTAGAATTAAAGCGGCATAGCAATTGTGGCTGTTAAAGTTGCTTGAGCACAGTTGAAAATTCCTACGAATCATTTTCAACTTTAACAATAGCAGCTAACTGATGGTACTGATATAATCTTTTCTCTCAGCCCTCAATGTTGACTCTTTCTCTCGTGTTTGTTGCTGACAATCAAAGATCATCAAGATTAACCTCGATGTTGGAATGCTAACAACATTGACGGAACATTAACACTAATCAGAAGTTGGATACGACACGAATTCTCAAAAGCATCATGTCGCCTTTCTCATTCTTTAAACGACTATTGTTAACTTCTCCTAGCCGAGATTGTTAACGGAATCGAATTTCCAGCCCGGGATGGAACGAAAAACATGCGATTCCTCGTTAAGTTTAATTTGCTGTTAACACTTTTCTTTAATGTGAATCACGACATTGTCATAAACATAATTTCCATTTCGTTGCCATTTAATGTGGTTTGCTTTTCATTTTTCTTCTTTCTTTTTTATTTTCTTTTCTTCCTTGTCATTTCTGTTTCATGCATGTTTCTTATGCTTCTACATTATGTAGATAGATATGTATTAACAAAAACCTAATCAACATCATCACCATCATCAGATGAGTGTGAGAATGGTGGGAGTGAAGAAATCGTAGAAATTAAAAATTCATTTCTTTACTATTGTTATTGTTACGCACGGGATGAGATGAGAATTGAGATGCTAATACTTAATAAGCATAGAAGGATCAGGAGAGCGTCAGAAAGTAAATTGCTACCATCAATCCATTCGTCCCTCTGCATTAAAGAAACTCAACAAATGAGTCAAGAATGAATAGAGAGATGGGTAAGGAGAAAGAAGTCAGAGGGATCAACGACACGCATCAATAATCATACATCTCAATTTCTTAAACGCGACTCGAGCAGGAAAAATCGTGGAAATTATCATTTTAAATGAATGGAAAAATTGTGAAAGTGCTTTGGGCAAAGTGATGATGGCAATCATCGAGAAGAAAACATCACCTGCGACCAACAAAGTTTTTCATCGTCTCTTAAAGCTTTACCTGAAAGTTCTTCATTTTAATGGCAACCGTGTTGTAATTTTGTTCCACACATTTTCTCATTCAAAGTAAATAAACATTCTCAAAAGCAATTTAAAGTAAAAACAAATGAAAGTGATACAAATCATGATGTACATTTATTTGTTTCACTTTTCATGTGACTAAATGTTCCGAGGTATTATTGTCACTGACGAAAAGCTTAAAGAACAAACACTTCGAGAACAAAATAAAGCACATTAAATGTAATGATGAGTGCCTAAAGCTATTATAACTGTCGCATTTAACGAGTTTTGTATTTTCATTAGAACCGTCACTTTTTTATTTCCTTAATTCTCATATAACGTTAAATGCTTTAACTTTATAGTTCCTTAATATTTTATTTTATTCTCTGTAATAATCATGACAATTTGATTGAAGAAATGACTCTCAATGTATTGTATTTCATTACGATGATTCTATCAAAGCTTTAGAAGGCATCGTTTTATGTTTTCCATTTCAATATCTTAACAAATTTTAAGATGCAAACAAAGTTACGTCATAAAAAGAAGAAAAATAACGAACAATATTTTCATTTTCTAATATCAACGACTTATAAATCATCATAATAAAAAAGCTCCCCTCTAGCACAGCACAGGAATAAACCATCAGCAGCATATTAAGCCAGGGTCACCCCGCAGACAAGCACGCAACAATAATAACATTACACGCACTCATCTCTACAACTGAAGCAATTTTCCCTTAATGAAAATCCATAAATAAGAAAGTGGTCATAATTTATAGTTGTGTTATTGTTCTAGTTTGATGGTGCGAAAAACCAAAGATGGAAACTCTTTCTTTGCTTTGCTTTACTTGTAGGAGGGAGAAAAGTGAAGTGAAAAACAAATATTTATTTGCAGGAGGGAAAAAAAGCAGACGTAAAAGTTTTGCCACTAATTTATGTCCGTGCTCGCAATGCAGAATGCTTGTGAATTATTTATCGTCTTACCCAATCGTTTGTTTGTTCACCGATAGCGGTGCCATTGACTTTCCTTCATTCATCAGCATAGTCGTAATGAGCTTATTGGCCTGTTGGAGTCAACTTTTGAAAACTTTCCTTTTTTATTTTATATATTTTGGAAATTTGCTGGGCCCTCCAACTGCTTTAACTGCGAACCGAACTCGGAACTGAATGAAGATTGATGACCGAAAGTGTAATTAATGTAAGAGTATTAAAAAAGATTGCGATAATATTGATGACATTTTTTTTCCTAATCGCTTTTGGAAAAAGCGTTTAATGACGTTCCTGTCCTCTGAAGTCAGGAAAATTTCGTTATCCTCAAGGGAAACTAAGTAGGTGGCCCATTAAACTTTTTGATAACACTAACAACCGTAAAATATGCCAACATGTTTAAGACGTAAACAACATTAATGTTGAAAGACTTTTTCAACCCACTACCGCCTTTTTTGCAAAAAGAGAATGAAAAAAATAAATGAGAAGAAGAATTATTTGAAGTGAAAAAATGGTGAGACGCCGCCGGGACGAGTCAGTCAGTATTGATTTTACGCAACATAATAAAAACACTAAAACTATGAGTAAACAACATCAAGGAGAAGCACTTTGCTGCCAGCAACACTGAGATTACGCCCTGTAGACATAAGTAAGAAAAGACAAGAAAATCAGCAACAGAAATTGAAGTCTTGCTGATAAAGCTTACATAAGTGAATGACAGAGAAGAAGAAAAAAAGAAGAAGAAATTTCTATTTTAAAATGCCTCTTTTGAGAATAAAATAATCTTTTCTCGCTTTCCCTTTTTTCCTTCGTCCCTAATGTTCGAGCTCAATTTGATGTCGTTGTGTTCGTGTCAAGAACGAAAATGTAGACATTATCACCCACCCCATAATTCCACCTCTTTTTTCTTCCCACTAAAAACGATGGAATGGTGTGGGAGTCTGACAAGAATTTTCTCTTCTATTTCCGCCGTCGTCTACCCCCGACAGTGTAAATGTGTGAGTATCAGTTTCGGCACAGTTTCTCATGTGGGACTGTGCAAGCATCACACGCGCTTATTTTCTTGTCTTGTTGTGTTGATGATGAAGAAACTTCCTTTCATGCCTAGGAGATTCAAGAGGTTTTATATCGCTTTTGAAGCTCTCGGCTTACCAATGCACAACGTTCGTTCATTCATTCAATTCCTAGGAAAACGAATGCTTGTTAAGAAGAATTATGTGTAGGATTAAAAGGAAGAAGAAAAACTTCAAATCAGATTATGATAATATCGTCAGAGAGCTAGCCTAGACCACTGATTAAATATTCCATTCCTTGTGAAATAGAAGATCAAGTTAAATATAGAATGATGAAAATTCTTTAATCATCCGTAGCAATTTAACATTTCAACCTTCAAAAAAAAATTCAAAATCCCCTTGGAAAGGATTATGAATCAAATTTTAACGTTTCTCTACGCTAAATCGTTTTGCACTCTGCTTGAGTAAGTACTTTTGTGATTAAAACTTCACAAGGAGCTTTGTAACTTGAGGAAGAAAAGGAGAAAAAAAAGTTCAAATAATAATTTAACAACTTTTTTTAAAAGAAACATTTCGCTTGAAGCTTAATAACGACGTTTAATTCCTTTTTGTAAGATAATGTCTGAATCTCATTACGCAGCTTTTTTTCATAATTTAATGTCTTATACAGTTAAAATATTCAGCTGTCATTACCTTCCATGAGAACATAATTTCTCCGATGTTTTAATCGAATAAAAAAAGAGAACAAAAACTTGAAAGAACCAAAAGTTTTTCATCACAATATTTAAGAAATTTGGTTTTGGTTAAAATTAAAAAAAAAAAAATTAAGAATTCTTTTAATAACGAAAATATTTTGTTGAAAATCTTCGAAGATAATTTTTTAAGATAAAAATGAGATACAAAAACGCGAGAATATAAAAAGCTAAGAAGAACATCAAAGGCATTGCTAATTAAAGTCGACAATGCTATTTCCATCTAATGAAACATCACAATCTTCTTTCTTTCCCCCCTTTTAAAACTCCGTCATAATTTTTGGGCTCTACATTGCCAGTCCTTGTGAGTTATCATACGATGAACATGACAATTTTTCTCTATCATTCCCAAAAGGTCATTTGTTCATCTTTAGATGACATTTTTCGGTACTTTTGTCGTGTCCTAAGTATCTTTGCTTTCGTCTTCTTACATCGTAAACCAGGGATTCACGTCCGCTCTAGAAAAGCTCCTTCAACTGTTTCTTATATTCGGTTCAATCGTGAAGAAAAACAGACATAAGAAAATTGTATAAATTTATTCTGAACTGTCCTGGAAGGAAGGACAAAGCTTAGGGCGGGAAAGGAGAACAACACCACCAGCATCAGTAGCAGCAAAGCATAAACTTTAATAAGAAGAAGAAGAAGGAAGAGAAACGTCACAACGTCTTAAGTACGTAAGTGAAAGTATGAGTTGGGAGCATTAATAAAATATGCGAACGAAGACTTTCAGCTCTCCCCTTGGGGGTCCATTTTTTCCTTGTTTCTTACTTTCTTCCTTGTACAAATAATAAGACAACCAACAACAACAACAAGTGTTATATTTATGCTATGTAAATATCCATAATTCTTCTACAGAAATTTCTGCGATGACATGGAAAAAGAAGCACAAATTTCTCTCATTTTTTTTCCTTTCCATCGAATCTTTCTCTTGTTCATCTTTGTCGAGAAGCGGGTGGAAAGTATAAATTGCGAAGGCATACACACGATGGTTGGCAGGAAGGAAAAAAAGAAAGGAAAGGAAAAAAGTGGGAAGAAAATCGATGATGTTATTCAAATAAAGCTGAAGTATCATTATGAACAGGCGGGAAAAAAGAAGTGGAAAGACGCAAATAAGGTGTGTGGGTTGAGGGAATAACATTGTATCTATCCCTTAATGTCTGGCAATATCGTTTCTCAAATATTTTCATTTGCACTTCTGTTTGATGAAGAGACGGAGTATCGCAAATATAGATTTTCCTTTTGAAGGCGGAAGAAGCGAACTTTTTTTTTTGCTTTATTCCTTTGCTTTTCATTTGAACAAACATGAACAAATAAAAAATCGGATGATGTGGAATTGGAATGAGATATGCTTTGGAGCTAAGTGTACTCTCAGGAGGCAGGAAAATGTTTCTTCGCGCGAAGACATAAATCAAAGAGAAACAAAAAGAAAATGTAAAAGAAATTAAAACCTAAAGAGGCTTAGGAAATCTTTGGGATTGCAAGAGAAAAAGAAAAATCTTTTCAATGACTTTCTTTTCCTGCTTTCTTTTTTTTTGTGTTACTAGAGAGCCTAAAAGCAGTTCTTCGAATGTTTTTATGGCAGAAGCATCTTATTTGTTCCCATTTTCCGAGAGTAATTATAAAAGTCATAAATTATGGCAGCACATTTTCATTATGAAAGTGAAGCTTCTTAAGATCTTTTATTTAATTTTTTTTAATACATTTTTCCTTGCTTAAGGTCAAAGAGAGAAAAAAAGTAGCCGCAAGAGTTAGAAAAAATGTTCATCTTTTATGCTAGAAAAGTGAAGCTTGTTTATCTGCTTAAAACGTCTTTTTTTAGTCAGTAAGACAAAGATTTTAATTGTCATAAATCATGAAGCAATCTTCTTTTATCTAATGTCAATGAGATTTCGTTTTTCAAAGATATTTATTTTGTGCTTAGCGAAAACACTTCTGGATCTCATTAAAATTACATAAAGGTATGCTTCAAGTATTTTCTCCGAGATCAAAATAAATAAATTACGTTTTAATGTTTTATGTTGTCATATTACATGTTTTATGTTTGGCCCGCATTCGATATTTGATTGCAGGCTGCAAATGAGAACCGAAAAATCACATAAATTTTATGAACTCGATGAACGTTATGGGATTGAATTTTGGGCTTTTCAAGAAAAAGTCATAAAGCGGGATCCAATTGCTAATTAAATGTTTGTTTGCTGTAGCGACAAAAAAGATTTATAGGATTTATTTGAAATGACAGTAAATGTTGGTAGAATTGAGTCGATGAGTTTATTTAAATATTATTGACAAACTAAAATTCGAGAAAATTTTTGAATAAATAAACTGTTTCGTGATATTCTGCAGTGTTTGTTTTCTTACTAAACTAAACATCACTTGTTTATTTATTTCTTTATAACATCTAAATTAATATTTATCTTATAGATAAAAATCAAGTACATTGATAAGAATTTTGAAATTGAAACTTTACACACTAAAATCTTGAAACTTCTATCAGTATTTGATTTTCTTCAGTCGAGTTCGGTTCAGTTTGTAAATTAATTAATCAACACAGTCATGGAGGTGTTTCTATTATATGATATGACTAATGTCTTCTTAGAAAGAGTTGGAAACATAAAACTCATCGTTTTAGTTAAACAAAAGTTAGCTGAAGCAACTGATCCAATGTTGCAGAAATCATTAAAATCAGTTTTATCAGTTTTCGGTCAAGAAAAAAATGAGAAAGTTGAAAAGCAGTTAATGCAAATTCTTGCTTTGGGTGGTCGAATAGACGAGCTAAATGAAATAAAGGAAACGCTAGATAAAGTTGTCGATCAGGTAAAATATCTCAACAATTTGGAATTTCATTACTATTTAGAGAAGTGTCATGTAGCTTATCTTAAATATGTTTTCTTAACTCGCACTTCAATTCACACATTTTTTAATCTTATCTTGAATTCATCACAGTTTAAAGCAGTGTTTCTCAAACTTTATTCAGTTGGTGGCAAACTAAGTGGAACTTTTACTCAGATCATGTTGAAAATAAAGAAAACAATGAGTGTGCTTAACTGCGAAAATTTGAAAGATTTCTCAATTGCTTAAATTTCATCTTGCAAAAATTTTAAGACAAAAAGTTTGAGAATCACAATTTTTGTTAAATTGTTTATTAATGATTCATTGTCGATTTTAGCTTGCACTTCTTGACAGAAAACTTACAGAATCAGTTTCGAAAATTGTCAGTGAGATTAAGTTTCAGCCATTATTTAATTACTTTGGTGAAATTGAGTCGAGCATCAATGAATTTGAAGTTCTTATCTCGAGTTATGGTGGGAATAAGCCAGCATTCATGAAGGAGTTGGAGAAATTTATCGATAATTTCAAGGCAAAGAATATTGAATACAAAATGGTTAACTACTTAGATTTAACACTTCCTGGATCGGAAACATTTATGAAAACTTTTACTGATAAAGCTATTCTAATGCGTAACGAACACTGCTGTGATGTGAAAAGCTCGCCCATAAAATTTGTTCATGATTTTTACCTCTTGATTGCTATGAAGATTTATGAGGCAAACAATCTGTTAGCTTTATGTTATACTTTGAAAGATGAGCTGAGTGATGCAGGTTTGTATTTTTTCCCAAGTTTATTTTTACACCTTTATAGACTAATTCTTTTCAGATGTTCGCGATGAGAATCAAAGTTATCTGAACAATCGTAAAGTTACTGTTGGTGATAAACTTCAATTATCAATGAAAAATTCGCTTGCACAGTTCGAAGACTCAAAATATTTGACTTCATACTTGAATCTTACATCGCAGATTGATGATAAGCCAATTCTTGCAGTCAACTGTAACTCAAAGCGAAAGTTTTACACTGGGGATATAAAAGTCGAACGTCAAGGATTGTAAGTTTTGCAATGTTTCATGAAACTGAAATTTATAAAAAAGAAAATTAATTTTTTAGCGTTGTAACTGGTTTGAGATTTCGTGAAATCTACGATATGATCTTCATTCAAATTCAAGTCGGCAAACTTTTACCCATGGGAATGATTGATCAGAAAACTGTCTACTGGCAAGAACTTCCAAAACCTCTTGCTGATGACAGCACATCATTTGATAAAATTGAGTTATCTTGTTGTGCTTATGATGACTCAATCTTAATGGGAATCAAATTCACTGCAGTCGAAGATTATGTCGCATTACAATTTTACAGAAAAAGACTTCAAAGTTCTCCGGAACCTCAAGATCTTTTATTGAGTTTAATTGACACAGAATCAAAAAAGAACGAGACAATTAATTCAAAGTATGGATATTTGGATGAGAAGTCGGAAATTTTCAAAACTTCCAGCGAAGACAATAAAGTGGTCGTAAAATTGCGAACTTTTTCAAAAACTCAATTCTTCTCCAAAGAAGCTCGTGGACCGAAAGGACAACATCCATTCATGAGACCATTTTTCGACGGATCTGATATAAGTTTCGAACCGAAAGTTCCGCTGTCTGGTGCTGGATTAATGCATTACACGAATGACGATAATTTCGCTGGTTTATTTGCTCCATTTCTTAAAACGATGAAATATAAGCACATTACGTTATAAAAGTTTTAGTTTACTTTAATTTCTTATAGAAAACATGTTAGTGCTTGATCAGTGAAATGTGTTTTTTATTTGCTTGAGCGACACACGCTGAGAATTTCAGTTCTGCTCTAGCAGCTACTAAAATGATGATAATGATGACGATAAACATAAATCAATCAAAGTTCTTTGATGAATTTCATTACAAAATTTCGTAGACAAAATGAAGACGAAAAGTTAAATTTTTGGTGAAAATAAAATAAAAATTGTTTTGTAATTTCCAATTATTTTTTGTTATGAATCTTCACTTCAAATGAAAATATTTGTTTATTATATCCGCAAGTGAATGTGACAAAATAATGTTTCTTTCTGTCACTTTCATAATTTCCTTCAAAGATCAATTATTAATTAAAAACTTTGTCTAAGCTTAGGCTGATTTTCGTAATAAAATCTCTACAAATGCACATGGCACGTAATATCAAAAACATCTGAAATTTACTCTGACTTAACATCTCCGAATCATGCGATCTTCATTCTTTAATATGATTTAAATTATTGTTATGTCTGAATGTGATCAGGATTTAGATAGCGTGATGTTATGTAAGGTGACAAAAGCAAGAAAAATGTTGTCGGAACAGGAAGTTTCACATATCTAACTTTTCACATCCAATTTTCCCACTGCTTTAATTTAAAGCGACGCAAAGAATTTCTTGGCAGGTTCTTTCTTCCCTCCTTATGTTTCACTCTGTTAGTTTAATTATCTTAACACATACACACGTGTCACAATTATCTTTGGAATGTTTCGAGGATTTTGTAGAAAGTGAAAACACACACGGCGCGACATCAAAAACATTAATTTTCTTCTTCTTTCGATCAGTTTAAGCCACTTTAGTTTATTCTTTGTTGTAAATTAATTACTGTCTTCATTTGGGACAAAAATAGTCGTGTTGTCATTTGAAACGCGTAAACGGTGCATTTTAAGTAAATTACTTCTGAATGATAAACATTTTTCATAAGTTCGACGAGTCTCTGTTTCATAAATCTTCAGTATTTATGAAGCGATTTCTCATCTCTCTTTCGTAATGACAGAAATAGTTTTACGACTCTAAAGAAGAGAAAATGTGTTTCAATCTCTCTTAAGATGTTATTTTCGTTAATAATTTTCACATTTTTAATGGTGTCAACATCATTTCATTCTTGATAATCTTTATTTTTAGAAAATAATTCACAGAATGAGAATGTCTTGTGTGAGTGAGACTGAAAGAAATTGGATTTCGAATGTCATTCAACTGTCTTCGCATTATGTTGTGAGCTGTTGTGAGAATCCACTCAGAGTGTTTGTTTTGACTTGAGACTTAAATTTATGAAATGGGAAACATTGAGATTTTAACTCCTTGAGGAATGTATGTTTATAAATATAAAATGTTCTTAGAATTTTAATGTAATCAAATACTTTTCCTTGATTTTTGTTTCATTCACGAAATCATAATCTACAATTTAAAACCTTTTCATATTTAAGATGTCGTTTTAATGACCCTGAAGACTTGAACTTTTTTATCACTAATTCGATAATTTGTTAAATAATTATCTAATTTAACTTCGTTATAACTTTTGATTTGTGTATCGAAATACAAGCGAAGCAAAACGCAGACATCAATCGAATCAGATGGAAATAGAGACATGAAGAATTATTTAATACTTATTTGTTTGCCAAAGACTAATCTCTGATTGTTTTCAATTTGTTGGCTGATTTTCAAGCGTTAATGATTTCAGTTTTATATATTCATGTCTGCAGGGAGTCGCGACAACGATACCATAACTTGTTGTTGGTTTTATGCTTGTACCATTGTTGGTTCAATAGATTAAACAACAATAGAACTACTTGCTCAAAATGCTTTTCATGACAAGCTTTCGTTGCAGCTTTTTGCTTTTAGAATATTTAAAAAGAAAATCGATGGCCGAATTTTCGATTCAGTTATCTTTATGGCATTCAAGCATGACGTCAGTGGACATTTTGCTGGTTGTTATCAGCAAAGGAGATGACGATTTATGATTAAGCTGAAGGTCTAACAAATAATGAATTCCATAATTCTTGTTCTTTAAACGACCAATTGTCACGTTTTCCTTCTTCCAATTCTGCTTGTTCCAACGCATAGCGAAATAATCGTTGGTTGATTTGATATGCAAAAAAGCAAGTGGATGTCCTTCAACGATCTCAGACGATTCGTTTTCTGCCTCGACCATAAATTAGCGCAGTTGAAGTCAATTCATGAAATTCCGTCCGACAAAAACTAAATTCAAATTTATTCTCACGCACCCGCAAACGCATTGCCATTGTCGTCGCCGTTGTTGTGGTCAATTCTTTCTACGGCGCACCATGTCGATTATTCACCAACAAGAAGTTTCATTGTGTCTGCTTCTCCCGACCGACGACAGACGCTTTGGCTTGAGTTTGGATGGCGGCGTGAAGTCAGATAAAATCAACTTTACGAGACGATCATTCTTGTGTTGTATGCAAAACAAAAACTGTTTTGCATTGTCAAGTAATGAGCGACTTTAAAGACTTTAAACAAGAAATATTTTGATTTAATGCGTGAACATATGAACTTTGAATGTTCAAAATTGTTTTTATCTTATCACGCAACATTTAGATGTTGCTGCTACTCTTGTGTTTATTTTTTTCTTCGAAAATGAAATCAAACTTGTCATATGCGTCCATTCGACTCGATTAGACTTTTTGCGATAACAAAACGCTCAAAATCTCTCGAGTCTCGACTAGACTGTATTCAATTAAACATCCACTCAACTCCACTTTATTCGCTATTGCAACACAGCTACACATTCAAAGCTGTTAAGCATATAAACGAACGGTAGCAGACACATAAATAGCTCGGCGATGTAATTAAGGAAATCTATCAATAATAAGATGTTTACGCTAATAATGAGAAGAGGAGAGAAAAACGCGAAGCGAGGAATTGAAGAAACTTGCGAGTCTCAAGTCGGTCGGTCGATCGGTCGCTTGGTTGGTCGGTGATGGGAAGAAAGAAGAATTTTAAAATTAAATCATTCCAGCATTCAGAGTTGAACTCAACATCACTATTCGACTCCAAATGTTGATAGTTTCAACTCTGTTGCGTCTTCTGCTTTAGTGCTCAGTTGTTAAAAATTTCCAAATCAATTCAATAAATTTTTTCTTTCCTCATAAGAGTGAAGCGTCGAAGAAGAAGAAGAATCATCGAAACGGCGTCTGGGCTGAGTGTTTTCGATTTCAGTACTACGCGCTCTCCCACTTCCTCTGATCGACCTCATCGAGTACACGCTGTTGATGATGATGAAATGTAAACAAAAATCGCTTCGAATGGAATGCCATTTTTCATTAATAAACTTTTTTTCTATTATTTTTTGTATACTTCCACTCAGTCATACACAAAAGATTATTTTGTGGTTTGCGTTCAATATTTATTTCAGCAGTTTCGTAACTTTTGCAAAATTGCTTCGCTTGCTTAGTGTGTAGATTTTTGCGAATATTCTTCTGCCATAATTCTTGATCAACATCAAATTCAATGCATACAAACAAACTCAACTCTCTCTGCAAATCAAGTGACGCGACTTCATCCAGCAATAAAGTTGTTGTTTGGAAGTTGCTATGTATGGCACATGTTTCTTCTTGTTGTGTCGCTGTTCACATTTATGCGATTCATTCGTACATACATGCGATTGTTAGCAAGAGATGGATGGATGGATGAATGTGGTCTCTTGTCTTCACACAACCATTGCTCTTGTTGTTCTATTCTTGCAGCTTATTCTTCATGCATAAATGTATTTATCTTGTCTACTCAAGTTCTCCTCAAACTTTAAGAAGAAGATTTTTGCCGCCACTAAACATGTTTTTGAAAAGAAAATGTAAATGAATAAATTCAGTGTATGATAAACAATGAAAACGTTATCATTCTTCCTGAATGTGGTGTTACTGAAATTACCATAATGATCGTGACTTGAGTTCGTTTTTGTGGCTGTAATTTACATGCATGATTATCTCTGTGTCATGGTCAAAGTTATAAATTGACGTCACTAACCAGTTCAACGTGCAAAGTGTTTTTTGAAAACAGCTTTTGATGATTTTGGCATTTTAATAACTATAATTGAAACCAACTGTCTACCGAAGACAGTTTATCATTTCTACTTTAATGCTAATACAACGTACCTTGTGTTTTGCATAACAATTCACGAATATACAAGTTCAAATTGCAAGTTAAAAAAGAAAGAAATAAACCAGCCGTCGCACATGTAAAAGTGTGTCAGGAAATGTGCATTTATCTGAAAAGAATTTTTATTTTTACTAGTTTATATTTTCCAGAAACAACTTGAAAAAGTTTAAGGCTTTTATACACAATTTGAATATTCATTGCATCATGCACACAATGTGCAATTTATGTTGTCATTAAAATGCCTCTTTGCTATTCATTTCGGTCGGTGAATGCAAATGAAGCGAGATATTAGTATGGTCGGTAACAATTGAAGTGATTGACAGCTGCAATGATTAATCCGATTGAAGGAATGATGCAAAAACTATCGACTACATGTCGAGTTTAGTGAATTAAAGTTGCATGAAAATATTCTATTGTGTAAAGATATTTGATACGAGCGTTTATAGAAATTTAATGCAGTGGAATGTCTGACTTTTACGTCGATAGATGCGCCCATTAAAATGCTTTTTGATGCACTTTATAGCGTATAATACGTTGCAAATTTATAAATTTAATCGTATTACAGCAACCTAAAGGTTTCCAATAAAACATTGTGTTAAGTTCGGCGTAGTAGCGGCAAACTTTGCTTTGAACTTTGCAAATAAATAAATGAAATATTTGCACGTTTGAAGGTAGCTTACATGCAGTTACTTAACCACTTAGAGACAAATGTATTAAATTCATATGTAAGTGTTTAATAGTGACAACCGATTTCGATACTCAAGTTATAAATTATAAAAAAGTAGACGACGCAACTGAGTAATTCAGCTAATGACATCGCAAAATATTTAAGTTATCAGTCGGACGATTACGTACAGTCGTTTGATGACTTAACAAACACAATTAAATTAGAATGTTGGCATATTGGAGTTGATGTCAGCATGTCACTTTAATTATTTTCAATTAAAATTGTAAACAACTCACACAGTGTGTTACTCAATGAAATTGAATATATAAAGAGATCGACTGCGGCGAAGATGATGACAATTGAGTAAGAGACTGTAAGACGATGTGTAGGTTTTCTAATGATGATCCATCTTCCACAGCAAAAGCACATTAATAAAGTTTTTTAATTAACACGCAGCTACAGCTACAGTAATCAAACCTAAACCATTAAATAATTGAAAGCTATGATGACTTGAACTAATTTATTTGCAAGAGTTAATTAATTGACGAACAACTTGCATTTTTAGTTCTCTTATTTATCTTATCTTAATTATTATTCCACATCGGAAAACATTCATAAAATTTGAATTGAAAAATGATTGAAAACAAATAAAATCAAGTTGCCATTAAATTTTTATTCTCAAACACTACCCACATCGTGTCTCGCGATTATCCATATCTTCAACGTCATAATTTACTCGTTTTTAATACAACTGACAACTCCTAAACCTGAAATGCATTTCTAATTAGTTTGGAATTTACAAATGACTTGAAAAATTCTAATGCAAAACTTTGTGCATTAAAAGAGTGAAGAAGAAAAATTGTCGCACAGAAGATAATGCAAAATAATTAAACGAGTGAGTGAGTGAGGTGCTAATTTAACTCCTTCGTTCTTTCTTTCTTTCTTTATATCAAAAGCAATCAATTGACCTTCATTAGAATAAGTGTTCGTGAGAATATCGATTGATTGTTGTTTAATAGCTTCGGGTACAAACTACTGTTGTTGACTTCACCCTCCTTGTTGAATGTTTTTAATCTAATGAAGAATGAAAAATGGAAAAACAACAAATTCATTTCATTTTGCGGAGCTGTTAATCATACAAATCAAAATTTTATTAGTCTTAATTGAATCGAAAAGCGATTAAACAGCAAAGGAAATAAAAACGCGGATAATATCGCACAATGCATCAAGCAATGTGCAAGCAAATTTTATTTGCATCTGCATTTGGAAAAACATTTGAAACGACTTCATTCTCGCAGTTTATAATAATTTGTTTTTGTCATTAATCATTTCCACGATCGCGCACAATAAAATTCAGACGACTGTAAGTAAGCGGTTGAGGTAGTTAAATTAATTTTATTGGCTACTCGGCTAGGTAGTTGTTGTTGGTTTATTTTGTGCATTTTCCATTGCTATGATATGTTGAAAAATTCATTAACTTTTGTTATTTGAATTTACAATTATTACAAATTAATCTACCTACTAGTTTTACTATCAAACACACACTTACACACACAAACGTCATAATTATGAACAGATATTCAACTAAAATTAACAACAACAAACCACTTATGCTTAACATTTGTTTCTTATTTAGATATCAACAACGATCAATTTCTTACTTTAACTATTCCCAGGCTTTCATGCTTCATACACAACAAGTATGGAAAAAAGAAAATGCTGCGTTTGAATGCATTGTAAAGAACAAAACCTCAACAATCTACTGATGGCATTTCTTTCCCATAAACCACTCGGCAATTACATACAAGTGATATCTAAGTACGTGAAATGCAATACCGTCGTCGTTCATTTATGGAAATTCAATCAATGGTCCATTCATTGTTCTTTCCAATTTTAGCTCGTATTGAATCAGAGATAATGAAAATAAACCATAAAGGAGTTTAATAAATGCGTACAAATGCATTCAGCTTGTCACGGAAGTACATAGATTTACAAAACAAAAGACTCAAAATTTAATGTTTTGTGTTTCTGATTTAAATGTGAAATGAAATGTTGTAAGAAGTAAATCAATGTAAAAGTGAATGGTTTCCTGATTTTTAAGTATCTACAACGCATAAATATTCTCAATTCATTTGCAAAATCTTAATAATGGAGATTTAAGTATCACTTTAAATCTCTTACTTTAAAAATCTTCAACATTCATTGTGGAACTTAAACAAAATCACTTTAAAAAGGTTACAAGGTTGGAATGAGACAGCAAAAGTGAAACTGAAGCATTGCCCAAAACATTTGTTTACTTAATCTGTTTATCAACACATTTCAATAACGCTGCGATCTTTGTTTTCTGCTTTGAAAATGCAATTATAAATAAGCTCAAGATAATGAAATTTCCAAAACAATTCTCAAACTTCTAACAAACAGAATTGCTTTGTCTTTATCATTCATTCGCAAACATCCAGAAAATCAATTCCTTGCAGCATAATAAATCTAACATAAGATGTTTGCAGTTTGTTCTCATATTTTTTAGACTGCTCTGAAAATTGTGAACATGTTTATTCAAAGAGTGTTGTGTCGGATTGAAGAATCGCTGCACAAATATGAAAACATTTAATTTCAAGAAATCGTTTTAGAAAATTCACCTTGAAAATTTTGAAATGCAAAACAGAAATTCGTAGAAAGTTTCCTTTGTTTTCTATCCGAACTACCATCATTTGCAGGAAATGACATGGCCTGAAAACATTTCTTTATATAGAGTAAATATGTAAAGGAAGAGAAAGAAATTGGATTTGAAGATGATCAGACGATATGAATATGAACGAAAAATTTCTTTTCTTCTCATCTTTAAACGGCCAACATGGAGTCGAATATCCCCACAGGGAAATTATTTATGCTGCGTTTTAATGCTACTGATGGTTAGTATTTATGCTTTGTATAGGATTGGTAGGAAGTTACCACATAATCTCAATATCATCCCATGTACATACTTTTTCCCATAAAAGCGAAAACAATGGGAAAAGAGTGAGAGACCAGCGGCCCGAAAGCGAGAGCCTTTATCTTATGAAGCAAAATATGTTTTCACAAATCTCTGATACCACTTCCTCGTAAATTGCAAATACAATATTGCGGCAAAAAGAACGGCAGTTACTGGCAATGGTGTTTTTTATGGTATATTGTGATGTAGATTGTTTCAGCCCAATAGTTTTTTTCTACACAAAGCTATTTACTACTAAGCATTTAAGATAAAATTAAATCAGCGTTGTTGTGGTACAAAAAGAACAAAATGCATTCTATTTTTTATGTTTCTCGCCAGATAAAACACAGCATAAGAGATATAAAAAAGAAGAATAAGATAAGATGCATAAAAAATAAGTTTATGTTATCATTGTTGATATCCTCACCTCGAGAGATGTTTAAGCTTCATAAATCCAATATTGTGCTTAGCTTATTTTAGAAATCAGTTAGATTTAAATCAACTTTACTGCTTCTGCACTAGAATTAGAAAATCTATTAGCGTAGCGCGAAATTGAAAAAAAGCTAACTGAAAAATAAAGCAAGAAAAAAAGAACTCAACAACTGAAAACAATTTTGTGCAATTGTACTTCGCAATTACATTCGTAGAGTCTAAAGTGTTACAAAAACTACGTTATTATTTTTATAATTCGACTGTGCAATGCAATTTCCAATGCAATATAGTTTTCTTGGTAAAGATTATTTATGTGCTGTTAGCTGTTAGATTAATGATAGCTGCAATTTGGTGTTATTGCACTTTTCACCAGATCTCAACTTCATCTTTACATGCCTTTCTTTCTCACTCGTGCGCCTTTCTTTTCACGAAATAAATACTATATTGACGGCTTTATAATTACCAAGTAAGTCTTATCTACTGTTTACGAAGAGTTTTTAATTGAAAAGCAGTGGAAACGTATTAATTATAGTTTATTATCCTCGTGTATTCCTTCTTTTCTTCTCACTGTACTCTTTTTTAAAACATTCAATGAGATTACGCTTGTCTAGATTTTCCAATTCGATGAATAAAATTTCTTTTATATGCTTCTCCCGTACGAATGCTATAAAAAAAGCTCGTAAACTCAGCTCTACATAGCGGAGACGGAAAAGGAAAACTCCCTTACCAACACCATCTTGATAGCGAGAGCAATGAAAAAAGGAAAAAAAAATACATGAGGGAAAGTGAAAGGAAAAATGTCTTTCACAAGGTCAAAATGTGAATGAAACTCAGGGAAAGTTTTTTTTTCTCTGAAATATTTCCAGAAACGACAATTTCTCGAAATTTCCTCCAGCATGTCGTTATCTCTGAAATTGGTTTTAATGCAGATACCATCAAATGAGAACGAAACACGCTTCGCATTAAACTTTTTTTTTCTCCACATCTCAAAATAATCTCTTGGAATTGTTGAGACGAAATGTGTCATGATGTGCCGAAAATTTGTTGTTCTCGCTTAGAAAGCCCGATTAAACATTTTTCTGTACGAATTTTGTGATCTCGTAAACAAACAAACACATTCAAGAAAGCTGCTACGAGCCTTAAGATTATTGATATTCTTTTTAGCAAGCGCCCACGCACAATTCTTCACAAACTTTAGTTACGAGCGAGCGTATAAATGTGTTCTGAAAAAATACTATACACGTAAGTTACAACAACGTTTTCACGCAGAATGAAAAAGAAGAAGCCAAAACATAAACCTGAAAGGATATTTTTCTTCTGTTGTGTCTGCCATTCTTAGTTGTGGGCCATATTTCATTATTAATTTATGTGCATTACATTTCGTTTGAGGAAAAGCATGAAATTGCTTCTGAAAAGCACAACCGTAGGCGGCTGAAAAGATTTGAATATTTCACAGGTTCGTATTCGAAAGCTTAAGAGAATTCTGTCAAGCGATTACCTAAATAAAATTATTCCATCTTTTCAATTCTGGTAGGTAATTAAGATTTAAGCTTATTTTATTTTTATGTTCAGGCATTCGCTCTTCTTCTTTCCTTCTCTGGTGTCACCCCTGCTTATTTATGTCTATGTTTTGGATATATGTATGAACATGCTTAAAAAGATAACACGTAAATAATTGATTCATTATATTTTCCCAAGTTCGTTCATCGACCTTTTGTCACATTCACTTCATAAAATCGTATTAGAAACATTCAACTGTTCTCCTATCTGTCCAAAGCAGAAAAACAAATTTATCCTTATTTCAAGGAGGAAAATGTTCAATTAGATAGAAAGGGTATGTCACAAATTATGAAGTTTTATTAGTCAGATAGGGAAGCTGACAGTAGCTTCAGGGAAAAGGTTTCTTAATACGATTTTTAAGACTTTTTTCAAGTTGAAAGAGATATGACGAAACGTAAGAGAACACGAAAGTAATGATAATTTTATTCCATAGTAAAATAAAAAATGTAATAAAATTATTTTTAAATAGTTCATTCAAAATAAACTGTGTTAACATAAATGAAAAGCAGGGAATTAAAATATTCTAAGCCTGAGATTGGAAATACAATCATGACTTGATGTTGTATCCACCCTGTCGTAATCTCTTCCAATTATGCAACATATGATAAGAATGCTTGTGACATAACTTTTCGAGTTATCTGAATGAAAAAATCATGCGATATTCTACTAACATAACAAGCAATCCAATTCCATATCAAAAAGGGAAATACAAAATCTGGAAAAGGAAAAACTTTTGCTTTCTAAATATTTAGTTCTTCTAGTTCTTCACTCATAAAGTTTTAAATCTAAAACTTGCGAAGTTTACTCGCTTAACATTTGAATACTAAATGAGCCTGAAAACTTTCCAAACATGCGAAGTAATGCTGACATGAAGAGAAAATTTGTTGATTAAAAATTCAAGACATGATCTCATTCCATTCGGCTCATTGCGTCATTTGTACTTTTGTCTTTCTCAAGAATGGAAAGAGGAAAAAATCAGCTTCTTTTCTTTTTTTGTTTTATGTTGGGCGCGTTTAACGACTGGCGTCACATGAAGAACTGTATAAAATTACAACATCGTAGAGACTGTCAGATGGAACCTAATTTATCGAAGTGTAACAATGAACATATCTTTCCTCTCAAACCTCTCCTTCTAACTGATGAAATGAGAATCTCCTTCCTTTCCTTTAAACCACAAACAAATTGCGAATGAAGCGCTTTGAACACGAATATCTTCTAAAGAATTGAGGCAATCTTATTCGCTCTAATTTAATATTCTGAACGAAAAACTAATTTAAAAGCCAAAAAAAATAGAAAAGTACTGGGAAATCTGTCTCAGTTGCATAATATATTGAATGAACCATAAATTCTTTTTCCGAAAATCTAAGGCAGACTCTTTCTCTCTTCACCCTACGTGCTTCATTCTTCCTTTCTATTTCCGGATGGTAAAAGGAAAGCAAAATCTAGAACTTTCACTTTTCGTGCACTGAATGGGAATGGCGATAATTTTTGACGCCCAAAGCGTTTCGAAAAGAAATAATGAGTGGAATCGGTGGAAAACATTTCCCGTTGGTGTAATTGAAGTCATACATAATTTATTGACCTTGAAAAGTATCTTTCTTTCTTTTTAATTCTTTTTATCGATCCATATTAATCGATAGCACCAACAAACGAGAGAGGCAATACGGGACAATCGAGAGAATGAATATCAACATAAATAGATATGTATATGGTAAACAGAAAAATCAATAAAAAAGAAAATTGCTGTTAAAAAGAAAAAAAAATATTGAGTCTGTCTGGTCTGGGCTTTTCGCGCGATTGTATTAGTCAGAGAGAAAATTCATTGACTGCATTTTCTATAGGGTGCTAAACTTAAATGATTCCGTATATCATGTAACATTATCGCATGTTTCAACTTCCGCCACATATTTATTTAATAAATATTTTATTTCACAACTTTTCTTTCTTCTTTACTAATTGTGACATTGAGCTGACGTCAGTCTGAAATAATTTGCTTTCTTTATGCTTTACCCTGTTATTTCTTGCGAAAATCGGGAAAATCATTACTTTTTATGCTGGCGAGAGGAGACGAACTCTCTCATTTTACGCTCAATTCTCTCAGATATTTGAAAGAAGCCGTCAGTGTTAAACTGTATTTGTACTGTGTCTGCAGAATTAAAAATTCAATAATCGGAAAATTCGAATTTTAAGCGCATTAATTGAATTGAAATTTTTACAAATGCAACTAAAAGTATTCAAAAATTCACTAGAATTCTTAAAAGAATAATGATCTTCATGAAAAGTTTTAACAAGCCCGTATATTTTGGCAAATTCTTAAATTGCATAGGAAGTGTTTGTGGATGTGTTAGTAATATTGTAATGGGCTGAAGTGTAGAAAATTATTCGAGACGTTTTTTACCGCATGTAGCTTACAAAACCCCGACAATATCTCTACAGACGCGAAGCTAGACAGCTTCAATGTAGGAGTATATGTGAGCCAGACAGACGAATACATTTACACAATCCAACGAAAGACACGAGCGAAAACAAAAAAATTTTCGATGAAGAATATTTAGTCTTAGAATACACTTCGGGAACGCAAGTTCGGGATCGTATAATAAGAAGTTTGAATTTAAGAAAACAATTATTTTTTCATGAAAAAGTACATTTTTGAAGAAGGAAAAATATTGATTGCGGGAATAGAAAAAAACACAAAAAAAAATGTTTAAGCCGCGTTTAATCAGTTTTCACGTTTGATTTTGAAAATCAGAAATCGATTCAGTGCCGTAAAAGTTGAAAACGAAAAAAATAAAAATATAGAAATTGTAATCATCTTGCTAAACGTCGAAAAATATTTAATAATAGTAATGTATTTCTGATTGCACAAAATTGAAAAGCAAGAGAAAGAAATAAGGATAAGAAATATTTATATATTAATATAAGTAAAATGCTGAAAATTGTATTTCGTGAAAAGTGTGAAGAATAATCTAAAAATAATTTTAAAAGTAAAAGGAGAAGATTCAGATTGTAGAAATTGTGAGTGTTCGACTAAAAAGAAGATAATTATAAAAATATTTAGTGCCAAAAAAAATTAAAAATATTACAGTTTACGCTATGAAAAATTAAATCCTTCACAAAGCAAGAAAAAGAATTATGCATTGCGTCTCAAAATAATTCAAGTTGAAGATTATGCATTGAAGTGAAGACAAGTGAACGAAGGCAAAGAAAATGAAATAAAAATGTGCTAAAATTTATTGCACTTGAGAGAAGAGAAAAGAAAGAAAAAAAATTAAACTTTTGATTAATCACTGAAAATCATGACCGAACTAAGCAACGTTTTGAAAACTTATCAAGATAATGCTCTTAAAACGCTGCAAGGCCCTGCGAGCTTATTTTACAGTGGTCATCAATTCCAGAAAGGGTTGAAGCGTGAACTTGACTCACCACCACCTCAATCTGAAGATGACTTCAAACGTTTCTCACCGTCACCAATTCAATCTAACAATAATTTACCGCCATCAACAACTGTCATTGAACCAAGTGAATCAACAACTCCACAACAACGAGAACTCAGTGGATCGCCTGTAAATTTTGTACAAATGATGCAACCAATTCAGTCACAGCCAATTTTAACAGCACCCGATTCTGAAAAGGGTTTGCTTATGGAATGCATCATTGAGGGAAAAGCCATTGGATGCTTTCAATTGGGTGGTGAACTTCGACTTTGTTTCCCTCAAATTATGAGTCACATTCTTATTGGATTCCCTTTGGACTTGATACATCGAACCATTGAAGATCTTCACATTTCTTGTTTACAAAGCACGCCAGAACAAACAGCGGAATTTAAACTCGCCAAAATTTTGCCACCAAATGTTCCACCTTGTGGACTCATCACGCGGACTAATGCTGAACGCTTATGCAGCACTTTATTGCACAAGTCAGCGTTGAAGAAAAAGGAACCGAACAACTACTTCTCATTTCGAGTTTATCACCGTTGTTTTGGCAAGTGTGAAGGGATCTGCACACCAGAGCTCTTCTCTTTCACCGATCGAGCCTGCATTGAATGCGTCGAGTGTCATGGAATGTTGGCACCAAATAAGTTTGTACTACATGTGTGCAAGAACAAGCCAAAAGAAAACTTTACTTGCCATTGGGGTTTCGAGTCCAATAAATGGCGTTCATACATTCATGTTGCCATGAATGAACCGAATCAAGAAAAGTGTATTCGTCTTATGGACGAGATGCTAGCACGTGAGATTGGCTTCGAACAGATTCTTTACGAGACGAGTCTACTGGATGAATCAAATAATCTGAAACGCAAGGTTAGTAAACAATTTTCTTCATTAATTTCAAATGACGTCTTGAAAAGACGTACACAAAAAAAAACGAAAATCATTATAAAAATATGTTCTTTGGCGAAAACAAAATATAATTTGGCAATGGTGCAAAACAACAACAAAAAAAAAATTTTTTTAAGAAGGTAGATATTTTGAGGGTAATGCGAGAAGAGTCAAAATAAGAAGAACACTGGAAATGAATTTTCAAGCGATTCTCTCACATGAGAAAAATATATTCGTCTTCGTTTTTGTACAAATTCTTTTTCGTCTTTTTTTTTTTTTGGCAACAATGCAACCCTTTCTTGGTTCTTTCGTCTGCTTCTTTTTGACATATTTCTTTTCTCTCAAATATTTTCAATGTAACAAAAACCATTAAAAGCATTCTGACATAATGCTGGCGTGGAACAAAGCAAAAGAAATACAAAATTCTACAGAAAAAGGGAAAATTTTTATTGCACTTTTTGGCATTGAATCACAGTTTTTAAAATTGCATAAGAGCGTAAAGTGAACAGACAAAAAGTTGCTCAGCAGAGTAGCTGCTGAAAAAAAATTCAATGACAGCAAAAGCAGTCTAAATTAGTTTGAAAAACTAAAAACTTAGTCGTACACAAGAATTTCAACATCATTGCTGGCATGTTTGAAATGTGTTGTGTTTTCGAGAAGGTTATTTGAGTTTCTTGAGCCCTGGTCGTGTCTTTGTTTTGTCTAGAGACGAGAACGCTGTGAATTCTTTTCTTTCATTACTTCCCTAGCGTAAAAAGAAATAAAGATTTTATAATTTTATGTTTTCAAGAAAGTAGGATTTTTTTTTTGTATTTTCGTACTCTAACATCTATGCAAGCATCTAATGCTTCGCTCAAAGAATTTAAAAAGTAAAGAATAATGACCAAACTTCTTTGAACAAGAATGATTTTCTTTTAACTGTCGATTTCTCTTGCGAGTTGCTTCAATGAACATTTTTTTCTTTAAATTACTGCAGAACAAAATTGAAGTTCCTTGTCCGTAAATTGCAGTTATACGCTTCAATGTCGTTTACCTTCTTTTTGTAAAGAAAATCCTTTATTTTTGTTACTCTCCGATGTATTGCTATATCTTTCCCTTCTCCCTTTTGATTTCTTATTTTCATGCTTCAAATAAATTTCATGCACTTATCGAATGAGAATTACCAGAAAGAATTCTTTATAGAAAGAGAAATACAATAAAGAATGAGATTTATAGAAAATTGATTTTAGGATGCAAGGCATATGAAGCAAGTGAAAATATTAAGAAAGTGCATTGAATTCTGCAAATCTATCGACCCTAGACAGGTTGATGTTCCATCAAACGATGAAAAAGAAAAAAAAAAATCTTGTTCAAAATGAGCAAGAGAAGGAATTTCATTAAAAACTTTTAAAGATAAAGAAAAGGTGTTTCTGTTCAGAATGTTTGTCTTCGAGGCTTCTACGTGCACATGAGATACATAACATCCGAATGTAAGTCTGAAACTATAAATCTTTGAACGAAAAAAAATTTAGTTGATAGCAAAACCTGGAAAATTACTTTTATTCATTCATTCATTAATTAAAGGTGACTCGCTCCATTATTAATTGCATGCTATTGACTCTTAAAAAAAATAGTGAAAACGTGTTGTGCTGTGGCAATTAAGCAAAGTGAGATTCCGTCGATGCTTTCGCACACGAATATTTTGACACAAGTAGCTGGCTAACAAACATGAATCATGCAATTTTTCAACAAAACATAATTTATGAGTAAATAGACCATCATGAAAATAAGTGTCTTTAAAACACGAAAAACTCGATTTTAACATTTCTTATTTAAATAATTGCACATTGAAGTGTTAAATGCAGTTACTTCAATGGAGTGGCTAGCTATTCATTAATGACATTTCTTTCTCTAACACAACATGAAATTGCGTCGTTCTACAATACTCCAAGTAAATTCAAGAATTGTGATGTTTGCACTAATAACTTATTATTAACACCAAAATGTGTCACTTTACGAACAAGTCATAAACCACAAAAGGAAGGGAAAAAGGATGAAAAATAAGAGGGAAAAAAAGTAATGTGCATGCCAAGAATGTTTGCATTTCACTTATAGCGAAGGCATAGAAACACATCTCGAGTTTTGCTTCGCGAGAAAAGACAATAAGTCTATAAATCTTTTCGCGACGATGTCAGATTTGTTCGTATATCTTTGCTTAATGTGCATAAATAAAACTTCATCTTCACATCTTAAGCGCGACGATATTCATTCTCTCTCATATTCGTCTTCATTTCGGAGCAAAAAAAATTGCGAGAAGACAGTGACGGTACTATCGGTCTAGTTGTATGTATAAATGTGCCAAAAAAATAATGAACAAAAAAACAGCACAGTGTTGTGTAGTTTTTGAATTGCGAAAGATAAAAATATTCACAAATACACCGCCAAAATGTTTGCCTTCTTTTTTTCCTGCTGACTCGCCGAGGTCTAAATTTAAACATTTTCATTTCGCTGTGTTTTGGCATAAAGCAGTGGAAGAAGAATACCGTACAGTACGTAGGCGGGAAACGTTCTAGAATGATATGTTTGTTATGTGATATGAGAACAAGCCAATTTCTCTTGAATCAAAACTTTCGAATGAAGCCAACTCTTTGTATACTTTATTTTTATAACAACAAACGATAAATTTATTTTTCGATGTTTCGCCAAGTGGGGTTTGATTGCGGGGCGACACATAAAATAGAGCTTAACCCATTGATTCCATGATCTAGATAATAATTTCTGCTGATCCCGCGAATGCTTTTAAATAATAATTGAACCATTGAAAGTCTTTGGATTTTCATTTCTTCTTTTTTTTTCGAGGGGAGTTATGCGAAAGATTAGATATATATGTAAGTATTTATGTATATAATGAAGGCTTTCTATTTTTGTCATCGTCAGCAGAAATCTTTATTTCCGTCGCAAAAGCAAAAGCACACTGATTTTCATTTCATCGATATTGACTTTTGTGTGTACTATAAGTAGTTTTAATGACGCAATCTAGAAAATATTTATTTTCGTCTTCGAATTATTGTTTTCTCAAAAATAATGCTTGGAAAATGTCTTCTTGTTTTGTTACACACCTCCAAAGAAAAGGAAAAAAACATCTTTAATAAAACATCGTTCGCAAAGTATAAAAAGCTCTCACGTAGAAGATGAAGAACTATAGAATACGAAGAGAAATTCTTAAAAAAAAATAAAATAAGAACCAAGAAGATGTTGCGCGAAGAAGAAAAGTAAAGCCCAAAAGCAGAAAGGCCGCACATTGAATACTGAAGTGGAGAAAAGTCTTTGACCGCGCGTATCATTCATGTCTTCTTTGCTTTTTTTTCTCTTTTGCTGTCGTGGATGGAATCTTCTTTGAAAAAGATCAGACTGGAAATATAAAGCGTCCGTCCACCAAACTAATTAATTCTGAGACACCGAAAATCTCATGAGAGAGATAATCGCGATGATCTGAAGAAATTTAATTCGAGCCACTCAACGTTCCAACCAAAAACGCATGAAAATTCCTCAACGCCAGTAAAAGAAAATAAAATTAAATTCATTATTTTATGGTTCGTTGAAGCCGCGACTAATCACTAATACACACATAAGTACTTTACACATAAGTAAACGAGTTATTCAGCTGGGCCGCCGTCAGAAGCTAATTATGAGTGAGCGACTATGAATGTGAACGTTCATGCATTTTTTTTCGGACGACGGGGCCGACGAAGAAGAGATTATTCGATGCGTAAGGTCGATGACCAACGGACAGTCATTTTTTCTCAGTTTTTTTCTTCTTCTTCGAGGAAAATGAACGAATGTGAATAACAAGATTTGTTGTTGGCTCTTGGGAGAACTTAAACTGTACACCTAACTAATGTACTTTTACGGTTGATTGATAGTATTTCGCGAATAATCATTTGGCATTCAAAAGCAATTTATTATGCTGCAAAGTTAAATTGAAAAGCGTTACAATCCCATTTAAATGCACAAACGATGTCTGAATATTCATTTAGTTGATTCGCTGATTGTGAAAAGTTAAAAACATTGCCATAAATTTGGCAATAATGCAAATGCTTTAAACATATCGGACACTGATGGGAATTGAAAGATAAAGCGGTGGTTTTTAAACGTCAGGATGAGCTTTTATGGGGTCGCTGCTAAGCAAATTGCTAAATTTTTATATTTTATATGGAGATGTATCGATTTACAAACACGATTGTATAAAAGTTGAAAGAAGACAGCGAATGCGGAGACATTGGCAATGTTTTCCCATATCGAGTGGTTGTACAAACATCTACATAAATTTTTATAGCTCTTAGCTTTTGGGTTCCTTTTTTTTCTTCTCATTCACCTACGACTTATGCTCTCTTCACGTTTACGGGTATAGAAACATAATAAACATTGCCGATGATTTAAATGGTTATATTGGTGTATCCCATGCGGTCGAAATGGTGCAATTTCTCGTTGTGAACACATGTAAGCAATGTATGCTTCGAATATACAATCGAATATCTCTCATTAGCCATAAAACATAATTGCTTCATATGTAAGCGCGAGAGCGTACCACTGGGAGCAGATCTAAATCGTTTTTGTTGAGTGAAATCAATATCAATTTCCCTTCCATATTTGTAATTCGTTTCGGAAGGTGATAGAAAAGAGAGAAAATAAAAGAAATAAAAAAAAGTTGTCAAGGTAAATTGGCTATTTGTTAAATACATAAAAATATGAGAATTAATAAGTGAAGTGTTGGGTTTGCTGTCTGTTTCATGTCTGGTTTGTTTCTTCTTATTATTACAGCAACACCTTTTTCTGTAATGTTTGACTGTTAATTTTATTTCTTCTTTTTATTTTTGTCAATTTTCATAACACCGACACCGACTTCAACTTATTAAGTGCCACAATTTGTATAAATACACTCATACCATGCATGAATCAGAGAATAAAAGTCTCAATCATGTAAATCTTTTCTTATTTTGACAGTCTTCATCTTTCGATGTCGTAGATTGAATTCCTATGAATTGAATCTTTTTAAGATTTTGGCATTAAATAAATCCGCAATTACTGCTAATAGATAAAATTGATTTTATAATGGTTTTCGTGAATACTTCAACTTCACACGACTGGGGGTCTTTTAAGATGAAAGCTTTTGATTTTTTTTGTAATCACATTGTCGATGAAATATCGATACTCGAACGAATTGAAAAGGCTTTAAGGTTAATGATGGCTTCTGGGTTAAAAATTTTTAAATTGTCAAAAGTAAGAAAACAAAAAATATGACCACAAAAATGTTTCTAATAAGTTGAATTTATGCTGATGTTTGTTGCAATCATAACAACACGCCCATAATTGTTACAAAGCAATGAAAATTGACAGAGAAAAAAAATATGTAAATTAATATTTTTTCTTTCCTTTCTTTAACTTTTTGTCTTATCCTCGATGTATTGATGAAACGCGTAAATATTCGTTCTGTGTCGTTTGACGTGCACGTTTTATTGCGTTGTTTATTAGCGTTTTGAAATTTATTCGTGATTTTTATCGTTGCATTGATTTTTCCTTACTTTTCTCGGTGAAGTCTAAGCTTTGCTCTCACATGTGCTCGCCTCTTTGTTTAAATTCTGCTCAGTTTAAAGATTGCTTTGATAAAATCCCGAAATGCACTCGCGCTCATTTTATCGTTACAATAAAATCTGCATAATAATAAAATTACGGTTAGGTTGTTAAGAAATTAAGAGTTGAAAAAAAACTGGGTGTGCATCTTAAGTTTCCAGATGATCAAGAGATTGACAAGGCCTTTCGTTGAGAGATACCATAGATAATTTGTTGGCTTCCTCAAGCGAAGAAATAACAAGATTTGATTGCTGAAATCAATTCATTGATCGAGTGACGATTGACAAGCCTCATAAGAAAAAAATGTAAGCGTCTACCATTTTACAATTGAATAATTTAAGGAAAAGTTACTCAGGTGGAAAACTAAATCGACTCGGGGAAAAATGTTAATTGAACTTTAAGAGCTCAACCAACATACATTCGATGTGCAATAATTGCAAGACATTTTTGGCATTACACGTTTCGTTATTTTCATTTTCCTCGTCGTGTTCAATGCACCACCAACAATAATAATAATGTAATCTAACTGCGCTTTACCGCAACATATAATTGTTTAGCATTATGATGCAATTATATTTTGAATAAATATTGAATACTTATATTCTATAATGAGATGAATTTCTGAAAGAATAGCTAAAGCCGGCGAGGCTCATTGTGCGCTTCAATAAAAAAAAGAATAAATTGCAATTTTCTGCATACAAAGTTGATTACTTTACGCGAATTATCAAGCGATTATAAGCGAAATATCATAATGGTGCATCAATTATTCACGACGCGAGAGACGGCAGAGTAGAAGAAAAAGAAAAATGTAGTCGCGGCAAATTTACCTTTCAATCAATCATCAAAAAGCCTTCTCCAAGCGTAAATATCTACAGCATTTAATGATGAATATTACAAAGCCGCTCGTCTTGTATGCAGCTGCAAATTGGAATAGAAATAAATTGCATATTTATGCTATGCGTTTTCTAAGATTTATCAAACAACAAAACCACCACAATTCATTGAAGCATGTTTTGCTTCTTTCCGAGTAAAACTCTCAAGCTTTTAGAAAATATTTTCATCAGACCACAACCAGAAGTTGTTCATAAATGACTTCATATCGTGAACTTGTATGATAGAAATAATGATTTTTATTTATCTCTCAATTTAAATAAGCAAAACCACTTCTCAAACAACTTTGTATCTCTCAGTCTTCTTAGTTAATAGAAATTGAATTGTTACAAAATATTCAAATTATCCCCATTGCAAAGCAAAAACTGATAAGAAATATTTTCTTTCTTCACCCAAACCATCAATGGTCGACTCTACACATGAATTCATTTTGAGGGCACCAACAAATGTAGAAACTTATCATTCAAAAGATGAGTTTCCAGAGATTTCACTCGAAAGAAGAGATTTTCTATTTTCATCTTTTATTTTCTTACATCATCATGTCGAGATTAGGGTTCGAACTTGGAAGTAACTTTGTATCCTTGCTTTTGCGGTGTTAAAGCCAGAAACGACTTGTTTATTTTGTTCACTGATAAGAGGAATATTAATATTTGTATGCAAACAGTCGTATCAAATATTCGCAACCTCCACTCGCAATCTCTCGTCGACTTCTTACAAACACTCACTTACACACACACGCATTAAACCTTTGTATTCAATAGAATCAAAATTGAATTTTTCACTGCTTCCTATCGTTTCAAAAAGGATTCCGTGCGCAATTGAAATTCGTGTTGCGATGGAAGAATAAGCCATAGACTTTGAATTTCGATTTGATTTGGTAATCTACATAGTTGGGGAAAGGGAAAAAAATTCAACAGCGATAAGAACGAGTACTGTTTGCAAATTAATGTTTGCTGTTGTGCAATCTTTCATGCAACATTCATTCGTTGCTTTGATGCTGTTTTCCTTAGATAAGAATGAAATGTAAACGAATGAAAACTTAAGCATTTGCATACGTCAATCATTCAACAACCCTTTTTTCATCTCATTTCGTCTCATCATTATGATTGCAATACCTAGTTAGAAGTTACAAGGGGATGGAAGAATAATGAGTCAACATCATAAGCACTTGCTAACTCGCTGCCTTTCGTATTTCACTGCGAAAAATTAATGCGTGACATACCACAGGCAACACTTAAAACTTTTCTTCCCCTCTTGACATGAAAATGATGGCTTTCGAGTCATGCGTACGAGTAGTTTTCTTCTGATTGCATTTCCTATGTAAGTATGTACAAGCATTATTGCATCAATTTATGTAGAGATGATGGATTAAATCTTGCACAAGTAGGATTTTCATTCAAACACTGAAGGATTTCAACATCAATTCCATTTTATCCTCTTTTCATTTCCATGTCTTTGGCCTTTTGAGTTCTTAAAGTTGTTCGAAGTGAAAGCAATTTTACGTAAATAGCGAGCATAATTATGCAATCTGCATAAAGACGACTACAGAAGTATTTCATTCTCTTAACAAAAAAAAAGGGTTGAAAGTGAATGAATCTAGCGAATTGAAAAGAAGTAATCAGAGCTGATGCTTCTTAAAAATCTGCCTTTCCTTCCATTCTTTATTTCATGTTTTATCTTTCACTCAATTCTTGAGATGCGACAGCAGGAACTCATTACAAATTCTTGTAATTTTTACATCAAACGTGTTTTATTTTTTGCTGCTTCATTTCTTTTTTCAGAGATTTTATGAATCAGTAGATTTGTGTAAAGCATGATGATTTCGAATTGCGACCCTTTTTAAAAATTGAAGTAAAGAAATTTTAATGCATTTCTATGTGATTCATGATTCTTTAAGGCTTTCTTCATACACATTTATCTCTGATTCAATACGGGCTAAAGTTGGAAAGAACAATGAATGGATCATTGATTGAATTTCCATAAATGAACGACGACGGTATTGCATTTCACGTACTTAGATATCACTTGTATGTAATTGCCGAGTGGTTTATGGGAAAGAAATGCCATCAGTAGATTGTTGAGGTTTTGTTCTTTACAATGCATTCAAACGCAGCATTTTCTTTTTTCCATACTTGTTGTGTATGAAGCATAAAAGCCTGGGAATAGTTAAAGTAAGAAATTGATCGTTGTTGATATCTAAATAAGAAACAAATGTTAAGCATAAGTGGTTTGTTGTTGTTAATTTTAGTTGAATATCTGTTCATAATTATGACGTTTGTGTGTGTAAGTGTGTGTTTGATAGTAAAACTAGTAGCTTGACTAGTAGGTAGATTAATTTGTAATAATTGTAAATTCAAATAACAAAAGTTAATGAATTTTTCAACATATCATAGCAATGGAAAATGCACAAAATAAACCAACAACAACTACCTAGCCGAGTAGCCAATAAAATTAATTTAACTACCTCAACCGCTTACTTACAGTCGTCTGAATTTTATTGTGCGCGATCGTGGAAATGATTAATGACAAAAACAAATTATTATAAACTGCGAGAATGAAGTCGTTTCAAATGTTTTTCCAAATGCAGATGCAAATAAAATTTGCTTGCACATTGCTTTGATGCATTGTGCGATATTATCCGCGTTTTTATTTCCTTTGCTGTTTAATCGCTTTTCGATTCAATTAAGACTAATAAAATTTTGATTTGTATGATTAACAGCTCCGCAAAATGAAATGAATTTGTTGTTTTTCCATTTTTCATTCTTCATTAGATTAAAAATATTCAACAAGGAGGGTGAAGTCAACAACAGTAGTTTGTACCCGAAGCTATTAAACAACAATCAATCGATATTCTCACGAACACTTATTCTAATGAAGGTCAATTGATTGCTTCTTATTAAAGAAAGAAAGAGAGAACGAAGGAGTATTTAATCGTGGAGTGAGTGAGTGAGCAAATTAATAAAACGTAATAGTTCGGTGCGACAACTTTTTCTTCTTCACTCTTTTAATGCACAAAGTTTTGCATTAGAATTTTTCAAGTCATTTGTAAATTCCAAACTAATTAGAAATGCATTTCAGGTTTAGGAGTTGTCAGTTGTATTAAAAACGAGTAAATTATGACGTTGAAGATATGGATAATCGCGAGACACGATGTGGGTAGTGTTTGAGAATAAAAATTTAATGGCAACTTGATTTTATTTGTTTTCAATCATTTTTCAATTCAAATTTTATGAATGTTTTCCGATGTGGAATAATAATTAAGATAAGATAAATAAGAGAACTAAAAATGCAAGTTGTTCGTCAATTAATTAACTCTTGCAAATAAATTAGTTCAAGTCATCATAGCTTTCAATTATTTAATGGTTTAGGTTTGATTACTGTAGCTGTAGCTGCGTGTTAATTAAAAAACTTTATTAATGTGCTTTTGCTGTGGAAGATGGATCATCATTAGAAAACCTACACATCGTCTTACAGTCTCTTACTCAATTGTCATCATCTTCGCCGCAGTCGATCTCTTTATATATTCAATTTCATTGAGTAACACACTGTGTGAGTTGTTTACAATTTTAATTGAAAATAATTAAAGTGACATGCTGACATCAACTCCAATATGCCAACATTCTAATTTAATTGTGTTTGTTAAGTCATCAAACGACTGTACGTAATCGTCCGACTGATAACTTAAATATTTTGCGATGTCATTAGCTGAATTACTCAGTTGCGTCGTCTACTTTTTTATAATTTATAACTTGAGTATCGAAATCGGTTGTCACTATTAAACACTTACATATGAATTTAATACATTTGTCTCTAAGTGGTTAAGTAACTGCATGTAAGCTACCTTCAAACGTGCAAATATTTCATTTATTTATTTGCAAAGTTCAAAGCAAAGTTTGCCGCTACTACGCCGAACTTAACACAATGTTTTATTGGAAACCTTTAGGTTGCTGTAATACGATTAAATTTATAAATTTGCAACGTATTATACGCTATAAAGTGCATCAAAAAGCATTTTAATGGGCGCATCTATCGACGTAAAAGTCAGACATTCCACTGCATTAAATTTCTATAAACGCTCGTATCAAATATCTTTACACAATAGAATATTTTCATGCAACTTTAATTCACTAAACTCGACATGTAGTCGATAGTTTTTGCATCATTCCTTCAATCGGATTAATCATTGCAGCTGTCAATCACTTCAATTGTTACCGACCATACTAATATCTCGCTTCATTTGCATTCACCGACCGAAATGAATAGCAAAGAGGCATTTTAATGACAACATAAATTGCACATTGTGTGCATGATGCAATGAATATTCAAATTGTGTATAAAAGCCTTAAACTTTTTCATGTTGTTTCTGGAAAATATAAACTAGTAAAAATAAAAATTCTTTTCAGATAAATGCACATTTCCTGACACACTTTTACATGTGCGACGGCTGGTTTATTTCTTTCTTTTTTAACTTGCAATTTGAACTTGTATATTCGTGAATTGTTATGCAAAACACAAGGTACGTTGTTTTAGCATTAAAGTAGAAATGATAAACTGTCTTCGGTAGACAGTTGGGTTCAATTATAGTTATTAAAATGCCAAAATCATCAAAAGCTGTTTTCAAAAAACACTTTGCACGTTGAACTGGTTAGTGACGTCAATTTATAACTTTGACCATGACACAGAGATAATCATGCATGTAAATTACAGCCACAAAAACGAACTCAAGTCACGATCATTATGGTAATTTCAGTAACACCACATTCAGGAAGAATGATAACGTTTTCATTGTTTATCATACACTGAATTTATTCATTTACATTTTCTTTTCAAAAACATGTTTAGTGGCGGCAAAAATCTTCTTCTTAAAGTTTGAGGAGAACTTGAGTAGACAAGATAAATACATTTATGCATGAAGAATAAGCTGCAAGAATAGAACAACAAGAGCAATGGTTGTGTGAAGACAAGAGACCACATTCATCCATCCATCCATCTCTTGCTAACAATCGCATGTATGTACGAATGAATCGCATAAATGTGAACAGCGACACAACAAGAAGAAACATGTGCCATACATAGCAACTTCCAAACAACAACTTTATTGCTGGATGAAGTCGCGTCACTTGATTTGCAGAGAGAGTTGAGTTTGTTTGTATGCATTGAATTTGATGTTGATCAAGAATTATGGCAGAAGAATATTCGCAAAAATCTACACACTAAGCAAGCGAAGCAATTTTGCAAAAGTTACGAAACTGCTGAAATAAATATTGAACGCAAACCACAAAATAATCTTTTGTGTATGACTGAGTGGAAGTATACAAAAAATAATAGAAAAAAAGTTTATTAATGAAAAATGGCATTCCATTCGAAGCGATTTTTGTTTACATTTCATCATCATCAACAGCGTGTACTCGATGAGGTCGATCAGAGGAAGTGGGAGAGCGCGTAGTACTGAAATCGAAAACACTCAGCCCAGACGCCGTTTCGATGATTCTTCTTCTTCTTCGACGCTTCACTCTTATTATGAGGAAAGAAAAAATTTATTGAATTGATTTGGAAATTTTTAACAACTGAGCACTAAAGCAGAAGACGCAACAGAGTTGAAACTATCAACATTTGGAGTCGAATAGTGATGTTGAGTTCAACTCTGAATGCAGGAATGATTTAATTTTAGAAGAAAATTCTTCGTTCTTCCCATCACCGACCAACCAAGCGACCGATCGACCGACCGACTTGAGACTCGCAAGTTTCTTCAATTCCTCGCTTCGCGTTTTTCTCTCCTCTTCTCATTATTAGCGTAAACATCTTATTATTGATAGATTTCCTTAATTACATCGCCGAGCTATTTATGTGTCTGCTACCGTTCGTTTATATGCTTAACAGCTTTGAATGTGTAGCTGTGTTGCAATAGCGAATAAAGTGGAGTTGAGTGGATGTTTAATTGAATACAGTCTAGTCGAGACTCGAGAGATTTTGAGCGTTTTGTTATCGCAAAAAGTCTAATCGAGTCGAATGGACACATATGACAAGTTTGATTTCATTTTCGAAGAAAAAAATAAACACAAGAGTAGCAGCAACATCTGAATGTTGCGTGATAAGATAAAAACAATTTTGAACATTCAAAGTTCATATGTTCACGCATTAAATCAAAATATTTCTTGTTTAAAGTCTTTAAAGTCGCTCATTACTTGACAATGCAAAACAGTTTTTGTTTTGCATACAACACAAGAATGATCGTCTCGTAAAGTTGATTTTATCTGACTTCACGCCGCCATCCAAACTCAAGCCAAANTATTATAAACTGCGAGAATGAAGTCGTTTCAAATGTTTTTCCAAATGCAGATGCAAATAAAGTTTGCTTGCACATTGCTTTGATGCATTGTGCGATATTATCCGCGTTTTTATTTCCTTTGCTGTTTAATCGCTTTTCGATTCAATTAAGACTAATAAAATTTTGATTTGTATGATTAACAGCTCCGCAAAATGAAATGAATTTGTTGTTTTTCCATTTTTCATTCTTCATTAGATTAAAAACATTCAACAAGGAGGGTGAAGTCAACAACAGTAGTTTGTACCCGAAGCTATTAAACAACAATCAATCGATATTCTCACGAACACTTATTCTAATGAAGGTCAATTGATTGCTTCTTATTAAAGAAAGAAAGAAAGAACGAAGGAGTTAAATTAGCATCTCACTCACTCACTCGTTTAATTATTTTGCATTATCTTCTGTGCGACAACTTTTTCTTCTTCACTCTTTTAATGCACAAAGTTTTGCATTAGAATTTTTCAAGTCATTTGTAAATTCCAAACTAATTAGAAATGCATTTCAGGTTTAGGAGTTGTCAGTTGTATTAAAAACGAGTAAATTATGACGTTGAAGATATGGATAATCGCGAGACACGATGTGGGTAGTGTTTGAGAATAAAAATTTAATGGCAACTTGATTTTATTTGTTTTCAATCATTTTTCAATTCAAATTTTATGAATGTTTTCCGATGTGGAATAATAATTAAGATAAGATAAATAAGAGAACTAAAAATGCAAGTTGTTCGTCAATTAATTAACTCTTGCAAATAAATTAGTTCAAGTCATCATAGCTTTCAATTATTTAATGGTTTACTGTAGCTGTAGCTGCGTGTTAATTAAAAAACTTTATTAATGTGCTTTTGCTATGGAAGATGGATCATCATTAGAAAACTCACACATCGTCTTACAGTCTCTTACTCCATTGTCATAATGTCTGTGGGTGCTAACAGAAAATGCTTTTTCTATGGTTTCATAATCAACAACATCAAACATAGCGCAACATTGTTTACAACTTTAATTGAAAGTAATTAAACTCATGCGCGACATAAAAGAGTTACATTTGAGAAGAAGAAAAATTATTAATTTGTTCCGAGAAGAAACTTCTTACGTCAAGACGATTCGCACGACAAAAAGTATTTTAATCTTCTGTATGCTATTTCCGTGACAGTTTACTTTGTAAAATTTGGTCGTTTGTTGCCTAAAAGGTCACCCTGTTATGGGCACGCATAATTTTCAAGGAGACGTAGTTTTTTTGCTATTAATCATCGTTGCTGGTCTTAATGTTTAGCAGAAAGCACCGCGTAATGAGACGAGAACATGATAAATATTTGAAGCACTTTTTGTTGATGGAATTTAATTTTTCATTGAATATCCTAATTATATGACTACGCACAGCTTCGCGCGCGAGTTGTTAATTGAATAATTTATTGTCAGTCACGTTCAATTACAATTTTTTTTTCTCCTACTTTCGTCTTTCTTCTTCGTCTCATCGTTTGTTGTCAATTAAAATCATTAAACATTTCATCATCATCGTTTGCTTGATGTGATGAGTACATCTTTGTGTGAGATATTTTTATGCTTATTAGGCAGCATTTCTGTCTTTTTAGATATAAAAAATCATATCGTGCGTTATTTTGTAATTGCTAGAAGAAGGGAAAAAAAATATTATAAAGGAAAACGAGAGCGATGAAATCGGCAGAGCATTTAAGGCAAGCTAAAAGAATATATAATTTTTTTCCGTTTCAGCGATATTTATTGCGCAATTTGTGTGTGTTTGCCTCGATGAAGATTTGAAGCGATCTTGACAAGGGAAGAAAAGGAAAAAAAAACAAGAAATATTTTGCTTGAAAGGCATAAAGAACAATGAATTAGAAAGAAAAAGAAGAAAAAGTTTACGGCATAAATTTATGCTCGCATATAAAAAATTCTCTTTTTTATTATGTTGATGTGTTAAAAAACAAATCGACAGCTCCGCAAATGTCCTTTGTCACACGCTTGAAAACGTTTTTATTAGATGCGAAGGGTGAACGTACGACAATGGTTAAAGTAAGATATTCACCAAATAAAAAAATTCTGCTGCGCCACTAAAATATTATGCTAGATGAAGCGACACGGTATCCCGAAGGCATCTGTGAGAAACATAAAACACAAGAACGCAATTCATTTATATTCCAGATCATAAATAATCAGATCGTCTTTCACCACAGCGACCAAAATAAGCGTGCATAAATATAAATATGAATTTATTACAAGAGAAAAGAAAGAAAAGATTTTTCTCTTTTGATTCGTCTTATTGAACACGTGCAAGCATTTCTTACTGTGAATGGATGAACATTCTTAGAAACGAAGCGAGAATGGATTTTTTAACAAGATTTCACTTTCAAATTCACCCCATTGTGTACTTGAAATTCCTCTCGAGCATCCTTTCACGATTCCATTGATTTCTTTCGAGTTCTCCTGTTGAAAAGAAATTGGAGTAAGAATAGCATAGTTCAATGAGATGATGGCTTCCACCTTTGTTGATTTGAATGACAGACCATTTATAATTGAAGTTTAAAATCATGCGAACTGAGTGCTTAGTTACTTAGTTACTTTTCAATATTTGCGTCATTGAAGCGGATAATTATTTGATTCATTCGTTAAGCCTCCAAGGTTTTTCTGCTTCCTCCCAAACCCACTCACGCTTTAAGATTTAACACTTCTCATGTGCAGCAAGTAAACATGCGATGTTGTTACTAATATGGGCTTTAAATAAATAACTTTTCTGAGTACATCAAAGGCAAAGTGTGCCGCTAAACCGCATACAACAAAGAAGGCATAAGGTGTGATAGTCGAAGACTTCAACAAGAAATAAAATAATTCGCGCTTAGTGAAGATTGTAGTCGAAGTCATATAAATGCAATGGAAAAGTCACAATAACATGTTGATGTCAAAAGAGTACTAAATCATGAAATTATCACATCATGAGTGATGGAACACAACAGTCTTACGTTGTTTCCCGCGAGAATTAGCTTTCATTAAAACAAATTGTTGTTTGTCGTCCCGCTAATGAATACAATTTATAGTAAGCAGAAGAAAATAAAAAATGGAAAACAGCAAAGAAAAACAAGAAATGAAAATAAAAGGCTTCACATCATCCCAAGCAATCGTTGATTGGTGAAAGCAAACGTAGAATACTTTCATCGTTCTATCAAATGTCTATTTTCTGGGTCGATTCGTTATGAGTCACTTCATCAGTTTACTTGATTATCTGAGGTCATTAAATTTACTTTGGTTCTACTCATGCACATAGATTTATAATTAAACGAATTAAGTCCTAGTGTGATCAAGCTTTCATTGCTTTTTTTTCTTATCTCGCTATGTCTTTTTACTCAGCGTCTCTAAACAGTTTTAAATCATCAACAGTAAGAGTTGTCAATCATATTTATAGTTGATGTCTAATAGACAACCGTTCAGTTGAACGAAGAGAGGAAAAGATTGTAGCATTAAATGTGAAATGAAAACGTAGATGTAAGTAAATACATTTAATGGTAATATAAATTACGATTGTGCAAAGTGCAATAATGCTTATTACATTGGTGAGCTGTGACTGAAAGCAGGTCTTTTTCAAATCCCATTTATTATTTTGCAACAATTCGTTTAAATTTTATTTTACCCTTGAGAGTAGTGAAGAGAAACTTTGCTTTGAGGAGTGAGCTTTCAACTAAAACAATGTTGAGGAAATGCAATTGAATGAAAACCCGCGCATATTGCGAGTTCTTTATTTGATTGATAACTTCTCTGAATGTCATTTATTTATAAACAAAACATTGCAATTGCACTATGACAGCTCCAACTCAAACTAACTGGGGGTGCCACAACTTTATTGTGCTTCAATTGCTGTTTAGTAGTGCAATTTTGTATTTATACTTTTTTGTATTCAATTTCCATTGAAAATGAGTTATGAAGTCAATCGTTGAAGTTTCATGTTTCGCAAACAGTACAATGTTGTAGCGAGGCTGTTTTTCTTCATATGTTTGAACCTTTTATCTATTAAACTATCTAACCATGATTCATGACACATAAATAATTTGAATTTTCATGTCTAGGCGCTCGATTTAGATTTCAACATTGCACCGCAAATTTCCACTTAACACTCAACCAACATAAATGCAATATGCTTCGCATTAGAGCCACTTCAATAACTTTTTATGAATCTTTCATTCTAACAATTTAAAATGATTTATCCGCTGCATATTTGAAATACAAATGAGAGAGCCTTTTTCCCTTGACTACGACCAGGAAATTAACAATCATATGCAAGATTAAAAACCATTTATCATCAGTAAAGTGAGCGTTAACTTTTATTTACTTATTTTCATATTACCTAATTTTTCTTGTTTTGACAAAAAGCACATTGCGTATACTGCTACGCGGATTCTATCTTTTGTTGGAGCTCGATAATAATAACACTTTGTAATGTAACATATAAAGCAATCTCAGGATTAAAATTAATTAACTAACATTTCGAATATGCACGAATGATTTTTAACCCGCCACGCATTCTGTTTATGTCTCATGTCATTAGTTATGTCTTTAGTCATTTTTCATTAACAGTTTTAAGTTTTTTTTCGCTTATTAAAAGCATAAAATGCTTGATCCATAATTAACGTAAAGCAACGACGGGTTAACTGTACACGAGGTGAAGTGATCATAATAGCAGACTTAAGTCGGGAAAACAAGTAAATTATAAATTACTGGTGTTTTAGAGGCTAAAAGGTCGTTAACTATTAAACACTTTACATTGGAATGCAGTCGAAAAATCAACTCAAGATAAAAGTTATTGAAAGTCAGAGCAGCAAATTTTTTTCCGCATTAATATCAAGCACTGCGACGTTGTCAAATTTTATCATCCAAAAATAAAAAAAAAATAAGAAAAACTTAATTGCTAATTCCTTCGTTCTTTGCACCAAGCCACTACAATCAAGTTATAAATTACTTAAATATAAACTTGTTCAAACAATGGCACTGTGCGTAGAAAAAGAAGCGCCGAACGGAAAAAACAGCAGTAGGTTATTTCAATTTTTGGTCGCTTTGTCGCTTGATGGTTTGAAGTTTATTTATGAAGTGTTTTTTTTACTCTATAATAACCGTGACATTAATTTTCCATCAAGAGAATCATCCATGAGAAAAGACGGAATCTTATAAGATTAATTGGAATAGAATCGAAGTTCAATCGTAGTTTCGTTCAGACACCAAATTTAGAAAGAATAGTTGAGCTTTCATTAACAATTTAGATATTTTGTATTTGAGATGAAATTATTGTCTTTTTTAATCTCAAATACATGTTTAGTGGCGGCAAAAATCTTTTTCTTAAAGTTTGAGGAGAACTTGAGTAGACAAGATAAATACATTTATGCATGAAGAATAAGCTGCAAGAATAGAACAACAAGAGCAATGGTTGTGTGAAGACAAGAGACCACATTCATCCATCCATCCATCTCTTGCTAACAATCGCATGTATGTACGAATGAATCGCATAAATGTGAACAGCGACACAACAAGAAGAAACATGTGCCATACATAGCAACTTCCAAACAACAACTTTATTGCTGGATGAAGTCGCGTCACTTGATTTGCAGAGAGAGTTGAGTTTGTTTGTATGCATTGAATTTGATGTTGATCAAGAATTATGGCAGAAGAATATTCGCAAAAATCTACACACTAAGCAAGCGAAGCAATTTTGCAAAAGTTACGAAACTGCTGAAATAAATATTGAACGCAAACCACAAAATAATCTTTTGTGTATGACTGAGTGGAAGTATACAAAAAATAATAGAAAAAAAGTTTATTAATGAAAAATGGCATTCCATTCGAAGCGATTTTTGTTTACATTTCATCATCATCAACAGCGTGTACTCGATGAGGTCGATCAGAGGAAGTGGGAGAGCGCGTAGTACTGAAATCGAAAACACTCAGCCCAGACGCCGTTTCGATGATTTTTCTTCTTCTTCGACGCTTCACTCTTATGAGGAAAGAAAAAATTTATTGAATTGATTTGGAAATTTTTAACAACTGAGCACTAAAGCAGAAGACGCAACAGAGTTGAAACTATCAACATTTGGAGTCGAATAGTGATGTTGAGTTCAACTCTGAATGCAGGAATGATTTAATTTTAGAAGAAAATTCTTCGTTCTTCCCATCACCGACCAACCAAGCGACCGATCGACCGACCGACTTGAGACTCGCAAGTTTCTTCAATTCCTCGCTTCGCGTTTTTCTCTCCTCTTCTCATTATTAGCGTAAACATCTTATTATTGATAGATTTCCTTAATTACATCGCCGAGCTATTTATGTGTCTGCTACCGTTCGTTTATATGCTTAACAGCTTTGAATGTGTAGCTGTGTTGCAATAGCGAATAAAGTGGAGTTGAGTGGATGTTTAATTGAATACAGTCTAGTCGAGACTCGAGAGATTTTGAGCGTTTTGTTATCGCAAAAAGTCTAATCGAGTCGAATGGACACATATGACAAGTTTGATTTCATTTTCGAAGAAAAAAATAAACACAAGAGTAGCAGCAACATCTGAATGTTGCGTGATAAGATAAAAACAATTTCGAACATTCAAAGTTCATATGTTCACGCATTAAATCAAAATATTTCTTGTTTAAAGTCTTGAAAGTCGCTCATTACTTGACAATGCAAAACAGTTTTTGTTTAGCACACAACACAAGAATGATCGTCTCGTAAAGTTGATTTTATCTGACTTCACGCCGCCATCCAAACTCAAGCCAAAGCGTCTGTCGTCGGTCGGGAGAAGCAGACACAATGAAACTTCTTGTTTGTGAATAATCGACATGGTGCGGCGTGGAAAGAATTGACCACAACAACGGCGACGACAATGGCAATGCGTTTGCGTGTGCGTGAGAATAAATTTGAATTTAGTTTTTGTCGGACGGAATTTCATGAATTGACTTCAACTGCGCTAATTTATGGTCGAGGCAGAAAACGAATCGTCTGAGATCGTTGAAGGACATCCACTTGCTTTTTTGCATATCAAATCAACCAACGATTATTTCGCTATGCGTTGGAACAAGCAGAATTGGAAGAAGGAAAACGTGACAATTGGTCGTTTAAAGAACAAGAATTATGGAATTCATTATTTGTTAGACCTTCAGCTTAATCATAAATCGTCATCTCCTTTGCTGATAACAACCAGCAAAATGTCCACTGACGTCATGCTTGAATGCCATAAAGATAACTGAATCGAAAATTCGGCCATCGATTTTCTTTTTATTCTAAAAGCAAAAAGCTGCAACGAAAGCTTGTCATGAAAAGCATTTTGAGCAAGTAGTTCTATTGTTGTTTAATCTATTGAACCAACAATGGAACAAGCATAAAACCAACAACAAGTTATGGTATCGTTGTCGCGACTGCCTGCAGACATGAATATATAAAACTGAAATCATTAACGCTTGAAAATCAGCCAACAAATTGAAAACAATCAGAGATTAGTCTTTGGCAAACAAATAAGTATTAAATAATTCTTCATGTCTTTATTTCCATCTGATTCGATTGATGTCTGCGTTTTGCTTCGCTTGTATTTCGATACACAAATCTAAAATTCACAAAGAGATTGGAATAATTATTCATCAAGATGGAATGAAAAGAAAAGAAATATTATGTGCAAATAATGATGAAAACAAATGAGAAATAAAATCGCGTAATAAGCGACAAAAGAAAATAAATGATAACGTTATACGTTCAAGGTCATTGCGACGGCAACACGAGAAACTCCGAAAACTATAACAACAATAACAAATTTTTTTTCTCCAATTCCTCTTTGCAGTTGTGAGATCTCTTTGAGATGATCTTGAAAAGGCATGTTAAATTGAGTTGTTTTGTATTGTTTTGTGGTTGGAAATTTATTCAAGAAAAAAAAAAGTAATAATAAGAATGCGATCTTTTGTGGCTTGTTTTCGAACTCTTCCACATAAATTACAGTCGGTTTGAGACGAGTTTTGCGGAGATCGCTTTTTCAGACATTCAATTATCCCAATTATTTTCATTTTACGTCAGCTCGCCTTGTCCAGTAATGGATTCCTGTTTACGTTCAATTTGAGATGTCGTTTGAAAGAATTCCTTAGCTTTATGATTCTATAAGACGAGTTCTTGGTTACGGCAAATTTTCCTCCCAAGCTTTTGACTTTTGGCAAATGGAAAGAAAATCTTAAATTTTACCATAGAAATTACTAATCTACCATCAAGATGTTGCCAGGGAATTAATTATGACAAAATACCTAAATGGTTCCCAAAATGCTGTTAATAAATTAGCGCTCGTCATCCCACAGTACTTTATACAGGAGATTGGCTACAAGCGTTGTGCTCGTTGAATGGAAATATATTTATTTATTTTTGGGGCCTCTCACGATTGAAGAAATTCCTGTCTCTGACAGTCTTCTCTAATAACTTTGAAGCGAAACAACTGTTGCCATGTTTATGAAAAATTGTGAAAATTATTAATTAATTAGTTTATTAGCTTCGACTTGTATTTCCGCTTTCATGCTTACTCTATACGCTCCCGTCATCTCATTATAATTACAATTTACAAGTTTTACAAGATTCGCTTTTTGTAAAAGATCCAACTAGAAAAATTCATTTCCTTATAGATCTTTGCTTTGATCACTTTAATAACATTTTTCCTGGTGAAATTGAAGGATATCTATTTATAATTAAAACATCTTCACTTCAATGTATCGTGTAAAAACTTTTAAACATTTCCCAGAAGTACTTAGTGTAATAACTCAAAAATAATTACAACATTTCATCTCTCGACACTTCTCGCTTTAATATCTAATTTAGATGAAACTAATTTTTGAAATTTTCTTCTTTTCTTTCTAGGTAAGATGCTGTTTCTCTTTATGATTTATCATCACTGCAGACAATGCTGTATAATGTAAGATTATTGCACAAACAAACTAATGTCAAAGATTCGAATATGAAAGCGGCCAGAAATGCTGCCAATATAAGCTTTCTTCTTATTTTTTTTTTATTTTTTGGGCCTGGATGTGAAAGCGAAACGTTTTCTATTTTTAAAGAACCTCTGCTTCGTCTCCACAACAAGCTTGTGTCTCTTCATTCTTCACAATCAATATTCAATATTATTTCATCGCCCTATATTTAAATATTCATCATCAAAGAAAATATCCTAAACTGATCAAAAATATTTTTGTAAGCTCTCGGGGCAAGTCAAAATCAAGTTATTAGAATAATGAAAGCAATAATAATAAATAATTAATTTTGGTCGCATTCTTATCAAAAGTTTTTGTTTTGTTTTCAAATTTCACTGACAGATACGAATTTCGAAGCAAAGTAAATAATCAGCCTCACAATTGGATACCATAATAGCCTGTAAGCTATTCACTGAATCATCTTCATTTCGACTTCAATTTGTCGCTATGCGGGATAGCTTCGGAGTTCGGATCAGAATTTAATTTTTTTCCATCTAATTAATTAATAATAGAACAACACTCGTCGTGGAAAGAATAAAATAAACATTTCAAGACTCTCGTGGGTTATGATGATTCTTTTGTTTACTTAATGGATTTTGATTTCTTTTCTTCCACTTTTTGAGATGAAGATTTTTGTTTTTCATTGAGCAGCGTTCATTCCAAAAGTTTCCTATTTTCTTCAAATTTTATTTCGTGTACTAACTTAAATGCTGAATAAACAAAAGCACACTTCTCAGTAATCGCTCTCAAGCTGAGATTCGGGGTTCACTTTCAAAGTCTATCGTTTTCAAATTACTTGAAATTACCAAAATCATAGGCAACGCTCGAGTGCGCAGAAACAATGACATTGTAAGCCTCCTTGTTCTTCCTTTTCAAAACCCAAATAGATTTCCAGATTTCAAGAATGAAAAATAATTTTGTTTTTTCGACTAATTTAATTACTATCATTAAATATTTTTTTGTTTATTAAAAACAACAACATCAACAACCGAAAGATGTTTATCTCAATTTTCCTCATGTCATGAGAGATATTAAATAACAAATCTAAAATCTTATACGCAGATATCTTCCAAAACAAGTGAATATATTTTCTTTCACTTCCTGTAAGGGAAAAGAAATTGAAATAACTCAAAGTGACTCGATAGACGATAAAACGACATAAGCTGAAAAAAACATTCAAATTTTCTTTTGATGCAAGTGTTGTTTTTACTTTCCCCTAAAAGGAAAACTCCTTGTATATTTCAGACATAATCAAAGCACGTGTGTATGTGCTGATACATAATTAAAGTTACAGTATACAACATCAGAAAGAAGCCTGCTTTGAATTTTTGTTTTTCAATTGAAATGTTCCCCAGGGGGAAGAAATCTCACGAGATTTTTTCCTTGGTTTTTTAAGTGACTCGCTGACACGAATTTTTAAAAATGAATTTACATTATACCATGAAAACATACGTAATTATATTAAAATTATGAGCGTAAAACGCAAAGATGATAACCTAATTGATCTCCAGAATCATGCTTGGATGAGAAAAACAACAAACAAATATTTAATTAGTAATCGAGTTTTCCTTTACGACTCTTCTCCCGACCACAAAAAAAAGAGAACAAATATCGATAAATCCCATCAACATTGAGTTAATAAAATTTATGTGACATTTTCTGCTTGCTTTGCAGCTTGAAATCTGACGCTAGCAAACATAAAACTTGTAATAAGACAACATTAAACATAAAATCATAATTCATCTAAACTGATCAAAATGAAAATCTCTCCGTGTACCTTTATGTAATTTTAATGAGCTCCCAAAAATTGGCATCTGGCAATGACTGAGTCCTGGTCTTATCTTCGAATAAAAAAAAAGTTATGAGTCATGTAATGTCTACAAGCGCTTGTAGTAATACAGCCGAAGTTAGATTAAAAATTTAATAACGTGTAATCGCATGTTACTACAGCACTGCACAGCTTAACTTTGTTCCAAGGAGGGAAAAAAGAAGGCAATTTACGTCTCACGATAATTAGAGGCGATGTTTTCACGAAAACATTAACATTTATTGTCGCAAAAGATTTATTGCTTCCAGACAAAGACATTAACAAACACCAACTGTGAAAACTGTAGCGCGATGTCTCGTAAATGATGAGCATTAAATTGTGTAGGATATAATTTTCATCTATTGATAATACTTTAAGGGAAAACTTTTTCCCGATAACAGCATTTTTTCTCAGCTCAACACATAATGATTCCCTTTCGAAAGTTAAGTACATTTTGATGACTGACTGACAATTCATCATCAATAGGAAATTCGAAAGATTCTCTTTCTTCTTGGTGTTAAAGCGCATTGTCAAGAGAAATCAAAGAAAGACTTAAAGGATTAGTCCTTAAGGATTTTTCTCAGCTTCACGGTTTCTCTTTTACAAAACATTAAACAATATGAGAAATATCCCAGACAGTTTACATTCCTTATGATGTTAGAGCTTAAGTGTCGCATCGTATGATGAAAGAGCTTTATAATCATGTGAAGTGGAAAGAAGAAACTTTTGAACCGTCACTTGCAGACGATTCACACTAATGTTCCTTTTGATTTATTTACATCCGCTATGTCACAAGGATTGTCTTCCCCCGAAAGTAATTTTCATATATTTGACACTGGGGAGCTTTAGAACTTTTGCAAAATAAAATAAAAAAATAAAGAAGAAGAAAAGTTGACTGTAAAGAAGCATCTGGAAATGGTATTCACTTTCAGAGAACATGAAACGAAAATTTTCTGTTTCCTTTTGTCATCAATTTTCCCATACATTCAAAAAAATGATTTTCCATTGGAGCTTTTCTCGCAGAAGTTTCCACCTAAACATTATTTATAATTTATAAGCGATATTCTTATCATTATTAATGTAACATTCGTAAACAGGCTTGTAATTTAGTTTTCTTTTTATGTCTCCTTGTGTTCTGTTCATTCACGAATATTTCAATTATTCTTTTGTGTTGTGCAAATTCATAACATTGATAAATGTTCAAACGATGCTTTCTTTCTTTCTTTTTTTATATCACGCAACGATAATCGTATAAATTGACTAAAAAAATTTTTTTTCCCTTTTCGACCAACAAACTGATAGGAAAGTTTGCTCCATTTCACTTTATGTAATGGCATTACCATCAAATTCACATCCATTTTCAGTGATCAATCAATCATTGTGAGACAGTGGAATGTGATGAAATTAAATCGAATTATTTAAGTCGAATATGTTTTTGTTGGGGTTAAAAGGAGGGTTCAAGTCGTCGGCACGAGTTCTTCACAAATTCTATTGAACAGAGCGAAAACGCTGCTTAATCGTCGACTATTGAAAGTGGATTCGTTACTGCTTTTTAAAAAAGAAAAAAGAAACTTTTCCTCCAGACGTTAGCAACAAAGTTCATCATGTGAAAATCAATTTTCCTTTTGCTTAACCCACTCGTCTCTCAGTGGTAAAAAACCAAAAAGTCATCAATCATTCAAGCAAAGAATAGCAATCACTGAAAGAAAGGTGTTTTTCATTACTTTTCTATCGACCATGATAGCAGCTTTTTCTTTTGTAAGCACCAAAAATCAAATGGAAGGAAAAAGTCCAGAATCCATTTTTCTCTTACTTACTGTTAAAAGTTTAATAGTGTTCTCGAATCGGAGGTGATTTGCAAAATATTCCTATTATGTTGGAAAATGAATGATGGAATAGGATCTGAAAAATTATGATTTGTCACTTTTCCAATATCCCTTTGCTGTAATGATGAAATTCTTTGTGACCGACCGTTGTTTGTTAAAGTCACTAAGGTAAACTTAAAATCAGTTTTTGAATAATTTAATGTTTATAAAATAGTCAAAAATATGGAATGATAAAATGTTCAGGCAATTGCTTGGAAGGCGTCATTGATATGTATTTATAAAAAATAATCTACTGACCGAGAATTTTTGTTTTTCTTTATAAATAACAAGAAATGTTTTCATAAGATTTCATCGTCATGAAGAGTACGTACTTTTGTTGTTTATTTATATTTTATCTCACTCCACGTTTCGGGATATGAAAGAAAGGCATTCTGAGATATTTAAATCAGGGCTTCGGTCCGCACCTATTTTTCTGTTCCGGAACAGGAAACGGACCTTGAACGGGACCATGAACCTGTTCCGGAACAGTAAAAGGACCTTGTTCCGGAACAGGAAACGGACCTTAAACGGATCTCGGAACACGGACCGAAGCCCCGATTTAAATATCATTATTTGACATTTACGTAAAAGCTTTTAAATATTTCCGTGAATATGAAGTTTGTTTTGATTTTTCAACTTCTTTTATCTAAATCAAAGAACACAAAATATAATTTTGTTATGTTTTAGGAAAAAACTGGAATTCTTAAGTTAGAATTTTTAAGTCCTTCCTGTTATTTGTCGTCATTTTTTATTTAAGGATTTGAATCCTTGTAGATGAACTTGAAACAACCCACCACTGCGAAGAGTCAACGGTTGATAGTAGGTTTTTATGAAAAATTTGAGGTTGATATGTTTATTTTCTTGCCATCCTTCCTAATGGACGTCGTTCATGTTTTCATCAACTCCAAATGCTGCCTTTCTTGAACGCTCAAAATTTGAATACAAAGATCTTTTATTTAATTGAAAAATTTAGTAATTGTTTCACTCATTCATTCTTTTGCAAATATAAAACATAATTTTCCTGTTAATTGCTTGAAATTTTGAGCTTGATGTAGTCACAAAACTAGGGTTGTACAGAAAACTGCCATTATCATTTACGTGAAATCCTTTAGATGTGGAAAGAAATTCCTTTCTTCATTTCACTTATTTTCATTGCTAGGCAAGGCTAGTGTTTGTAAAACGAAAGAAAAATAAAATAAGTTAGTAACTCAAGCAAGCTTAAAATGTTAAAGCTCCAGAAATGAGAAAAAAGGAGATGGAAGCTTTTTATTCGTCGACAAGACCGAAAGGCAAAACTTTTTTTCTGTTCCTTCTTTTTTGTATTGTTTTAAGACGCGAAAGCAAAAGGAAAACAGAGAAAAGCGTTGAAATAAAATCGAGAAGGAAAAAAAACTTTCATTCGCTTTGAAAACTTTCCGTTCAATTGCCTGAATAGCTCCACAACATCATAATTTTCCTACATTATTTTTATTCGTCTTTCACTTGTTTTTTCTTTACTTCTCTGTTCCCGCCTAATGAACTTTCTTCTTGTTGTTTTTTTTTTTCAACTACTCAATGTGCTTCATCAGACTCTTTTTTTTATACGTCTTCTTGTTGCTGTCCCGCTTGTGTGTATATTCGGTGGTTTGATAGTGTTCATTCGAAATTGCGTGACTGGAATATTTCAGACACGTCTTTAAGACACGTTTATGGATTTTTCATTCTGACGTTCCCTGCCTTGAGATTTTTTTCTTCTTTTTTCCATTCTTTCTTTCTTCTTTTATGTTATGTCTTTTCTCGTTACTTCTCTGTTGCTCGGACAATGAAATTCGTAGGGCCAAACATCGACGTGAAGTCATTGCGTTCACCCAGAATAAACGAGTTACGCAAAAATTCTCAGCATTAGCAATTCATGATGATGACTTAACATTCGTCTGACGCTTTAGACATTCATTCTTCTCTTTCTTTTATATCATCTTCTGACTTGGGTCTGTTGTGCTTGCTTTCAAGAGAAGGGATTTTCATATTTAATTCCGTTCCGATGTGAGCATTAAGACGTTTCCATGTGCATTATGTTGGATATAAAAGCGCTCTCTCGATGGAGTCGAAATACTTAATACTTCCAATCCCATTACTCAAACAGGCTCTACACGAATCTAAATTGAATCAAACTATGAAATTGCTCAAAAAAAAAAAGAAATAAAGAAGAGGAAGAAAAAAAACATTTAATTTAATCCCCCCGATGGCAACGAGAACTTTTTTTTGCTGTAGAAATTTCGTTTGATTTCCGATGTGACCATGCAAGCTTTGAAGCGAAGGAATTTTTATTTTTCGTGTATTGTCGCAGATTTATTGTTCAATTAATATTCGATTTTCGATCTTTCTACTAATCTTTGCCATCAGTAAAACTAACAACAATAGTGGAAAGCGTCTCGATTGTTGTTGTCATATGTTTAATAAAATATTTTGAAAAACGATGCAATATTTTATGTGCCATGTAGCTTTGGCAACAATCGCTTATTTATGATTCGTTAGCATATTGATTGGTTGTTCCAATTAAGATTTTTTAAAAGTGAATTATGTATAAGCATGCAAGGTTTAATTTGGATGGTCGCTGATGGAGCAGAAAAAAATTAACAACTTTAAAAAAAAGTGATTGGGAAATTTTCGTTTCGTCAGTTTAATTTTCTCTGTCGAAAGAGATTCACACTGGGAAGTAAATTGTAGAATTTGTCATGCATTTTCAATCTTATTTTAAGAATATGTGTGCTTGAAATCACATGAAGCGTCGATGCAAGAATATCCGATTTAAAAGAAGATGAGAAACGTCTTGAAAGTCACAGAAATCTAATTTAACTCCAGCTAACTCATAGAAACACCAATATGGAGAGAATTTGATAAACTTCTATTCCATTGAGTCTAATAAATGGCACCGAAACACATCTCGAAAGCCTCGTCTATTCGATAATAATTCTGCTTTCCTCGCTTGCATTCAAAGAGTAAAATTGCTTGTAAATTATATCCAGATGTCATTTTGTAGATCTTTCCACCAACCTCATGTCTCCGCATTCAAAGTGTTGTTATTGTTCGTGTTCACTTTACTCTCTGAATCTAATTTTCTAAAGCTCCATCGATTAACTAGCAAGTTTTCCTTTGGTTTTCCTCTAACATGTACAAACATACCATCGTGCCTGTTATTCCAGAATAAAAATTGTTTGTCTCTTTGCTTTTAACAACACCGAGATTACACATGACGGCTGTGAAAAAAATAATACAAAATACAAAATAGAGAAAAAAAATAACGTCGAGAATGGCACAGTAGAAATTAATGTTCAACATAAACCAAAACATAAATTAGATCTTTTTCTCTTCTTTCCTTTTCCACATCTTCAATCTGAAAAATGAAATGAGATTTATAGGCATTAAGAAATATAGATGTGAAGTAGAAGAAGAATAGAGAAGTAATATGAATATAATCTGGTTGGTGCTGCAGTCAAACCATTTAAAATTGATTTGTAATGTGGTGTACAAGAAAAAAAATGATTGTGTTGAGCGAAGTGAAAGACCGAATGAATGAAAAGAGAGAAAGGAAGAAGCTTTGACTTCCAATTAAAGTTTACAGTTGATGAATGATCGTGAATGAGTTTCATTGCCATCATTTCTTCCTCTCAGTTTCATTGTCCATCTTTAGTTTGCAATATACGTGGATTTTATTTTATTTTATTTTAGCATTCACCATCATTTCTTTTTTCTTTCTATGAAACAAGTTCAAAGGCTTTTAACGATTGTTGAGCAGCCGGAGTCGTTAAACTGAATCTGATTTCATTAGACTCAATGCTTTGCCATTGCTGTAAACTTTCCGCCAAAAAGCTCTATCTCGGTTACTTCAGAAGGCAAAAGATTTTCAAGCCGCATCATAAAACTACAGACTTTATGACCACTGAAAGAATTCGTCTCAGTTAAATTGAGCGCTTTGTGTAGACGCGAAAGCAGTGAATGGGGAAAAGCATGCATAAAATTTACGATTATGAACCAAATTGGATCTTTAATTGGGACACTAACGAACTCATAAATTTTACGTCTTCTGACTCCCCCTCCTTACCATCGTGTCTTGAGATGAAAAAGAAAAAAAAACTAAGAGTGAAAGGAGTGAGAGAAGGATGAAAAAGAAAAAAAGTGGAGAGAGAGGGAGAGAAAATTTTATTTGTCATTTTTATGCATGACATGGTTTCCATATTTCTGAAATCCCCCGGATCATTTAGCAAATTATTTGGAATTTATATGAGTTGATCCTTTTGGGAATCACTTACATGCTACTTCTAAGTCTCCTATCTGGTGTCATCCATACACGCTTGCTTACTTACACAACGGGTATATTTCTTCGGGATTAATTTATTTTGGTATGAGAGGCATGGAATGAAATGAATGGAAGAGAGCGGGAGCCTTTCAGTCTCTTCGCATTAGCTCGATATAGTATCATCAGTTCAAACAGTGGCGCTTTCGAATGTAAATAAAAAAATATATAAAACAATGGGCCGTGTAGCGTTTATTTGGAGAAGTTTTTCTTTTATTTTTTGTTTTGTGATATAAACTTTGATCTAGGAACTTCCGCAGGCAATCCACTTACACAACATTTCAAGACGGTAATGCCAAAGGGACATGATCTCCAAGTGAATATTTTATGAGCTTAGCATTGGTGAAATACAAGAAAACGCTCAAGGGACTAAGAAGATATATTTATTGAACTTTTGATTCTTGTCATTTCCCATGCTTATAAGCATTAATTTAAATTTTCATACCCATGTAAGTAAACTATCTTATGATTCTTAATACACGCCACTGTTGTTTCATATCACTTTAAGTTTCATGTGTGGGTTTGTGTGTCGTTACTGGAAAAACGAAGAAATCCCATTTATGGTTTTAAGACTAATCCACACATCTTATAAAGGACTTATTTCAATTTATAGTTACGATACACATAAAGCGGGAATTACTTTTAAATTGATGCTCTCTTCATGTCGTTTTACATTCATTTTCGGTAATCCCTATTTTCCAAAACGCCTTTTCTTCGTTCGTTTGTTGTCTACATGTACACATAAATTTCCATTAATTTTTTTTCCCGCCGCTGAAATCCTTCTCATGTTTTCTGCACAAGGATGAAGTGGAGCAAAAATGGAAATTTCCTTTTAAAAAATGGTGTTCCGCGTGAAGATTAATTTCAAAGATATTTTCTTGAAAGGCGGGAAAATATGGCTTAAGGAAAGTTATGTAAGCCAAAACGAAACTCTTGAGATCTCCAATTTAGAAAAAGAAAGAAATACAAAAACGAACTCACGAAGTGGAAAAATATCATTCAGAATCTTGCACAAAAACACATTTTGATACAAAAGTTAATAATTAAAGCATCAACGAAGACAGTTGTCATAGAGTTTAATTAAAATAATTAACCAATACCAAGTTTTCCTTTCTTTATTCATGTTCATGTTAAACATTAATTCACTGTGTCAGATGAACCTTCAATTTAAGAATAAAGGGAAAAGAGAAAAAAATGTTAAACTTTCCTATCATTTCCCACCGGAATCATAATTATCAGCACTTCTCCTTTGCCTAAAGGGGAATGAAAACTCTCATTGTCTTTAATGAATAAATCCTTTTCTATCCTATAATTTTCACCGTTAAACAAGGGAAAACTATTACGAGAAAACAGAGTAAGCTTAACAACGAGTAATACCATTTACTTTACATTTTCTTCGATAATTATGCGAAGAAAACATTAACCAAAAAACACCGAGCGAAGACAAATAAGTGAGAGAGAAGGAAGAATGAAAAGCTTCCTCTAAAAATCGTATCATTCTGGGTTATTAAATGTAATTATTACACCATCGCATACAGCGAAACGAGCGAGTTCCCTAACCATTAATTATCGTTTCTCCCGCTGAATTTTATGCCAAGCCACAAGTTGCGTCAACAGTAATTTTCATTTTATCGGAAAGTCGAATGGCGCTGCTGAGCAAACTAATATGAATGAGCAAAAAGGAGTGAAAATTGGTGTCAGAAATCATCAGGCATAGCGTATTTTTTCTGTGTCAACTCAATATTTGTGTAATTTAATAATTACACCATCGCACAACATGTGTGTAGAAGCATCAAACTAATCCATTAAATGAATGTGTCATTAGTCTCCCTGGGCACAAATGTCTTTTTTGTATTTGACTGCCATCGTCACTTACAGAAGCAAAATGAATGTGAGAGGAAAACAACATCGAAAGAAAGTCACACAAGTTGTAATTGTGAAAACAAAAAGCATAATTTTCCTTTCAAAAAGGAAAGCCACTGGATGTTTGGTTATATGTACATTGTACATATAAAATTTAATATCATTTTCATGCTTTTACACACATTTGCTTTTTCCTTCGCGCCTCCCGAAATAAAATAAAAAAGAGCTACCGAAAAAAAATTCCCGAAAGTCTCGTCGAAATGTCGCCATACGCAGCGCGGGAAACAAATTTCTGATGATAAACTTTTCCAAGGAATTTAATTTCCTACATGTCGTCACAATAAAAATAAAATGAAGAAGTTTTTCATGACAAAAGGGCGCGTGGGTGAGTGAAATGAGAGACAGTAAATTGATGACATATTTGTCGGGTGGTTGGTTGGTATAATCGTCGACAATTGTGCCCGACAAAGAAAGATTTCATGTTTAAATTAATTGAAAGACAATTGACATGCACAAACAGTAATGTTCAAATGATTCTTTCCAGAAATTGAAACCTTCCTTGCATAAAATTGATGTTGCAAAATAAATTAATGCTTGCCATTCTTCCAATGAAACATATTTCATCCCCACATTCCACTTCATTCATTCGGTTCATCAAACCGAAATGAAAGCATATCTATCAGACACAGACGACAGGGAACAGAAATATCTAATCAAAAAGCGGAAAAAGCACCATTCAGAAAATATCAAATCAGAAGTCAATCAAATAAAGTGGGTTGATGGAGAAAATGGAAATTAAAAAACATTCCCTTTCTACTTATCAACATGCTTTCTGCCTTCTCTAAGACGACAAGAGAAAAAGAACCGAAAAAGAAGAAGTTTTTACTTCCTTTTACGCTTGATGTTCACACAATTTATGATAAGAAATCATAAATTTTCCTCTCCGTCTCGTATTTTCCTTCACGCTTATTTCACGAAATGGCAAACGGAGACAAGGAGAAGGAAAAAAAGATTTTCCATATTCATTCCGAATTCCTGATTCAGGAATGCCTTTAATGATTTTTTTCTTTTTCTTTTACCTCACTTATTTTAAGGTAGTCTTATGAAAGCAAACAACTCTTCAAAAAAGTAATAATTTAAATGTTGGAGGGCGGCTTTATCCCCTTTTTTATTCCATCAAAATTCTTCTTCTTCTCATTTTTGCTTATTGATCATTCATGGAAGAGAAAACAATTTTTTTTTGTTTTTACTGTTTTTTCTTTTTGTTAAAAATCCTAGGCTTATTCACCAACGACAGAATAAAAATGTGAATTGAATTAATCTCGATCATGCATAATTTAAAAGTCTCCAAATAGATTTTCAATTGGATTTTTAAGTCATTTAAATTTTTTTCTGGCCTTTTTCTTTTCCTTTTCCTGCTTGAAAGCGCCGGAAAAATGCGATTAGTGAAGCATGAATTTTTTTTCTTCGTCGTTTATTAGGGGCTGATGTGATAAAAACGTCGCTCTTTGTTACACAAAAAAAAGAAAGTTGAATGGAATGTTTTAGATACAGAGAAACGCTTTTTGTCGATGCTACTTTACCCCACTTGTTTACAATAATTACGTCATTCATCCCTACATCTCGAAAAGTTGTTAAACTGCTGTCAAATGAATGTGAAGAGAGACAAAGAGAGAAGCTTGACGGACGGGAAAATTGAATGTGTGTAGATACTCTTTTGGGGCCATTCCATTTCGTTAAAATCCTTCACAAACAACAATGAAAAGGAAGCTTTGTTTTCAACATTTATCGACAGCATTCTTTGGAAATCGTCCTTTATTTGTTTTCGTCAATTCAATTCGAAAGTTTATTTTCATCTCGACCATCTTTTTTTTATCCTTATTTTTACATCTTTCATGTTATTGTTGAAACGAGAAAGCCTTATTTGCGATGGCCATAAGCGACGGGATAAAATTGTTGCTTTTTTTACGGCAACAAACGAACGGACAACATTTCTCTTATTCTTCAGTTTGTATTTGGTTATCGTAGCATGTAAACATTTGATAATACTTCTCAAATATATTGCGTAACTTATCAGGAGATGTTTCCAATTCTTCTTAAATTCTTTCTTCATTCATTTCTGCTTCACGAACGAAAATTAGTTTCGTAGCAAATTTAATAAACGAAAGTGATTTGCGATACTCAACGAGAGGGAAAAGTCATAAGATGCATAAATTTGTCATCAAGATTTAAGAGGCATAGAACGAAAAAAGAAAAATTTGTGTAACGTTATACATCGAAGCGATGGGTAAAAGAAAATTGGTTTTTTTTCTTCTCGCAAGAAGGAAATTTGATTTCGCTTCATTGAGGGGAGGTTATGAGTATTGGGTGAATGGTTTCCTCATTATACCAAACTTCTGACAAGCAAGAAGGAAAGGAAGAAAAAGAAGACAAGTTCTTCAATCATGATGTTTAAGCGTTGAGAGATAAACATATCCAAGAGACGAAAGATGAAAAGCTCTTGTGAATGTAATGAAGGATGAAAGGACCCAAAATATCGGATTGGGCATTACGATGACTTCAACATTAGACGGATAATTGAATACCCGAAGATTCCATTATGTACATTCCATCATGCCCATAGTCGCTGAAATGAATTCCGTAACCATAGTCATTGTTCCAGCTAAAAAGCATTCATTCCTTTATTCAAAAATATCTGATTTCGTCGGTTCGTTCAAATGATTAAGAGAGTGTGGGACTATAAGCAAGTGGATAGATGAGATGACAAGAATGTTAAGAGAAGGTCACGCTGTTGAAACATTTCAGATAATTCTCTTAACTTAAATGATTATCTGTTTGTTGTTGATGACAATCTTATGTTTTCAAACGTAAGAGAAATATTAGATCTAAATAGACGTAAATAAATTTAAATTGCCCCTCAAATATTTCCCTTCTTTATATTGATGTTGATGTTGAAAAATGGTCAGACCCAAGTTGAAGGAGAACAAAACAAAATTCTCATTGTTCTCTTCACAATCAGTATTGACTTTTTTTATTACATAACATAATAAAAGCATAAAAATCTACATATATATATTTATGTATCTGAAGACACAATATCTATTGTTGGTTAACCTAAAGGCAAAAAGAAAATGAAAAGAAATGAATCGATTATATGAGGGCAGGAGATGAGTAATCAGTAAGGATAATGTGCAGTAATCTGACGGCCTATTTTTCGATTCACGTTTAATTATCTTCTTCTATGTTCAACATATACATGCTTGATTTTAATTTCTGCTCTTAATGGATCTCTACTGTCTTGTTATACGTTTCTATATCAACGGCAATGAGATCGATGTATGTCTCCTGATTTTACCGTCTTAATGACGCCAATTGATTGCAGCCGCGTCTTGTTAACATGAGATACATACATAAATAAGCAGCAGCGACGACATATATATGATTAACTTCTAACTAATATTAGAATTATCTTCTCTAATCATTTTTTTTTTCTCTATATTTCCAGGTAAGCAAATCTTCATCACAATCATTAGCAGACGTCAGCAATTTTAGCCGAGCAAAGCAAAATGATTTTCTCGGAAAAGAACATTTTTCCTCTTTTGATTTGGAATATAAAAATTCCTTACGGGAAAAACTTGTCGAGGGCTTTTCAAGGTCAAAGGAATTCAACAAATTCACATAAAAGCGGCAAAAAAAATCGTTGTAATGTAAGCGATGATTAATGACTGTGTAATATTTCATTTTCTTTCTCTTTTCCTTCTCTCCCTCCCTCTCTGTGATTTTATTGCGTAAAATTGGAAAATTTTTGTGTCTTCATGTGTGGATGTAAATTGTAATGTAATTTATGTGTGTGTTTGTGTGAGAGAGTCGACTTTAAATCTCAAGAGAAGATAAATTTTCCACATTAATGCTTTTCACGTTATCATCATGCATCTTAATGGATTTTTACAATAAAATTTCATCAGATTCCCAAAGGATTATTTTGTCGCTGGCATTTCCTGTGAATGTGACGATGATATGTAAAAAAGATAAGAATTTTCCCACATAATGATTTTCCCTTTTCAACGTCATTCAATTTGTGTTGATTGAAAAATTCCTATCTTTATCATAGGACATTTGATTGAATGGATTAATTAATAATTTACGCACCAACAATTTGATTGGGATTATAAGGAAAGCAGCGAGTTAGTGAAAGTTAGGGCAATGCAACGCTTAGGGACACCTAAAAATCATTTTTTGACTTTCAATCGTTATATCTTTTGATCCCCTTTAACTATAAGATTTATTTTACGACCAAAAGATCACTTAACTAATCAGCTATCTATTCATGCTTTATTAGAAGTTAAGATTCAACGGCATGCCTGTGATTGCTAAAAATAAAACGCAACGGTCACGGGACGATTGCAACGCCTCGGGACCATCGCCTTGGGACACTGAAAATGAGCAAAAATGATTGATTACTGAGATTTTTTTCGCATAAAACTTAGCAATTTTAATAAATCTCTGTATTATTTAGTGTATTTTGTCTTCAAATTGTGGAAGATCATTATCACAGATTAATAACCCTTTATTTTAATAGTTTTCAATTTTATAAGTTTAATTTTCCTCGCCTTAATAAGTTTGTTTAACTCAAGGCATACTCAGAAAAATTTTGCTCATATAAAATTTTTTGATGTCCCATAACCGTGACACTAAGCGTGACGAAAATTGAAAAAAGCAACTGAAAACTAAACACTTTTCCAATTTAATAATCAAAAAACTGTTAAAGCAGAATTAATCTAGAATAATTGAAGTGTTATTTTGCTTTTTACAGAATTGAATTATATTAAAAAATAATAAAGATAAACATGAAAGAAAATGTTGCTCAAAACGTAAAAATGGGACGAAAAATGATGAAAAGAAAAGTTGAATTTAAAATTTTAAAAACTTTATTTACTTAATGAATTAACAAAATCGATTAAATACATTTTGAAGCATCACTAATATTGATTGTTCTGTGAAAGTTTCAGCGCAATCGATAGTGAAACTTCTTCAAAATTAAAATTTGAAAATTCGAAGTGAAATAGTGTCTCTAGGCGTTGACACTTGGACACCGTTGCATTGCGATATTTCAATTCTAAGGAGTAGTAGTAATGGATTTCTATCCGAANTTGGTTAACCTAAAGGCAAAAAGAAAATGAAAAGAAATGAATCGATTATATGAGGGCAGGAGATGAGTAATCAGTAAGGATAATGTGCAGTAATCTGACGGCCTATTTTTCGATTCACGTTTAATTATCTTCTTCTATGTTCAACATATACATGCTTGATTTTAATTTCTGCTCTTAATGGATCTCTACTGTCTTGTTATACGTTTCTATATCAACGGCAATGAGATCGATGTATGTCTCCTGATTTTACCGTCTTAATGACGCCAATTGATTGCAGCCGCGTCTTGTTAACATGAGATACATACATAAATAAGCAGCAGCGACGACATATATATGATTAACTTCTAATTAATATTAGAATTATCTTCTCTAATCATGTTTTTTTTTCTCTATATTTCCAGGTAAGCAAATCTTCATCACAATCATTAGCAGACGTCAGCAATTTTAGCCGAGCAAAGCAAAATGATTTTCTCGGAAAAGAACATTTTTCCTCTTTTGATTTGGAATATAAAAATTCCTTACGGGAAAAACTTGTCGAGGGCTTTTCAAGGTCAAAGGAATTCAACAAATTCACATAAAAGCGGCAAAAAAAATCGTTGTAATGTAAGCGATGATTAATGACTGTGTAATATTTCATTTTCTTTCTCTTTTCCTTCTCTCCCTCCCTCTCTGTGATTTTATTGCGTAAAATTGGAAAATTTTTGTGTCTTCATGTGTGGATGTAAATTGTAATGTAATTTATGTGTGTGTTTGTGTGAGAGAGTCGACTTTAAATCTCAAGAGAAGATAAATTTTCCACATTAATGCTTTTCACGTTATCATCATGCATCTTAATGGATTTTTACAATAAAATTTCATCAGATTCCCAAAGGATTATTTTGTCGCTGGCATTTCCTGTGAATGTGACGATGATATGTAAAAAAGATAAGAATTTTCCCACATAATGATTTTCCCTTTTCAACGTCATTCAATTTGTGTTGATTGAAAAATTCCTATCTTTATCATAGGACATTTGATTGAATGGATTAATTAATAATTTACGCACCAACAATTTGATTGGGATTATAAGGAAAGCAGCGAGTTAGTGAAAGTTACGTAATAAAAATTCAACTTTTCTTCCCAATTAACGTTGAATATGTCTCCTTCCTTCGGTAAAATGATTCGAAGGAACAAAATAAACTTTGACAACGTCTGAAATGTGGGATTGAGCCTTCAATTGCAGATTTTCGGGGAAGGAAATGAAACTACAAGTTTCTTTCGTAACATAAATAAATTATCGTAGATGTCACTCAAATGAGAATTATTAGGAATTTCCATTTATTTAACATCGAATTGTACAAGAATTATGACACCAATTGGTGAACGTGAGAGGGCAAGTGAAGCCTTGTCGCTTCTGGGATATCGATCAGAAAAGGGGAAGAAAAATTTGAAATGACAGTAAAGCACGAAAACCATGGGCGAAGCTTTTTATTATTTTTTTTTAACCAACAACATATTTGAACACATTTGAACGGAACAAATAAACGACTATACAAAGTGCTTCCATTAATTATTCACTATGCTTATTTATGCCCCCTCAATCTCCCGTTTATTATTTTTAAAAAAATCGTTCGTTAATTGAACTTTTGGTTTTTTTCTTCAAATTTCAAGTTGAAAACTATTAACGGTCGATGATTGATAAATTATACAACCTGTTCCTTTTCTGATGTATAATTGATAAGTTCCGGAAAAAAAGGAAATTTCGTTTGGCAACCACCACATAAATAGCGACGCTGAAAAAGGAATAAGCGGATTAAAACTTTCTTTGCAACCCTTCTCTCCGCGATCCGACTTTCCTCAATGATAACGAGGCGAGGGAAGAACTTTTTAATTTCTTAATAAAATATGAAGCGAAGCGTTCAAGCTCAGGCAACAGCAAAAATTAACATAATCCGATTTAGAATGATGATGAACTTTTTGTCTCCGGATTTTTTTTCTTCATTCTTTTTTTTTATCATTTTTGATATTTGCCTAAAAAAAGGTTTTTGAGCCTCGAGAAAAAATTGCGTATAAAGTCGCTAAGGAATTGTTTAAATATCACCTCTCTTGAACTTTGAGAACAAAGAAGAAGTGTGGGCTTTTAAGGCTCAACGTACTCTGGTCTAAGTTTCTTCTTCATTCTTCATTCGGAAGCTCGTTTCACAATGTTTTCGAGAAAACATTTTTGTTCAAGAAAGAAGCTCACAGCCACGCGTTGTATACGATTATTTATTTAGGCAATAAAGAAAAAGGGAAATAATATATTCACCAACACAACAATGTATTAGGGAGAAGCACAGGCGACGAAAAAATGTTGAGGCAGACGTCGGAAACTGACTAGCGAGGGTGGAAAGAGACAAGAAGGGTGGAAGAGAAATTTCTAAGCCGCTCTTTGTGGAGTTGAGTTTTCCATTTTCTACATAACTTCGTTCTTGTATTTACAATCGACTAACACTTTCATATCCATGAACGACTTTCATTTCGCCGTAGAAATGTTGAATGAAAAGGCAGCCGTTGTTAGCAATGTGTTAGAGTTGCAGACGAGAAAGAAAAGCGAAAGCGAAAAATTTTCTTCTTCATTTTTCAAGTTCCAAATTAGACAAGACGTAAGAAAACCAAGACATACTTGAAAATACGCACACTTTCTGATAAGTTTAGAAGATAAGAATGGACTCGATGTTAAGATATGACATTTTAAGAAAACAAAAAGGAAATTCACTTTGAAGCACTTCTAAAGTTTCAAATAAAAATCTACTTTAGGAAAATTCAATTAATTCTTTTTCCTTCGTCTCCTTAGATGCTCAAATAAGATTTCAAAGCATTGAATGTTCCTTTACTTATCCATTTCTCAATGGATTCATTTCTTATTCTTAGCTTGTGTGCGTTCTGTTCTTCTCTTAGCATCTTCTTCAAGGCGATTTTATGTTTTCACGTATTTTTTCTTCATACTTTCCTGCGTAAAATCAATATTGACTGACTCGCCTTGTAGACGCCAAAGTATTTTTCTGTTCATTGTTTACATCTTTTGGCGCAGGGTGGTGGATATCATGATAGATGGTTGGGTAGAAGGCAGAGAAGCCTTTTCCTTCGGACATTTGGTATTAAAGATTGTGAAAAAGGGGTTAGTTGAGTTGAAGGCTTATAAAAAACGATTCAATTTTCTATTTTTGGAAAGAAAAAACTTTTCTCGTTTTTCTTCTTCTTCTTCATTTAACAAAAAACTAATAATAATAACAGCGAAAGATATCAACAGATCGGTGACTTATGTTGTTTAATTAAACATGGAAATATTCTTAATTCCTTTCCTGATTCTCCGTTAGCAATTTCCACATCATAATATTTATTTACTTATAATCAAAAACTATAAATTATGAGCAGTTTGTTATTTATGAGTTTTCATTAAGGGAAAACTGCTCATGGCAATTGAATGTGATGCGGATAAGATGAAGGAAAACAAAACACGTAAAGTGCTTGGAAGGTTAATAGTTGTGTACTGGAGACGTCTGGTGTTTCAATGTTTTGCCTCTCATACATATTTTTATTCTTTCTTGGATATATGTAATAATATCAAATCGTTTGTGTGTTTTTTTTGGAAAAATGATTTACGAGTGGTGCGAGTGAGTAAGAAAAAAAAATAATTCTGTTTTTTCCCTGCTTTCGGCTACATTACGACTCCACATCATTTCATACCATTAAGAAATTTGCGCATCTCGTACACGAATGAGTTGTTTCTCTTGTTCGTTATTTATTTTTGGTGAAGGACCTTGAAACATAAAATGTGAACAAGTAAAGCAGATCAAGAAAAAGTTAGATAAAAGAACCGAAATTGCCAGATGCTTAATTGCTAATAAAAGAAATATTAAAGATTGTGGTGTACAGCAAAGGAGAAGAACGAATTAAAGACTTTTATGAGTGCGGAACTCCACAAGTTAAATTAACTAAAGAGTTCGATTAATAAGTTAAAAGAATCAACGATTTGACATTCGACAAACTTGAAGATGATGATGTGATGAACATAAAGACTTTATAAATAATCTTTTTGGGTCGCGAAACCGTCAGCGGTTATGTTGTTGAAACTTGAAAGGCTTCATCTTCTTAGAATTATTTTTTCTTCTTCTTAAATGCTCAACTTCGCTGGAAAGGCGTCAATAGCCTTGAAATTGGGTCTTTGAAAAAAAAAAGAATTCGATTTACAAGCCCACACGACAAACAGCGACATAAAACAGCTTCACATTTTTTTTTATTATTTCCCCCAGCGGAGCAATTTCGTTTCTATACCATTGTCATACGAAACAAAACCGAATCGTTTGTTGTCGCATCTTCTGTATTTCCGCGAGATTTACGAGTTGAGAGTTAGATGAAACCGAGGCCGTGTTCCTGAAGACAAAAATAAGTACGAAGGGTAAAACATTGTTGATTGTAAGAATAAAGTAAAATTGTAATGAGGAAAGAGTTTCTGCGCGTTCGATTGGCACATAAAACATATAATTGTAAATATGTTTGTACATGAAGAATCATTAGAAACTACTGCATAGTAGTTGAAGGAAATAAACGGGAATAGCGTTTGCCATTTGATGCTTTAGATATACTTAGAAGTAACCGTAATCTGACGTTCATGAAATGGTCACTAATTATAATAATCCGAACCGCATTTGATTATTTATCTCTTTCATTTTCTCGTGTTACACGTCTGCCGCAGAACGTGTTAGAAAACCAGAAATATTTCCTATCAGTCGTCAAAGAAAGCATATGATAAGATTATTGAGCCAGTAATTAGAAGAAAGAAGCACGAATGGAAACGTTGTTGTCATTCAAACATCGATAATCACTTCATTTTAACATGCAACTCGTTGGACTTGGCAGAGATAAGAGCATTACATCTTTGTAAAAGCGAAGTAGTTCCTCTCATTAATATCAGCACGCAAATTCTTTTTTACCGACAAGAAATTCATGTCGTCCGGCGGTATACAACAACTTTTGTTGCGGAAATATTTATTGTCATATCCATTAGCGTAGTGCGACAATGTGGCGCACACACGAGAGCGTTAATTGACTCAAGACCGATTACAATGATGACTGACGATGCAATTTCTCTTTCATTCATTATAATTTTTGCAACTTTGTTAACATTCATTGTGAAAAATGTTTCTTTTATTACATATTGGATTTCAAGTACAAGCATAAATATAAATATTTCAACATTAGTTTATGTATATGGCTCATTAAGTTTTACTCAGCCGTGGAAAACTTTGCTTCCTTTTTTCTTTCATTATCTACAGTCGAACTATGTTAAAATTGTTATCATGTCTTTCCATCGCATTTAATGCTTTATATCTTTCGCACAATCTTAAGGTTTCATAGGAACAACATGAGGAAACCCGAATCAGGCAACCATATATTATTAAGCGAATCAATGTGCAAAGCGCAAAGCCGTAATTTATGATGAGCATTCACGCCTGAGGAAATTCAATTTATGTTTAAGCCAAAACGACTGTAAGGGAAAGGAAGAAAAAGAAAAGCAAGAAGTCAAAATAATTTGAAATCCTTGTGAAAACTTAAATATGAGTTTGCGAAATTTTATCGGAAAAAAAGGTAGATGGGAGAAAAATAAATGAATCCAATTTGTACCTTGATCTCAGCAATAAGACACCGCCCGCTACCACCTTTCGTTATCGAAGAAAGTAATTGGAAAAGATACAATGAAGAAAGGACACGCACGACTGTTTCATATCATGTGATGGGAAAACTAAAATGAAATTTTCAATCAATTTACGAACTCAAAAGTTTTTATTCGCTCCAGGAAACCATCAATATCCTTATTTATGTCGCTGTTACTGCTTCTGCCGCGCCCGATTTGCTAAAGGGAAAAAAAGGTCGACACGCGTCAATAAAAAAACATTGTTGATGTTCATTGGACATGTGTGCGTCTGTTAAAGGCAATGCAGGAAAATAGAAAAGTTTTCTTCCTTTCTGCTACATGTCAGAAACATCTCTTTCGAAAAAGTTTCTCTGAAAATAAAGTCTGATCAAAATGGAAAATCATTAAGTAAAAAAGAAAGTTTAAAAACATAATTGAGAATCCTCAGGGAAGAAAAGGTTTTTTATTATTTTAAAATACGACATAGTTAACATGAATTAAATAAAGTAATTCAACTTGTAACTGAAACGACACGTGTTAGATTCTCATGACTTCGAATGGTCAGAAGTTGAAAGTTAGTCAATTATTTGAAATAAAAATGTTTTTATTTAATGTAGATATTGGCCCAAAGCATTATTTACAATTCCAAATAATTCGACGTAATATTATTCTTTAGATACTAAGAAAATTTTCTTGTTTTTCAACAAAAACATTTCTTGGATGTCCCCATTTAAAAAGAAAGGAAAATGTTTCGTCAGTAAACAAACATTTATTGTAAATATTCTTAGATAACATGCAGCTGAATAACCAAAATAAAGAATTAATTCTTTATGAAAGAATAAAAAAAAACAAAATCTTTTGGTCTGTAACTGGAACTAATTTATGGTGGCCATTTATGATACACGTCCAATAAGTAAATTCATCATACACTTATAATGGTCAAGGGAGTAGATTTTATTAAGTAACAGAAGGTTTTTATGGGACTTTCTGCTGTTAATTCTTCAGAATTCTAATGAGTTAGCTCAGCTACTATTGTTTTATTTAATGGATCTTTTGTTAGTTCGTACGAGAAAGAGAAAAAGGGAAAAAATATCGCACAACCAACATGACTTAACTATAGTTGCGAAACAATAAAGAACTTTTCTGCTGATAACTAGTACGTACGTGTGTGTCTGTCTGTGTGGTGTTCCATCTGTGCTGTGTGTCTCCACAATGAAGGGAACAATGGACAGAATACAATGAAGAGAAACAAAAGTGTAATGGTTCAGATGAGAAAAGCACATAAAGTTTAATATCATTAGATTCTCTCGAGATTTCCTCCAGCAAAGCTTTGAGATCCAAAGTTGGGGGCTGTACAGAAGTTTGCTAATCTAATCTTTTCTCGAGATAACATGAACAAGTGGAAAAAAAAACAATTTTTAAATTTATTCTTAAATGTTTTTTGGAAGATTATTCACCCAAAAAGTGTACAAGTCCTTGTTGTTTCTTAACAACTGATTTTGTTCGCTACAAGGCACAAACATTCCCTAACATATTTATCTTTCAACAGACCAGAACAAAACAATCTTAGATGATTGAAAATTAAACTAAAAAACATGGAAACGCAAGAGACGTATAAAAATAATCATAAAAAAGAAGATTCCTTGGAGATATCTGCATATTTAGCAGAGAAATAATTTTTTAAATCACTTTTAAGTGATTGCGTAACAATTGAAGCGAAAAAAATGTAAACTGCGCAGAAAAAAATGAAAAATCCATTAGAACAAAACAATAACAGTAAAAGGGATCAAGATTTGTCAGTTGAAGACGAAAGAGAAAAGCAAGAGTGGAAGAGTCTTCTAAAAAGCTTTTCCTTTAACAATCCACTTCAGGGACTGTTTGTCGTCTCAATTTTTCTTATATTCACCCTTAGTGCCTTAGCTATTCACCAGGAAAATCTGCCAAATCATTAATCAGAGCGAAAGAAAATTCCTCTAATTTCGCTTTCTCCTTTTTTCCCGCCCCGACCCTTCACAATGGCAAATCAACTTGGATTTTCTCGACACTTATCCATGTCAGAATGAACGGTAGAAAAACGAAAGAAGAAGGCGAAATATTTCTCCAATGACCACTGAACAAATCTGGAGCAAGAAAAGTTTTTGGCATGAAAGAAGAAATATTTTTTTGACATTAGCGACGAGACTTTGTGGAAGGAAAAAAGAAAGAAAAAGGAAAAAGATTCACCAAGTTCTTCTTTGGAACTAGCTGCTGACATTACCATCCTGAAAACAATGATGGTGAACTATTTTTTTGTTCTTTATTGTTCCTCGACTTCGACTCGATAAATATTTGTCGGAAAAGTAATCGTTGAGCCAAACCCAAGTAAAATTTCTGGTTTTTTTGGGAATAGTAGGAAATTTCGTGATCATGTCTAAAGTATAAACAAATAAATGTTCTTCATACTATTCGACGCTTCCCGAAAATGCCCGTCATGAAATCAAGGAAACGGAACAATGTTTCTCTTTCATAATCCACTTGAGCCATCCGATAAAAGTTTCTTTATTTTCCCGATAAATTTTTTTATTCTTTTCTTTATTTCGACAAGAACTTAGAACTTTCTTGACTGCAAAGAAAAAGAAAAAAGAAAAATGTGTTTTCCATTTCTCAGCGCCATCCCAACAACCCGAAACGAAAGGGAAAAAAATGATTTTTTTTACTGTTCGCCCAACTTTTTATGTCTAGTCATCAGTCGAAAATAACGGATATATGATTGTGCCGAAGGGTTTTTCTTTTAGGAGAAATATTCGTAATATGAACATGATATCAGAAGGCAGAAGGGAAAAAGGACGAAAGGAAAATTCTTCCCATCATGGTGGCAAAAGGCATGAAAAAACTATGCATGCGTGAATAATTATTTGGTTTATAGTTTTCCTTCAATCTCCTTTTTCCAACTGTTAAATGGAAATGTTTTGTCCCTTTCCTTTATTCATTTTTACTTAAATAAGTATACATCAATGCTTCTTTTGTAATCTTTCTGTTTAGTCTTTAAATTGATTCAGAACTTGGCAATTTTTGAGGTTTAGATAAGAATGGAAAATGGATTGATCATCTCACATTATTTCATTTCATTTCGAATGTTTGTGGTGAAATCATAACTGATTAATCTCATTTATGTATTTATGTAACTAACAACACGAGAAAATTGAAATATTCTACGAAATATGTTTCTTGCTTCATCGAAAATGTGTTTCTCTCTCATGTCTTGATCAATTTTCGTTTACAATTGTAATTAAGTCACAATATCTTTTGGCATGTTTTGATGCTTTTACGGATGACAGGAAAGGGAATTTTATCATGAAATATTTCCACTTAGAGAAGCTTCAAACAAGCAAAGTAAAAGTTATTGGGCTGATGGGGATATTAAAGCATTCATTGGGAGTAGAGAAGAGAAAACTTAATTAGTTACACATATTTTCGAAGATAAACTCAAGCTATGTGGATGTTAAACATGTTAAGCTTCTTATCGTGTGACTCTTAAATAATAGAATCGGATATTTAAACAAATTACAGACGAGGGAATATCGTGCTTTAAATTTCATGATAAGAACTTTCCTTGCTTCCTTTTCCTTTTCTTACCCTTCTTCGTCTGTCTGAGTCGATGAAAAATCGAGATATAAATGTTCAATTATTCAACATCAATTTTCTTATTCGATTTTTTATGCTTCGTTTACTATGAAACTTTCAATTCATCTCCGATATATTTGCGTAGCAGCTCATTTTACCAGCTATAGCTTTGCCAAGGATTTTCTTTTTTCATTTCTGATTGAATCGTTTTCTATCAAAAAAGCAGAAAGAAAGAGAAAACTCCAACAACAAAGTTTTAAAACAAAGAAAAGATTCGTGAAAAAGGATTTAAAATTCTCCTTTTAGTGTATTAAAGTTTCTTGAATGAAAAACTCATCTCATCATTCATTCGTACACAGAAATACTTGATACAAGTTTTGCTACACATCTCGGCAATATTTTTCTATATCTTGAACAATAAAGAGAAATGCCAGTCGACGAAGAAAATAAATCCAGGTAACAAGTGAGTTGAATCACTCCTGGCAGTTTCAAGATAAAAACTCTTTATTTGCCATTTACTTGCTTTCCCTCACATCCTAATTCATTGAAGTAAAATGTTTTGTTAAATTTCATGAATGTAATCCTTTTGGTTATTACTGAAACTACTAAAAGGGAAAATAAGGGAAAGGATTTAGTCACAGGGACTTTGCACTGGATTTGCTCGAGAACGAGTGCCAGTTTATGCTGCATAATTAAAGAGTATGTAGTGAAAAAGGATTGAATTATGCAAAAGGTTTGAAAATTAACTTTTTCTTTGATTTTTCATAAACCTTCACAAAATGAAATTACATTACAACTATTTATAATAAACTATGTATGAAAGCATAAATTAAGGATTTATCTCAGCTTAAAGTTAATATTTTTCTCATTTCCATATTTTGCTAACATTGTTGCTGTTCTTAATACTGCCTAAGATATCTTTCTCTTTTTTATGCTTTCATTCTTTCTTCTGATATAATATCCAATCTTTATCTATGTGAATGAACGTCACCCTGAGCATGAATATAACAAGTTGAAAAAGAAAATAAGAAACGTAAAGTGTACAAAGCCGCATCATTTCAACGCAAACAGTTTTTTATGTTGTAACAAGTTGAAGGATGAGATTCTTCGTCTACACAGGAGATAGAATGAGTGTAAAGAAGTATTTACAGTTAAATATACTCATACAACTTTTTTTTGAGGCTTACAAAAAAATTGACAGAAGAATAAAGCACAAAATTTTATTATTTTATTATGCAAGGTGTGGATTATTTCCTCCCTTTTCGACACTTATTCTCCCACCCCTACAACTTACAGCATCCTTGAAATAGGTTAGCTGTGACGAGGGAATAATAAGCGAATATTGTCACACACCTTCAACACCCACATTCCCTGATTATGATGAGAAAATAGCGACTGGGGAAAAGGCGGAATAAAAAAATAAAAAAATAAAAAGGAAACCACGAAACAAAGTCAAATATAAAAAGTTTTCCATCGCAATATGAAACTCTGAAACAATCGAGAAGGGTTTTCTTCTTATTTTCATTGTTTGATACGCACATGTTACCTTTTACCCAGCCTCATTGCATGTACCCAAGAGAACCAATTACTGTTCGTGTAACACGAGTGTGAATCACTCCGTAAGGAAAGGCTGAAGAATTTTTCTCTCGTCTTTGAAGTTTTAAGATGAAAGAAAAGTCACTTGAAGTCTCATCATCACGACTTGTTTAATGGTCTCAGGCACTCATCATTATATTTAATGGGCTTTTGCCGGTGTAGTGCCTGTTTTTTTAAGCTTTTATTCTTCCTTCTTCAACCTCTAAGCATAATGAACACGCTTGCTTGAGATGAAGCCACGTACACATCTTTCTCATGTTTCTCTCACACCCCTCCTACGTTCATCTCAAACATAGTGTATTTAGTAAGTTGTTGTTGTTGACAATAGAAGAATGTGTGCAATGATATTACAACACGGTTGTCATTAAAGTAAAGAACTTTCCGGAAAAGCTTTAAGAGACGATGAAAAACTTTGTTGGTCGCAGGTGATGTTTTCTTCTCGATGATTGCCATCATCACTTTGCCCAAAGCACTTTCACAATTTTTCCATTCATTTAAAATGATAATTTCCACGATTTTTCCTGCTCGAGTCGCGTTTAAGAAATTGAGATGTATGATTATTGATGCGTGTCGTTGATCCCTCTGACTTCTTTCTCCTTACCCATCTCTCTATTCATTCTTGACTCATTTGTTGAGTTTCTTTAATGCAGAGGGACGAATGGATTGATGGTAGCAATTTACTTTCTGACGCTCTCCTGATCCTTCTATGCTTATTAAGTATTAGCATCTCAATTCTCATCTCATCCCGTGCGTAACAATAACAATAGTAAAGAAATGAATTTTTAATTTCTACGATTTCTTCACTCCCACCATTCTCACACTCATCTGATGATGGTGATGATGTTGATTAGGTTTTTGTTAATACATATCTATCTACATAATGTAGAAGCATAAGAAACATGCATGAAACAGAAATGACAAGGAAGAAAAGAAAATAAAAAAGAAAGAAGAAAAATGAAAAGCAAACCACATTAAATGGCAACGAAATGGAAATTATGTTTATGACAATGTCGTGATTCACATTAAAGAAAAGTGTTAACAGCAAATTAAACTTAACGAGGAATCGCATGTTTTTCGTTCCATCCCGGGCTGGAAATTCGATTCCGTTAACAATCTCGGCTAGGAGAAGTTAACAATAGTCGTTTAAAGAATGAGAAAGGCGACATGATGCTTTTGAGAATTCGTGTCGTATCCAACTTCTGATTAGTGTTAATGTTCCGTCAATGTTGTTAGCATTCCAACATCGAGGTTAATCTTGATGATCTTTGATTGTCAGCAACAAACACGAGAGAAAGAGTCAACATTGAGGGCTGAGAGAAAAGATTATATCAGTACCATCAGTTAGCTGCTATTGTTAAAGTTGAAAATGATTCGTAGGAATTTTCAACTGTGCTCAAGCAAGTTTAACAGCCACAATTGCTATGCCGCTTTAATTCTAACGGGATCATACTGTCATGTTCTATTTGAGCGCGAAGGAAAAATTAATTAATTTCGTTTGGAGAATTTTATTTTTTTTCTTTTTCATTCTTTTTGTTTTGATGGCTTCTTGACTTTTTTATGGTTTTCTTCTTTCTGATTCTTCCTTATTGCTTGCTTGGCGTCATTACAAAAGTCTATCGTCATTAGCGCTCTATTCGTGATCGACCATCGATTCCACTTGAATAAATCTTCCTTTCTCGTGTTCCATTTCCATTTCATCCAATTATAATTCCACATGAATTGAAATCAAAATCATTATTTTCCTTTTTCTTCCTTCATTTGACTTCTTCCAAAATTAAAAACCTTCAAGAATTATTGCTTCAAAATTGAAGTTTGAGCATTCGCTTAATTTTGGTAATTTATTTATATCACTAAGCGGCCCTAAGGAATACTTTTTCCTTTTTCTCGAGTTTTTGAAAGATTGAAAAAAAGGAAGAAAAGAAAGTTGAAAGAAAAAAAAAATAAATAAAATCAAATCAATAAATAACCTTTACTGTGTTTATGGAAAACCGCATAAACCTCAACGAAGAAATTTTTCTTTTATTTTCCTTTTCCCTCCAAGAAAAGCCGAATGTGAAATATCGAGGGTTGGTGCGTGGAGGTGAAAATTTCATCTAATGGAAAACGATAAATTTCTGAATATTTTTGTGTGCCAATTTGGGCGTCGAAAAAATTATTGTTCTTTCTTCAAAGCAGCTTTTTATTCTGGGAAATCTTAAGAAAACTCCTCCACGTAAAACCGTTTCCTACGATCGCAGGTAATTTCATTTATTTATGTGTCGGAAAATTGGGAAAACCTATATTAGTGAAAAGAGCGTCGAAAAGTCTTGATTTTCCTTTCTTTTAGTCAATAAATATCTACGATGTAAAATATTTCAAAAAAACAGAAAGAAATATTTAGGATAATTTTTTAACATTAAATTTTGTGGTTTTTCCAACTCAAACCCAAAACGTTCTACTCCAATGAACCCATTACATATTGAACGCATAAATTATGATTATGAATATAGATTAACAAAGTGAAAATACCTTTTTCTCAAGTTTCTCTCTTTTTTTCCTGTGATAACGCGAGAAAATTATGCGGCACCGTTTCCCCAAGGTCGCATTGAATGCCAGTCCCTTGAGTATCATAAAAAAGTACGAGGCAACGAGGGCAATTAGTGTGCAGACAAATGGCACCCGCTTTTCACTGAAAACTTTCCTATGCGTCGCGTTTTAATTTTGTCTATTATCCAATACCCACGAGTCAATGATTTAGATTTGTGTTTGAGTGTCTGTAATTACGCACCATAAATTCTCCTTCCGGGTGAAATTCTTTTTCAATCTTCTCGACTCACGATTCCATCGAATATCATTAGCAAATTTTTTAGAACATCGTCGAATAGAATTTCATGAAGTTGTGTATTTTTTTAGAGGGGTGGAAGTTCTTATCCAAGCTGCGATATTTCGACAATGAGAAACAACAATAAAATTTTGGATATCGAAAAGACAAATGTGAAACTATCACGCAAATTGCCATTAAACTTCCGTATGAAAAACTGATAGAACGCAATTGTTTAATGTTATGTTTCAGTTCGTTTTCCTTTCTTTCTTATTTTTATTTCGTTCTTCCTGCTGAAGTATAAGAAGAGAAACAGCTTAACATATTATTTACAGCAATAACATCAGGTGACGCCCGTGTTGGGTGTTGATTGTTTTATTTTAGAGAAGGAAAGAGCGGATACGTCCTTGCTTAGCTTAAATGTTTTAATAAAATTTTCTGTACGTCATATGGTAGGTTCATTAGTGAATTCAAGCTGTAAAAATTGAATGTCTTGTGAGATGTTGAATGTTTCTTTCTTTCCTTCTTTTAACTGACGAGACTTTCTTTCCTTCATGCAATCAGCAACTGGCAGAAACTCAATTAATCATTGATGAAGAAATCTAAACATGTTTATTTCTATGCGCTTTTTTGTTGAATTAATTACGAAAAGTTTTCACTACTTTGAGTTTTCCACTCCACTCCCTCTCGGTCTGAAACTGTTAAGCGTTTTTCAGGAACATTTTTATTTTCTCTTTCCCGTTCTCAATCAAGCAAAACTCGTTGAGTGAAAGGAAGTTATTAATTGTTTTTCTTCAACGTTTGGTGTTTCTCTCGTTACCAGCATTTTGGCATAATCAGCGACCCTTTTTCCGCATATTAACGAGCTGGCTGGAAAAACTGTCATACAATTATGAATTATGATTGCATGGATTTTAACAGAACGAGTGCGTAGAAGCGTTTTCATTTCTCTTTCTTTCTTTCATTCTTTTTTCTGCGCTATCCATGAAACAAACAGATTGGTTTTATTAAAATTTATGAGATTTTTCCTCTTCGCGTGGGAGTAGACTATTTGAATTTTATTATTCAGGGTAATTGCGAATGTGAAGCGTATTTCTTAAAGGCTTTAAATTGGGCTGGCACAACTGGTACAAGTGAAGAGACGACGAAGAGAAAAAAAACCCCTGGAGACTAGGAAAAGATTGCAAAAATATGATTTATGTTTGTGAGAAATCTGACACTTCCAGACAATCAACTTGCTCGTCTTTTATTCTAAATAACTGACTTTTGAAAAATATTTTCCTATTTCATCTTGCCAAAAAACCAAATTGTCTGAAACTTTTTTATTCTATCTCACTCCCTTTCTTGATTTCTTTAAATTAATAGTTTTTTCATTCATCCGACATTCTAGACAGAAAAGTTCTTAAGGCAACATGACAAAAAGTTTCTTTTGAAAAATGCATGAAATTTGTTTATTTCTTCTCTTCTTTATTGAAAATCAAGTTTATTTTTCGTCTTCTGCTGCAATATTTATTTAAGTATTCAAGAAGAGCTATAGAAGTCACTTCTAATCTCTTCTCCGACAATGAAAAATTATGTCATCGAAATGCTCGTCCCTTAAAAGCTTCACAAACATTTTTCATAATCCAATTTTTTTTATTTAATAATTTTATGAGTGTTGAATTTTATGTAAAGAAATATCACGAAACATTCAGACAAAGAAACATAAACGGCGATAATTTATACTGCAAGAAGCACACAAAACCATTCGGAAAAAATGTTTATGTTTCGTGGCAGAAATCATAAATTTTCATATATTTTTTTCGTTGATCGTTTCAACACATCAGCTGAACCCAGTGAGTAGAATAAAAGTTAGAAGAGAACAAGCAGCTTGCTTTATTTAATTGATATTAACTGGGTAAATCGTGAATGTTTTTCTAACATATAAAGAAACACTCATGCTGCTTCTCAAGTTCCCAACATTAGTTCAGCAAAAGCAGAGAGAAGGAAAATAATTAATGACTATGTGAAGTTTTAATTTTAAATGCACTATAATTTTCAACATACGTTCTATGCTTACGAATCAGTGAATTGGATTGTTTATCTACGCGATAGAGTTGAAAATGATGTATAGCAAAAGGTTTTGAATTAATTTCTTCTCAAATATAAAGAAAATTATGTATCTACATACATATATACCTAAATAAGTTTGATTACATCTTGGAAGAGAAGAAGCACATAAATTTTATAAAATAGAGAATCTCATCTCTTTCGCGTTAATCTAAATCACGAAACTTGTCGAATTCACTTCTTATAAATGAAACATGTTGCTGTTCCGTTTCTCTATTGAAATTCAAATTTCTCTTGATGCTTTCACCCCATTCATCAACTCGCTACTGATGTAAAATGTAATATTTTACCTTTACGCCAGCTCACGGGATAAAGCGAGGAATAATTTTGAAAAGTTATTACACGAAGCATCAGCACAAGAGGCATCAGAGGTTAAATCAAGATCATTTTTCTACATCATGAAAACCTCCCAAATTGAAATATTTTGAATGAATGCGAAGGCGTGCAAGAAGAAGTCGACAAAGAATGCAAATCAGCTTCGTCACATAAATCTCCTGACGACAATACTGTTGCCATTTGAATTTATAAGCATTTTTTTAAATGTGTGTGCAAGTCATGAGCGCTTTTATTCAAAAAGCAAAAAAAAAGATTGAAATACGAAACACATTCAATTGACGTTGAAGTCCATTCCATCATAACGCGGACCAGTGAAATTTAAATGTTCAAATTTATGTAAATGACTGTTGATTGTCTAAACTGTTTATTTAAAAAGCTTTTTTTTCGTCGCCGACCGTCGAGTCGAGTGTAATGACACCATTCAGACTGAACATTTTAACTCTGAAAATATTTTTTATGGCCATTTTTGCGGGTATGGCGATTGAGTAGATCATCCAACGCCCACGCATAAACTCAAACCATACATTTTGAAACATTTTAATGTCGCGCATATTTTTCAGATTTACTTTTTTTCTCATCCAAGCATGGACATTTATTTCATGGACAGCGAATCAGTTATCACGTAAAACAAAAAATAAAAATAAAGTAAATAAAACTGAAAAAGGCTTAATCAAATTTTTTTTCCCATCTGATGAATATTAATGATTTTTCCTCGTTCGTTTTTTTCTTGGTTCATTGCTGTTATCTCACCATAGGCACAACATTGTTTATATCTGTTTATTTATGTGTGTACAATTCGTTGTTGAATTAATGTAACATAGCGATTGGGGGGTTGACATGGCCAAGCTGAATAAGGTGCTGCTTTTATGTTGTCATGAACAGCTCATTCCATATTTAATTGTAAATATTTAATTGCCATTTCGAGCTTTTTTTTTAATTTCCTGATACACATTGTTTCATAGCAGCAGATTACCCGCAGGATCCAATTTTGATTTCATAGCAGTTTTTGAGCATTTTCATGAGTGATGGAGTAGGGATGGACGTGAGATTAAAAATTAATAACTCAATAGCAAAAGATATCCCAGAATGAATAAACGTACACATTTTTCATTTCAAAATTAATGTTTAACGTCAAATTCAACAACCAAGTTGATGACGAGATGATAATTTTGGAGAAAGGAAGGGAAAAGATAATCACGCGATTATCAGATACAAATTGAAATGTGAAACTTAAGAAAATCGTTCGCAATTTGATGTGTAAGGCATAATTCAAAAGTTTTTGAATGTTCACTCCATGCCACCGACGTTTAAAGTTTCTCCTTCTCTACTAAGATATTTACAGCCACCCTCCGCCTTTAGCTTTTCATCATGGCGGAAAATGTTAACATCGCTTCATGGTAAATGGGGTCAAATGCTTCATTCACATTTTACATGAATTTTTAATAACAAAAGCGATGACGGTGTTGCTATAAGTGGATGGAGAAGCAAAAGCACTCCCAGAGTTAACACGGTGATGACTGTCAGTTGAAAAGGTGTTCATGATTATGCTTCGAGATAAGAACGACATTTTAGTAAAAACATTCTCATGTTGAGTTGAGCTTCATTTCAGAACATCAACTCATCCCTTTTTACTTTAAAAATCCTTAATTTCATTCAAACAATTTGAGAACGGGCAATCAGGGATTTATTCACATTTTCATAAAATTCACTGCAGTGCTGAGAGCTTTACGTCTGACATATTTAAATCTAGCTGTGAGCGTAGAACATTCATCCTAAATTAAATCAAAGTGGTTTTAGACAGGATTTTCCGGGGAAATGCTTCGTTATAGAAATTTTCTCCAACCAATATTAAAAGCGGCCCATGAAACTATTTACAGTTGGAGCTCTCTAATCCTTCTCTTCTTGTTCTTTTGCATCACACAAAAGACACACAAAAACAACAAAAAAAAAAGAGAAAAAATATTTTTCCTTGTAATATTTTTTAATTAAATTATACAATTTTGTTCTCGGCATGTTCACTGGCAAAATTTATCGACATGGCAGTAAAGTGTCCCAGTTAACTGTGTTCAACACAGCATATATTGTTCTAACGATTCTTGGCGGTTTCACTTCACTCCAGGAAATGAGATTTGATGTGGTGAATTTTAAATATCTCCTTCATTCATCCAGCTTGGATTAGCATCATTTAGTCTTCTTGTCGTCTTTGTCATTGTCGTCGTCGATATGTTTCGACAATGTTTTCGGTGCCTTTAATTAAATTTTATCAGTCAGCCGAAAGTCATCGCATCTCTCGTTTCATCATAAAATTGCACATGTTTTTAAATTGGATTCTCCAAATATTCACTCCCCCTTTTCAAGCCCAATGAATTCAACTTCGCACTAACTTATAAGTCGTTATGATGAAGAAAGAGAAGGAGAATGAGAAGTAACGTTACTTCCTTCAGTTATCTTGATCATTTCTAATCTCTTCATTCTCTTACCCCAGCAATGAAGAGATGAATAAAAGCTAATCGCTTACCATTCATCGGTCGAATAATATAAGTAATGGCGACTGTTCCACACTGCTCATTAATTAAATCCACACCAGACTCAAATCTTCCATCAAAACAATAATTTATTCACAAAAAAAACACACGAATAAATTGTTTTCATTTGGATTTTTTCTTTTTTTTCAAATACTCATTCTCCTTTTGACACGATTCTTATTCCGCTTGAGCTCTTCCGGGATGAAATTGAGGAAAATTGTCGAAATGAAAACATGGCAAAGCGAATGTCTGGCTTTTACGTAATTTACTTGAGAAATTAATAACAGTCTAGAGATAAATAAAAGCCGAAGGGCCCAGCGTGTTGAATGACGAGGGAGAATTAAATCGTCTCGTAATGAGGGATTTTTGTGAATTTTGGAGATTCGAATTAAATAAATATCTGAAGCAAGCAAAATATTCAGAGAAATTTATTTTTTGCTTCTCAAAAGTCTAACAAACATCAAGTAATCCCGAAGGTTAATCAACATTTTAATCATCTGAGATTTTATTAATGGAGAAGGAAAAAAGAAAAAAAAAGAGAGAAAGAAATAGCTGAATGTAATTTTACCTTACTTTTGTACATCGCTGGTCGGCCTGTACAGCATTTATGGTAATGCGGTGGGCTAGTGCGTGAAATTTCTGTGGAAGACCCTTTTATCAGCTAAAGCAAGTTAAAATCATTCCCGTCAGAAATTATAAGCCTTCGAGACGAATTTACATATCAAATTATAGTGAATTCTATGGAGAATGGTTGTAATTACAGGTTTCTGTCTCTAACATCGCTTTGATGTAAGTTATAATTGGCTTTACTGGCCAGCTTTTCCGTGAGACGAGCTAGAAATAAATAAGCAAAAAAGAACAAGTCTCGTAAATCGTTCATAATCATAGGGCGAGTGACTTACAGAACAGCCTTTTTGGACACGAAATAATTTCAATCTATACATGTCTTGCTCCCAATTAACCCAAGCACGAAGCGCTACGTTGCTTTTGAGGGTTCATGTTGACCCTGAGTGTCGGATCGGCATCAGGGGAAAAGGCGCAAAGAAAAGCCCCACCCAGAACCAGAAGCCTTTTACTTACTTGCTTTGCTTATGATTTACGAAGTGTTTTCAGCAAACGAGAGAAAATTGAAAACTTTTTACTTTTTTTTCTTCTTCTTTAGTTTATTTTTTTATGTTTTTGCTGATGAAATCGAAAAAAATTCTTTATATTTTTGGCTGCATAAACAATTTTTCTCGGTGATTGATTGACAAAAGGTCGGAGAGTGGCTTTCAAAATCCTTTCAGAAAGATTGAAATTTATTTATTTCTTCTTTTTCCTCACTCAATCGTGTAGCTGTTTCAATGCCTTGTAAAAATTGTTCTCTTTAACCCTTTCAATCGAACTCCCTGCCGGGTGTTAATTTTGTTCTTCACTCCGTTGTTTCAAAGCTTTTGTATGTCGAGCTAAACTCGCTGGCAACAACTTTTGCAACAATAAAGACCCTGAAGGCTAAAATATTTATAAAAAAATTATGTAAAAGGCGTTCATTGAGTTTGCGTTCGAGCAGTTTATGAACTGAACTGAAAACATCCATTTTTAACAGGTCGAGAGGTTGAGATTAGAATTTTTTCTTCTCTCTATCGCTCGTTCCTTTTCAATGGTTTAAATTCATTTTTTTTCTCTTTTTGGGATAAAATACTGTCTAACAATGTTGTATCGTAGGATTTGATGGCCTTGGTTGATTGAAAAGGCAACAATATAATATTCTGAACAGCAAACATGACAAAACCATAAAATGCGGTTTCTTTCCAGGCTTCAATGCTATTGTTCACCGAAACGGACATAAGACTTTTGTGCCTTCGTCATTGGTTGAACTGAAAATAGCTTTTCTCGTTACATCTTTACATCTTTAAAGAAGTTGAAATGCGAAAATACAGTTTTAACCATACATTGGTTAAAGAACGCATGATCCGCACGTAACATGCTTCTTCGTCTTCAAATTTTCCTTTTAACCACACTCACGTTCCTTTCCTAACATTCTCATAGCGTTTAATCTCTTTAACGCTCCATTGATTTCTGATCAAATAATTCACATTGAATTAAAATCTCATAACGTTGAAAGCAACGCTTTTTCACATCTACATGCGTGTACTTATATAAACTCACTTACTGTACTTATTCCAGAATTAGACATAATATTTCATTCGATACATAGTTGTCTGTAATGTTAATTGCATGTAGAGACAGATTTCATCTTTCGAAAACATATTATGATATCCTGGGGGCTTCACTGTATTCATTCCCGACAGATTTAAAATGTTCTACTCCAACTATTTCTCTTTTCTGGCTTCTCATTCTATCGGTTTCCAACATATTTACAAGCACTACGTTTAGCAGCTCCCTTCCTTCCCCATGTTGTTTTGCTATCAAGGCTACGATCGATCCAAAGATTATAGTAGATTTTATTTTTTCAACACTACTCGTTTGCCATTTAATATCATTACATTTTAATCACGAATCGAATTTATGTACATTTTTATTTAATCTTTCTTATGAGATTATTTGAAATTTATCTTTCCGCTTTTTTTTCTTTTTTTGTTCGTTCGTTGCGGTCGTTTATCGAGTAGAGGGGCAGGAAAAAAATAAAATTAAGAGTTAAAAGCAACAGCGAGGATTTGCTTTGCCTGTTCTATTGTCGAATGCTTTACAAGTTTTATGCGAGTAAGATATGTACAGTGCTACTGAAGCGAGTAGCTTCAAGTTATGTTGTGATGAAGATCATATATGAAAAACATTCCTTTGCGCAAACGGCATTAAACTTTCAACAAATATTTTATTTATCAGACACGCTCTTCCCTTCCCTCATCGCATATCTATAATCTCTGACTGTTTTAAGGTATTAAAAAAAACACAATGCTGTTTCCAACCAGCTTCATTTAATGAAGTATTCAAGATGGTAAAAGAAGAAACCGTCAACACTATGAGCACTAACCAGTCATAAAAATTAATTTAATTTTGTTTTATGGCTAATTTGATATCTTTATGATTCTTCAGTCGCATATTTTCCCGCTTTTTGCAATGGCTTTGTCTTCGGTCTTTCGCAGATAACCATGGTTAAAGCTATAAATATATTTTTCCATCTAACAGTCACTCGTTGATTATACATAAAATAAAAATAAGTTGAGACTGGGTCAATTACTAATCCAGGTGCTTAGTTCTTACTGTCGACAAGTGCAGGTTTTAATTGGCAAGAATTTATTCAATTAAGTTCTCTTACGTCGTTGTTAAAAGAATTCATGACTTGATCGACAACTGTTAATGAATCATTTATTGTTTGAAAATTCCTCAACTTAGAAGTTGAAGGTAACGAAGTAAAATTCTTTTTCTCACCTGCAAAATGGAACCTTGGATAAATGACGAGCTATACAAAAAAAAGAGATTTCACATAAAAACAACGCGTTTCTCAAATAGTCTGAGAAATTTTCCACATACCTCTTACTCATTAAATTTAATGGATTTCTCTATGCTGTTAATTTCTGTTGCTTGACCACAAAAACGGCTTAACCAAATAAACTACATATAAAAAATACTCGGCCAGCATGAAAATGTTTCTACATCGTCAGAGAAAAAGTAAAAGAAGAAGAAAGAAAAATCGAAAAAGAACATAAAGCGACCCGCAGAACATCCACTGTCAAAAAAAACCGGCAACCAGCAAAAAAAAAATCTAATGAAAAAAAATTCCTAAAATTGTTTTGCCGGTTCTTGTTTTTCTTTCGTCGTCATCGTCGTTAAAATAAAAGAATTTATTACAATAACATAAGGAACAAGGGCTCATTACAAGCCTTTACACTCATCTCCCATGGCCATGCGAACGTAACCAGAAAGAAAAACATCAAAATTCCATATGAAAAACAGCTTTTAAATTGATTTGTGTCTGTCTCACTTGCTCACTTATTTGTCATTGTTCAATGAAACCAGCAGATCGCTCGAGACTCATTTTGATTATCATTAATTTTCGTTAAGAGGTTGGGAAACGAACGCTTGACAATTCTCCAAAGAAACAAACAAAGCAAGAAATGAGGAAGCGAATTGACATGAAAAATGCATTTCAAGCGCATTCATTCGTCAACGAGTATGAGCAGGTCATTAAGGCATTGAAATGACTAAAACACAATGAAAATTGGACGATGATTAAAAGGCGCGCATCGTTTGTGCGTTGCTGTAATTATTCAATTAACGTTATCGGGAAAACCCGCATGATTACAATTCGTAACATAACATAATTTATTTCAATAATAAATATAAATATCTAAACATTTCAAATTTATTTCAATCGTTCAAATGTTTGCTTGCGTTATTTCTGTTATCGTTAGAATAATTTCTTAACTTATTAGAAATTTAAATAACTTTCAGGTCCCTTGAAAAGTGTGGAGAAGTTTCAACGCTTTGTCACGTAGTTTCATTTGAAATTCGATGTTATTTTCCATTTGGGGAAGTTTAATAAGGAAAATTTAAATCATTTCCTTTCAGAGAATTTTCTATTCGAGTCTTTTCATATAATTTAGATAAAAGTTATCTTGAAATTTGCAAATAAATATTCACATTCCTTCAATGAATCAAAAACTTTTCTCTCTAACGAATCTTGTTTTAATGTGACATCTCTCTCGATCCGAACGAACATTTCCAAAACAAACTCAATAATTTTCCTTCGATCACTTCCGTTCACCCAATAATGCTTTCAATGAAAATTTATGGTTTGATAAGAAAAATAAAGTATAAAAAATACGCATAAATTGTATTGAAAATTCAAATTTTGATTGAGAAGAAGGAAGACGCATTCGCGATGTAAATTTATGGTTTGAATTTGTTATCCTACAGCTGTAGTGGAACTGAAAGCGAAAAAAAACGTTTCATTTCCTTTTGCAACGATATGCTAGAAGAATTCATGTATTCCGTGAAATGGAATAATTTTTTTGATAGATTTCGCAACGAAACAAGCGTCATCTATATAGAGAAGCGTTTCTTTTGCTGTTTTGATTGTTGCTGATTGATTGAAAATTCATCGGAATGACATGAACATCCTGCGCTGTGCATGGATAATCACGTCTAATAAATCAAATGACATTTCACGTTCGACTGTCAAGCACACAACTAACTCGCTGACAGAATGCCGATGACCTCTTTCAATGGCATTTATCGATTTTGCTTCAACAACTCATTTAAATTGCACACATCAGTCTGCTTCAATGCTTGAAAGAAACAATATGGTTGATGAACACGACAAACAAAACTAATGTTTGCATCTGAATTAATTACTTTAAAGCAACGCGTAAAATTCTGTTATTTTCGCGGTGAAGTTTCGAAAACACCAAAGGGGGAAAAAATGTAAAAAAAATTTCCATAATTTAGCATTGCATCTTATTTGATATTTTAATTGTTGCATATTTGTCTCGTTGTCTATGTCGAGACAAACACTAGAAGAATGGAAGTAATAAAAAACAGCAGTAAATGAAAAAAAATTCAGGCCTTAGTGCTGACATTGCAATTTCTGCTTAATGTAAATTCTAATGAGATCGAGTGAGAACTGAGCTGGAAAATAAAACAAAAAGTGTAAGACTAATAAATAGTAAATTACAAATTACAATAATAAAGACAGAAATATCTCAAGCGCTGCTCGTTTCATTAATTCAAGGATAAGTTCGTAATAAAATGTAAATAAAACTTAAAAATTATGCAAAACGAAAGAAATATTAAAATAACAAAAGCTGAGATATTTGAAATATTTTTTCAAAGTTTTTCCACTGTTTTCTTCTGTCAAGTCAGAGAAGAATTATTGGATAAGTTTTCACAATTTCTCACAAAAACTTCAAACTTATTCTCAACTTTCTTACAATAACACGTACCGTAACTGAGATGAAATTAAAAATATTTCAAAATTGCAGAAATAACAATTGTCAATGAAATTTCATTCAAACTTATATTTAAAAATTCATTCATTCTCTGTCGTCGAAATCATGATATGAAATATTAAACGAAATTCATTTCATATTCACTTTATTGAATTTAAGATGAGCGCAGATTTCATTTCTTCATTTCTCATTATAGTAAAGTGCATAACATTATGCATAATAGTCGCAGTTATAATATATGGTGCACTTAGATCTACATTAATCTGAATGTGACTACTTTTTAATTCCATTGCAACATTTACAAAACATTTTTCCTTCTTGTGCTTCGCTTTTATGTTAAAACGACAGCATATTTTCCTCTATTTATGCGCACCTCATTCATAATCCAAGAGAGAAGCGAAAAAAACGTCTCGATGTATTTAATATGCCATGTTGTTATATGTATACGAATTCTGGCATTTATCATATGACTCTATCAAGTTGCACAGTAGAAACAGTGAAAAGGAAAAAAATAAAAGCTTACAGAATCATGCATTTATTTATTTATGAAGTGTACAAAACAAAACAAAAACTTTTTATTTGAATAAACGTTCACTTCAAGGATCATACATTGTTGATATAATACATAGATCACGTCGCTGTTGGGATTTGTCTATATGCGCATAGATTCCATATGCATCGAAGAGGGAAATCTAACATTAGTTGATCCATGCTGAATTTGCATAGTTTATGTTGCAACCGATTCACTGAAACTTGTGCAACAACTTTTATCGTAATTTTGAAAAAAAGTAACGCTTAGATATCTCTATTGTCTGTCAAACTGATGTAACATAAAAGATAACTGTCTTCCGTGCAACCATTTAAATAACGATGGAAAATGCTTTAGAAATTCACTTTAAAATTTATTCGACATCGACTCAAAAGCGACATGTAAGTTAACAACAACAATCGGTCAACGATCTGACGTTGACTCAATCGGCAAAATTTAAATGTCAACGTTTTGCAATTTCCGATATTTGGTTTTTTCTTTTTCTCTTTCTATTTTTGAAATCACAGCAGCAAATTAAAAATAAATTAGCATAAAACATTATTGACGTTTTTCTTATTCTTTTTTCACGAAAAATTTGTCGTTAAAATCCAAAAATTCATGTGTAAACAACGAATGTTGGCAGAAAGGAAAAGAAACGATAAAATGAACAAAAAGAATTGTCCACAGTCGTCGATTTTAATAATAATCCAGTCGAACATGTGTAAGTCTTAAATTACATCGCGATCAACGCTTTTAGCGGTTGATCAGTGTTCATCGCAAAAACGTTGTCAAATGTTTTTTAACTGTAACATAAGAATTATCAATGAGAAAATTGAAACTTCTTGAAGTCAGTGATCAAAATCAAATCTACATAACTACTTCTAGTTTTCTGCTATTTATTAATCGCCCATTCTTTCACCTTTTTCTTGATGTTCATCAGTTAAGTTAAAGCTCGTAGTACAATGAACTTGTTATTGGGTGGGCCCGGACTCTTTACTTCACTTCACTCAAACTTATCAACTCATTTGCTTTGAATCGTCTCATCATAAATCTCGTCATCATCATCAAAATAAAAGAAAAGCATTATTTCTTGTCGTTTTCTCTATTCGTTGTTGAGTTAAAAGCTAGTGAATAGTGTCGAAATTAAGATCACAAACATGTGATAGTTCTCGCACGAAAGATGACATAGTTGATGGATTATTTCAATGACTTGTGTTTTAGATTCGAAGAACACCAATCAGTCATAAAATGGAAATTAATCTCCAAAGATTTTCGTTAACTATGTCGCATTATTCAAATTTTTTTCTCTCCAAAAAAGCTCAACTTAAAGGCGACAAGAACGATGTGTGTGAACGGGATCATCTATAAGATTTTAATTATTTCCACTCCATCCATTTCAAATATAAGAAAGAATTATTTTATTTTTCTTTTCGGTTGTCATCATTTTTCTCCATCAACATCAAACGTAAGCGCGGGAAATTTTCATGAGAAATTTTAAATTGCTTCTTTATTTTTTTTATACAAATATATTTTCACTTCCAACAAGTGAAACGATACGATACGCTTTCGATGACATTCCATCGTCGTCATTGCCATCGTTTTCTTCGGGGGAGTACGAAAGGGAAAGAGAGAAATCTCAAACATCTGGTACGCAGACAAATTGAAGATTGTGGAGACACATTAATTCTTTTAACTTGACATTTTCTTTAAAAAAAGAAAGAAAAAAGATTCTCGGATAGGAAATTTAAAGACATCACAAGTCGTAAAACTACTTTCGTTATAAACGACTCCACCATATATACATATAATTTAAAGTCGCTGGTGTCGCTTTAATATCGTTTCGCGGATGATAATTTCAAGTGGTTCTGTCATAATATTTTCATAAGATGCGAACGTGACATGGGAATACATCAGAAGCATCTTCGATGTTACTTCTGTGAGTTTCTTTCTCATTATTCGCTGAATACGAACCACATGTGGAATTTTTCACACAGTTCCAAAGATTTTACAAGCAAATGAACGCTGGCGGTGACAGGAGCCAAAATTAATGAAACTATTTCTTTGTTTTTTGTTCTCTGCTTTTGCCCTCACCGTAACCGAAAAAGCGTGAGTAATGAGAAGAAATATGCGCATTTGCTTTTGCGTGTGTTTATGAAGCGACTGCGAACGAAAAATTTATAGCGAGTTGACAAATTTTCCGCCACACAGCAAATTCAGGAAAAATTGTTTTTCGCGGAAAATACTTTCCAAGTATGTAGAAGAGAAGGATCATGAGTCGTGGAATGTCAAGCGCGAAAACATGTGCTACTATTACTTCTGAACGAAACAAATGATTCATTGGATTCTGTTTTTTTTTCTTCTTTCACAGACTTTAACTTTATTTATTGCCTTCGAATTTGTTTTCACTTGACAAAAAATACGGAACACATATCGAAATGCAGTGAGATGTGAAAAATTGTGAAAAAAATATCTCGAATGTAAATGCCACGTGTTGCTTGGTAACCCTTGAAGCATCTTCACTCTAATGATCAACATTTTGTGTTTTTAATCTAAATAGGTGATTCAATCCAGTTTCGTTGAATTTAGACCGTTGAAGGGTTTCCTGGAATGAATATTCGTAATAACTCCCTTTCTTCTAAAAACATCTCTTTTTTTTGTTTGAGTTTGCGATCTAGCAACTACAAGATTTAAAAGAAAAGCGAGCTTGCCTAAAGGTATTTTTGTGTTTATGTTCGTTAAAACGCAAAAACATATTTGTGATTTGAATTTTTACCGAAACCTAAAACCAGCAACATCTAACGAATCTCGAAAGTTTATTTATTAAGCAAACAATCGAATGTTCCTTTTTCCATTCTTTTTTTTTGAATAATTGAAGCATTTTCTCTCGTTTCATCGCTGTTTCATGTTGCATCATAAATACGAATGATCTTTGCCTGCCATGAAACTTTTTTTTCTTCATTCGATTTCTTTGTGTCGAAATGGAAAACTTTTCGATTTGTTTTTTCTTCGTCGATTTCAAAAAAGAAAAAAAAATCTATTTAATAGTTTGAGGCATTTTTATCCACACCTCAAATGTTATTTATTGCAGTGCAGAGAACGCGCGCGAAATGGCTTGAAGACCTTCAACCGTAGCTCTCAACACTATGTGTCACATTTCAGGAGGGGAAAGAGAAAGAAAAATGTCGAAAATTACCAACTTTGACACCCAGAAGTGTATACATGGCTAAAATTAAATTTATTGCCACTCTTGCGTCTATTGACGTTAACAATTCGTAGTATATTTGTTGAATGCTTCACATGTTCCTCTAATTTAATGTAAACACTTTGATTCGATGACTCATTCCACTTACCTCTACACGATGTGGTCATTACATTAATTTTGTGTTTCTTTACTTTCAACATCGAAAGAAAGCTCTTTTCAACAGTCAATCGACTTTAAATCCGACTAGACTCTAAACCATCTTCTAAACTCTTGTAGACATTGAAATATTTATGGTTTTATTTACATTCATTCACACTAGTCATTTAATAACACCGAAAAAAAAAAGAAGTTTCTCATATGAGCTATTCGAGACATGTTTTCACGACACGATCATAACCAAAGTGCTAATAAAAAATGTTTATGAAAGGTGCGTGGGTGATTAGAGTGAAAATTCTTTTCAATAAATCATAAAAGAATGTTAAGCGGCTTCAAAGTTATTCAAATGATAATAAAAAAATATTGCAAATCTGACTATTTATAAATAAGGGTCAGCCCCGCAATACTATTCACAGTTGTTGTATGTTTTTCCATGGCATAACTTAAGTTTAATTGAGTGTTACAAGCAGTCCTTCTCGATAAGTAAGCAGAAATTTATTTGAAATGTTGTAGAAATATAAAAAAGAATTAATTCATATCCCGAAGCAACACAAACGAAATAGAGTGCTAGAAAAATGAAAGGAACTTGTTCTAACTCTACTTGTACTTCAATACAAAAATCCATAAAGCATTCTCTGTTCTCCCTCAATTAACTTAATCATGCAATGAACTAGCATTGCATTTTTTCATAATTTTTCACTTGAAGGCACTATTACAATGTGGAAGAAAAATAAAAAATAAAAAAGGCGTGTCAAGGAACGAATATTGGATGTGCATTGAAAGCATGAGACTTTATGCTTGTTGAAGTTATCTATTGATCAATATTACGGTAATTTTGTTATTTTTATTGTTTATTAAATATCGACAGAAAGGCTTTTTATTTTATTTCACTATTTTCTTTTTTTTTATATAAATAATCATCATAATTATTGGGCATGAACTGGGAGAGCGAAAGCGATTGGAAAATATTTTGAGTTATTTTGATAGAAATTGAATGTAATCAATGAATACATTGGACAAGCCTTCAAGCTATTAATTTGGTAATGATTAGTTGGGTTTATTAAAACTGATTTCCCAGCCCAAATCAACTCGAGAATAAAGAACGAACGTCCGTTTTGTTACAAAATAAATTACGTAAAAAGCAGAGAAAAGATTTCAAACACTCAAATTGCGGTTCCAAATGGAATTAAAAGAAAATTGTTGTGTGTGTATAGAGCGAGAGGGAAATTTATGAACCTTTAGATAATTTATTAGCTTATGGAAATGTGGATAATTCTCTCTATCGTCGTGTCGTTTTCCTTTCTACTTGATCATTAAAGTTGTTAACGATTTCAACCAAACCAGCGAGCGCACTCGCTCGTTTTCTGGATGATGTATCGAGGAAAATATATTTTTCGCAGTTCTGCCTCTTCTTAACACAATTTCCGTTGAGTTTTGAAATCGATTTCTAAGGTTACAAGACGTTATGTTATGTTCGAGATGTGGAAAGAATAAATTGAGTCGAATGCCACTAATTTACAGCATTACGACTTCTCGCTCCTTTAGTCATTAAATTTGATTAATTTTGTAATTTCAATGGATTCTGTCGACTTCAACATACACCACCACGCTCTTTGCTTCAACGGAATCTTAAATTTATTGACTATTTAGTATAGTTTTTGTCTTATATTATAAACTCAACTCTATTTACTAACGCTTCTGTTGTAGGAATGTAAATTAAATTTTAATTAACTTTATTTAACTTGCGGTATGCCGCAGTTTCATCTCATTAAAAATATTTAATTTCAAATCAAACGGGAGAAAATTTAACAATAAATTAAATGTCATTTTCGAATTTCATATCGTACGTTTTCAATGAACTGTGCGGTGCTGGTATAGGAGAATATTTTTAGATTATCCCAAACTAATCTCAACTTTATATTTTGTAATGTAATAGCTCGAAAAGAATGAGAGATGAAGAAGTGAGATTTATGAAGCAAAATAAATTATTACATCTCTACTTAGCGTTTAAAGCGAGATTAATATGCAAGAATTAACAATTAAAATAATTCTAAGCTTAAGAGACAGAGAAAAGCACCCGTCGAGTGTTGTTCGTGTCGGGAGGGAAATTAAAAACAAACAAAAACTCATAAATTTTCCAGTCAGATTGAAAATGTAGTTTTTATGTTTTCTTCATTTTTACGATTCCTCGTGCACAATGTTTTCAACTTTACAGAGTGAAAGAATTTCCTGTCTAACATTCAAAGATATTTTCCCACTGCATTTCACTCACAAATGATCATAGAAAAATTTCCTTAGAATTTTCCATCGAGATTTATGAATCTTCAGAATGAGAATCACGCTTCAACCATTAAATGAAATAAACGTCAAAGTTCTGATTAAAATTCAAACAAAAAACACAGCCAGTGTTATACAATGCAATTTAATTAATTTTTATTATGTTAATAACTGCATACTTAGTGAATATTCACATGCAAATTGGGTGGAGACAAGTGTTTCTCATTGTTCTCATAATTTTATTTTTCCCTTCATTTTTTCCATCAAACACAGTCTGATGCTGAATTACGTAAAGTCCAATGTGAAGGTTGTAGAATGAATGTTAATTATTTTGCTCACAGATGAACAATTAACGACGTGACGGAGTCACAAGCATCTTCTACTTACATTTATAAAATATGGAATTAAAAACAAAAGCAGGAAACAACAATCTAATCTGAATAAGCCTAGAATATCTTGCATAGTTATGTATATCTAGATGTATGAATATTTGTTTTCGAAAAACATTATGAAAAGAGTTAGAGTTGAAGAGAAAAAATCTTCTACCCATAAATTATTAATTATAATGACCAATATGTGACTGCCTCAAGAGCAAAAGGAAACGGGTTAGTTAGATGCTTGGAAGACAAGTAAATAAATAGAAAAAGAAATGAAAAATATTGGAAACTTCTTGCCTTTCATTAGCCGAAGAGTTAAATATTTTCCTTTAATCTAAACAACGTGAAGAAGTTATGCATAAAAAATATATATCTCCATAATAATCCGTAATTTATATGCAGCAGCTGGTGAAACATAGGCAAAAGAACTAATAAAATCAATAATTATATTTTTTTATTATCATTTATATATTTTTTCCATGCTTCGCAGTCATTGAGTTATTTGAAATTTATTGATGTTTGTTGATGTCGAATAAAGAGATGAAAACAGAAGGTTTTTCCAACATTTTTATTAATTCACCACTGCCATTTGTTTCGTTACACCAACAACCAACAATCAACTCTAGGAAATTGCGTTTAGCTTGATGTGCAAGGTGTGCGGCCCCAAAAGGCTTAAATATATTCCGCCACTCATCACAGCTCTTGAGATCTCATTTTGATTATTTTATTCTCTCGTCTATTTCTTTCGATTCGTTATGCCTCCGCCGATGACCTGCAGTCGTGATAATTATGATTGAAGCCTAATAAAGTGGAAATAATGATTCTAGCGATAGAAATGAGAGGAAGAAATGCTTCTGCTGGGAGCGAGAGGTGTTATTATCATGTTATTTGTCTTGGCTGCTTTTTCAAATGCTTTCCGAGTTGTGATTTTTTTTCTTGCCTTTGCCACTGCTGTGTGCTGAATTAAACAAATAAATTCTAATTGCCTCTCTTTTTTTTAATTGAATAATTGACTTTAACTAACGAATAAATTTTTTCTTCTCATTGCAGGTAAAAACAAAAAAAAAACTCAGACATCTCTCTCCATAATTAATGTAATAAAACTGTCCAAATGAAATTTGAAAAGACGACGTGAACGAAAACAATCGAATGAAGGTGATAAGGTAAAACAAAAGAATGGGAAATAAAACAATCATATCGGTTAGTATTTCATCAGCCGACTGACGAATATTTTACCTGCTGTTAATCAAACAAATTTGTTTATTATGTATGGTAGTTAGTTAAGTAAGTCGACCTTTCTCCGTTGACCGAAGCGGACTTACTCACCCCATCAACATATACAAGTAGCCCTTACGACATCTACTTTTAATGAGATTTGAAACGCAAAACATTAATTACGTTTGGAAATTATGAATTCGTAGGCAACTTTAGTGAATAATACAAGATACAAAACAATTTATTAACAAATAAACGGCCGCGTGAATGGTGAAACACAACTTTTTCATTTTGGTCTCTGGCACTGATTGTTATCGTATCACTTCCATTTGGACTCTTATTTCAATTCGTTGAACTGTTCATTCCCATACAAAACATTTTATACACATAATGCGAACACTAAACAACGAAAAATGAAAAGAAAAAAAAATGAAACACAACATTAAAGAATCATAGAACATAATTCTTTTGCTTAAATTCGTGTGCGCGTTCGCTTAGCATATAATTTCGCCTTTTTCTCTCATTTTCATAATTTTTTTGTTCAACATCTTTCCGCTCACAAATATTTACATACTGGAGCTGTTTTAAAGTTTTGTAGCGGAAAGAAAAAGTCTTTGTTTAAATACAATGAAAAGGCTGAAAGACGTATTAATTGTACTTCTTCATGACGAGAGAAATCATTTCTAAGATCTTCATAAAAGTACATATTTTTTTAACTGTCTTACTGTCTTCAGCTATGACTTCGTTCTTGTGAATTTAAAAGCTATAAAAGAACAAAAATAAAAGCCTATCGCCGTAATCTTCAAACATTTCCCAATCCCTAGAATAATAGAAAGCAATAACATCGCATTATTGTGCAAGCAGTGAATATAACGAAGCGATTTGAGATGAAACAATTCATTAGAAGCTATAAATTCTATTCGCTAGAATTTATGCCAAAGTTCTTATGCTCAACGATCATAAAGTGGGCCCATCCCGGGATTCTCCTTAATGTTCCCGTGAAATGTTCTTTCATCACGCCTTGTTGAAATGAAATTGAAATGCTTGAAGAAGGACGATAAAATCGCACACGCCAGCAAATGTGGAGTGAGATTAAAAAGAAAATGAAACGAATTTCAATTTGAAGAGCGTGCGAGACGTTCGCTCGACAATGTCATAATACGATTTTAAGTTCCTTTTTTTTCTTTTCTTTCGGTCATTTAACTGTTGTTGTTGTGCTTCGCGCAAGATGAGAAACGAGTAAAGATAAGATCCGCCTTAGGAAAATGACCGGACGAAACATTAAGTCAAGAATTATGTTGGTTAAATTAAATTTACAATCGAGATGAGATGAATGTGATTACTTTGGACACATTTTATGACCTTCTTCTTAGTGATGTGAAGGAAAGAAACGGAATAAAAGCTAACAATTAATTTCATATCATCACAAGGCGGCGAATGAAGAAGAAAGAATGTAAATTCAAAAATTGGATAAACTAATTAGAAGTCTCGCTGTTGAGCTCACGTTTACGGACCAGCGAAGACGAAAAAAAAAGGTCAAATTGAAATGTAGCAGCGGCCAAAATGAATTAGTAATTCTCTTATTTTTTTTTTCTCTTCAACCATGTCTGTTAAGTTTGGCACGATAGTTAAAATAGAATTCAATCATCATAGAAAAAGAATTGAATTGAAAGAACTTTGGTCGGCAGAAGAACGTAAATATTAAAAATATCATTTTCGTAAAATCGTTAAAGATTACTTTATCGAGTTGTTTCTCTCATCGAGGCCTTTCTCCCCGCATCAAGGCATTATTAATAACGGGTCTAAGCCAAATGGAAAAGAAATCGAGCTCTTTTTAATATCTGATTATTTTAAATCTCTTCTTTACTTCTACATCGTCTCTTCTTTTATTCATTGCTCATACTGGTCTGCCTTGGGTCTGCTGTTTTGAACGCGGTTTCCTTCACAACTTGAAATAGTAATTTAAGATTCTTTTTTCCTTCGCCGTTTTTTTTTTTTTTGTGAGCTGTCGAAGAATGATTGTGGAGCAAGAAATGACTCGGCATGAAATTGGGAGTCGCAAAGACGCGATCATGAAGAAAAAAAACCCAAACGATTAAGAGAAATTATGAATTTGTGTTTTTTTCTCGTGGAAAAAATATTTTAAGCAATAGAAGAGCAACGGGCGCCCATCATTCGAAAAAAAAATGCGATTATCATGCATTAGCTTAATCCACAACAAATTGAGCTCAAAATGATTCAATTTCTCATCTTTTTTTTCCGTCTACTGACGCGATATTTTCTTCCATTATTAACAAGAGAAGCGAGAACCAAACGAAAAAAAATAATATAAGTTGAGGGAAAAATTAAAAAATCATAAAAATAAATTTACATTTGATTTACATAATGAACATCCAGAGCTACTGGTTTTGATTCAAATCGTTTATTTATTTTTATTTTTATTTTTTTCTTCTTCAACTTCATTCACTTTACAACACTCATTAATCAAAGTGCTGGTACGATTTATGTATGAAGAGCTTCGTCGTCTGCACTTCGTAAAGAAGACTCACTTTTTGTATTTTCCAAGTGAATGCAATATGCAAATATCTTCGTTTTTTGTACAGCTGCAAATTGCATCATTTGTTGCCCTGACGTTGACTACACCATAAATAAATTGAAGACGGAATAATATTTTGATTGCAAACGTCAAGTCCTTGAAATTGAAAATCGTATTTAAATTTCGTCAGCAAAATTCTCAATGAAAAAAAATAATGCAAAACTTAATGTAAACATCTGAGAATTCTCTTTTTTATGTATTTATTCCCGGTGCTTCTTAGTTATAGATGTATAGCATCAGATTTTACTGTGAAATTATTTACATAATCTCCCCAGATTCAACAAACGACGCGAAATTCTATCGCGTGAATTTTGCAGCTGAACAATTGAACATTAGGTAGAGGGAAGAATAAAAAAAACTAAATTTATACCATCGAGACTGGCGTCTTAAATTTCAACTCTTAAAATTGTTTCTTGAACCGCGCTGTCGAGATGGAACTTTATTTTTCTTAAGTATTTTTATCTTCTTTTTACTCTTCAATCACCAAAAAAAAACCAAGAAAATAAGTGGCGAAAAAACATTAAATTAACGAATAAACACAAAAGAGATGATGATATGAAAATTTTATAGCAATTCGTTGTGGACTTAGAGGGTATGAAAGTTTTTTAAGAAACTTAAGAATTGTTTTATTGCTGAGATCAAAGTTTAACCATTTTCTATATCCTTTTGATGCAAATAATTTCTTGCTTTCATTGAAGAGATTGTGGGATAAGAAAACATAATAATGAATACTTAAATAAATAAATATAAAAGAATGTTCAAACTACACATATGAAGCTCGTAAATGAAGCTCACAAAGTAATCGTCATAATCATTCGTATCGAATTTCCTCTTTGCTTTCAAAGAAGAATTCGTCATAGTCGATTGAACAATGAAAGCGAATATTTAATGAAAGAAGAAAATTCTTATTTAGTCGGAAGCGAACGCAACAATGTTGCCATAACATTTCGTTCCACTTCTTAAAAATGTTTATTTTCCTAATAAAAGAAGGAATGAAATAATAATAACAAAAAGAATTCACCGGCTTGATCGGAACCCAAACTCGACAAACAATCAAAATTAATTTTCTGAAGAAGTTGTCATTAAAAAAAAGATGATACGCAATAGACGTTGATATTTCATTACGGACTTTACTTTTATTTTGCTTAACAAAAAAGAATAAAAAAGGAAACATCTCGATTCTAGATTTCTTCCCCCTTTTTACATTTTTTATTCGTTTTGGCTAACCCGTTCATCACGCAACTGATGCGATGATCCATTCTAATAACATTATAAAATAAAGGCTTTAGGATATTGTGGATTCGTTTCACTCTCCTTATTTCGCGAAGAATAAAAAAAAAGGTTAAGAAAGTAACTTTGGGTGTATGTAACTAAAAACCGGTTTCCTTTTCATGCAATCAAAATGTTAAAGATTTTTTTGGGTCTAATTTGAAGTCATGTCAAGGGTGAAACTGCTTACAGTCCTATTTAATTGTTCTCGAAATCATTTTCAACTTCAATTACTTTCGATTGCGGAAATTTTAATGAGTATCTGAAATGAATTGAAAGTCTTTATGCGACATTGATCTATAAATGTGACATTAGATTTAATCAACTCCTTCATGGAAATTTGAGAACTAAAATTACAATTTTAATGATGATGGCCGCTCAACAAGATCAACTCAAATAAATAATTAAGTTCCCATTTTTTTCCTAAATTTCGCGTTAAAAGCAGAAAAAAAACAATTCGTTGGCGACGAAACTTTTTTAATGTTAAATTTCCATTCCGTCGTGTCTTCATTTCGCAGGTAGATAATTTTGTAGAAACTAAGAGACATTTTGCTAATCTGCGAATTAAAATAGGCTCGAATGAGACAATAATCGCCCATTCGTTGAGAGAGTGAGAAAGAAAACGGCAAAAGAAGACCTAACGGTAACAAAGCTTGATCTTCTAAACTGCTGAAATAAAAAGCACAGTTTTAAGGTCACCGCCAGTTGATGATCAAAAGGAATTATCCATTAGCATTTTTTTTTCTCCGTGTGCCAAGCTTCACTGTTTCTTTATGTTGAATAAATTATCTTACTAACCAAAGCATCCACGAAATGAAATGCTTTTTTCGTGTGTTTACAGACTTATTTTTATTATAAAACTCCACAAGCCAAGAACTCATCGCTGTGCCGTAAAAAAATATAACAACAATAAATTACGCTTGCGCCAACAAAAGCCACGAGATAAGATTATTATTTAACAAAATAAAGTATTGAAATTCCGGCTTTTTAACATATCTTTCACATACATATCCATAGACCCATCGGCTAGCTTGCCGTCCCCAAATCATGACAAACAACGGGTGAAGACGCTTTTGAAAATAGTCCACAATGTCAAATCGCGGAGTAACTTTTCACGATTTCACGAGGGAAATTATTTATCTAGTTGAAAGATATTTTCTGATTTTATTATCCATGAAAATGTCTTAAGTTTCTTCCATTGTTGATGTTTAGTTTTCCATTCTATTGGATCAATGCTTGTAGTCGAAGCGAATTTATTTCACGCGATAATGCACAAACAATAAAAAGACTATAAAAGTTCACCGTCAATCATTTACTCGAAGCCCAGTCTCAAGAGCACAAATAACATTGTTGTGTTGTAAAGTTTTTTACGACCTTTTTTCTCCTACTCACATTTATTTGTTTTCGTCTCTGATATTGTCGTCTTTATGGTCAGTTCTCGTGGCTTTAGCTTCCAAAGACGAACGAACAAAATGATATCAGCTCTGATCTTGGATCCTCTAACATCGTGTGTCATAAATTTTATAGGAAACTTTATTGCCTTTCGGAGTTTCCATTCGAATGATGTTATGCTTTCCCCTCCATTCAACGCAATTAATGTCGCACAGCATGATAGCAACGAAGTCGAGAGTCATCAAAATGGAAAGAAAAGCTTCCATTATTTGTCATTCGTAGCAGCATTTGATGTTAATCAGACAACGTCTCTCCCGAAAAAAAAAACAGAGAAAGAACGAAAAAGAGTTTAATGAAAGGAACATTAACGGATAACAAAAGCGTTGGTGTAGATGTTCTGTGATATGATTCAAGTTGTGCTCTCAACCGAAAATAGGAGAAACAAAAACAGCAGCAAAATGTACCGTTCATGTCTCTTTAATTTGATTATTTTAACGTCGGTCAGTCGAGTCTCATTGTCTACATTTAAGCACTCTTAAAAATCGCAATGACAGGCAGGCAGTTACCACACGAACCATTCTTATGCGCATCGAGTGATCATGCATTGTCATAAAACTTAATTTTCTCTTCGCCTCACATATCACAATAAAAAAATTAAATTTGTCGCTGGAGCGATAAAACTAAATGACCAAACATCATTGTCCGGAATATTAAATTTCTTTTTATATATTTTGTATGAACAGTCGGTCGACATTGCTTGAATCCATTCTTCTCTCATCGTCATTAAAAAATTTTCACATTATCACAAATCAGGTTTAATCATCCACAAGCAGAAGAAGTAAAGTCAATTTTGCACATTGCACATTACACTTTCATGGATGAAACATAACAAAAAAAAGAATAAGAAGTTCTTTTGTGTTCACTTTAATCAGACTAAAGTGGGTAAAATGACGATGTGCGCGTAGTGGGTTCAATGAAATTCCATTGTAAGCGTCATTGTGCTGGTTATTTGCAATGAACCTGACTCTTGATGTCATCATTCTCTCTCTCTCTCTCAACACTCGAATTGTTTCCCCCTTTAATTTTATTTTTCTATTCTTTATATAACATTTCATTTTTTCTCCTTTTTTGCGAATAAGCAATGATGGTGATAATAGCTTTCACCATGGTATTGTTACGAATAAAATATGATGATGATGGAACTTAATTGCGAACCATTTAGGATCGGACACTGAATGTAAGATTATAAACTGTTTCTTCTTATTCTTCCTTTTGTCTTCTTATTACTTCATTGCTAACATCGTATAGTCATGTCCAATCATGTAGTTTTCACTGCTGCTGTTGTTGTCTTTTTTTCTTTCTATTTGACTTGTTCACCACTCTACAATGTGTGGATGCTTGAAGATATAAATCCCAACGTGAATGAATAAAATAAACCTCGAATTTATGATCCGATAACGCGCCCCATTGTGTGTTTACGCTGCTTATGCAATTTATATTTGCTATTCCTACATCGACAAGACATCAATTTTCCTTTTTATTCAATGGAACAATGTTGCTGATTCCAGCAGAAAATGAAATGTTGGCGACAACATGAGAATAACTTTCATCTTTGCTTTTATCTTTTTGGCGTGGATTCGAACATTTAATAAATAAAAAAAAAAACGAAGATCGACCATCAAAGCTTCTTAAATCTTTTTTTCTTTTTTCGTCTTTTTATGTGCATGATGAGAAAACTTTTTGAAAATCAATTTATTTTTTCGTCATACTAAAACATCACCTAAAGATGGGGATTAAGTTACCAAAAAAAACGAAACGGCTTCGACTTTCTCTGTTCGTCTCATTCCTTGTGTCCGCTATTTCAATAACCATTTTCGGATGGAATAACATGAGAGAATTCTATCGAATGATAATTTAAAGTTAGTTATGCAAATGCGATTGTAACCTCTAGCAAAAGCTTAAGTCGATCTTTCTTCTTTTGTCAGCCAAATCGCTCAATATATAAAATATTAACTTAACGATGCTTGTCTGATTATGGATATTATGGGTTGGTGTTTGATCTGAAAGCAGATTCGAGAAGGTCAATCGTGGAGGGATTTAAAAGGCGCGCAAATGACCCAACACAAATCCTCCGAAATGAAATGAAAAGAAGAACGAATGTCGGCCTTTAATTATGCATAGTCAAGCTTGAGCCAGCAAGTAATCACGATGGGATATCGAAGACGGAAAAAGACCCTCAAATTGAAATAAATGACTTTTTGCCATTTTAAGTTGCAACTTCGTGACGACACCAGCTGAGCGAAAAACAAGAAAAGTTTCAAAACAATTTTAATAAATTAAAATTCGGTTTGACATTTTTTCATGCCAATGATTATGCTTTTGCTGTTCTCATTCAGTCATCGTCGTTATACAAACGTATTCATTTACTTCATTATCCAAAAGCTTTTATCGTTCATCGTGCGAGGCGGATAGAGCCGTCAAAACAACCGATATGTTACTCATCGCTACGCTAAATTTATTTCACTCAATCAGAATAAATTAGAGCCATGCTCGAAAAAAAGCCCATTGTTGGTCAACGTCCTCCAATCTTTGTTTTCACATTCACACTTCGCACACACTTACACTTGCCGGTCTCGGTTTATATTTTATTTCGGTGATTTCTTTATTGCTGTCCATAACTTTGAGCTTCGATCGTATTCGAAAAAAAAGAAAAAACGAAACAAAAATGACAAAAAATAGAAAACTCATTTGCATTTCAAATCGTTTGTGACAACAAAAAAAATATGCGAATGACTTGGTTCTATGATTTCCGCGCATACATTCTTCTCGTTTATGTCGTGGTGGTTTCATTTGAAAGATAAAAAAATAAAAAAAAGTTTTTGGGTGGAAATGGGAAGAATGAGACTCTAGAATGAAATTATAATTTCTTTGTGGCATTGACCTCATCAAAAAGCGCCAATTGTGACGGCAGAACGGCAAACAAACTTAGATGGAACGAAAAAATATTCCGTTAAAATTCGTTCGTGCTTGCACTGTGCCAGCCACCACATAAATACTAAAGTGGAATTAAATGGAATGACCATAAATCATTGCGAACTTTCATTGTGCAATTTATTAAGCAAAATGAATGCACAGACAGCACCAGGTGACAACTGAGAAAACGGTAGCAGTTGCTGAAATTGTAGAACACACAAAAGCTTCACAATGAAAAATATTTGCAACCACCCACGTCATGATACAGAATATCATATTTTTAATTTCATTTTGTTGCATTTCATTTTAAATTTAAATATACGCTTAAAAAGTGACATTTGAAATGTGCGGAATTAAAATGATTTTTACATTAATGAATGCGAATGTTCAACTCGACTGCTCATGATAGCTTTGATTTTACTTGTGAAACTCTGCGCTAGGAAAGCGATGTAATTTTTTAAATTATGATGTTCGCTGTAGTGCATTTAACGCTTTTAATGGAAGATATTAAAAGAAGGGAGAGAGAAAAAAATCAGAGCGAGAAATAAGCTTCATTAAATTGCGGATTTCAAGTATCTTCTTCATTCGATTGCATCTGGTTTACCGAACAATGTATGCGGCAATTATCACAACTCACAAAGAAGAAAATAAATGGCGTAGGTTCATAATAGCTTCATCAATTATCCGCGTGTAGAATCAACTCCAGCTGGGATACTTTAGATATTATTTTTATCCCTCAATGAATGACTTCCACACTTAAGAAACTAGTTGATGGTTCAATGGAGCAATTAAAGACAATGATTTAATGAGACTTCTCCTTCTCCAACACCCACAAATTTTCTCTCACGATTCATACATAAATGGATCTCCCAGGCAGGTAGTGTGTTGTGCTGTTATTAAATGAAAATTGAAAACCAATTCCTATAATTTGTTCACTTGAAATTGAATCAATGTATGAATCGGACAGAACAATGAAATCTTAAATTTAATTTCTCAAACGACATCCTCCACTTAACAACAATTCTTCGGCAGATCTCAGCTATAATGTGATGGTTTCCATTTTAATCTTTGCGCATAAACTCGACTTTTAGTGAGTTCGCCTTCTTTCTTTGCAATTTGTTTCCGTTCCGAGGAATTTTAATGAGTCTGCTTAAGTTAAAGCCTGTCCTGTTTGTCAACAGAATTTATGTTTTAATGGCTTAAGCTGGAAAAATTATGACCTTGTTTCGATTCATTATACAGCTGAAGGGTGGAAAAAATAATACTCATTAAATAATGTGTTACATCGAAATCCGATTCGATTGCAGTAATTGAATATAAAGCTCAATAGGATTTCTCCTATTGCTTACAGCGTAGGTGGATAATTAACAGAAATGCTAATGGAAAATTTAACATCATTAAAATTCGTTTTTCGATTGGATTAATTATTCATTGGGCTGCCGAAAGAAGCATTAGTAGATGTTGACGACAATAAATTGGATCAATAATCTCTTGCTATTTATTTATTATGAAAATCTCTCATCTGGCATTTTAATTAAATTCGAAAAAGCTTTTCATTAATATTCAAATTTAATTTGAATAAAGGCAAAGCTTTTAAACCATTCTACAAGTTACACGCTCTATACAAAACTTTTCCATGCAATTGCGTTTTGTCGACGACATTATGACGACCGTCTGGATAAAGTTTTAGTGATTTTGCTGATGATATAATGCAATGTTAACATGAAAACTCTGTTGACACAGCATGTTACGTTCAAAACTTATTCCTTAGCATGAAGGTTGTTGACTGTGCGACTTGAATTATGTTTTGTCGTCCTTTATGAAACTTTACCAATATCCAGTTGAGAAAAACTAAGATCAGTAAAAAATATCATTGATATATTTGATTTTGCAAAACTTTAGAAGTCAATTTCGAGCTAGAAAGCTTCATTATAACTTCCATAGTCTAATTTAATTTACACTATCTATGTAGAAATATTTCAAGCGGAAATTTTCCAATGAAAATGTGAAAATTTTCACATGGAAACTTGTCATGATGATGTAGAATCGTAGAATCATTAGAGTGTAATTAAGAGGTGCTAGCTACACATAGCTTACGCATCATATGAAATCTTAGTGGCATGCTCGATGAACTAGAAAACTCAACCTTTCTAGTTTTCTCTCTCTGTTTCTCTTTTTGCCTTCGCCTTCGGTCCGAAAAGTGAACTTTTAATGGCTGAAAATTACCTGGAAAAGTTATTCAAGCGAATAATTTAAAACCAATAATAGACCGCATTAATAACAACATCACAATATTGGATTTGAATAAAATAACATCAAACATGCGGTAGAGTGTATAAAATTAGATGTAGAGTTTTGTATGTAGAATTTTATAAGTATTAGCGAGAAGCACTCATTAAAAGCAGTTGAAGAATAAGAAAAAAGTTGATCAGAAATTCCTACCAATTTCACGCATTATTGGATTAGAAGAGAGGGGAAAATTGAAGTTTACGCTACGCAAAGCGGTTTCAACATAAAACTTTAATTGATGGTTTCATCTAACAATTTTTATTTTTCTCATTGTTTTCTTTTTTTTTCGCGATGTGGAAGCCATAAAAACATAAATAAAAATGTTGTATCTTCTTAATTTTTATTTTTCCTTTCGTGTTTAACAAAGACATTCCTCGAAACGCAAAACGTTTAGTGCGTAGATGGAATTAAATTTTTATGGCCCTTCCAAAAGTTTCTCTTCTTGTTCCCCGGCCTCGGGACGATCTTCTCGGAAAGCGTTCGTCTTTTGGGTTACTTTTAATGAGATTCATTTAATTAAATTTGGATCTATTTTTTAATAAATCTTCAGTCAAGTGAAAACATTCTGCTTTTGGGTCCAGGAAAAGAGAGAACAAAATGGGAGAGCTTGAGAGTTCGAAAGTTTGATGTTTTTCTAAAGGAAATGCTTGTCAATTTTCGGGAAATTCATCGCAAATCGCTCCCCAAAAAAAATAAAACAAAGTTATTCAGAGTTTGGCTCCAGCTAACGAAAAAGAAAGAAAAAGGTTGCAATAAACCAAAGGAATTTAATTTAATGAAGAATTTTTTATGACTCTTTCATCGTAAAAAGAACATTTTTCATTTGCCAAATGTGACACATTCCTACACAACGTTTCTTCGTCACAATTTTCTCATTTTTTTCCCGTAGAAGGAAGGAAAGTTCAGCGACCTCGCGAAATGCTAGAACGATGCTGCGTAAGACTAAATTGCTTTCCTACATATGAATAACTAATATCTCATTTAAATGTAAAACAGTGTGGAAAAATATTTCTGTCTAAAAAGCATCCTTTATCGACGTAATTTAATCAAAATCTTAATCTAAAACATTCGGTTTCTGTGATGTTTTCCAACATCGTTAGCAGTTCAAGTTCGATAATAGAATCTTGATAATAAATATAACGAACCATGACGTAAAATTTTCTTTCGTTTCATGAAAACAAAAGCAACATCAATAAAGTTAAAAGCTGTTACTCGAGCATTTTATAATCACAAATATTTTAATAAAAATCTAAAAGCAGTCAATCTTGAAAATAAAAGTCTTCATATTCTTTGTCAGAATTTATCGAAGGATAACGAAGAAAGGAAAAAAAGAAATATTAAATAAATTGCCACGATTAAAATTAATTACCATCACATTTAATGCGATTACTTGCACAATTATTGCAATATTCATGTACACTTCGATCAATCTCTTAATTTTTCCACTTGATGGCTGGAACTCACATGATGCTTTTTGTGGAGTCTTCCTTCCTTATAATTCAGAGATTATTAAATTAAATTAATTACTATGGGCATCGAGATATGTACGTATTAATAATATAAATTAATATAGCTTGTAAAATTTAATTTCCAAGCATATCTTTTTTATTATTTTCCTTATTATTCAAGCCACGGAATTGTTTATGAATCGTATTTTTGTTTTGTAGCTTAAAAGTTTCAGATTAAAATTATCACTGACAATTGTTGATAAAAAAGTAATATCTTGTTTACTTTTTTGTATCATTTCAACAATTTTTACGGCACGTTATTTTGCATTGACTCTAATGAAGTTGAAACGACAAACTTTATCTTTACATTTGTACATATGTACATATGTACTAGATACATTACATAGAACTTCATATATGTAGCTTAAATTATGCATAGACTTTTAAATTGCTTTTCGTGGTCAAAATGAAAATGTTCATTCATTGCGAGCCGTTCTTTTAAGGGTGGTCATTCAATAGAGGATACAACATACAAACAATGTGAATTACAAAGTTTTACATTGCACTATGGGTATGGTTAGGAACAAAAAGTATTAAAAGTCGATAAATTTTAAAATGTACATTTTAGGTATATGGTGTCTTTGGGAAAGTTGTTCCTCAAGACATGCTGCACATTAGACTTTCATACTTTTTTTCAGTACGATGACGCTAGAAGGGGCTACGATATTTTTTTCTTTTGTTATGCTGTTTAGAGTATCGGTCATTTCACATTAGATGTAGATAAAATTATTTCAAACAACTTTTTTATACATCACAACATCATGACATGTCCGCATATGAAGTTATTTTAAATTTAAATTTGGATTTTTAGACATTTTACATCACGTACATTTTCAAAAAGAATGCTTAGAAAATGAAAAATGTCAAATCTCCATACATTTTCACAAAACATGCCCTTACGTTTTGTGGAATAACTTTTTTTAGAAGGCCTAGTCGCAAAAACTGTTCGAGGATTCTAATGATGAATGATAAGCGGACATTTCTGTTTTTGCAGTTTTTCATTTGACGAATTGACCCGAGAGAAATTAAGGCTCAAATATGCCGATTTTCAACAAAAACACTAAAATCTTCATACATTTTCACAAAACATGCCCTTACGTTTTGTGGAATAACTTTTTTTAGAAGGCCTAGTCGCAAAAACTGTTCGAGGATTCTAATGATGAATGATAAGCGGACATTTNGGCGAATAACGTACCGAATATTCGGCGAATATTCGGTATGCCAAATACTTGCTTAAAAGTACGAATACACGAATATTCGTATTCGCCGAATACGTACACTAATTGCGAGCCGTTCTTTTAAGGGTGGTCATTCAATAGAGGATACAACATACAAACAATGTGAATTACAAAGTTTTACATTGAAAAGTTTTTAATTGAAAACTATTTTACATCAAATATGAATTAAGGTTGAAGTCAGTCGAATGTCGAAGCATTGAACTATTTTGTTGGGATTTGTGAGGATATGAAAAACTTTATCATTTCTCATCAAACCCATCTGACTGAATGGATATTCACTAAATGGTTGAATTCAATGAAATGTTGCCCAAAGAATTTTCACATTTGACTTATGCTGTGTTTGAAAAACGACCGAAAATTTAATGTTTGAGGATTGAAAAGCTTTCTCATGCACAATGAACACTAACAATTGATTTGTTAGATTTTTGATATTGAGATAAATGGTTGTTTAGAAGTTTGATTCAAACAGAAACAAGTTTAGCAAACTTTACTCGAGGGCAGTTACGAAACAAAGATTGTCCTTTCGCCTGTCACGAAGTCACAATTCATCAAAGTGTTTAGTGTTGAATATTTCAAGATATTTAATTTGTTGAAACTGCAGGTTTCGCCTTCAATGGTCAACAACTTGTCGTGCTACAAATAAGTGAAGTTAAACTGCACCTTTACCATTCTGATAAATTTTATTTAACATAAAAATTCAACGCACAACCACAATCTTCATACGTGCTTATTGAACTGAATCATGCTTAAAAGAATCGGTCGTGCATCATGTAAATGATGAACAATGAGCAAGCCATTTGGCAGTATGTCGTCTGACATGCCCGTTTCTGCATTAGAACATTTGAAAAAATTTCTCAACTGCATAAAAAAACTAGAAACGTGCACGTTCGAACTTCGAAGAGACAACACGAACTTTTAATCTATTTCAACATCATGTAACACTACATTATCAGAAGCACAAATTAAGCGTGAAAAACTTTAAAATTATAGAAGAAAAAGGTCACATGTAAACACCATTATAGAGCTAAAGTAATAAGAAAGTTGGAAAAAGTTGATCAACATACTAGACCATAGTTTCATTAAAGCGACTTCTTAAGTTTTTGTATCTAATTCAAGCGATGTTAACTTTAGTAAGGTGCCATATAAAACAACACAAAACAAAGAATGAAACAGAATCACAACAAGATGACATGAGACAAGTTTTCAATTTACTTTTAACTACAACACAGATCTCGTTGTGTGTCTTTTACTAGTTAAGCACTTGCATCGTGATCTTTTATTACTTTTTAATCGTCGCTTTTTTATCTCGTTTACGTTTCTTAATGAGTTTCTTCACATTCTCCATTCACCTTTAGCATCGTATCACCTGAAAGCATTTTTATTATATGAATTATGTACTGCTGTCAACGAGAGTTTTCATGTAAATCCATTTTTACCGCGTTTGCTACATCTCAAAGATATGAATGTCTGACGAAGTCTGTAAATAAGTTTTATGAGAGTAAAGCTAGGGTTAAGATTCTAGAGCATTTACCTACTTCTTTTTATTTTCGTTCGTCTACCGTTCCTTTAAATAACATAAGGCAAGACATTACAGGTATTATAAATATGTGAGAAGTTACACTATCGTGCTTCCATCTCGTTCGCGTCAACAATCTCAAGTCAAATGGAACGAACAAAATGATGATTGAAAAGGTCATCAGTGAAGTATTTTGATTGAAAGCTCTTTCCACTGTTTTAAAAACTGAGATTTAAGCGAACCGTATACATTAACTGACAGATGAACAATAAGTGCTCACCCTGCTTTACATTCCTTTCACTAATTCAAGAAATTCAAAGCTTAATTTGAGAACATTAATTTATTTTTTAAACAAACGATATGAAAGAAATGCAAATTCATTTAGACAATCAAATTATCTACAAGACAATTATTTGTTAATTTAAGGCACTTATCCAAACAAGTAAATGATTTTAATTGATGCTGCTCGAATGAATTAATTAGATTGTTAATAAAAATAGAATTGAATTTAGAATTGTATCTGAATCTGAAATAAACAAAAAGTTTTGACTTTCTGGAATCTCCACTAATTAAATTCCAGTCTAATAACATTAATGTCAGGATGCAACGCTATTAAAGTCAATAAAACAACAGTGGATAGTAGAATTCGAAATGAAAATGAAACAAGAAATTTCTGGAATCACGCAACAGCATGGAGCTTGTTTTACGAATTCTTTCAACCCACATCGAATGTTTCAATACAGAGACCCACGTTCATTCATTCCTTCCTTCCTTCATTTATTTACGCTTGCTTCGACACTTGCAATATATTTAACATTGATTATATTTCCATGCCATTTCAAAACAACATCCCGAGAATGAAATAAGATTCAATCTGATGTGATTTTCATGTAAATTCAGCTTCTGACATTTAGTCACATTCGCTAATGTCGATAAAAGTACATGATTTCCATTCATAGATATCTATCTATGCTTCTGTTTTGTCCAACGAGGTCTTAATGGACATTACAAACATTCGAAAAACATTCACAAATCCAATATAAGCTTTCTCTCTTCGATTCTTTCATTTTTGCATAATAAATCCTGTCAATTGAACTTATACTATCAATGACAGAAGAAAATCAATTTTTCTATTCTCTTATCCCAAATATAGGCTAAAGATTGGAAAAATTCTGAATAGGACTGTTTATAATGTAAAACATTTTAACTCATGAGAATTGAAACCCCTTGCACAAGATAAAAATCAATTATCCAAAAATGATTTTCTAAATAACTTACAGAGGATGGAAATACTATAAAGTACATCCTTTTTTCCTCTTGTTTAGGTCGAGTACCTAATAACAAACAACAAAAAAAGGGCAATAATTTTTCAATCTTTCAATGGCCAGTGAACCTTAAATGTTTAAAACATACGAATAGAAACTTTACTCTCTCTAAATGACTAAAAAGAATTTTTTTTATTGAGTGCTAACTGTTTTCTTAAACCCAATTAAACTTTAGTTTTTCTTGTTAAGTGAAGTACCAGCCATTTTGCCTTTAACCTACATGTTTAAATAAAAAGAAAAGATCTGAGAAGATTCGTTAAGTTTCTTTCGTCTAATTTTTATTTACGTAACAAAGAGATGACGTTATGACGTACGTAATAATGTTAAAGTTAGCATGGCATATTTTTGCACCGAGATTTATGTTGAAAAATTTAATTATTTTAACATGAACTGTTTATGATTCATTTATGCAATCTTATCGTAACACTTACCCTCATATTGACGAGTGCATATACACCATTAACGCCTCGACATTTTTATGACTTGTTTTCTTTTCTTCCTCTTCTCGAAAATAGTTTTCCATAAGGTTTTCCCCACGAAATAAGAAAATATAAAACAAATAAAAAGCGCGTCATTGGGAAAAATCATTCCAGTTTCGAACGAATGAAGATAAAACACTTGAGAGTGAAATTTTCATTTTCATAAATTATCAGTTTTTATTGTTTTGCGATCATAAATTTTAATATTTATCTCTTCTGGCGTGTTTTTGGTGCTTAGAAGCATTACGAGTATTTCTTGTCAGAGTCTAGGGCGAAAGCGAGAGTGGGGAGAGAAGAGATTTTTATGTCTGTTTGGAGCTATAAAACATAGATTTTAATGATGGAGTGTTTTCAAGTTGCTTCTCGTTGCTCGCTCTTTTTCTCACTTTGCCAAGATTACAACAGGCACATTTCAGCACCAGACATTTTCACACATGAATAAATCCGTTAAAGTTGTGAAATTCGACACATACTCGGGTCGGCTGTGAAACTAAATGATCTTTCTTCGGCGGTGGGTAAAGTTGCAAAAACCGTGTGTTTGGTTCATCTTTGCAAGTTCACCTCATCTGAGTAGAGTAAAATAAAATTTATAGCTCAAAACGCGCAGAGACATTCTGAAAGTGCGATTGAAATGTATTTTATGAGCCATTAACTGCCAGCATGGGCTCAAATGTGAACCCGTTTTCTCCATTAAACTTCCTTGCGCTGTTAATGGTGATAAACTCGGCTTTTATTGTGTCTGGGACTGCTGACTTTCATGTATATCGAGCGACGAGAGAAATAAACGAAAAACGACATCATCATTATCAAAATTGAAAATCGTGATACAAACAACGAAAAAGTTGTTGGGGGAACTTTTCCTTTAATTAAGATTCATCCAGTCTCAAGTCAAGAGCTGAAACATGAAACAAATTTAACTTTTTCTATCAAATTTTGAGCGTCGTTGTTACAGAGACGTTTCTTTAAAAGTTGAGATTATATTTAAAAAAAAAAAAGAAAGAAAGAAATGACTGGTGGGAAGAAAACATTTTGATTATCTCAATTCCCATCCACATGGCGCGACATTTATTTCACCCCATTTGAAAATTATTCAATTGAGCGACAAAAGTCTTTTTCTTATTTTCTCCCTTCTCAATTTCGGTATCGCAATGGACAGAAGTTTCAACATTTATTCAAGCGCTGCTAAATTAAACTAGATTTTCGGATCGTTTAGAAAAGTCGAGATGAAGGAAGTTTCACGGCAATCATGTCACTCGTTGATTAAAATGCAAATGCGTGTTGATTATTACAAAGTTTTTTTTTCATTATGTAAAGTCTAGTAGAGACAGAAAGTCGCAATAACTGACACCCTTCGCTCATGTTTAATATTGCAAATGTAAAGGGAGACAATCGGTTAGTTTCAATACAGAAAAAAGAAATACAAAGACGAACATGAAAATCCCAATTACATGCTCAAGAATGATGGTTTTTGATGGACAGAATAATGGCAATGAGACATGGAATTTGATTTTTTTTCTTCTTCTATTCGCATCATAGAACGCTTGAAATGTTCATGTTCCCCACAAAGTTTTCATTATATCGAATATCATGGAGAAGAGTGGAATAAAAAAATATAACGAAGCAAAAAGCTAAACTTCAAATAACACACAACCACGTTTTTCAAAAGAAAGCAATCTGAAATAATTTCAATATCTATGAACACAACAAAAATCTTTCTTAGTGTCAATTTAAAAACTTTTTTTTTTCTTTTGTCACATCCCCCCATCCAACAAGGACCAGTTTTTATGGACACGAAAATCTTTATGCAAATTTCATTCCGCTTTTGTCATTCGCACAGCAAAACAATTCTTAAGTTCTTCATAGATGAATTCAACGCAATTCAAATTTAATTTGCTAAGCGACGAAAAATCCTTTATATTAAGCATGTTAATGGAAGTTTTCATTTAACAAATATTAAGGGGACAATCGAGAAATGTTTAGGATTATTTTTGTTTTCCTTTTTTTTGTATTGTTAAATGCGCTGAAAAAAAAAACAACATCGACTCTGTCAATCAATTAAAGTAAATAGACGAATGACACGTATTTAACAAAAGTGAGGTTTTGTTGGACGAAAGAGTAAGAAGCGTTTAATTCCCTCCTATCTCACTTGAAACACAGAAAGGGAAATCGAAAGGGTTAAGTTGTTTATTTTTCTGCCTCTTTTGTTACAGAAAAAAAAGTTTATTTTATGCTTTGCCATCAATTATTTTCCATTGCTGAGTGGTTCTATGACCCTTTGCCCATTACACACGCACACGAGAAAATGAAGCGGCAACTCAATTTTTCATGGAAGTATTTTTTTCCTCTCTGTTTCCTTTGAAAGTGGATGGAGGGAGGGATCCGCTTCGATGTCTTATCGCTTCGTTATCTTTACTCACGCACAACATTTTCGCCTTGAACGATTACTCGCTTCTCTTGCAAAAGCAAAAGCCATTAACTAAGCATTGTTGAAGTATCCACACAGGATTCGTACATTATATAAAGGTGAAAGATTAAGGCAACGCTTAAACCCCAAAAACATTTCTTATCAGAATACAGAAGACCACAAAAGTGAAGTGAGATAGAAACACTTCTTATCGGTATTCCGACAGGCGAAGTAAATTTTCCTTTGCAGGTCTATGCTTCGTCTTCTTTCTTACTTATTATCGTGAGGCACATTTTCGCGTTTTGTAAGATTAAAGTCGAGCAATTACATATTTGTCGATTGTAGTTGAAAAACCCAAACAAAGCTTCAAAGTCGCCATTACTTTATCAAGTCACGATTGGCAAAGTCGCGACACATGATAACTAACACAGTAAGTTGAAACACGCGCCAATATTTTTTTTTCATTCTTCGTTTTTTCTTGTCTTGTCATTTTGAAAATGCGGAGAGCGTGAAAGATTGTCGTCGTGTTGATGCAAAAAAAAACTGTAGCAATAAATGCGTCCCAGACAATAAATCACGTGCGTCATGGTCGTTATATGTGAAGCTCGAAATTATTTTAATGAAACATCTCACACTGAGCATTCGAAGTTGTGAGATAAATAATAATTAAGAAAATATGAAAGACTTTTCTTTTCACACGTCGTCATAGTTTGTTGAAACCGTCGGCGTGAATGAGAAATAAAAATATCGTTAAATGCTTATCTGAGGTTGATTTCACAAAGTTTTGAATTCCTCTTTCGTATCGCGTACAACTGATAATTATAAATGACATTCCATTCATTTTTCTTTATTTTTATTTCGAATGTTTATGTTACCAAATACTTTTTATTTCTTTCTTTATTTCCTCAAACTTATCGGTTGCTGCTATTTTTTTTATATGTCACTCAATCTCTCATTGGCAATATCAAGATTAATGATTTTGTTTATGTTTTCTTCTTTCTCTTTCTTTTACTTTACATTGACGAGTGAAAAATGTATGAAAGTTAGCACAATGACGGAGTAAAAAATTGTCATTCCGTGGCTTCCTGAAAAAGTCAACGACGACGACAACGATAACAGCAAATCAAATCAGAAATGAACAAAAATCAATTAAACTTTCTATTGTTCTTTCACAAACCAAGAGAAAGAAGTAAAACATGGAAACAAAAGAAACTTGCGCTAAAGTTGAAGACTATTTACAATTACAATTCGTAATAAATGAAGAAAAAAGAACTATCGCAAAGTCTATTACCATCACGACTTCACCATTAAAATCTCTATTCATAAGCATATGGCGCAGACTAGCGGTCGAATAGGTCGTTTAAATCACGATTCATCCATAATGCGCCTTTATGAGAAATTAGTGAAAACCCATAAAATAATAAAATGAAAACCTTTTCATCTCACTTTTAGTTCTTTCTCTTCACTTTCGGACAACTTCATTTCTTATCCAAACGACCAAACAAACTATAAACGCACGACTTAAGCTCCTCGCGGTAATACCGCGCCAATTTCATTTAATGAAGCGTTTTTTTATTTTGTTGCAAGCTCGTAGAAGCAACTAAATTTCTAATAAAAGATCAACTGAGAGACTGATATTAACAAAAGAGGAACACGATAAAGAGCCATAAGAAAATTAATGATCTAGATGGGGCACAATGATACTGAGGTCAAATCTATTTTAATTGAGATTTTCCCCCTTCATAGCAGAGCATTTGTGTGCCATCTAAAGCATGAGCAGGCAGATATCTATGTCGTGCAATTATATCTTCCTCTTGGTTTGCCCTTCTCTCCTCTAAAAAGTTATTGACAAAAAAAAGCGCAAAGTAGACTTTTGAAAATGGTTTCCAATATCGATAGCGAGTGCGCTGTTTCGAAGGAAAATAAAAGACAAAAGCAACAGAGTAACATGAGATTCTACTTGTAACTTCAAAGAAAAACGAAGAAATGAGGCCACTGCCTAATTCATTTAATGTCAACTTTAATAAGAAAAGAAATGAAATTTGATGATGACACAACTTCATTGCATGTTCGATAATTTGATAGTTTCATTGTCTCTTTTTACAATTTCTTTTCGTCTATATTAAAGTGGCTTTTAATTTGTTTTTTTTTAATTCAAGTTTTCTTTTTATTTTTAAATGAAAATCAAAGCAAATACTTACATAGTTGCATTTAATGCCAAGAGACTACTGTAACAGTATCCGCTTCAAGTTATTGTGTCGAGACATGCAATTAACTTATTTTAATCCTCACGATTGCAAATAGAAAAATTCTTTGAATGTAGCGGAAAAATCTCTCGAATTTCTTATAATTTTCAAGATATTAAAGCATCGCTTTCACAATAAGTGGCAATACTTTGTTGCTGAAACTTTGTAAGCGCATTCTTCAAATAATCAGGGATCAAGACGAATATAAAGTTATATTAAACTCGTTAAAATGAAACAACAAACTGAGAATTATAATGAAACGTTAAGCCTTATGTCTGTACCATAAGACTCAGCATTCAAGTGCAAAACAACAAAAATGATGAAAAAAGGTTTTTGTGAAATAAAATGACTGTCTGTGAATGAAAAATCATTGTAATTAATTAACAGCGTATTTTTAACTGATGAAGACTCAGCTAGGAAAATCATGCAACAAACAAATTAATTAATTAAGAATATCTCGTTTTCCCTCGCATTGTCTGCCTTACTCAGACGAGATTATCGTTAAGTACTGTAAATAATATACGATAGTACGAGAAAAATACTGCATAATAGCAGCACCAACCAACATTAAATGTTGAAGAATTATGATAGCAACTTATTTATGTTTATGATAGTTTCGCTTAAAAAATGAAATGTCGAGACTGTAATAATTTTTTTCTTCTCCGCAAAAGCTTAACGTTGCCATCCAATTGCGAATGTTCAAATACTTAAACGTTTTCAACTTGAATTATTGCGAAATAAATAGATTGAAACTTGCTAACGTGAGAATTTTCAAATCAATTGACTACTGACATCATTGAAATAAGCGGGACAAGATGTTTTATTTGTCATATCTTAAATTATATCGTTTGACATAGAAATGCGTCTTGTACTAGCGCAAATAAAATATTCAAGAGTGTCAAATTTGCATATTCCAAAAATTCTGCTGATAAATTCAACAAACGCTTTGAACGTTCATGAATCATTTGTGATTTTCAAAAGTTAAGAAATTTGATCTTTTTGTTTTGTTTCTTCTGAAATTGCATTGTCAGGGTTTTCAACGTTTAACCTTAAGCGAAAAGACTCAATTAACTCTTTATTGTCTCGACAATTGTCAGTTCTTCATTGCGGCTTTACAATTCTGCATTCATTTTAGTTCATCGCTTCATTTACATTTGTATGCAGATCATTTATCATCTTGTGTAATGCATAATTCATTTCTTGAATCTCTTTATTCTCATCTCGTTATTGCAATCACAACGATTCTCATTTGTACGAATTGGCGAATGCAGTTTCCATGACAGACCGCGATGTTGTTCATAACGACTCGTTTACTTATAATATTATTTTAAAAAAATATTTGGGTCGCGTTTAATGTTGTTAAATGATACTTCAACATTCATTTAAAAGAAAAAGAAAATTGCACCTACACAGTTTAATCATCTTCGTTTTTATTTCCTGCTTTAAATTGAATATAGCATCACATCAAAATGAGAAAAGAGAAACTGATAGAACTTCATTTCGTTTTGAATTTGAATGATATGTACATGCAATCCAATGCAAATTAAATGTGAAAGTTGTTTTAATCACTTGCATTCTATTTAATATTTATTTATAACTTTAATGTGTACGAATCTTCATTTTTTTTCAACAAATAATTGTTGTCAAATAAAAATAAGTGACATAAATATTTATTATTCCTGACACTTATTAACCTCTGCAAAGGGCTCAGATCATTGTCTTAGTTTTCTTCTTATCAGTTTAAGAACTTCATAATGAAATCAGTGTATGTTAAACACAAATATTTACATGAAAAACACTCTAATTGAAACATTGTTGCCTGTTTTCTTGATTAAGATTGACTAGAAATGTCGCTTTATAATCTAAGAAGAAAAAATTTCAGAGTTTTATGTGGAAGTGGTAGAACGAGCACTTGAAACTTTGTTTTCATATCAATGGATAAACTGAGAATAGTAGACTGCGGTTAATGTTGTGCTTGGGTAAATTACTACATGAAATGAGTATTTACACCCGAGATCACAACATCCGAGGCTGAATGATGTTTATATTGTGGCTAGATGGAAATAAAAACAAATTAAACTTATCAGAATTGTTACAGCATTTAATTGTGTCGCATTTTTTTTTAAATCGTTATCAAGTAACGTCTGGCGTATAACTCATGAACTCAAACGTTTCTCATGACACATTCAGAATAAAATTGTAGATTATTATGCTGACGGTATCAATCAGTAATCAACATAACACAACTAAAGAGAAAATCAATCTGAAAATAATTTTACGACACACTCAAGCGAGAAAGCGAGTGAGAGAAAAATTGAAAACAATTTTGGACACATGTCAACATGATGTAAATACGACAGGAAATTGAATTTTTGTATCCTTATCATCTTCAATCGTTTATTGTCAATCGAAATCAATTTGGAAATACATAAATATCTAATCAAATGATTTTTTTCTCATTTTCGATTTATAGGCTGCATTGGAAGACGCGAACGTCACACCAAAACAAGAACCGCTGGATATTCCGGTGAAGAAAACAAAACTTGAAGAAGCACCGATGAGTTATAGTTTGAAAGAGCTCTATAACAATGCGTTTCTGTATCAAATATCGCAGATATCGCATATATCAAGACAACAGCCATGGCTGACTGGAACATCACCAAAGCACATTATTCCGCCTTTTGGACAGAATCTAACATCGATCCATTATCTGCCTGCATCTCAAGAACCGCCCGTTTTACAAAATCCTGAACGTGTTGTAAGGCATTCCGAAAGTGAACGTTTTGAACGAACTTATCAACCGAATGTTGCCCTCGCTCCACGCCATACTGTTCTGACGAAGGAAAGAGAGCGTGAACGTGACTTTGACAAAGACAGAGAATCTAATGAGCATACAAACTCGGTTATAAAGTGTGAGATTCAAATTAAACAGGAACGTCCATCAACACCAAGTAATGAGTCACCCGAGTTGAGAAACAATTCACCTGAGACAAGTGGAGTGGTTGAGACAAACGGCGTGGCGACCGTTCCACCAATCAGTCCTGAAGGTCAATCCGGTTCTAACGAAATTACTTCGTCCACATCTCCCGTACCTGCAAATATACCAAATAAACAAGAGTCCATGTCACCACCGCCATCAATGCAAGCATCTCCCAGTCTCACATCACCCCGATCTCATTTGCTCAGTCACACAATTCGTAAGACATCTCCAGTGGTTGTGAAGGTCACGACAAATCAATCGTCAAGTTTGGTTAATGGAATCAAGAAACTGCCGATTTTGGGTAATCCCGAATTTGAACTGTCGACGGATACAGATGAAGAAAGTCTTGGGGAACCTGACAGTAGTAATCTTAATGGTTCACTCTCACAATCGCCATTTGAGTTTGCGAAAGTTTTGTTGAAGAATAATTCTTTGGAAGATCGAGAGAAGGTGCTTAATCTTATCAAATATATGGAAAACGAAATAACGCAATTGAAAGAGTCGCATAAAAAAGAGATTCGTGAAATGAAACAGCAACAACATCAACGCGAAGAAGATTTTCGAAAGACAATTGAAAGTATGCAATGTCAGTTTAGTCATCAAAATAATCGATCGAATATGAACTCATCAACTGTCATTGCAACTTGTTTATCGTCGTCTTCATCTTCATCATCGAGTTCGCTTTCGTCAAGCTCTTCTTACGATTATGATCGATCAGAACGAAGAAACAGCATCGTAGAGAAACCGAATGTTATAATAAAGCCGCTTAAAAAATCATTGCGAATTACTCCAATTCTTGATGACTGCAAGCCTGTAGCTAACATAACATCTACACCATCAATTGTCATCATGCCAAAACGCGAAGACATTATGAACAACAATAACACAAAACATTATAATAACAATAACAATGCGACTATCGTCAATGGCAATGGTCAGACTGAGCCATTGGACGAATCGCTTAAAAAGACAGTAATCAAAGCGGAAAAGTTATAAAATCAGGAAAGTGTTCCCAGATTCGATTTGCGTGATCGACTGGCAACACTTGAATTTACAACTTATGTAAATAAACGCTAAAGATGCTTTCATTTGAATTAGATTTTCAGGCATTTCATTTTAATTCTATATATAAATATAAACAAATAAACAGATAAACGAGAAGCTTTCAAACGATGCCACACAAGAGTCAACTTAATGTTATTAAAATGTTCTTTTTTCTAAATTGTAAGTCTGTAAAAATATTTAAAAACAAAACAACAAAAAAATTAAATAAGAAGAAAGTTTCGAGTTGTAAGTTTAAGTGTATGATCGTGTGTTGTTAAAATAAGAAAAGAAGAAAAATATGCACCGATAATGTATGAATCATATAATTTATTAATGTAAATAGTTAAACGACCCACCAGACTAAAAAATGATCTATTAAGAGTATCCTTATTTCATATTAAACTCAAAAGAAGAAGGAAAGAAAAACGCAAAAATCCAAGTTTTGATTTCATCGAGACCAAAAAAAATAAATCAGAAAATTTTTCATATAGATATTTAGCTATATGAAAGAAAAGATTAAAATTTTCCTCTTCTGTTGTGATTATGAATCGTTCGTTTATGTTGAACTGTAAATATATGTGGAAAATCATCCAAAAACAAATCGCGCATAAAGTGATAACTATTTGTAGACAAAAGGTGGGTTTTGCAATCATTTTGTATTGCTAAATTGGATAAAGTGAATCCACCGGTAAACACAAAGCTTGTAAGAATAATAATGAAAATGGAAAACAAAAAAAAAATAGCAACTCTTATAAATGCTTGTAACGAAACTTTTTCTATAATTCTAACTTTTCACCAAACCAATTTCTTTTGGGATTTGTAAATTTCTCTCATGACTAGACTTGTAAGGCAAAACACCTCCCAAACACACAAAATATTGAAAGATAATGAAAACTATATTTTTAATTACTAGTGCCCTCATCCAAATATTATAATTTCAACAGAAATTTAAAAAAGAAACGAAATATTTATGTAAGAAAAGCTCCTTAAAAATTTCTTTGAGAAATATTTAGTAATTTGACACAACTTTCTTTTGTTCGAAGAAAAAAAAGTATTTTGGCTGTGCTTTTCAATAAAAAATCATTAAAGAGGAAAACGTTGAAAACAAAAATAAAATATTTATGTTTAGGTTAAAATCGTACGACGTTGGTCAACAAATTTTCTTCGTCATCTATTCTAATCTTAGAAAATCTTTCTTTATTGGCCTTTTTTATGTTTCACAATTTTCTATTCTCATTACTGAAAGCAAAAAAGAATTAACGCAAATATTGAAATAACTTTAGTTATCATTTGTAAAAAAATAAAATTTCACAATCTGTGAATTTGAATATAAATTCGAAGTTTTGACGATGACATTTTTACCGTCAAGACAAAAATCTTTTGACAATTTGTAAATAGTTAATTTAAGAAACCATCTATTCATGTCGATTAATTAACGTTTGAAACAACAAAACAAAAAAAAATATGATTTTATTTGAAAAATCCCGTTTTAAAGTGCATTCACTCTCATATTTCATACTTTTGGGACGAATTATCAACGAGAATAACTAAAACAAAAAAAAGAACGAAAATTGAAGAGTGGAGCTTTATTAAAATATTAATAATAATAAAAAAGAATTAAATTTATCTCGTAATTTATTGAACTGATGGAAAAAAGAATACACATAAATAACAAATAATTTTCTTACTCTTGGGCCAGTTAAAGCGTGTAACTGCAGTCTTTGAAACTTACTGAAAACAATCATTAAAGGGCATTACTTATTTACTTTGGCAAAATTCAGTATTTTTTGAAAAAATATATCTTGATCGTACTAAAATCAGCTCACGGGATAAGTGACCAATTAATCAAGAGACAGACACACACATGAACGTCGTAACAATAAGTGACATGAACAGTTTATTTCACTTTTACTCTTTTTGCTTTCATCCAAAATGTTTCCGATTCATGGTTGCATGTGTTTATAAACGGCTCATAAAATATTATAAATATTTCAACAAATGAAAAAGAATTATGGTTATCCTCGAACACACGAGTTAAATTATTAGTTTGTAGCTTCACAGTTAAGTTAAAGTTACACACTAATGTTCATTTTCATTTAATTTAAATTTAAATATCTAGAAGTTTTGTTTTTGTGTAAGAATTATTTTTTCGCTTTTTTTTATCATTTTGTACAAAATAGGAATCCAATAAGGACTACAAATAAATAATTTTGTTTTTAAAAATGAAAAGAATAAAAATTTATTAAAATATTTGAAAGTGAAATTTTTTTATGTTTTATTCATTTATTCTTCGGTTTGATTTTTCTTCATAATTTATTTTTATTTCAGCTTTGTTTATATCTAAAATCACACATCACAAAACAACAAAGACCCGTCTATGATAAACATGCTTTATTATTTATTTATGTCTTTATTTATTATTTTCAAAACAACAATGAAATCACGCACAAAAAAGAATCACGTCGTTGATTTGCAGGAAATGTTTGAAAACATAGAAATCCATCCCAAAAATATTTACGCATTCTATTACACATTTTCGCATAAAACATTTGCTTTTCAGAAACAATAGAAGAACGAAAGAAAAATAATAAATGTAGCTTTTCATACGAGATAAACTTGCTCCTTAAATTCGTAGTTGGTTAATGAATGTTAAGTTTACCGATAAAACTTCTCAATCGATTTCGTTCACAACATAAAACAAAAATAGTTATCAATTTGAGAGTACAAACAAATGTAATTAAAACATAAAACATAAGAAAACGTAAATTTAAAATTACTTCTTTAGATGAGTAAGAATGATCATATTGACTCATGATAAATAATAATCTGATAAAGTTTTGAAATTAAACAACATCAAGAGTGAAGAAATAAAAGTATAATAAAGTCTTCTTGGAATTCTTTATCTTAAAGCATTAATTAACTCTAAAGAAAACTATTACTTAAAAAAGAAAAAAATCATTGAATTAAATAGAAATGTTAATTGAATGTCCATTTAATTGAATCCTAGTGCTATTAATTATTGCAGAAAGTTATTTTCATTTCCGCTTTTGTTTCCGTTTGCCTATAAAAACTTTTAATTAGCTTGAAGAAAAAAAACGTTCATTATCTATATCTTCTTAAAAGAGAAATTATAAAGATGGCTGGTAATGTCCGTATAGAAAGGAAACACAATTTTGTGGGATAGTTAGAAATTTTGAAATAATATTATTAACCATGTCGATGTATTGAATATTGATGATGAATAAATATTGTAGTCGGTAGGTAAATAATGGGAAGAAATGATATAATTTATTAAGATAATGAATGAGTCGAGCAAGAAAAGATTTCGCTAATATCTGAATTAAAATAAGTCCGGCTCGATCCAAGCTCAGAATTACCAAAGCAAATCTTTCTCAACAGCAAAGTATGAAATGATTATAAAAAGAAATCGTAGAGAAACATTAAAAATTATAATTAAATATAAAGATGAACATGAAACGATAATGGTTTTCGTTGTAAAATTGATGGAACTTCATTTCCTTTATGTGCGTTAATTTAGCAAAATAAAAATGAATGGAACCTTAGTCCTTAAGACCTAATTAACAATAATTGCTTTGTGCTTAAAAGAAAATAATTTATTTAAAGACTTAAATTTAGTTTAGCCAAAAAAAAAACAAATTATATGAAGCAAACATCAAACTTATTTCTAGCTAGAATCAAAACTTAATTTTTATCGAAAAATCCTAAGTTATCCTATCAAGAATTGGCTTTTTCACAGCAACTCTTTTGAATTATCTTTGAATTGATGGTTTAACAACCAAAAATATTATTGAAAGGAGAAACAAATGCTTGAACAACATATTTTTGTAGAAAATTTCAATCAATCTGAGAACATTGATTTTTAAAAAATCGTAAGCTGACAAGTACTCAAAAAGAAAATAAAATTAGAAATAAATCTAATCGAAACCAAGACGAATAAAGAGATAAAAACAAATCGTCACTTGAAGGTTTCCACAATATTCGAAAAATAAGAAAGAAAAAAAAGCAGCTCAGAAGCAAGTGAGCTAAATAGTTTTTAAGGTAGTAAAACTCGTGCTTAGATGAATGACATTACCGAAGAGGTTTTATCCTCAATGAAAGACGAAATAAACCAAACAGTTACCACAACAGAAGATTGCAACATAAAATTTTTCGTTCATCTTTTACCATTTCGTTTTGATGGCAAAACACAAGCAACAAAAAAAAATGCTGGAAGAATCATCGTCGCATTCTTAGCTTTAGGAATGAGACAAAAAGTTTGAGCTATAAAAAAGCAGTAAATAATTTGATCAAAATGTAAAACAATTTATACAATAAACTCGGTAAAGACAAAATATTTAAACTAAAAAAGAAGGAAAAAATGGCAGAAAAATTAATATTATAAAAATTGAAAGAAAAATAATAAATAAAAAAGTCGTAAAATTCATAAAAAACCAAAGTTTTTCACTGTTTCTATTTCCCTCCTCTGCTGTTAGCACGAACATCATCATTGATAAAGAGAAAGGGAAATCATTGCCGGGCAATAAAAAATTTTATCACAGACATTTTGGGAAAATTTTCTTTTTTTACTCTTATTTAAAGTTTGTTATTTTTCCTTCCTTTCCGTTACTTTCAATCGCAGACATACATGGCGAACAACAAAAGGAAATTACACCCTTGAGATCCAGACTCGATATCGTCAAAAGAATAAAAAAGGGAAAACAGCATTTTTATGGTGAAAGTCTTGCGAAAAAGTTTGAAGGTCGATGCTGGAGAAATTTACGACTATCAACAATAAAAAGTGCGAAAGTTTTGTATTTTTCATCTCTTTTCACTTTTATAGCGAAAGGATTTACTGCCATTAGCGAAATTGTTAACTTTCTGTGGAAGAGGAAAACTTTGTTGAAGCCGAACAAAAAGTCTTGAAACCATAAAACCGATGAACTGATCCGCAATAAACTGCTTTCGTTTCAGCCACTGAATGCCGCATAAATCTTAATTTTGGCACAGCTTTTAGTGACAATTTCCATGACGTTTACTGCCTTCAAGTCAGAAGCCAAACGTTTAGTAGATAAAATAATGAAATTCACTGCGCTAAGGTTGAGTGTTGCACTTGCAGTGAGCGTGAAACAAACGCACCATTTGCACGTTATAAATTAAGATGAATTGCATCATTTTTAAAAATATTTCACTTCTTTTTACGATTTATTTTCGCGTTAGACGAGAAACGAGACAACTTCAAGCTTCTCTCCCGTCGAGAAACCCGCGAATTTATTTCTTACGAAGACAGTCTGTCTATCAATTTAGTTTTGCGTCGCTTTTCTACTTGCTTTGTACGATAAAATCTAAATTTAAAATAATTATTTTTAAACATTCTTCGCTTTGTGCTACCGTTGGAAGGTTTTAAGATACATGCATGCATCGTTCAATGGGGACATTACAAATGAAAGAATAATGAGCAGAATTCCTATCATAGCAGACATATATGCGATTATATTTTATACACTTTTGATGTCATTGTAGCTTTATAAAGAGAATCAAGAAAAAATACTTCAAACCTGATGAAACATTGTATCAAACATGTTTCTTCTTACCAAGATATCTATTCTTGGTATCCTCGAAAGACAAAAAATAATTGAGAGCAGAAGAAAAAGAAAAAGACGAGAAATAATGCGCGGAATTCCTATAATTGCAGACATTTATGCGATTTTTATTTTATTCAGTTTTGATTTTATTGTAGCGTTAAAGAGGAGAAAAGAAAAAACCTCAAACCTGATGAAACATTGTATGTAACATGTTTCTTCTTTCCAAGATATCTTTTCTAGCTATTCACGAAAAACATAGAAAAAGAGTGAAACAAGTAGGGTGATTGATGAATGTAAAAATAACTTTAATAAAGATTTTGTTCTCGAACAGTGAATATTCTCATCTAATAATCATCATTGAAGAGAGAATTGAAATTATCTAAATACATTCAACCTAGTCACCCTAACATAAAAGATTAAACATTTCTACAACTACGATAATCAACAGAAAAAGTTTAGCATAAAAAGCATAAGCGCATTGACAATAAAAACTCTGTCGGTTACTTTCAATGTGGCATTGTAGTTGTTGTTGTTGAATGTTGTAAAAGGCAGCATTTTGGTTTTTCTGTTTAATGGAGTCGCAGCCGTGCAGTTGCCGCATTGTGAACAGATAATTATTTTGCAATTAAAATTCTCTTGAGAATTCCGTTTTCTATTTTGAGACGAAGGAATCTGGTAAATGTGAATGTGGTAACTACAATTTATTACAACAGAAACAACTGTTAAATATATCTCTGCTTTTCCTTAGAGACAACAGTTATTGCGGAAAGAAACAATGTTACGAAATGATTGTGTAGAATAAATTTGCATCTGCCAATGAAAAATGGACCTTAAGTATTGAAGTTTAAAGACAATTTTCCTGTCATAATTTACCCCACAGTCATCAATTTTTCATCCGATAAATTAATAAGTCGAATGTATTTCTTTCCTTATATTTTCTTTCTTGCACAAATTACAAACAGCTTTGAAATATATTTTCATGAAAGAAAAAATTCCTCATAAATTATTCAACATTTTGTTTGTGAAATTTTCTTTAAAGCAGCTGCTTGATTTGATGTACAAATTAGTATCATACAAGTTTCAAAATATATATCAAGGGAAATAAGCTTCCTTTTTTCTGCAAGAATCATTTCATTTCATCACGATTTGACTATCATCATAATCGCACAATTGCACAAAGGAAAACAAATCCCTAAGAAAGATTTAACATTCAGTGATACGAAAAAAAAAAGAAGCTTTTGTATATGATTACTCGCTATGATGATGCATCATGTCTTGCCTAGGCAGAAAAAAAGAGAATTCACATTCTCATAATGAAAATTAAACATCGAAAGCATCAGGAGGTGGAATCCTAAAACGGAAAGAGAGAAAGAGTGAAGAAAAAGCCTCTGGGATAGAAGTATAAATTGCGTATAAACGTTGATAACATATCATCCAATTTGATGCTTTCATACATATCACACACCCTCGCCAATTTCATCACAAATCAACCTTTACGAATGAGAAAAAATATTCTCGATTCAAGGATTTATGCAGCCTTCATTGCCTTTTTTTTTTGAATGGTGGAAGACGAGAGATACAAAAAAGAAAAAGAATGAAAGTATGAATTCCTTCAACTGATGCATTGTAATCAAGTTTTGATTCACTATACCTTTCTGCCATCCCCGAAACCCTCATAATGCTTATCAAACAAATGGCTTAGCGATGGTAGCGATGGATAGAGAAACAGAAACAGAAGAAATCCACTGGAGAAAATGTCACGTTCTGTTTTGGGAGATCTTAGGAGATCTAGAATCACAAGCTCGTTGAAAAGCTTTTTTTCGTCAAGGATTCAACGAAGGATCATTTTCATAATTTTTTTTCCCTTTTTTGGCAACAAGCACGCGCTTTTCAAATGATGATTCGTTCATTGTCATTGTTTGTGCGATAAAATTTCGACATAATAATACTTTCAACCCTTAAATTTGAAATGAAGTAACTTGTATTCAAAAAGTCTTCGAAACATTAAAAGAAGATTTCGTAACTCAAAATGAAATATCTCTAATAATAATTTCAACATTGCAATAAGAATTTTGGTTGTTAAGAAAAAGTCACATTCATTTTATGTAAAAATTTAAACTTTAAATGCACCTCACAGCATTCTCACCTTAAATCTCATTTTTATGCTTTCGAAAATGAATTGAAAATTCAACTGGAGGCTTTAAAATAAATGGCGTTCTAAAGACATCAAAGGAGATATAAAATCCCGAGTGATTTCATTTGTTTCACGAAAGGAGCTATCGGTGAATTAACAAAACAGAGTTGCATCGTAAAAATGCTTTTAAAAAGTTCTTTTATGAGAACAGTAGAAAGATGAAGACAGAAATTTTTCTTCGAAATTTTATTTTTTAAGAGACAAATTGGATCATAAGATCATAAAAAATATTTTACAATGGATTACGCTTTTACCGTGTGAATGCTTGATGCAAGTTAGATGTTGAGTTGACGTTGAAGAGTTTATTTTACATCTTAAAACGAGTAGAATAAATGTGAAGGGTGATATAAAAAATTACGCTTTATTTGCTTTATTGGGTTAGGCGTTCGTTCTCCATCTCTTCTGCTCATATGTAAAAACTTTAAAATTGCATATACGACGCAATAAAAAACAGAGAATAAATAATCAGGAGCCGTAAAACTCATCAAAAATAAGGAGGTGTATGGTTCATTTTGCTAAACGGATGTCTTTCATTTTATGGGTGCGAAGGGAGATGAAAAATGTTAAATTTCATATGCATTGAGGTGAGTTTTAAAACACAATAAATTTCCTTCATCATGGATAAATACACAAACATTTCTTAAATAATGTAACATTCTGTGTTATCGTCTGTCACAATAAACGGAAAGTTTTCGTCAGTCTTTCATAGCAAACTCATGAATTGTCCCGCTCTTTAAAACAAACTTTGTCCCTTGTATCTGTCACTCTTGAAGAACAAAAAAAACGAAAATAATTTACTGTCATTTCGACTATAAAATCTTTCCACTTTACAGAGACGCAAAGTAAAACCACCGAACGCAATCGATTTTATTTTCCATTTTCATCTGATTCAATGTGAAGGTTTGTTTCTATGTATGATTTTTTTCCACATAAAACATTAATTTTATGCTTTTTCCATGTTTTTATATTCGAAGAATTTTATTGCTCTTTGCTTTCCGGTTTACATTTGAATCGTTAAAGTAAGAAAAGGAGTGAAATTGTTATAAATCATTTTTACAGCTTCGAAAAAAAGGAAAATGGGAGAGAGATAGAGAAATGTAGATGGAAAGAAAGCGAGCATGTTATGGAGAAGCAACAAAAGCTCGAAAGAATATTTCGAAGTTGTGAAAGGAAATCGCTTCTATTATTTATCAATTGTAATGCTACTTTTGTTTCATCCCCAATGTGTACTCTTTGCCCATTGAAATGCATCAATGACAAAGCTTTGTGCTTCAGGAGAAACGAATTATAGATGAGAAATGTCACGGTGTATAAATAGCTGCAATTATTTTTTCGAGAAAAACTTGAAACTTTTACATTTTTCCTGAAGATTAATTTGAGTTTATTCAACTGTGCTTGCAACTGAGAAACATGAGAACAAAGAGGTTTCCGTTTTTAAAGTCGGAGTTATTTAACATACACAAGCTTTGTAGATATCTAAAACATTTATTTTATAAATTATTTATGTAGCATAAGTTTCGCGTTGAGTTTCAAGATAAGTTTGCAAAAATGCAAAGAAAACATGAATGCGACACTTAATACCAAAGTCAATAAAGTAAAAAAATAAAATCAACGATACGATTTTGGTAACTAACAGTTAAACGGAAATATTAACTACATGACTGAGCAAATCTTACAATTATTACGTAAGATTGTATTACCTTAAATTCCATTAAATTTTGTGGAAATCCTGTTTTAAATAATTATGCGCTTCTGCAATCTTGAAAAAACTTTTCTCATTAATCTTAAAGTATTTTGGATAAACATCAACATAAATAAATATTTGCAGAATTTAAAGTGCTATGATTTTGTTTAACTTAAAGACTTTTCATAAATTTACGGTATAATTTAATAAACAGATATTTCATTTGAAATCATAACATGAACATAGTAAATATTTATTGATCATTTCTCTTCTCGTTTATATGAACTCCCAATTTCATAGGAAATTCTATTCATGACATTTTATTACGTTTTTATGAGATATTTAAAAAAATTCTACGAATATTAAAATTGATTTCATCTTTTCATTTACGCATTTTTTTTACTTCATAATTTTATGTTATGATTCACAAATTGAACATTGATTAACTTTTTACATGATGTGCGTTGAAACCCAGATTAGAAGATCAGCGAAATATTATTGAATTTTTATGTTTTGACGTTAAAAGATGAGAATTAGGTCTCTTCATACGATGGATTATGCTATAAATAAAAAGAACTCAATTTCAAAGATTTACTGTGTGTAGTGAAGCTTCTTATCAAAAATGAAAATCGTTTCATCAAGATAGATGGTAAAGTCGAATCTTCTCCTTAGGGAAAACGAAAAGCACTTCATTAAGAACATCAAATGCTTTTAATTTAATTCTGTAAAAGCAGGGTTTCCTGAAAATTTCACTTTATTGTTTTCGATTCTTGATTAATTTGATTATATGACTCAGTGAGGAAGTCAGTTCAATTCAACATCTGCTGCCTAAGCTTGTTCTACTATAACTTCATGTTAGCTAAACACTTATCAAATTGAGTCTTACAACGCAATTGAATCGAACAAAATTGAACCATGTACGTTATCTAACATAGAAATTTGCCAACAAAAAAGTGCTTTCCTAATTTCATCAGAAAATATCTTAGAGAAAAGATGAAAATGAAATTGAAAATCTGAAGAGAAGAGAAGGAAAAAAAAGTAAATCAGATTGTAGAATGAATATATATGAAATCTGAGCTAACTTCACATCAGAATAAATAGTGTGGAATCATTTTCTAACATCAATTCATTCTATAAGCTTACTTGAAATTCGGATGATGAAACCATGGGATCACAAATGATTTCACATTGAAACCGGCAATTTTAAATTTACCATTCTCTTTTATCTAATGTTAAAATCCCTTTTCCGGGATACAAAATTGTTTGTTCAACCTTTTTTCCTCGTTGCTGAAAACCCAAAATCCATTCTGGTTAATGAAATTCCTGGAAAGCGAACATTTTGAAAGCTTAATGCACATGGACAAAATAAATATTACCTGATCTCTCTCGGAATATTAAAAAATTCATCTCGAAAGTCTTCTTCCATGACTAATTGATGGCTTAAACTTACCTGCTTCGATGAGAACACCGCAGTGATAAACGACGCTCTAATTCACTCTAATTTCGATTCATCAACTCAATCTGCTGTAATCGAACACATCTTGATACGGAAAAGTGTGTATTTTATTATTTTCCTCTGCTCGCATCGTATTCTTACCCCCACAACCTTTCGGGATCATCGTTGAAATAATTCCCAAATAAAAGAAAGGTAAAGCAGAGGAAAAAAATCTCATAAATTTCTCAAGGTTTTCCAATTTTGGACGAACGAAACGAAAGGCGAAGAGAAGAAGGAAATAAAAATGTCAGGAAGCGATGTAAATCGAGAAAAACTAATAAATGGGAATAAAAATTGAGTGGGGGTGGAGGAGTGTAGATTCTTCGTCTCAATAAAACACCTCGGGGTAGCGAAATGTTTCTTACATTTTAAGGGATTCGTTATTTAGGTAATTTGAGTCGTTCTTGGATTTAGGAAATGGATAAACATGTTTACAAGTTAAGAGAAGAAAAATTGATTAAAAATGGAGACGGGAATTGAAGACGCCAAGATCAGACAGGAAAATTGTGGCAAAACACTTTTCTATCATCATCATCAAATTGCCATTCAATCATGATGAGTCTCCCACCTCTTCAGTCAAGTGACAGAACAAGAGAAAATATCATTTATGTATTTACCACAAGCAAAAAAAGATGAAATGAAATTTATTATGTGCGAAATATATTGCCATTGACATGACTGTGTGTCAGTGATGCTTTTTTCCGTTTGTGACGGAAACAAGATGGAATGAAAAGCTACCGAAACGAAAAGATGCCATTTAAGTGCCAAACTGAGAATGAGATTTTGTCTCTTCTTCCTTTTTCCTTTTTTTCAAACAGCAACGATGACAAATCAAATTCGTGATTTTCTAGCTTGGGGTTGGAGGTTACGATGTGGAAGAGAAGATCGTGCTACGATTCATATATGGAGTAGTTGAAGTACGCAACGAGCGTCTTTCAACATATTGATTGCTAAGCAGAAACAGAAATGGCACAAGAGCCCTATAAAAATAAATTCGCGATAATCCATTTCAATTTCGAGTTTCTTCGAATCTATTATGTGAAGGGTAAGACAAGAGTTGGTGGAGGCAAGAAATATAAGAAGATGAATAAGGAGACAAACAGTACCAGCAGCAGTGATAGTGAGTGTGTCAGTCGTTTATGGGTGGAAAGGAAAAATTTACATTTTTATTTTTCCTGTTTTTCCTTTTCCTTTCATTCGAAACTTTTTTTCATCCTCCTCCTTCCATTTCTTTAATTTGCTGTCTTCTCGTGGCAAAACAAAATGCGAAATAAATCCTCTCGTTTCTAATATATTACAAAACAAATTGAATAGCTTTTTTATTTGCGCTCAATTTAGTAATGATATTGCAGACAGAGCAAGAAATCTTCTTTTTATATTTTATTCATCTGCCTGTTTTCTTTTAGGGTGGTTCACTTCCCCAGCTATCTTTCTTCCAGTATCTGCTTCTTATTTTTTTATTAAAAGATGAAATTTGAAATGATTTCTTTCATCTTAAATTAATCTTTAATCATTTGTTGCTTAGAAATTCTAAATAAACTTAATTGTTTTATTTTAAATTCGTTCAAAACAAATCTTCAAGAGATTTAAAAAATCCAACAACAAAGTTATTTGATTTAAAAAGCGAATTTTTCCCACAAATCAAAAAAGTATGAAAGCGACTCGTGTGCACCATAAATATTTAAAACTGCCCTTATTTATATCATTCGGTTCAGTTTCTTTATTTTATTCTTTCATTTCGTTGAGAAAATTACAAAGGACCATCAATGGGGTCGGCGAATGAAATTTATTACAATGATATGTTTTTCAATTGAGAAAGTTTCAAATTTATTGAATCTCCATTTAGAGCTTTTCTTTCCTTTCCCTTTTTTTTCTTTTTTGTTAAGAGTCTCTCAATAATCTTTGACAGTCATAAACAGTCTTCTTCACATTGTCGTGTATTTAAATTAAATTTTTTTGTCCGAGAAGAGACAACAAAAGAAATGGACAATTTTTGATGGAGGCGGAGAGACTGGGAAGTCGATTCAAAAGGGAAATTTTGAAAGGACATGTCGTAAGATAATTGAATAGAGAGAACGCTTTTCCTATGTAGATATACATGAAGCGAAGGAGGGAAAAGAAAAAGCCTATTGTGCGATTTTCGTCTCTGCTTTTCTTTTGTTCCTTTCACCAAGATTTTTCCTGAAGGCTCATACAAATATCTGATTACAGTGATGAAGTTTCCTCATCTTTTCTTCGACATCATTCAGAAGGAAATGAACATCGGACTTATTGTCATTCGATGTTGTTTTCCATCCTTTAGAGCAGGGCGTTAGAAGAAGATATCAAATCGCTTGCTTTATAAACAACAATTTTCGAAATTGAAAACATGATATCGGAGATGTGAAAACTGGTCTGCTTGTCGAGAGGTTGCTTTAAGAAAATTAAAATTGTATTGACTTTGTGCTAGAAGCAATGACAACGATGACGATAACGACGAGATATCGAAAGAGATTGTTTGCCTTCATTTGATATCTTGTTTTATAATTCTTACTTCTCTTTCTTTTTATGTCAAAAATAAATGAAATTGAAAGTGAAGAAAATCGTGCTTCGATTATGTTTTGAAAGCGTTTTCGTGAAGGAAAATATTTGAAGAAATTTTTATTTCTTCGTTTCTTTTTTTTATTTTTGCGATTCCTTGGAATGAGTAGAAGAAGTAAAAGAAAGAAGAAAATAGCAGAGAATTATCAGCACTTGTTCAGCAGCATTAGAATTGAGAGTAGAGTGAAGCAAAGCATTATCTTGTGTTTCATGAAGTATCTTCATAACATGAAGTGCGAGGCACAATTTCTAACTTTACGATGATTACGTGAAATAAAAGCTTATGGTATTAGATGAAATTGAAACTAATCTAATGATTTCTACTTGTCGTAGTTAATGTAAATGGAAAAAGAATGAGACCATGGCATTGTGTTGTGTTTTGAAGTGGCGTCAAGTTACAAAGAAATCGTCGGATTTAGCATTCAATAGTTTTAAGTGGAAACGAACAGCTTATTGAATTAAAAAATGTTTTGGAATGAGTCGATGACCTTTTTGACATTTTAAAACTGTTTTGTTAGTGAATCGGTCTTACTGACACTTCAATTTGTTTATCTTTGAACTTCACTTTGTTTAGTTTTAATATGTTTTTGTTGTTGATTAAAGATGTATATTAAAAGATTCTTAAGTGGAGATCAAAATGGAACAAACTTTCTCATTACTTTCATCTTTTTTTTTCTTGTCTGAGACTAATTTGATGTGTTGAGAAACTTCTTGATCTCGCCTAATTATTTCCAAATGACACAAAAGTAAGATGGATTATTATGAAGTATTCTCGATAAATTACGTCTCGTAGTAAGTAATCTCTCAAGACGACAACGAAGAGCTTGAAATGATGTCGTTTTTGATTTCTTTCAGCTTCTTACGGTTGTCATCATCTTTATTCCATCACATATCAAGCTGGAAATATAAAAAGACGCGAGATCTGCGTCTGCTTATGTGATATGTTTCGTCATGAGAAATGATCGTCGTTGCTTGGTTGCAATAGAATTAATGTGAGAATTTTAAAATGAAAATTTGTCATTTTATTTATCTATCAACTTGGAAATGTCAAGCAGTTTTTACTTGTTTATTAAATCTGTATCTCTGATCTGATGTTCCAATTTTTCCACATAAAACTCTTGATATGTTCATCGACAACATTTTGAAGTTTTAAATGTTCTTCATCATGTGATGGTTTTCCCCTTCCGTCATCGTGAATCTTAAATGATTTTTCCACTTGTTAACGACACAAAAAAAAGAAGAAGAAGTTTCAATGTCTTAAAGTCACATCTGGTCGACAGGCAACAAGAATTTTTTTGGGGATCTATTGAGTGACACAAAATACGAGAAATTAAATCACTTTGACTCACAATAGAAAAGCATTTTAATTAAAATAGAAGGAAAATAAACGACACAGCTCGATGATTCATTGGAAAAGTTTATTTTATTTTTTGTTCAACGAAGGCAATGCTAGGAAAATTAATGATTTTTATAAAGATAATTTGTTCGTTCAAAGTAGTCTCGTTTCGAAATGAAAACGGAAATGCCACACAATAACTTCGTTGTGTTGCGTGAAAAACCATCGCAAGTTGTTGATATTTCTTGTTCTTGCTGTCTTTATCGCAATCACAATTACGAGAAAGTGCATCTTGCAACATCTAAATCAAAGATCATTTCTCAGTTCGCCAACAACAATCGATTAATTTTTTTTTCCGGGAAACTCAACATAATTTAAATAAGCAAGGTAGATGTACACATGGATGACGAACGAGTTAAAATTGTTTACAACGTAAAACTATGACTATTAAATTGTGATTCGAGCGAGAAAGATGGAAGTTGATTAGAAGAAGAATGAATTAATGTATGCATACGAGCATCATATAATGTGTAATTTATATGCAACAGCTGGTGAAACAAAAGCGAACGATAGATGAAAAACTGCTCCAATGTAAGTAATAACAGAAAACGCGAGTATGAGATGTTAATAACATTCATACATAATTATTTTTTATGAGATGAGATATTGGACGATAGCTTTTGTTATTCGTAGTCGGTCGTTTTCTTTTTTTCCTGTAAATTACAATGTTCGTTATCGGATCGTTACTGTTTTTTTTTCTCTCCTTTCCGTTTCGTCTTTCGCATGAGAAACAAATTCTTGGTAATTGCAAGGTGGCTTCGACACAAAAGATGTTAATTTCTATTCGCTCCGAATCTAATTTGATATTTATCTCGAGCTTTTATTTCCAGCTGAACGGTTCGATTAATCATGAAATCGTGTTTTGAACGGCGACTCATTATGGATTTCTGCGCTTCAGCATCAACCTTTTTATGAGTTTTTCATGTAAAGAGACTTATGGATGAAATTTTCTTAGCAGAGTCATTAAGCTGAAGGTAATTTTGAATAAATTTCATTAGACCAGAATTCTATTTAAGTAGCCTGATTCCCTATTGTACATATTTTGTATTTACAACACAAGTCAATGGAACATAATGAGATGTTAAGTAGCAATATGCCGGCTGCTCGATCTTCAAATAAAAAATTTCTTTCAAAACAGCTTTAAAGTTCACTGTCTTCACTTTCAAATATCTACATACGTGTTTTTGGAGAGCTGAAAACTTTTCTATTTAAAATTCTTTACAGTGAAATAAACCTGTTGATCGTGACTAAATTTCTAAGCCATTCTCAATGATTGCAAGATAATGATGCAAAATTAATGAAATTTTTAAACTAATATCTCGATAAAATGTATAATAACATTAAGATTTGTGGATAAATTAAGCAAGTCATTCAGCTACCGAGTCTAAGATAGAAGAATGAAAAAATTAACTCGTCTAAATGACATTGAATGTCATGAAGCTTCGAAATTTATGCTCACTGATCAATCAAGATTAGATTTTAATTTTTCTCTTCTATACCTCTACCTTCGTTATTTCTTTTCTTGCTTTTGCACATCACCAATAAATGCTTTAATCGCTCAATGAGTCTCACCAAAGCTCTTAAAAGCAAAATATCATCAACAAGCGTGTTTCAAAAAAAGAATCATTTACATGAAGATTTTAACTGTTCGTGATGTGTGTCTCTTTATAACTTAAGAGCGAGATATAAAAGCGATCTTATTTCTGCTTGCAACAGCTATTATTTTAAAGATTTTTTTGTCATTTTTTTAATCTTCTTTACTCTTTCGCTTCTATTGAATGTCGTTGAGACTTTTTTTTTGCCTTTAGTGTTTTCATTTCTTTTCCACCATCGTCTTCGTTGTCGTTGCCATCGTCGTCGTTTTCTTGATTATTTTTATGTGACAATGAATTTTTGAGTTTTTGCTATGCAAAGCAGAAATGAAAATCGTTCGCTAAACGAAAGCAATGCTAAAGAAGTGGATTTTATGATGCTCTTTGATGGCTATCAAACGATAGAAAAGGATGGTCTAGCAAAGCAAAAAATGAAGAAAAAAGAGAACTCAAGAAATGTTAATTTAAGTGCTCTGTGAGCAGAAAATCTTGTGTTTGACAATCTCTGTCTTCGAGTTCAGAAGAAAATTTATAAAAATGGTCAATTTGAAAGCAGAAAAGGCGAGTGACTTATCAAATGACTTCCGATATCAATTGCTTTCCAGTAACGTGACTGTCAATGACATTCTAGTTACAAAAAAAATAGAAAGAGAGAAGAAAAAAATTATATCTAAAAAGAAACAGAGAAACTTCGTAGCAAAACCATAAGAAACATCATAAAACTCCGCTTTACATGATCATCTTCGAAGATGATGCCTGATTGCACACACAACAAACTAAATAGCAAAGAAATGTGAAGAAAAAAAAGAAAAGTTTTCTATCTTTGATGATAAAAAGCAGCAGAAAAAGAAGAAAAGAAACATTTCGCAATTCTTCCATTGCTGCCATTAGGGACATAAACATTCATTGTTTCTGCTCAATGATGCTGAAGTCAACATAAAAAAGAACTCGAGTCTATTGATACCACACCAAGCGAGCAAGCAAGTTATAGCTTCTTTGTCGCTCGTGCTTTTTTCATCGTCTCTCTTTGCGATTTCATTAATCAACATGCTGGCAATTTAAAGTCGCCGAAAAACTTTTTCTTTCCCCTTCGTTTTGTCGTTTGCGTTTCTATTTTTGCTTTCCGGGGAGAAAAAAAAATCAAAAGAAAGAAATGAGAAAAAAAATGAGCGCATACAAAATAATGATACTTTTCATTGACAGGATGTAATGAAAGAACAAGCAATAATGATAATCCAACAGAAAAAGATAATATGATACTCATTAAAATTCGCGAAGTAATGTCGCCCGTCTTCTTGTCTTCTTTCGTCGTCGTCAGTACCGCAATCAGATCATTTTTTCGTCCCACATCGTACCAACTTTCCTACTAGATATGTTCTTAATTTTGCTTAATTATGGCATTCGCCACACTAGAAAACATATCGTCTCACTCATCCTTTCGTTCTCGCTTCAAAACATTGGCTTTCATCTCTCAAACTCACACATGAATGGATTCGAAATCCAATCGTCATTCTTGTTCACTGATTTTACAAACAAGAAGAAAATTAAAAGATTTGTCCGACATTAAATACGAGACTTGAGTTCGGTGAAATCAACAAGCAAGTGAATTAATTTTCAACGACATAGAATTATTTCAATCGGAAAAGTGAAACCACAAAACATTTGGATTTGTTGGAACATTTTACGAAAGTCTTGACATTTGAGCGTCTTATGAAAATATCATTTTTATTATTAGTTTTCGTCAAATTCACATGGCACTTGTTTATGAAATATTTTTGTGATTGATTCTAAATATATTTATTAAATTTGATTCAGATAAGTCCAAACGAAGGTTAAAAACAAATAATTTTAAAGATTCCACGACACGCTGAACTTTGAATGAAGAAATTGTCTTAAAACTTTTTGGCTTCGTTCCACACAAAGCTTTACGAATGATTTCTTTTTAATTCGATTCTATATCGCTCGCTAAGAAAATACCCTTTCGATATGTGGCCCATCAATAACTGGCCATTAAACACAAAATTTTCGGGTTTTTATTGGCAAAAGGCATTCATTGTGGTGGGCACGAACAAAAGAGAAAGAAAAAGGAGAAACATCACATTCCACATCATAAAACTTTCGCGTTCCATTACGCAAAAAGCCAGAGTTGCAGGAGGATAGGTTGATACCTACAATTTAGAATCTTTTTATATCTATCCATTATTTCCAATTCCTTTGCCTATTCCTACAATCATAGAAGGAAAAAAAAGTTTGCTTTAGTTTTTTCCGTGCGTGAACATTACAATTTTGATCCATAATCGAACGCAATTTTACGATTATAACAAAAACAAAAAAGAAACATCTAGCGAAGAAGAAAAATTATTCTTTCTGACTATTTATTGTGGAACATTAATTTTGTAGTATCGCACAACATTAGAATATTTCCACGGATTTTAAATAAAAGGGAAGCACATAAATATCACTCCCATATATCATCTAAACATCATAAAAACATTACGCATTGGCGTGAAGAGAAATGTTTTTCTATTCCATTTCGCTATCGGTATTGGGATATCAATGAAAATCGTGTCACATGGTAATGTATTTACCATAAAAGTTAAGAGTTATTTTTCCTTTAAATTAAACATGAATCGACATTTGAAATTCTAAATTTTCATGTGACATAATTTTTCGTTGCATCGTTTCTGGAAAGAAATGCTTTGAAATATTTCCTTGATTTCCATCTTCATCAGTCATTCTCCAGAAAACTCCACAAATAGCACTATGCACTTAATATAAAGAGTTAGAGTTATGGCTGTTCCATAATAAAATTATTCATGATAAGACGGAAGCGAAAAACAAAGGAAAGCAATAAATATATGTAGAAAAGATCTTCCGTTTCTATTTGTTTAAATTTGAAATTGATTTGCCTTGAATAACAATTGATCAACATTAATCTGAATTAGTCTAATTCAATTGTACTCTTGTTGATGTTCAAATTCCATCATGCTATCTTTATACTTACATAATTCGGTCGTCAAAAATTTACCAAACTCACATTAAATATTATTAAAAAATTTATGTATCATAACATGATAAAAGAAATACAACAAACGAGAAACTTTTTTTTATGGTTTTACGCTTCAATAACAGCATCTTTTTATGGACTTTTTGTTGAACCTACTGAGCTAAACGTTTACTCTCACATCCAACAGTGGCTTTCAGATGAGGAAGAGAGGCTGCTGGTAGCATTAAAATTCTTCAGCGTTTAATGACAACTCAATGTAATGAGAAAAAACAAACTTTGGAAAATGAAATTAAAATTTAATTTCTCAACGTAGAACCGAAATTGCCTTTTTCTCTCCCAGCTGTACACTTTACTCAGAAGTGACTGTCGAATCGAATTTCGTTCCACTTGCACGATGTTGATAAATTAATGGGACCGAAAAAGCTTGAATGAATCAAGATGGTTTTTAGGTTCCATGTTCAGTAACCAATGACGATTGTCGCATTTTAATTGTGTTGGACCCTCTTGACAATGTTGCGTAACTATAGCAGCCATTTGAAAATGATGTTTAATGACATTGTCAAATAAAAAAATAATATAAGAGAAGAAATTTTCCAGAAAGAAAAAAGTCTCATCATGACTATTCCCGTGGTAAATATCTGTTTTGAAAATAAAAAAGCAGAAAGAAATGCGCGTTAAACATCAAAAGACTGCACAGATAGTCAGGGAAATACAAATTATATTACTTGCTGCCTCAATAAGCTGGCATTTACTGCAACAATGATGCAGAACTTGAGACGAAAAACTCCGTAATCGTCATTAATTTTTACTATATTATCACTTGAGAAACTTCTTAAAGAAGAAGGAGAGAAAGAAAAGTTTCTCCATGGCATTTAATTGAATAGAATTTCTTTTAACGGTTATGATATTATGCGATCATAAAAATTGATGATGTCTGAAGCGCCTCAATTATCGTTGTGCAAAAAAGAAATCTTACTTCGTGTCTTCTGCTGATTTTAACAGCTACAGAGACAAATGATTATCGATGTCCTTTTGATTACCTCGACTAGAAAATTTGCTTCCGTTGCAATGTTTTGTTGATAAATCAAAAACATTTCTATTTCCAGAATTGATAAGCCTTAAGAAGAAGGAGAATGAATGAATAAGTTCAAATTTTCACTATCAATCAACTTCATTTCACTTCTTTTTTCGAAAGATAAATTCAGATCGCGTTTTCGATTGCAATTTTTCATTGAGTTTCCATCTCTTCTTGTTTTTTATTTTACTTTACTTAGATACATATTCGGTAATCCCTGCTTTCAGTTTCATTCGGAAGTAAGGGTATTTTATCATTCGTTATACATCCTGCACGCACGATAGGTTGTTTGTTCATCTTCCAAATTCCCGGCTATCCCCACTCACAATACCAACATTCAGAAAGAAAAACAATTTTCGCGAAAGGATTTATTTCTGTTTGAAGGATTTTTACTCCTCTATCGACATTTATTTTTCACGAAACGAGATGAAACAAAGTAAAGAAAGGATAAGTATGACGAGATAAAAAGCCGGAATGGAAATGGAATTGTAAATAAATTAAACAAAGATCAAAAGCGAGTGTTATTTGAAAGAATCTTGAAAGGACTCTTCTTTTCCTCTTGGAAATAGGACACAACCTTCTTTCTTAAATCTATCATCGTTTAAAAAAAAGGATGAAGAGGGCTTTTCTTTATACATACTTACTTCTTCCGGTTAAACTGTTTATCTTTTAAGTTGAAATCATTTTACCTTTAAGTATGTTAAACAATTTTATGTTTTCTTCCGCTTTCATGTTTATCAAATTCTCTTTTACTCAATAACAATTCAATTGAAAATTTATGAGGGGATTTCGCAGGTATCTACATCAACAATTGATGAAAATGATAAAAAAGAAAACAAATAAATAAATTGCACGTGGCAGTCATCAATCATTTTCTCATAAAATTAGAATTTAAGAAGGAAAGTTAATTAATTGTTTTTAAACAAACGAAGAGCAACAAAAAAAAGTATAAACGAGACTAGACACCTACAATGTTTTTACATTTTCCACGAGGTAATAAAATTCACCAGACGTTGCAGAAATTAAGATAATTAATACAGACTGTCTCATAAATACACTCAGGTTTCTCAAGCCCTCCCCAGTCTCTTTTTGAAGAAAACTCCCGAGTGGGAACGATGAGAAAAAGTCATCGTCGGTGATAAAAATTTTATCGTAGACATTCCGCTTAAATGTCTTGTATACTTTCCACCCCCACATTACTTAGATAAATAGAAGCAATAAAATATGATTCTCAAGAGATTCCGAACCTTCTTGTGCACACATTGAAGTAAAAGTTTACTTTTAAGACTAAATCGAAGGAAAATTGAAGGTCATTCTGACAAATATGTAGCGAGACAATCAAACAATTTATTGTCTAAGAGTTTCACTATGAAAACCTTTTTATGATGTAAGATTAATCGTAGTGTTTTTTAAGGGCAGCATAAAACTTTTATTTGCCATCATGTTCAACAAATAAACTAAAAAGCATTTTACTTCTGCAGCACCGCACAGTCAACTGAACAAACAGCAGTTTTATAGAAGTGAACATCTAGAATCATTACAATTCAGCAAGCGGAAAGTATTTGTCAACTACAAAACTTTTCTAATAAAAATTCTATTTACAATTGTAAAAAATGTATGTAGAACAACTGGGAGGATACAAATTTATGACATCGTATTCCAATGCTAAAGAAATTTAATGTTTAGAAGATTTTTAATAAATATTTACATGAAAAATTTTGTGGAAAATCATAGAAATCTATAATTTTCCTCTTCCCCGTTTAAATCAAACATCAAAAAGTTTTCACTTTCCATAGAGACATTTTTTCATTTGATTTTTATGATCATTAAACTATTTATTGCGATTATAATTTTAAATTTTTCTAACATTTTCGCTTTCATGTGTCAGGTTAATAAATATTATTGGAAAACGGAAAACAAAATCTATATTCTGACGTACGATTTGAAAACTTATGGTATGCAGGGAGATGGAATGTGCGTGGGTGGATAAAAAAATGTCAATATTTTTTTATATTTTTGTCGGAAAATAACTGTCATGAATTGTTAACATTTGAAGCAGAAATATCATTAAATGAAAATAATGCTGTAGCATAAAGCAGCATAAAATAAATGTTATAAATCAAAATTATGTTTCATTTCATTTTTTTTTAAATTAATTAAATGTGACCTTTTAATTTATGTGATCTTTCAATTTATTTCGCTCTCATCACAATTTATTTCGAGTCAATTGAACAAGCGTGAAAAGCATGAAATCATTATAAAATTTTCACAAACAACGCAAAAACTTTACAACTCTAAGCTGAAATAAGAAGCAGCATAGAATTTGATGAGCATAAATTTTTATTTCTCTCTTTCTCATGCAAATCTCTCAGAATTTACAAAGTATATGTTTGACTTCATTGTATTTGTTTTGTCTGCCAAAGTTTCTTATAAGAATTAAGCTAAATATTTTTGATATTTACGATGCATGAAAATATCTCTTTTATTGTCATTGAAATTGCAACAATGTTTAAATCTTAAATCTTCAACAGTTTTAAGCTTTGCGATATTTAATGAATGAAAGATTAACTCGATGAGAATTTTTCGCAATAAATTTTACATGCATACACTAAAGTTACAAAGTAATGTTGTGTGCGTTTTGTGATAGGCCATGATGTAGAAAAGTTAACGAGACATTTTCTACATCATGTAATAAACTCGAACCCTCGTCTGTAAAGTATTTCTTGCTACGCTAGACGGGCCAAATGTGTAAGTGTTTGTGATCCAGACAGATGAATACAATGAAAAAGATAGAAAATACGACTCGACAAAACACTGGACGGATCCACTTTGAATGTGTAAAATTTCGTTGAAAATGAGAGTATCATGAGCATAAAAGAAGAAAAATTGTCTTTGGTCGGTAAAAAATCGGTTAAAGAGAATTTTTATTCTTGTGTATGTTTATGCATCGCGTACCGACAGAAAGAAGAACTTGAGCACGGCAGACAAAATAAATTTCTCTCGGTCAGCGAAATGCTTTGCTGGGAATCATAATGAGAAATGGCATCGTTTTTCACGTGACATTTTCATCCCAGTCGACGTGCATTACTTTTAATAGCACAAATGACATCATTAGGGAGAAGAGTTTTGAGATTACCTGTTCCTAAATTTATATTATTTATATAAAGTGTCTCATATTTTATCATAATTTATACAGAAAAAAAAATTCTCTACGATTTATGAGTTTGTTCAATTTCACATGAACTTTTGTTAAAAGCTTTGTATGGAGTTTGAAAATTGTTTCTAATTGAAGTTAATGCTTCTTTACGACATAGAAAAAAAGACCATTTCGAAAGCAATTAGAAAAATTTTATTCAATTAAAATAAAAGAGACGATTAGACGACTGAACATCATTGATTTTTTTAATAATAACAGTCAAAGTCGTGACGAAACAATCAACATGTCATTGACCCTCATTTAATTCATGTCCTCATCTTTTCAAAGTCTTTCCCGCTATTACAAGAAGACACAAACTTGAAGTCATAGTGTAATAAATTTCAATTAAAGCCACAACATTAATGACAAATTCTGCGTCTCTTATATGCGCTGAGCGGCAAGTGCACATTAAATGCTAAATTTATTGCAATTCACTCAAAAACACTTTCGCAAATGAACACTTTGAGCATTTATGGCAGCGATAAATTGTGATACTTTAACAAAATATTTTCTTCTCGTTCTGATTTCTGTAAACAATTTCATAGTTTTTTTAATCTTCTCGTTTTTTTTTCTGTTTCCGTCTATCAAAACACATCGTTGATGGCAGAATGAATGAGACCCGAGCGAGAAATAATGGTTGAATTTTTTTTTGTTGTTTCTTTTCCCAAGCATTGCGCAAGAAAAGCACACACAAGGGAGATAAGAAGACGGCACAGAGTGATGTCTTTGACCTCGTGTGCCTCTAGGTGCGATGCGTTTTTACCGGAGTTGTGGACACTTCTTGGAATCAACAAATGGAGCATTAAACTGAAAATTACCATAATTATTTTCCGATGCAAGTGAGAACATAGATTCCGGCATCGGTTGAATAGCGACGCGTCGTTTCTACAAAGGCAGGCAACACACGTTCCGATGTTTATCTGGTTACATCAAAAATTACTTCGTGCGTTAGTGTAAAACAGGTTCGATTTGATAGTATGGACTAAGGCCATTGACCAGCATAATAGATTCGTTGTTTTATTTTATTTTTGTGGTACATAAACGCACACTGCGTTCCCTCTTTTGTTTAATCAAAGCTTCTTCCACAACTGCGGCTCAAGATTTATATTTCAAATCATTTTCATTTTAACTTTTTCTTCTTTCTATTTTTTTTTCAAGAGCAATAAAAAAACATGACATTAAAACAGACAATAAATGATATTGAATAGATTTTTCATCATCTCGTTAAGACCGAAAATGGAATTTTTTATTTCGTTGCCGATACAATTAAAGACATTTTAAATCAATTGAATGGAGAATGTGAACACGGAGTATCGTCTTGGACGACATCCAAAAGCTATAAAAACCGGAGAATTTGCAATTCAAAGTGGCTTGATTCTCGTAAATAGCACCATGATTCAATTATGTCCGAAACGTATGGTTTCGGTTATTTTTAGAGTTTTCTCCGGGTGCTCTTTTTTCGACTCATAAATTTCATGAGAATGACCTTAATGGAATAATTTTATAAAATAATGAAAACATATAACTTTCTTCTTCTGTTGCATATATCGAGTAGGATCGAATCTTGTCTATCGAATTTTCTTGCTTTAATTTCATTTCTCTGCTTATTCATGAAGACGGTAAAGCGACATTCCAATAATTAGTCTTGACGTCAAATAATTCATGCTACAACTGAACACTCTGCGAACCGAAACGAACTTAATTTCATTTAATTTTATTGGTTTTTTCAACCGACGTAAATAGGCAAAGTTCAACAAAGCCGAACAAAACAATAGAAAAATGCATAAGAGACAAGCCTCTGGGCGTCGAGTCAATATCATAATTGAGTTATAATAAGCTCTTTTGATTTCCCGCAATTCGTTATGCGCATTAATACAATTTTAATGAGACATAATTTGCATGTTGATTCGTTGGTAGCTCGCTGATTTGCACTAAACCAAAACGCTTTTCAAATATATTCATAGGTGAGACATCCAAACCACCTAAATTATCAACAACAAGTCACACTCAGCACAAGCATTCTAATTTATTATTTTTGGAGAGTCATTAATTTAAAAGTCATTAAAGTCATTACAAAGTGTCACAATTTGTTCACAAAATTCATCATGTCAGAACAACGAATAAACACGCATTTATATTTTCTTTCCAACATATATTCCACCATTTCCTTCTTTATTTTCTTTTTTTTTCTTCATAAAACAGAAGAAAAGCGAGCGTTGAAATGAAAATTTCTGGGCAATGTTTGATTTCTTCTTCTTTGATACGAAAGAAACATCATCACATTTTTCTATGACATTATAAATATTGAAATATGAAAAACAGAAAAAATAAAACATAATAATTCATGAAAAATATAAAAAATTCTACATGTAGATATTTAATTAAAGTTTCTTCTTCCATGTTTTCAAATCAAATGTGTAAATTTTCATTTCAAAGTTGTTTTTCAAAGAAATGAAAACATGAAAACTTCATCCAATTCGACAAGATGTTCAATGGTTAATTCTGTGAGTGTGAAATCACTTTTGAGAGATAATTTCTAAAAAATTTATGTTGTGAATTGATTAATGATTGTTTTAAAAGCAAACATAAAAAATGTGATTGAATTGTAGTTTAAGATAAAAAACAAGATAAAGTTGTAAATCTTAAATAATCTTAGATTATGAAATTTTGCAGTCTGTTAGTTATGTAAACAGAAATCACTAAGAAATCCATAAAAAAAATGTAAAACCTTTTTCAGATATTCAGATATTTCAATCACTCAACCTGAACATGCAAAGGTTAAAAGTACTTAAACCAACGAAAGGAATGAAACTCGCCAATTTTGTGTCAACATCTTTGCAACAAGTCCCTTAAAAAGCTTTAAAATCTCTCCGCTCATAAAACGGTCACACTTTTTAAAAGTCTCGTAAAGTTTTTTTATTACACTCTGCTTGTCTGACTGCACCAATATCAAACTGCACAATTTATTTTTCAAGATGCAATTTGTGCTTGAAGAAAAGTTCAAATTGACACGTGCCAGAGCATAAAATACGAGGGAAAAAAAGCTTTCGACATCAACTTGCATCTTTTCGCAGAGCATCGTGAATAAATTGTGTTTAGAAAAAAGAATAAATTACTCATGTCTTAAGATTAGCATTTCAATTCAAAAGCAGTGAAGAGAAACTTTTCAGAGCAACAGCAAGGAGTGGAGCATACAGAAGGGAAAGGCGAATGAATTTAAATTCTTTTTCTTTCTTTATTCTTATTTCGATTCCTCGGCATTCACAGACATCTGGAAAATAGTCACAGACAAAGTTCTTTTTATTTCGTAGATTTGCTTGATATGCAAAATAATTTGACAGCATGAAAAGTTGTTTGCATTGATCTTCAATGCATAAGAAATATCATTGAAGATGAGAATCGAAGGGGAATAGTTTGAATCGGACGAAACTCGATTTATTTCACTTCAACGGAAATTCAATGAGACATTTTTCAATGCTTTCACTGCATAAAAGTAATAAGAAGCAGCTTGGCAAACACGCTTTGCATTGATGCTGATTCCGTGATACCCAATTTGATATTCTACTTCAAATAGTGAATTTGAAATGTCGTGGAATAAATTATTCGGTAGATGAATGAAGCTGTTGTATCATAAAGTATTTCCATTTCAAGGAATGATAATCATATTCAACTAAGGTTCAATCAATCAATTACGTTAACAAATTTAACTTTCAACAGATTCATTCACTACATCATTGATAAATTATTAAGGATTTAATGTGATTTGATCATAGTAATCTATGAAGTATTTATAATGTTAAATACTTCAGTCAATAAACTAACTTCGTAGAGACTAGTTGTGTCTTTTATTTCTCTCCCAAGAATTACCATTCCCAACAGGTTATGGGCCCAGAGAGCGCACACGTCGGAAATTATATTATCTCACAACACTTGCTCTGTTGAGGAGGAGTGTTGGAATTGGAGATTGCATGTGATAGCAATCTATCAAGCAACAATGCAAGTCTGTGTCAAATCATTTGCGTTGGAAACACTTGAGAACGTTTCTCAAGGAATACTCGATTAAGAGGAATACTCGGTTTAGAGGAAAACAAACTTGTGAAGTTCAAGGAATTATATTATAATTACACGACGGAATATGAAGTACATTGCCTTAAGAAAAGGAGAGAACTGGCGAAGGAATCTTATTACTAATTGAATTATTGAAATTGACTCAAAAATTTCTGTTAAAAAATCCTGGTGAAATGAAGTTAACTCAGATGGCGATGAAGGAAATGAAGAAATATTTTACCCAGTACTAAAGGATCTCTGCATCAACAGATCTTTGAACAACGGATTGAACGATTACATCGCTGAGAGGAATATGAAAAGTTATATCGAAGAAATGAGAAGAATGATCAAATCAAGGAGGAGTATTGAAATATGGATTTAATGTGATTTGATCATAGTAATCTATGAAGTATTTATAATGTTAAATACTTCAGTCAATAAACTAACTTCGTAGAGACTAGTTGTGTCTTTTATTTCTCTCCCAAGAATTACCATTCCCAACACTTAGACGCAATGAGAATGCTAATAATGAAAATATTTATTAACACTTGACAGCTGTTTGTTATCTAAATGCAGTATAATTTACAGCAATCTCTCATTTTTTCTTTTCTCTTATAGTAAGAAGTCAAACCAGACNTTGATCTTCAATGCATAAGAAATATCATTGAAGATGAGAATCGAAGGGGAATAGTTTGAATCGGACGAAACTCGATTTATTTCACTTCAACGGAAATTCAATGAGACATTTTTCAATGCTTTCACTGCATAAAAGTAATAAGAAGCAGCTTGGCAAACACGCTTTGCATTGATGCTGATTCCGTGATACCCAATTTGATATTCTACTTCAAATAGTGAATTTGAAATGTCGTGGAATAAATTATTCGGTAGATGAATGAAGCTGTTGTATCATAAAGTATTTCCATTTCAAGGAATGATAATCATATTCAACTAAGGTTCAATCAATCAATTACGTTAACAAATTTAACTTTCAACAGATTCATTCACTACATCATTGATAAATATGTACACAGAAGTCTCATTTCATCCTACTTTTAAGCTATTCAAACAAGACGTCATTCAAGAAAACCTGATGATACTTACATAGATATATGTACATACAATTTATTAATCATATTTAATCTCCCCGATCTTCTGTCGCATAAAAATCTCTATTCAAAAACTCAAATCATCACAAAAACAGAGACCGAACATTATGGCACAATTTATGCATTCTAATATCAATTACTTTTATTAATATTAGCAGTCATAAATATTCACAAAAGCACACACGCAGTTCAAGTTGAAGGAGGAAAAAGAAGACGAAGAAGAAAGAAGAGCGCTGATAAAAATGTCAATTTAAGTAGAAAGAGCAATAATGTCGCTCAACATATTCGCAGACAACTGAATCGCAACAATAGATTTTCAATTTCTAAATTGTTATGACTATTATTGCTTCATGAATCGCTCGTAAACTGAAAATATTACCGTACTTGAAGCGCTTTTTGTGTCATTCAGTTCACCATAAAAAAAAGAAAGTCATTGTGAGGGAAGACAAAGTTCAACTAACGATAGCATAGAAACGTAAATATTTAAAAACGTTCTCCGGATCTCTCATTCGCACTGCAAATTATTTGCCTCGAGAAAGAAACACGAAAACTTTTTAATTTAAAATTTTACATTTTAACTTCAACTATTTGCTTTACATTCGTTATTTTTCTCTCCCTAAGATAACTTGCTTTTTTTTATACTTTTCATGTGAAAAAAGGAAGTAATTGGGAGTTGTACGAAAGTTTTGTTAGTTTTTCTTTAATTTGGGTGTTGAGTTGATTAAGAAAATGTTGAAAAAATTAAGTTCTTAAACATTGAAACGTTACCAAACATGTAAACATTCATTAATACTTTATCAACTTTTTTTCAATCGCTATGACTGCAAGGCAGACGATGAGAATCTATACAAAAAAATCTCATGCTGACATAGAATTGAAAAGTGCTTTAACATAAAATATGAATTAAGGTCAAGCAGTGATATGATTTTTTCCTTAATCGCTTGTCATTTTGGTCCTAGGGATGAGAATCAATTTGAGTCTGTTACTGATGATACTTTGAAGTTATGTTATTCAATTTTTATTTTTATAAAACTAGAACTCTCGCATATTGCTTCATAATGTAATAAAATTCCAATTTAACGGATCAGAGACAATGTAAATAAATGACACGAATAACTCAATTATTTATAGCTCTTGTATTACTTACAAAACAAATTCTTTGTTTCTACAATGCAACAAAATTCCCACTCTAAAATGCTATCATCAGAGTTTCAAATTGAGCTTATACTCTTCCTGTCAAACGCAACAAAAAACATGCATTTTAAACTTCACAAACACACGTTTTCATTTTTTTATTGTTGGTTACCATGCAACATTCTCTATTGCCACCCTCCTACATCATTGTTGTTTGGATAATTAATATGCAAGCTTCGAAAAATATTGAGATCATCTATCAAAGCATGCGAATTAGCATACAAAACATTACGGAATATTCAAACACTTTAATGACCACTTCACTCCTCCCTACGTTGAATATTTATCTACATATTTATACAAACAAGCAAGAATTTTAATTACCGCGAAATATTTTATCTGAAATTGTTGAAAATTACAGAAAGCACTAAAGTAGCTATAATAAACTATGCCTTAATTGTTATCGCAGACCCACCAGAGATTGCTTGTAAAATAAAAAAAGAAGTTTTTTACGATTTTTCTTGATCAGCAACAAGCAACTCAACGATTAAATTAAACGCAAACATCAGGAATGAGAGCCTTGTCGGGATAACATAAGGAAGGAGAGAATGGGGACGGAGCGTCATTCAAGTTAGGCAAATATCCATTTAAGAATTTACTGCAGCACGTTAGACGCTATAAAATTCTATAATTTAATTTATTTTTTATGATTTCATAAATATTAATTTTATTTATTATTTATTATGACGGTCATAACATTTCGTGTTTTGTTTTCATTCATATTTTGTTATCGTATGAGTTTGAAGCACGAGATTTGTCCCATTTGGTCTTTTTTTGTGTAAAGTTAATTTGTTTGTACAATGAAGAATTGCTTTACGGGCTTGATTTATAAATGATGTTAGGTATGCTACCAAAGCATAAATATTTATGTTGCTTTTTATTAAAAGAAAATTTTATTTTTAAGATGAAGAAGAAAAAAATTCTGTCCAAACTTATGATTGAATAAAAATGTTTTGTGACATTTTTTAATACTAAAAGCAGGTTTATGGGGACAGCGTGTTGTTAAGAAAATAAGCTTGAAGATTGATGGGAAATTGCCGCTACAAATAATAATAAAAAAATGAAAAGAAAAGCTAAACCGCCTTAATGTAATTTCAAAAAAAATTAAATAAAATAAAATAAAACTCATTAAAAACAATAAGCAACGCAAAAAATCTTTGTATTTGTCACATGAAATTAATTGGAAAAGTTTCAAACTGTGCATTGCTATTTGAGGTATTAACAGCAAGTTTAAATGCAATTAAAAATGTGTATGAAATTTGAATCGAGTACCCACCATACGTAGATACGACAAAGTTTTTGTTTCGCTTATGCGAGCTTAGATTATTTACATGGCAACCGACAATTATCAAGCAAGGATAAAAAGAGAGTTCTGCTTCGTTAATTAAAATAATTCAGACTATATTAAATTTCAAACAGCCTAAGATATTCAAAGGCAGCTTTTAATCTCACCATGTATGTAAACAATATCGTTATTGTCTGTCACAAAATATCTCGTTTGCATAATCTGGTATAATCTAAATTGATGTTATTGTTAGTAGATATTTTAATAATTAAACGACGAATGATTAATGAATCGGAATTGTTTTTTTGTCATCATCACATGGGTGGAGAGAGAATTTGTCAATGTTTACAAAGTGAATTATGTAATTAAAAGTCTAAGTCTTCGCTAACAGTTCGACAATTTAATTTCATTTTACATGAAATGGAAGATTGAAACAAAAAGTAAATGTTTCAATACCATCGTCTTCTAGAATTCTATAAAACGATTGCCTGCTGATTTTAATTCAATTCCTTACTCTACGACTTTTTTTCTCATTTCCGTTGGGATGGAGAATGAGAGTCTGGATGAAATGAGATTGAAATACCTTAGACTGTCAAGGGAAATTCATAAGTTATGTCGATATCTTTCTTGTCATGAAATTTTTATAACAAAGTTACCTAATTCACCCCAGTTACTCCATAACTTGCACACTTAAGCCAGGCGAAGTGCAAAAGAGAAATATCTACCGTCGGAAAGCAGATTTTCAGTAGAAAGAAAAGTCGGAAAATGGAAAAGCGTTTGAGCTTGTAAAAGACAACCACGGAAAAAGTTCCAACGCTTAAAGCCAAAAAAAGACAAACGAACGAACAAAGAATTCGCCAGCATCTTTTATTGTTGGTAAGGTAGCAAAGAAAGGGAAAACGAAAAGTTCCATCATTAAAAATTATGCAAATTGTAACGCAAAATGAAAATTTCCCCTCTTCACACTCAACTTTTCATTATCTATTTTAAAGTATTTTTCGTGTGTCCGCGCTTTACGATGTTGTCCCATGCAGAGAATGAAAAATAAGAAAAGAAAACTTTTAATTTCCTTTCTTTCTTTCATTTTCATCGCTTGGAGGTGTCACAAACGCAACATCGCGCTTTTAGTCAGAAAAGAATTTTTCTTTGTTGTGAAACATTTTCCCGTCTAACGCCACTTCCAATTAAAACTTGCTTATCGTTTTCGCGTTGCCTTAATTTTTTTGTTCGCTTTTAATCTCCCTCCTTCTCTGCTTTTTCACACACTTTCGCTTAGAAAAAATCAAGGAAACAATCTTATAAGCACTTGCCCGTTTTCCTTCTTACTTTTTCCTTTCAACTAAATACACAACAAAAAAGAAGGAAAAAGAATATAGAAATTTTCCTTTTTAATTTAAATTTACGGTGAAGACGTGAAAATGAGAAGGAAAATAGAAGAAAGGAAAAAGAGGCGGGAAATCCACGCTCTAATTAAAAATATAAATAAAAAACCATTAAACATCAAATTAAAATCATTTTTACGCGTAGATAATTTTAAACTGTTCTAAATATCTTTCGTTTTCAAACCGAAGGTACTTTGCTCTCTCTTTTTCGTATCAAATGTCTGTAGATAGTCAACGAATTCCTTTGATCTTTCTTTTTGTTCTACTTTTCCCTCAAGAGGGTGCAAAAACTTTTCTTTCATTCGTTTTTTTTCACACACAAATTAAATAAAATATGTTATCAGCCATCGCTATGGTGTGAGAGATCTCATGATGGGAAGGTAGAATTCGACGACGAAGGAAGATTGAATTTGGGAGAATGAAGACGAAAAAGTTTCAAAATGTTCATTACTTTCACATGAAGGGCGGCGACGTTGAAATCTAAATTTTCTTTGTCAACAATAAAAATATTTTAATGAGACTACCGCTCGATGGGACTTTTATCGCTTTACGACTGTAGTCGTTATAAGAAATGTATCCCCTTTCTCTCCCCAATAAAGCACCACGATTCAGTCTTGTGCGAATAAGGGTGGCGAAGAATATTTTCACCATAATCATCAATTTTTATTGCATTTTGGTCTTCAAGTTTCATTGCTTCACCACCGATAAAGGCGTCGTATTTATTAAAGATGGTAGAATATGAATCAGTCCATGATTTTTTATTTGCTCTGACATCATACATTAGCAGCAGTTGGCCGTAAGGATGAAACAATAAACTATTTCTCCCCATTTCCCTTCCGTTCTGTTTTTTTTTCTACATATTATTTTCGTCTTTCACTTCGAGCCTATCCCTAAAGGCCGAACACTGACAAAGCAAAAGTAAATTTCATTCTCATTCCTGTTGTTATCAATGGACTGAAGTATTACGACATCAACACAAACTTTTCTTTTTTACTTCGGCTCTGAGAAGGGTTTTCATGCGTCCACCATAGACGATAAGCATTGAAAATGTATGTTATGTTGTGCTTTGGACGAAAAACCCATGAACATAAATTTTTACCGTCACATTTCATTCTCACCCTTCACTAAAATATTTATTTTATTTAATAAATAAAAACAGATATCGTAAGCAATCGACGTCACTTTAATGCTTCAAAGGAAGATGTAAAGTGGGGTGAATGATAACAGTTTGATCTCTGATTTTGAATGGTAGCTAAGTAAGCTTTAAAAGAATTTTTAAACAAAAGATTTTCCTTGGAGTTGATATGAGAACTTTAGTTTTAAAGTGAAATTGGATAAGGAATTGGTTTTTTGTGTTGAATAAAATACCTCAGATATCATCTTCAAGTCATGAAGCCTAACTAAATATTTAACATGAAGATGATTGGTTTTGAATGAAAAGTTTAATTTACAAGTTGTAAGGATTTTATTAAATTTCTTTAGTTGCATAACTTTGAGGCGTAAGAAAATAAATTTGAATAGCATAAGTTTGAGGCGCATAATTCTTCTCATATTCGTATTTAAACTTTTTCTTATATTTTAACAAAGATTTTCATTTCATCGGGTTTAATCAAAATAAATTCGTTGAGACTATAGGGTAAAGATTAGTGTTGCAGCTATTTAAGCGTGGTCAATTTCTGGTAAGCTTGAAGCAATTTCCATTTCATTTCTTGTTATTTTCACTGTCGTTCAATCTGATGCGGATCATTAGTCAAGATCTTATGAAACTTTTTGCTTTAAGCTTTCAGCTTCTTAAAAGAACTCCTGAAAAAAACTTTTTTCTATTTTTTTTAAAACAAATTGTCGTTTCTGGTTTTAATCTTTGAGTGCTCAATGCTCCATAAAAAATGAGGAAGCAACTGAAATTGGAATGAACGCCTTCAGGGAGAAAAATGATGATAAAAAGTGGCAGCAAAATAGAAGTCAATGAGATGTCGTGATCATAAGGAGGGAAGAAGCTCATAATTTACTATCCAAAGAATTTTATGAGCTCCTCGCATTTACACACAATCAGAGCACAACACACCCAGTTTTCTTGTGCTGCTTAGAACATGATGATGATTGCACTTACTGATGCCAATAAATATAAATTACTCTCGGAAAATTGCCAAACTGCTAAAAGTAATCGGCAGCGATAAGGGAAAGAAAATTTTTCTTGAAGGGAAAAAAAGGAAAGGAAAAAAAAACTTTAAGCAGAATCTTACTAACATTCAACTCCACAATGCCAAGAGCAGCTTCCATCATTATTGTATTGTATATGATGTTCCTTAAAAAAAGGAGAAAAAACGACTTGAATCGGGGTTGGGATTGATGAAAAAACTTTTTCCATTGTTTCACTCCACGAAGCGACATTTTCGCCGTTTTTCTTTTATCTTTTTTCCACGTGAACAAATTTTATGAAAAGCGATGAAACGGTGAAGAGAAAAGAAGAAAAAAAAAGTTGAAGGCAGTTTTTTCCCTCTGTGTCATAAAAAAAACAACAGAAAAGTCTCGATGAAAGGATTGAGATGAGAAGGAGACGGGAAAAGTGCGGATTGAACGGGACGACGGGAGGGGATCTCTACAGCTTAACAATTCTGAGAAAATCAATTGAAGCACGAATGGAAAATAAATGTTAATGAAAAAAGTTTTCCTTGGGAAGAAGGAGAAAGGAGAGAAACGAGCTTAAGACTCAGTCAAAGTTGATATCAAGCAAATTGAAATGTTAAAAAAATTGACTCTTCACTAAAGAGAGTAAGGCGGAGGATTTCTTAAAAATGATGTAATTTTTTGGGTTATTTCTATAAATTTGTTAGACATTCATCTCAATCCACCCCAAAATTTAAAATTAAAATTTCATCTTTCATTCCAACAACTTGCAACAAATGTCTAGCACTCAATTAAATTTGTTTGCTGAATTTCCTTTTATTTTATCTTTGAGAACTTCTCACTGCTTTCCTTCATTTCATTTCTGCAAATTTCATTTTTGTTTTTCATAAAAAAGTTTTTTTGAGAATTTTCCAAATCCGACGAGTTCATATTTAAAACAGTTTCTTTAAAGTTATTGGATCAAGTTTTCTTTTATATAAATATTTAGGGAAGAATCTGCAAAAGAGCACACAAACCAATCTATGAAGAAGAAGATGATGAAATAAATTCACCCTCTGGTATTTATTCAAACGAAGTACGAACCATAAATTGAACCAATAACAGAAAAAAAACGAAAATAAATCCAGAACAGTTCATAAGAAATTTTTTTTCCACTTAAAAGAAAACTTTCTTTCAATAAATGAAATGAAAGTTTAGATGGACTAAAAATTTAATCAAAGCATTTTTAGTTAATGCAAATGGAAATGAAAAGAAAAAGTTAAACAAAAATTGATTTTAATAAGTTTTATTATTTCTCTCTCATTTTCCTTCTTTTTGTTCTGTGAAATTCCTTTCATCATAAATTTTTGTGTTAGTAATGAAAATTCGCTTAATCTCTAAAGAGTTAAATTTCAATTTTTATTAAAATTTGATTAGAAAACTTTTTCAATTAAAATACCATTTGCTTGTTAGTGCAATTCATGAGTTTGATGAAAATATGTATTAATTATCAGACATTCTTGCGTCGAAAGTTTAACGGGAACGAACGAGCATGACGCTTGCTAAGCGAATTCAAATCTTTTTCATTATCGTTTTCTTCAATACGATGCGGCCCTGGTCCAACATTTTGCTTAACTTTCTCCTGTACCGTCATAAAGCTGCTTCGTATATTGTCGAGTGCTTCTCCCAATCCAAATTTAATTTGATTGAACTCTTGTGTGACAAGCGATAAACGACCGAGAAGATAGTTCAAGTTTGAATCGACTTCTTGCATTCGATTTGTGATAAGACCAACTTTTCCCTCCATTGAATCCATTGTCATGATGGTGCCGTTGACATAAAATTCTGTTTGTTCTTGAAGACGATCGAGAGCTTTCTTACTCGAAGTGATTTCTTGATACATAATTCCAATCTGTCGCCAAACTTGACTCATTTCCGTCTCAATTTTACTGCTCAAGTTCACCAATGCTGCATTATGATTCTCTAAAATGCCATCATTCAACTCATTCAGACGTTTTTGCATTGACGAGTTTGCCGTCTTCATGACGTCTCCAACTTCAAGAATAATTTGATGAATTCCATATTCGAATCTTCGTTTCGTTTCAAGAACGTTGTTTGACGTGTCGAGCATAATCTTCTCAAGCTTCGAAGGATTACTTGAATCACCAAAGAATTTCTGACTTTCATCAAAGAAAGCTTCACTGCCAGAAATCAGCTCAGCAAGTGATTTTGACATTTCATCCACCGCTTCATGCGATTCTTGAATGCGAGTTGCAGTCTTTGCAAAATCTTCACGAAAGAAAGAAAATTATGAAAAGATGAAAGTTTTATGCAATAATCGAACTCTTACTTTTATCAGACACTGTCAAAACTTCCAATTGCATATCTTGAATGGCATCTTTAGTTTCATTCGATAATTCACGAAGGAATTTTCGATCAGCATCATTTAATCCAGATAATCCGACACCAACAGATGCTGATGACTTTTCATTTTTATCTAATAATTGTTTCAAATCAGTTTTAAGATCTTTCAATGATCCTTTGACGTCATCCTCAAATTTAGAATCTTTTCCACTGTTGAGTTTCGTTAATTTCTCTTCAAGTTTCTTTGCGAAAACGTCAGCTTGATTTGTTCGGTCTTTTACAAGTTCTTCTGTTTGTGCTACAAGATTCTTGTTTGTTGCCTGTAATTGATTAAAATTTATTTGATTTGTCATTTTGTTCGTATTTTAATTTACCTCAATGGAAGTTTGGTCAGCTCGGAATTCAGCAATTTCCCTTCGTAAACCTTTAACCATATCTAAGAGATCATCAACTTTCTTTGGTAACTTTTCATCATCATCATCATCTCCATCAGAATCATCAGATGAACGTGTAGCTGCTTGTGCAGAACTTTCAAAGGCAGCGAGAATTTTCTCAAGAAGATTTGTCAATTTTGATTGTTCTTCTTTCTTTTGCTTTTCACTCTGAAAATGGTCAATAAGATTTATTCTTATTGAAGAATTTCCAAAAGACTTAAGAATTTTAGATAAACACCTTCAATAACATTGTTTCTATCTCGCTAACTCTCTTATCCAACCGATCGAAAGATCCTTTGATTGGCTCAAAAATTCTTTGATTCTTCTGCAATGTCATCAAACCCTTCTTCACCAATTCACCCAAAGCTCGTTCTCTTGTCTCATGACGTTCGAGTTTCGAATCAATTAACGAATTTGAATGAACAAGTGACAAGATTGCATCACGAATTTCTTGATTGCTATTTTGAGAGAAATAAAAAGAGAAAGAAACGAAAATTTGTTTCACGTTGCATGTTTCATGACTCATGGGCATTCATTTAGTGCAAACTTCACTTTAACTATGAAATATAAATGAATGTTTTATCCCATCTTATTTTTAAGAATGTGAAAGTATCTAAAATTCATTCATTTTTAAGTGTTTGTTTTATATGAATAATGAAAGAAGAATCTCTGAACGTTCCTAACTTGCTATTTGACTTGCCTAATGCTTGTTACGTTTTCAATATGAGTTTACCCTCTCTCACTCCTTTTTCTGTTAAATAAACTTCATACGCTTTTGTTTGGTTTGCATTTCAACATTATAAATGCTATTCAATTACATCTTTCGCATTTAAATGATGAGAAGTTAAAAATCTGGTTAATGACGTGTCAAAAAGTCATTAGTTAATTTTATAAATTTTTTCTTTCTAAAAATAAATGTAATGTTGATGTTTAAGAAGAACATGGGATTATGTTCATCCCAACTACCCTCAAATTACGTCGCAACATCAATCATTCATCGACTGGTGCTTGAACTTGTTCATTCGCTTACTGAATTGTTGATAAAAGAGAATTTGTTTATGTTCAGTGAAGTCATTGACATCTGATCCTTTTTCTTTACTCCAATTCTTTCCATTCAAATGCGACTGACTCAAGAAACTTTTTTTCTCTTTTTTCACATTCAAAAAAAGATGTTCAACAATGATGGGCATGTCGAAATGTAAAATAAATTTGGCATTTAAATGAGAACTTCAGGAAAAAGTCGAATTTTTGTTATATTTCTAAAAAGGTTTTCACTCAATTTCACTGTCAGCTGTAGGAAAAAAATAAGGAAATGTTTTGAATTGGAAAATGAAACTTCAACAAGCTGCTTGCTAATGTACCCGAAAACATAGATAAACATGACGTGATTTGTTCGCTTTTCATCATTTCTGTCTGACGTTCATCAAGTTTTCCACGCTGTCGACCCTCAAGCGCGACTACAAACAAGAAAGAACAACTTAATAAACTTCTTTTGTTTCAATCTCATCATCTCTTTCTTATTATCATTCTTTTTTGCTTTTGTCTTCAACAACATCAGCATCGGCATCATCATCTCCTTCTACTGACTGTCAAAATCACTTTTTATGATGAACTTTATATATGTAATTCATTTTGTGCATCCGTCTTTGGATCTGAGTTGATTTTTGATGCACACATTACTTACACGACTACAGCAGATTCTGTTGTAATGAATTTTTAACGATGCATTCATGAAAGCATTTCATTTTATTATAAATTTTGAATTACGACTCAGGATTAAATATTTACACCGCGAGAGTGAATCGAGGGCACATGGAATTATAAGTAAAAGGATTGTTTACGTGTTGGATCGTAAAAGGAAAGAAATTTAACGTCGTCTGGCGCATGTTTACATCAAGATATAAATAATATAATTTTGTATTTTATCTATTTCAAGTTGAAAAGAAATGTTGGATTGACTGACGAGAAATGTTTAAAAAATTGTAATAATTCTTCACATGACTGACTTATTTATGTAAATATTTATGATTTCATGCTTTACATCAGAAGAACACGAAAGAAGAAAGAAGATTAATTTGGAAATGTGCATTAAAGACCTGCGACAACATTTTCAAAACTTACCTCACGGGATTCTGTGGTGTTGCTGTGATGCAAGACGCTCCAATGAGAATAGCGAGACAAGACAACAAAATCTTCATGCTTCACTCAATTATCTAACTGGAAATATTTGGAAATATTTATTCGTCAAAAGCGATTTAGTATTAATCTGTTTTGTCAACACTTTAGCATTCAATTAAAATCAATTAAGCTTCATAAATCACAATCCACTTGCTAAATTAAAGTAATAAAATATCTCAGAGTTCATAGATTAACAGCGAAATGAATAAACGTAACTTTGATAAGACTTTCTTCGAATGGAATTGAGATCACTGACTTAATGATTTAAATTTATTTCAACTTAATTGATCAGCGAGTAATTAAAATTCTTAGAATATTTAAAACTAAAATTTACTTCTTTACGCCGGTTTCTAATAACTCAAATCTACACTTAATATGTTTTCGTTTGATGTTGAATGTTCATTCAAATTCACTAAATTTTCTTTATTTCTCTGATCTTTCGTCTGTTATCGTTGACGCTTCGACGAAAACTGGAGCGAAAGATTTTTATTTCTTCCCGTTTTTCAAAAATATTTTCTTCTCCCGAACGATGAAGATCATCGCTCAGCATTTTGTTTTGCTTTTTTGTTTCATGTTAAGGAATAAGAAGAGTGATGAGAATATTTGAGATTCTGAATAAAAGAAGAAAACAGATGGAATGATTTTTGGCATCAGTCGAAGATGTCATGAGGTGTTGTAAGTAAATAATGTCACAAAGAATCAGCGCTTTGACTCACTTTGGTTTTGTATCAAGTCAAGTCACTCAAGTAATTCAAGTAAAAAAAGTTTTCAGATCAAGTCATGTCATGCCAATTCAGGACAAGACTCTGCCAAATATGTTCAACAATTTTCTTAACGATTATGTGTCATTAATTCAGCATGCATCCCAAACTAAATGACATCTTAGAAGATCAACAAAAAAAAATTTTCGACATGAAACACATTTTCCCGAAAGGATCGACTGAAATTTAATTCTTTTTGTTGAAGGTTCTCAAGAATGTTGCTAAAGAAAACTTGAATAACATTAAAATGTCAATTAATTCAAAGAATTGTTTTTATTCGTTCGTTTTTGGATTGATGACTAGAAACTACCATAACATTATGAAAAACAAAATAAACAAATCTACTAATGAAGGTTTAACTGAAGAAATAAACAGATTCCAACACTTTCTTCAAATCAAAGTCACCCTTCTGAGGCACCATGGTGAGAATTCTGTTCAGTTTCTTCTTTGCCATGTCATTAACTGATCCATCATTCGGTAAATCTCTGAAGGGAAAATGAGGGAAGAAAAAGTATTAAATATAAATAAATGTAATTATAGAAAAGATGTCACTCACTTTCTCCGGAAACTATATTTGGCAACCATAAATTTCGATAAATCTTCGAGAATCGGCTGACTATGAAGCTCGACAAACTGCTCGCGACAAATTTTATTCATCTCAGGAACAGTACAAGCATGAGTCCAAAAGCAATCATGAACTGAGACAAATGTCAGACCAGCCTTTTCACAATTTAATGACGTCAACATCATGTGACTGGAATCGAGTGAGTGGATGAAGTTTGGTGGAAAAGCATTTCTTTGTTTCATGATGTTTGGCTTCGTGAATAAATCGCCGACAGTTATCGTGTTTAGAGTCGCGGATTTGGTAAGTTGTGGGACTTTATCATGACGACTGTAAGGTTGAACGACAGGCAATCCAAGTGGCGTCACCCATTCAACGTTTTGCCCGCAAACCGTTGATATTAATCGAGCACAATCCGTCAACCAATCTTGAATCTCTTTCGTGCTTGTAAATATTTCACCAAGTGAATCAAAAGTCTTGATCGTCAAATAATTTGCTGCTGACCAAACCCACTCTTTCGGAAAGTCTTCAATGTCTTTAAGTTGTTTCGCAATTTGAAGTTTTGCACCATAACGTGTCACACCATAAACCGTCGTCATCACAGTTTGTTTAATCACTTTTCGTTTCACGAAGTTTCTTAAAATTTTTGCTACTTCAATTCCATTATTTTCATCATTTTGTCTTGCTTTTTCAACGAGCTGTGCAATGCCACTGTAAACATCTTGTGGAACATTAGCTGGAGATAAATTCACGCTAAAAGCTCCATCTGAATCACGTCCAAGTGCTGCATAATGTTGAAGACCATTACATGATCCATCTTGATGAATTGGATAAGAACTTTCATAATTCTCCGGTTCAACATTTGATCTTAAAACCTTCGCAATTTCCATACAACATGAAAGCGTTTGCCATGGTTCGTCACTTTTCGTCCACCACATTTGTCCATCAAGAGGATGATCAGCTGAATCGAGAATTTCATTCATAACTTCTTCAGCATAAAGAAGTCGCTCACGAACTGAGTCGCGCTTCTTAAGCCCAGTCAAATTTATGCAATGAAGTTTCAACCATGAAAATCCATCAATTCCAAGTTTCTTCTTCTGATGAAATATCAACAAAGATCGAGCTAAATCTGAACTCAAATGATTCAAATGAGGTGGAATTGGATAAACACGACCACGAAAATCCATATTATGTGGCAACCAAAACACTCGATCACGATAATGATTGGCAAGTGATAAGCGATATAAAGAGTCACACCATAAACTGTACATCTCCGCTTGTTTCCTTCGATGAACTAATTTTTGTCGAAAGAATTCAAATTTTTGTGTTTTTGTGAGTTCGCTGGTGCTTTCAGGTGATGTTGGTGGTGGCAGAGAACTTGGGAGTGGTGGAACATCAAGCTTATCATCACCACCATCATTAAAAACTTTCAGAATCACATCCAGTACGTCTTTATTAACAGTCCAAGGAATGCTTGCCAACTGATTAAGAGAGTCAAGTGATGGATATAAATCACACAATGGCATACCTTCAATCTTTTCAATTTGTTGTCGTGCTGATTGTGGAAGACGGATGAGATCGGATTTAGCTAGAAGATAACCGCCATTCTTATCTGTCGTCCAAGGTTGTGGTGGACACACCATCGGCACTTGATTAACGGGAAATGTTAAAGTTTCTCGTTGTGATCCACGAAATAGCTTCACTAACACCGGATGTGGCTTAATTTCTTCTTTCATTCGATATCCTTGATTTCTAAACAACGAGAAAAATGCTGGCGATAAATTTTCATTCTTCTGTTTGCTCTTCGTCATCCGAATGATGTTTAAATCAATTTTAAGATCGCGCATTAAAATATTGTAGAGAAAACGTCCAATACCAATTTGAGCTGCAAGTGGCCAAGAACTTTCTGTAAAGTTTAAACTTGGACCATCATTTGCATTTTGATAAATAAGACGTTGCCAGCATTGTCTTGAATTGTCACTAAAATTACCAGATGATAAAATGTCACAAAAGCTGCCGTAAATTTCGCCAGTTTTTTGTAACAATCCATTTCGTTTCTTCAAATCCATTTGATAACGTGTTTGAACATTTGCTCCAAGATTCTTATAAAGGCACATCACTGTTGGACTGTAAGTTTCAGAACCTTGCGCCAACATTTCAATTTCTTTGAAAAGGATCTCAATAAATTCATCAAGTTCAATTGATTTTAAATAAGGAAAAAGATTTTGACCTCCGCGAGATTTAGCAAATTCTTGATGCTTCAAAGCATTTAAATCACGATTGAAAGCCATTGTGATGACATCACGCCATGAGGTCTTCAACTGTGCAATCTTTTCTCGATAAGCAAGAACAGTTGACGTTGGTTCAGGAAATTTTTCAATGGATTTTATTGTAACATATCCAGTGAGTTCAGCTTCAAGTTGTTCACGTCCTAATGTTTCAAGTTCTTGTCTGTCAAAGCCAATTTTGCTGTTCATAATTTCTGATCCCGAAACTTTCTCATCGAGATGATTGAGAGGATTAACGGTGACATCTTGAACGTTTTGATTAAGATTATCTAGCATTTTGTTGTGATAGAGAAGATCTGGCGGTGTGTAAAGTGGCTGGAAATCTTTGATTACAAGCTGAATAGCAGAAATAACAAATTCACGATGATTTTGAAGGAAAAAAGATTTGTCAATTAAATCATTGGCAGATAGATTATGATGTGACGCTTCATCAAGTGTTTGATTCACTAACTTTATAAGATCATCTGCATTAAGATGATATTTCTCCATAGATCGTTGATTAATTAATATTCGTCCAAGACATTCTAGAAAGTTTGCAAATGTTTGTGCATTTGGTTGAATTTTGTCTTCTTTGATAATGTTCATAAGTTCCTGAACTTTTTGTAAATTTTCTCGTTCGGCATAGCCATGAATTAGAGTGTTGTAAAGACAAACATCAGTCAATTTAATTGCATGATTTGATGATGAGTTATTCGAATGACTCGACTTATATCTGTGATTAATGATTGAATAATATGCGCGATTTATCATTCCAATGTTGACACAACATTCAAGATAAGCTTTTAATGAGTAAGTTAAATATTTTTGTTTCGCTGCGCGTTCCTTTTCAAAACTTTCAAAATATTTTCCTTTGAATCGAGATTTTTCTTTTGTCACTTTAGTTTTTGATGGTTTTTTATTGATAGGTTTAATTGGAAGTTCTGATTCATCTTCATAAATTTCTTCTTCCACTGCTTCATTTATTTCATCTGTTGCACTTTCATCAAGTAAAGTTTCTTCAGCTATTCCTACATTTGAAGCTCCTAATGCAGAATTCTCAGAAATCTCACGAAAAGCATTAAAACTTTCAATTATTTCTTGATATTTCTCTTTTGAAATTGTCATCTCATTCGTATTTCCAGTGACAAATACAATCGGCGTATTGTTAAGCTCCTTTACACTCGGACTTGTTGATCCAACTTTATCTTCAGCTTCAACGACACTTTTTTCCTTCGGAGTCTTTTCAAAGTTAGCCTCATTAATAAATGCAGCTAACTTTTCTGCTTTTAACTTCTGTATTGCTGTTGTTGTTTGTTTTGTTGAATTGTTTGTAACTTAAATTCGAAATTTATGTTTAAATGACTCTTAAAGAATATTTAATTTCTTTTATTTACCTTGTAAAAGTTCAGTATATTTTTTGTGAGGCTTTTTCTTCCTTTTTGTCAGTCTTTTTAGCATCTCCGAACTGAGTTTGTTACTTGAATAATTTTTATGAATAACTCCATCTGAATGTTTGTGAACATAAACGAAGGTTACTTATCACATTTAATTAATTGAAAACTATTAAGCGTTTGTTACTTTAATTATAAAGCAAGATGTATATATTCGGAAACTTTTAAAACTCACCAGACAATGTTAATATTTGTGGTTTTTGATTGAATAACAAATGGACATCACTACTGCTTTCTATTATTTTTCTGCGACTAAGAAGTAACTTCGCATTGCTTACACTATGAAATCCTAGCAAACGATGCATTTTGCTTAAATTTTTAATATTTTTCTTCAGAATCCTACAGTTAAATACACTTGTTTTTTAAAAATTTCTTTTTTTCTTTATTTTTAGTTTTAAAATGTGCTTGGGGTTTGTTTATGAATTCAGTTTAGTGTTCTCAGAATCAGATGGCGTTAGGATATAAACGAATCTCACTTTTCAATGTTTATTTTTATTGAATTCTTTTTTAAAATACCATTTCTTTTCTGATAATTCATATAAGACTTGGGCAATGGAAATACCTCTTGTCTTCTCATTTCTTTGATTTTTTGCTTCAAACTGGATTTTTTCTGTTTGTTATGCACCAAAAGCCTTTCTTTTATAGAGTTAATATTTTTTGACTTTGCTATGTCTTTGGACTTAGCTTTTTCAATTAATCTTTGAGGAAGAAGGACTTCTGCTATAACTCTATTAGTTTTCCGTAGAACATTTATATATTGATCAATATTATCTTGAGTATAATTTTCTTCTAAGTTTGGAAGTTTTGTATCAATATTTAGATTCACCACTTTCGAACTATTTCTTTGCTTTCGTGATTTGACTTTTTCGATGATATTTTGGTGTTTGTTCACAGTAGCTAAAGCTTTTTCTCGTGCTGCCGCTGGAATAAAGAATCAATGTCATATTTTTCGTTTTTAATAAATTTAAAATTCTTACCGAAGTTCATGTTGTTTTGAATAACTTATAAGTTTGGACCGGTTCAAATTGAAAGGGGAATGCACTTAAATTGAGTCCATTGAAAAACGACTAAAAATTTAACAACTCAATCTAGTGGATTATCTGCAAGGAACAAACGTTTTTGCTTTGCATTTAAAAACGATATTCAGTCATTTCCAGTTTTCGCTCGGCCAATAAATTAAATAAAAACTAAACTAAGTAAGTAAATCAATATTATCAACATAAAATTAAAACGATTAACACGGAGTTGCAAACGAAATTGGAATTTTACTAGTTACGTGATAAAAAATGTGCACTAAAATATTCTATTTAAGTTTTTTACTTAATTACACTAAATTTGGGCCAAGTGATGGTCAAATTAGTTTACTTCCGTAATCAATTTGTGCATACAAATGTAGCTTGCATTTCTAGGTCATTAACTTTATCGAAATCTCTTCAAAAGTCAAAGATTGCGTAATCAATTTATATTCTTGCTTAGTAGAAGCCGCATTTAAGCTCAGAAAAGTGTTAATTACATCACATTTAAAGTCCGTTTTTGTCTTATTCCATTAAGTTGCTTGGTCAATAACCTAGTAACCAATAAATGTGCATCAATCATTAAAGGGGCTCGATCGTTTGCGCAAAAAAAATCGATTTTTCAATACAAACGCCATACTGGGGGACAATCCAAAGAAAGTGTAAATTATGTCTTAGAAATTCCGATTTTTGAAGATCTTCAAGCTTTTCTGATTTGATCATTTACATTTATTCATTAATCATTTCTGAATTATCCCATGATATGATTTTATTTTGTTATTCTGTTCGTAAATAGTTTCATGTATTCGCTATAATCGTATGACGTTTATCACTTCTACGTTTCTTGTGTATTTGTGATCGTCAATTGATGATGAAAATCTGTAAGAAAACCAGCCTAAGTTTTACAATTTTTCTCTTAAATGGATCTGCAAACGAATGTTATAATTAGTTCACTTTTTAAGATGTGATTGAAGACGTAAAAACTTTTAGTTTCGTTCTTAAAGTGAAGACGAAAATTTTTTTTCAAGCATGTGATGTAAATTAACTTATGAATCACGAAAGAACAAACAGAGTTCCGTCGTCAATTGCTAAGATAATAAAAAAAAATACAAAATTAGAAGTTTTAACTTTGTGCAAACTATTTAAATATATTTTTATATATTGTCGAGAAACTTGAAGATAATTTAAGAATTAATAATTGCATTTATGTATCTATTAAAAGATTAGAAAAAATCTCCTTGAAACAACCCTCAACTGATACAAAAATGAAAGTCAAAATCAAAATAGAATCTTAATCTTTTGTTGCATTTCTATTTTCAGATCATGGCACCTCCAGCATATTCAGATTTGGGCAAAAATGCACGCGATGTCTTTAACAAGGGTTACCATTTTGGTTTGTGGAAATTGGATGTGAAGACAAAGACCAACAGCGGTGTTGAATTCACTAGTGCCGGACATTCGAATCAAGATACTGGAAAAGTTTTCGGATCACTGGAAACCAAGTACAAAGTTAAGGAATATGGACTTACGTTCTCCGAAAAGTGGAATACAGACAACACATTAACATCTGAAGTTGCTGTTGAGAATCAACTCATTGACGGACTTAAGTTGAGCTTTGATGGATCTTTCGCACCACAATCAGGGTAACAATCATCTTGTAATGTAGTTATTTAAAATTGGGGAGCTAGACAAGATGTTTGAGCATGTAAATTTATGAATTAACAGACTTGTTACTTTCCCCCATACAGCATAACTTGTCCAAGTAGTGTCACCATCCGTTATAGAAGAAACATTAACCATTATTTACCATCTTACATTTATTTCGGTTATAAATTTAGAAGTAAAACAGGACGCTTCAAGACAGCTTACGCACATGAATATGTTCATTTAAATGGCGATGTTAATGTTGATTTAGCTGGACCATTGATCAATACATCAGCTGTCGTTGGTTACGAAGGATGGCTTGCTGGTTACCAATTGGCATTTGATACACAAAAAAGCAAATTGACAGCCAACAACTTTGCACTCGGCTACAAGTGTGGAGATTTCATCTTGCACACAAATGTGTAAGTTTGTTCTTCTTTTTATTAAACATTGTAGATTGTCGGCAAAACTAAGCAGCGAGTTTTAACTTAGAAGAAAAAGAAAAAACAAAATCTCTTCTAATTTTACTCGCTTCTTTGAGTCGAGAAGATTTTCTCGCTTGATTTTATTTTTATCGTTGAAGTTGGCAGAATGCTAACTCGACATTCACTTGCGTCACGTGCTTGTTGATGATAAACAAGAAAATTAACAAAATTAAGATTTTCTTCAATTTCTTTTAACAGCGATGATGGTCGTGAGTTCGGTGGCAGCATTTATCAACGTTGCAGTGATCGTTTGGAAACTGGCGTTCAATTGTCATGGACATCAGGCTCAAATGCAACCAAATTCGGAATTGCTGCTAAATTTGACTTGGACAAGGATGCTTCAGTTCGTGCTAAGGTGAACAATGCAAGCCAAATTGGTTTGGGATATCAACAAAAGTTGCGCGATGGTAAGAAGAATTTTTGTCTTCACAAATTACTTAAATTCATTTAAATATTTTAAAATCTTTACAGGAATCACTTTATCTTTGTCGTCATTAATCGATGGCAAGAACTTCAATGCTGGCGGTCATAAGATTGGTGTTGCTCTTGAGCTCGAAGCTTAAACATGCTAAACGTTCACAACTCTCTCCTATTATTCTTTCTTTAAAATAAATACATTGCCGCATTGTTGTTCCACAAACAAACACACATTCAAAATTATAAAAAAAAATTAAATCAATAGAAGTGGAAACAAAATTAAGACATAATTAAAAAATAGTAAGAATTAAAACATGGAGCGGAGCGTCGTAAACAGAAGCAGATTCCACCTTCAGCATTGAAAATTTTTCTTGTGTCCAATCCCAGTTTAAAATGAAAAAAATAAGAAGTTAAACTAATAAAAAATAGAAAAGAAAACAAAGAGAGAAGTCAATGTTAGTGAGTTTCAGTTGAATGATTAAAAAGGCTTTACCAGTTCAGTTTAATTTTTTAAATCGGATGATTGATTGAAAAATTCTTCATTTGCCTTCTTCAATCGAAACAAAAAAAAATTATTTTGTTTCTCGATTTAATGCTTTTATTCTGAAAACAAAAATGAATTAATAAAACTGGAGAAATGTTAAATATATAATTGATTTAGAATCGGAAAAATGAAAATGGATTTTCTTTTTTTTTATTTCAGAGGTTTCAAGGAAAGTTAAGATTTCGTTAAATGCTTGACAATGTCTTTGAAAACAATTGAAGATGTGCAGTCAGATAATTCTTTGACACAAGCTTTCCCAGTTCCTCCTAATGCTCCAACACGAGGATCTATTGGAAGTGTTCCTAGAAGTGGCACTTTGACAAGTTCGGCAAGTGCTTTACCACCGCCAGATGAAAAAATGTTTGTACATTCTGCGCAGTTCGGACATACAAATCCGCTCATGTTTTCAACGATCCCGATTATGGAAATTCCAGTTTTCTTGCAAAATGTAACTTCTTTACGAACATCTTCCAGTGCCACTTCTTGCGGTGTTGTGACGATTATAGCTCCATCACATTTCACTTCTCTCATACATTCCATCACTGTTATGTGTTCATCCGAAGTTCCTGGTGGTGTGTCAATGATTAAATAATCAAGTTCCTCCCAACAAACATCACTGAGGAATTGTCTAATCATAGCAGTTTTTTTTGGTCCACGCCAAATTATCGCGTCATTTCGAGATTTAAGTAGAAAACCGATAGACATGACAGCAAGTGATTTTGTTGAATCTGTGTAGATTGGAACCCATCCCTCTGATGATTGATGTACATCTTTGTCCTCTAAATTCATAAGATAAGCAACGCTAGGTCCACATAAATCAATATCCAAAAGTCCTACCTTAAATCATCATGACAATTCAAAATTAATACATTTCCGATGTTATCAAAACAAAAAAAATCATGTAACTTACTTTAAATCCACTTTCCTTAAGCGTTAATGCTAATTGTGTTGACACTGTTGACTTTCCAACGCCACCTTTACCAGAAAGCACAAGGATCACATGTTTTACTTGTTCTAGCATCTTTATTTTCTTAAAAATATTAATTTCGTGTAGAATTTCAATTGTATGACCAACTTTCAATTGAAATTCAGAGGGGCTTTCAACTTTATCAAAACAAAATCTTTTGTTTTTCTTTGAAGTGAAGTTTCAATAAATAAGTTGATCATAATAATTATTAAAAATGGCCAATCTAAAGAATGATCTAGATGAATATATGTTAATGAATGAAGAGAGAAAAGCTCCAGGTTATAAACTCAATATGAAAATGCCAAAACTTCCCAGCGTTTTCGGTGGAAATTCTGAAAGTACAAGTTCAAATAACTCCTGGCTGAATGATGACGACAACGGATGGTGTCCCAAATTAAATAGACTACAAAGAATGATAGGATGTGTGATATGTTTCGGACTTGGAATATTCTGCTTAGTTGTGTCAACATTTTATATTCCCGTTTTAATGTTTAAAGCGAGAAAGTTTGCTTTACTTTATTCAATGGCAAGCGCACTCTTCATAGCTGGGTAAATATTGAATAATTTCATCATTTGGCAACAGCTTTCTTATGAAAAAAACATTTCCTTTAGTGTATCGTTTATGATTGGATTTAAAACATTGCTACAAAGTATGTTTACAAAGCAGAAACTAGCAGCATCAATTTGCTATTCACTTAGCTTACTTCTTACGTTATATTTTGCTATGTGGGCTAAAAGCACAGCATTCACAGTATGCTTTGCTATAATTCAAATCATCTCTCTTGGTTTCATGCTCTTCGGCGTCGTGCCTAAAGGTTCAGCAAGTGGATTTAAATTCTTCGGATCTCTCTTCAAGAGTCAAGTCTCATCGACATTACCAATATGATTAAAAATAACAAGAGAGCCAAAAATATTCGATAATAAATTGATTGAATTTTTCACTATTATCATTAAAAATTTATACATTGCGCTGTAATAAAGAAAGTATTTTTTAAAAATTAATTTATCATGAAGATAATTTTTACGACCTGAAAATATATAATTAATTAAAGTGTCGTCTTTAAAAACTTTCATTGAACTATTTTTCAGATTCCTTGCCACTGAATATTGTTCGAGAAAATAAAATGTCTAAGATATTTATAAGTTTAATTTATTTCTATGTCGAGACTCAATACAGATCAAAAGTTATTATTTTAAGTACAACAATAAATTGTTATCAAATAAATCTATTAAAATAATTATGCGCAATATTATTCAATTTGTTGCGGTTATGACCACGATCACATGGAAAATTTCATCGTTCATCAAGTGTATGAATATGTATTAAAATTACAAATTATTTATTTGCAGTAAATATTAATTGAGCTTTCTTTTTAAGTGTTGCGCCATAATTCGTTGCATTGATAATTAAAATTATTTCTGAGGAATTAAAAAATACTATTTAAGTAAATAATTTCACTGAAAGATAAACACTAGAACAGTTGGAATTGTTTGAAGTATGTGAAGTGTGTTTAAAGCGTCAAAGCTTTTAATTTTTAACCCAATCCGTGATCTTCAAAAAATCCTTGCGGTGTTTCATCCTGAAATGACAAATGGAAATCGACTTTAAAGTTTAAGTGTTGTAGAAGAAAATAGTTTGACATGTAAGTGATCGCAAGGAATCAAAAACAAGGACAAGTTAACAAAACATAAAGGTCATGGAAAGTCTTAACTTGATATTTAGTTTTACATACCTTGTTTTAGATTCCAATTAACAACCAACCAACCAACCAATCAACAATCAATGATAGAAAATTAAAAACACTAGGTACCACTACACATTTCTTTTTAAAGTTTTCTTCTGTTAATTTTCATTCTTTTTCAGTAAAAAAAAATTAACACTGATGAAACTAAATCAAAAAAATAAATTTCGCATTTTGTCGTTAATTGTGATTGAAAGTTACATGATAAAAATAAGCTGTAATCACAGTCAACAATAAATACTTAAGTTCGTTGCTAAAAATATGTTCGGAACTCAAAGAACTCTAAAAAGGTGAATAAAAAATATTTAAAACCTCAACCTTGTTAGTTAATGAAATATCTAATTAGATATCTAAGTAAGAAATGAAAGTATTTGTTGATAACACAACCGATTGAGTTAATCCAAACGATTTTAATTTCATATGAACAGTTCTAATATCTTTATTAATATTTTTTCTTTAATTTTGGTCCAATGTTTATCTAATTGCGCGGTGTTTTCTCTTAATCGCACATGATGTTTTTAGATATTTCTTAATGAATGTCGAAAAGTGTAAACTGATAAATTACTTTTCAACTTTTCAGTTAAAGCGTCACATTTGCTGGTTAACTTCAAGTAATTTGCAATAAGCAAAGTGATAATAATGATGATGATGAAATTGATGATATAACATCGATGATTGCTAACATCACTAAATTTAGTTACTTTCTAAACAACGATATGATTTAATATCATTAATGTTGTAATTTACAATTCCTTTAAGAAAATTCCCTGGTTGGTTATTTATCTAACATATTTCTTAGTAAGCACAAAGTAATAAATTTTGTAAACATTTTAAAGTTGTTTTCTCTTTCCTTTTCCCGAAAAAATTTGTACTTGTTTAGATACACGCATTCTTAATTTCTTTTAGAAAGTAGCAGTTTGTGGTCCTGTTTCAAATTCTTTTGTAAATATTTATTCACTTTCAAAATGATTTATGATTTATCACGAAATTGTTAAAGACTTTTTCTCATGTGCTAATGATGAGATATTATAAAGCTAAGAGAGAAAACATCTAAGTATTTAGTGTGATAAACAATTCTTTATGGCAACAATGTGCGTCACAATGTGGAAGAGAAGAAGTGTCTTGGCAATTGGTACATTATGGAGTTAGCCATCACATATCTTTATAACAATCCAATGTCACGTAAACTCGTCTCAACAGCTTCTTCCTGTCAATGTTAGCAATATGTATGTCAGTCGCCGATTAAAAGTGGAAAAAGAAAAAAAATTGAACAACAGAAATAGTTTTCGATTAGAAAACCGCAGATTTTTTTCCGAACACTATTTACATTTAAATGTTTAGATGATTAATAAGGGTTAATTAATGGGTGACAATCATTAACTTTTCCAGACTGATAGAAAGAAAAACTTGACTTTTATTAATAATTAACAACATATCATTCAATTTCACCAAAAGTAACCCCAGGCACATCAACGAGGGAAAATTGTAGGAAATTGTCGATGAGGTAAAGAAAGTTAGAAAAACACTAACACTTACACACACTTAACAATTAATCATTGTCCTACAAATGATTTTTTAGTTTAGTTTAGTGGTAAAGGAAGCGACAGATGTATAGAGTGGAAAGGTGGAAGATTCTAAATAATTACAAAGAGATGTGAAAATGAAAAGAAAAATTAAAAAGTCATTTTTACTTCATTTTTTTCTACACTTGTTCATTTCGTTTTAATTGATTTTTTCATCATTGGCATTGATTCTTCTGCATAACAAGTTTTAATTAAATTTCTTAACACAATATTTTCTTCTTTTCTTGTCTTAAAATTTGATCATACAATTTTTCTTTTTTAAATATGATTTTTTAATGTAATTAAAGTTGGCAATTTTAGTGGCGCTTAAAATATGATTTTCGGATGTTTTAAAAGTTTTTAAATTTCACACCAATTTAAATACGAACTTATCATGAACGAAGGAAAAAATAATAAAAATGATAATATAAATTAATAATAATAATAAGTAAATACTGCATCATAATGAAAACCTTTCATTTATAATTTTTTTTGGCAAGAATAGTGAGTTAGTAAAAGAAAAAATAATCTTCCTCATCTAAGACCTGAAACGGTTGAATGGATTGTTTGTTGGTATCAGATAAAATGATAATAATTTAATCTTAAGTACACAAACAATAAAACCAATTTCCAGAGTGATGAAATAATAAAATAATTTAAATGAAGCTTGAACAAAAAAACAATTTTTCAATTTAATGTTTCAAACACTGACAAGACTCATTCAGAATATCAAAGCGATAAACTTGAGAGGCTTGCAAATGGTTAAAAAATTGAAATTTAATAAAGATTTGAAGCAATGAAGCAAAACAATAAAAGCTTCACTCTTTGCTGCTTGAAAGAAAGTTTTTTTAAGGAATAAAAAATAAAAACTACACGCAAAAATTAATTTACATATCTAAATATAAAATTTTCGGTGTGTCTAAGCAAAGCGCCCTATTTAGAAAGGTAAATGTTTTGAAAATGCAACAGGTATGATTTAAAAAAGTTTCATCAAAATTCTGATTCTATGAATCATAAACTCGCTCATCATCATCAAAAGGTGAGTAAAAAAAATGACATCCTAGATAAAGATATTTTCATGTGTTGTATGATTATTCTCAATGACTAATTCAAATTCTCATTCAGATCCTTTAATGCGTGTAATCAATTTTCAAAGAGAATGAAATTGTTTCAATAATTTTTCACAATTAAAAATAAAGAAAAGAAAAAAGAAGAAAAAGAGAAGGAAAAAAATTTGGAGTTTTAGGTATTGAGAAATAAGCTAAAATAGAAATGTTTGTAATTATTTTTAAGGATTGGCTGAATCAAGAAAAGCAAATAGCAATCGAAGGATTTGATAATGCAAGAAACAGGCGTTTAAAGGATTGAGGTAAAGAGAAAAATATAATCTAATTATCATTATTGGAAGATATTCTGACAGTTCATGCTATTCATGCAGTTTAATTTATTTAAATAGAAATCATTCAAAATATATGTTGGCAATTTTAAGTTTCTAAAAATGTTCTATTCAGTGTTTCTCATCGCAAAATTTAAGTAGATAGTTAAACTAATTAGTGTGAATGAATTTTCTTTTTCAAAATTTACGTAATTTTTCTTTTCGAGAACTGAGACGAGAAACACTGAAGTTCGTTTAACATTTATGATCGAATTAATGAATTTTCTTGTGGCAATAGAGGAATAAATCTATTTGAATTATGGAAATGACAGATGAAATGATCTAATTTAAGTATTCTACTTAGATTCTTATTTCTTTTTTTGTTTCAAATTTTCTAATACTTTTTTCAATTTCCATTAGGACTTTGGCAAAATTACAATTCATGTAAATCTTTTCTGGCTTTTTCAAATAATTTTTAAGGCATTTAATTCTTTCCATATCTATTCATGAAAATTTTAATTAATTTTTGAATTTTCTTTTTGCAGATTAAGATGAAAAAATTAGGTAAGGGCATTAGCCTCAGTCGATATTTAAGTAATTATGTGAGTCTTCGTAATTTTTCAACATAACAGACATCAAAAAAGAGACTAAAGAAAATTTCACTGCCACCAAAATGCAACTCAATAAAAGTTTAAAAACTCCTCAAGACAGCACAATTTTTCTTAAACTTTCTTTGCATAGAAGCATCATCCTTGATGAACAACATCAACACCATTTAGCCCAGAACATCAAGGATGATCCTATCATTTTAAAAAGCCCATTGAGGAAAAGCGAAAGATTCTCTCAAAAATATAAAAACAAAACTTAAACTCATAAAAAATTATGCGATGTAAAAAGCGATCAACAGAAAATAAAACTTTGCAAAATATTTGGACGTTTTTTTGGGAAGATTTTTTCATAGCTTTTCTTTGCGTCATGATTAATGGATAATTCAAATATCGTAAGTGTCGTCATTCCCTACCTACAGAAGTAGCGATAAACAAAAAAGAATAATAAATGAAATAAAATTTTTTCACCTCTTGTAAAACATCCTGAGCTGCGATTGCTTTCAAAACATTCTTTTTGGACGTCTCTTGAATTTCACCTCCAACAAGTAATTCGTCGAGGATGAAATATGCCTTCTCAAAGTTGAATATGATGTCAAGTTCGCAAACCTGAGGAGAAATGAAAGAATAAAAATGAATTCTCCCTTAATTCATAATAAAAAAAGATAAACTTACACTTCCAAAATATTTATCTAGCAATTCCACGTAACGATGAATTATTTCAAGTGTCAACAATTCGTTATCTTCTTGTTCAACAGCACAACAAAAGTATAAGCTTGCATATCTATGACAGAGAATGATTAATAAATAAAATTTTTAGTTTTATTTTAATTAAAAAATAATGACACACCTTTTATAAACAATCTTGCAGTCTTTCCACTCCAGGAAAGAACACATTTTCGGTTTACGAGCAAGAATAGTTGTTATCAGTTCACGTGTGATCTTCTTTTTTACTTTGTCCTGATGTGCTACGTACCACTTCTGGAGTCTGAGTTTTCCTTGCCGCGAGAACAGAAGCATAAATTGCATCTAGAAAAATTATTTTAATAACTTCATTTATAAAAAGATTGAACATTTTTTTATTCTTTTTTACAACAGGTGGATGAGAGAGCAAGTTGGAAGTTCACAGTCATCAAGAAAAAAATATTGATTTTACACAATTCTTTCAAAATGGCTTAATTTGAGAAAATTAAAGCTAAATTTTACTTTACATTTTATCTGTGATGTCTTAACTGACAACAGAATATCTTATTTACCATTTTAAAGCCGCTACAGTGATGATATAAAATAAAAATTGGGAGTGAAAACAAATTATTTTTATATAAAGGGGACTTTAACTTTTCCTTATTGACATGAGGAGAAAAGAACTTGAAGATTTAATATTTCAAAGACTGTTACAAAATGGAAAATCGAGAATAAGAAGATTATTATCTCGAGATTTTAATAACACTTCATTTTAAAATATCGGCAACTTCTTCCCAGCTGTCTCTAAACAGCCAACAAGTTGTTCTAATTATGACTTTTTTACAAAAATCCTATCCTCATAAAATAACAAAAAATAACGCTACATTTAGATTTAAATACCACCTATGAAGTTAAACCCCCTCTGAGAATACTACGCTTTTGATTTACATTCTCGTGAAAATTAAATTTAAATCATGAATTCAATCCGTAAAACATCTCAGTTTGCACCAAGACTATCTTCATTTATTCGGTAAGCAATCGAAAGTGATGATAAAGTAAAGCATTCACTTTTACAAAAGTTATTTTGCCGGTTTTTACAGTATTACAATCATTTACCTTGTTTCTTTTGTTATGTAAGATTTTAATCAATCTTCTGATATTGATAACAGCAAAAGAATAACTTATTCATTTAAGATACATTCAAATTTATAAAAACCTTCCTTTCATCCTCCAAAAGTTTTCAAAATTCAAGTATCTTCAAGTAAATCTTTTAAGAGAAATAAAAAATTTTAATCTCTTGATTAGACAAATGAGCGATTCAAAGCCTACTCCAGATTCTGCTGGTGCGATTCGCGCTGCTGGTGGTGGATTTGCCAAAATGGAAGTTGCGCACGAGGAGGAATATTTTTATAAAATGGTAATTTGAATGTTTCGACTATAAAGATTTTTCTTAATTCTTTAAAATCCTTCAGAGACAAGACCAATTGCACCAGCTGAAAGAAAAACAAATGAGCGAACATCAGTTTAGAGAAAAAGCTATTAAAGACCATGAACAAGCCATTCAACGTCATAAGGAAGCAATTTCTGGTCTCAAAACAGAGAAATAAATTCCTCTTTCTGTTACAGTTCCATCACCTACAGTTCCATCATTAAAAATTAAAGCTAACAAAAAATCAGAAAATTTCAACACATTAAAACGTGAAAATCCCTTTTCGTGTTCAAATGTAACTCGACACTTCTTACAAACTTCTTTTCTTTCTTTACAGAATAATAATGATAGTCATGTAACAGTCTATAGCATTTAGACGTTTTCTTTTTTATGATGGATCTGCTGCTTAGTTTCTGAAATAAAAATATTCAAGCACGAGTTTTGTGAAAATTAAATTTTATTCTTATTTTAAATTTATTACAGCTTCAACTCATTTTTAAGAACATTCATCTCTTTTTGTTTCATTGGTTTGAGATCGAAGCCTTTTGGCATTTCATCCATTTCTAGATCTTTATGTTGTTTCACAAGAACATGTTGTTCATCTCTAAGTCGATTTATTTCTTTTTCTATTTCATTTTGTTCTGAAATATTTTAAAGTTCATTGATTTATTCATCAAATTTCTTCCAAATGTCAGATACCTTTCGATAATACTTCAATAGCTCTTGGCGTTTCCATTTGTACAAGCATCGACCCAACTGTAATCCAACATTTCTTCTCTGCTGATTTCTTCAGCTCTCGAAGAGCTTCTCTGTTACTTTGTCGTTTAATATCCCAATTCACAAGTTCCTGTTTATTAACAAGAATTTGATCAGCTACTCTTTCAGTTTTGTAAATAATCTCGAGCACACGATCGTTGTCAGTCATCTAGAAATGGAAGAAATGGAAGAAATAAGTCAAGACAATTCTTGTCTCAGTCTTTGATCTCGTTGTTTTTGCTCTCATATCAATTTCGTAGATTTCTTTTCTAGTTAACACTTTAGGTGGTGGTCGGAAATGAACTGCACTAGGATCATTTGCCTTGAAATGAGTAATCTTCGGAGAATCTTGATCAATACCCAAACCAGTGCCTCGTTTTCTAATAACTGTTCTTATTGGATAAAGTTTTCCTGTCTTTTTTGATCCAAGACCAGAATTTCCATCCCAACCAGTTCGTCTCATCATTTGATAACCACGATTCGTTCGTGATATGCCAAAAGATTTTATATTTGTATTTCCTTTAAACTTGCAACTAAACAAATGTACAGTCGATGTTTGATGAGATTTTGAAGCGAGATTTGAAATTTCTATGCCGCAATCGGGACAATATTGTGATCCCTGATCCTGACATTCTGTTTCTTCTGTGATCTCTACAGTTGTAGTTTGGTTTTCTACTATTTCAATTATATTTTTAAAATTTTTCTTTTCTGCTAATGTTAATGCAGTGTTGCCTGTTTTGTCACTAATATTCAGATCAGCTCCATAATCCAGAAGTGTTTGAAATGAATTAGCTGATCCTTCACATGCTGCAATCATAAGTGAAGTCCATCCGAAAGCATCTACAGCGTTGACATCAGGATTTAATGAAGTTTCCAGAATTTTTCTTATCTTTTCAGCATCGTCTTCTTGAGCTGATCGAAAAAGATTTTCTTTGATGAATTTCTCCCTTTCTATTCGTTTCTTCTTTTTAATGATAGGTTTTATTTTTGTATTGTGAGAAGCTGACGTTGATGGTAATTGAAGTATTTCATTATAAATTTCACTTGATGAATTGTCTATTTTGATTTGATTCTCTGGATTTTTCCCGTTTATAACAATCTGATTTTCTGTACCAGTAGATTTTACAAATATTTTTGGCTTAAATTTAACTGTTGCTAATGCAACCCAATTCGGATGCATTGAATCATCTTCTGAGTTTTCCATGAGAATAGTTACAATTCCAATATCAACACTGAACAGCTAAAACATTGAATAAATTATAAATAACAAGACTTACGTTTTTAAGCAATAAATGTTGTTATTGGTGAAGTACTTTACCCCTTTCAAATATCTCCCAGAACTACAATAAAATTTCATATTCTGACATTCCCCGCTGAAATATTTTTTATGAGTTGTCTTTTCTACAAGTTTACAATAAACTGTGAAACAAAATCTTGTTTCTTAAATAAGTGAATTTCTAGATTGTCGGTTGTGATAAAAACTACATGACAACCCGATAACCGTACAAGTCTTTAATTTAAACTCAAATATCTTCAGACGTGACTAAATAGTTTGAGAAAATAGTTGAATTTTTATATTATTGGGTGCAATGAAATTGTTTATTTTGAGTTTATTCGTCGTGCTATTTCAGCTGACGAATCAGCTGCCAGTTAAAGAGTCTTCATCAACAGAAAAAGACCCTAGTAATTCAAAAGAGAGCGATAGCCCGCAATATAACTTGGAAAATGTCATTGGTATGTAATTTAGTTTGCATATCTTCCAACATATCATATTTAGAATTTCGTCATCAATTTTAACATGTTTTTTCGATGTTTATCTAGAATATGAACGATATCTCAAAGAGGTCGTCTCTCTACTTGAAAGTGATAAAGAATTTAGGAAAAAGTTAGACGAAGCAAGCGAAGCTGACATCAGAACTGGAAAAATTGCACAAGAACTCGAACTTGTTGATCATAATGTGAGATCAAAACTTGATGAGTTGAAACGAAATGAGTTGGAAAGGTTACGTGGCCTTGCTCGCGAATACTACGAACGTACAAATGAGATTGACCGTGAACATTTAAAAATTGCTGAGCATTTGGATCATGAGAACGAGCATACGTTTGAAATTGACGATTTAAAGAAATTGATTACAAAGACTGGAGAAGATTTAGCTGAAGCTGATCGCAGACGACATGAGGAATTCAAGCAATATGAGTTGCAGAAAGAGTTCGAAAAGCAAGAGAAAATGCGAAACATGACTGAAGAAGAGAAAAAGAAATTTGAAGAAGAACTTAAGAAAATGACTGAAAAACATCAGAAACATGAAAAAGTTCACCATCCAGGATCGAAAGATCAACTTGAAGAAGTTTGGGAGAAACAAGATCACATGGATGTCAATGATTTCGATCCTAAAAAATTCTTTATGATGCATGATGTCGATGGAAATGGCTTCTGGGATGAAATGGAAGTTAAAGCTCTCTTCAAAACTGAATTGGATAAAGTATATCAACAAGGATTACCAGAAGATGATATGCGTGAAAGAGCTGAAGAAATGGAACGTATGAGAGAACATGTTTATAAGGAAGCTGATGTAAACAGAGATCGTCTTATAAGCTTCCAAGAATTTATGGATCAGACTAAGAAACAAGATTACCAAAAAGATCCAGGCTGGGATACCGTAAGTTAAAGTTAATAATAAATAAATTTAAATCTAGACTTTTGACTCCTTAACAGGTCGATCAACAAGCTCAATATACGCATGAAGAGTATTTAGAGTTTGAAAGACGACGACAAGAAGAAATTAATCGTTTAATTGCTGAAGGTCGCTTACCACCACATCCAAATATGCCTGGTGGTTATTATCCAGCTGATCCAAATGTAAGAATTCATAATTATTTAAAGAATTTTAGTTAATTTATTTTGTTTTTTAAAGGCACATTACCAAGTTCCTCATCCTAATGAGATTCCACAAAATTATCATCCAAATGCTGTTCCACCTCAGCAATATCAGCCTTCACAAAATGGTCAATATCAGCAACCACCGCCCAATGCGCATCATGCACCCCCTCCACAATATCAACAGCAAGCGCCTCCTCCAAATCAACAACATCATCAACAGCAGCAGCAATTCCAACCCAACCCCATTCCAGTTAATCAAGTGCAAAACAATCAAGTAAATCAACAAGATCAGATGAGGCAACAATATGGTGAACAACAAAGACAACAAGCTCAACAGAATCAACAAATGGGGCAACAAAATCAACAAGCACAAGTCCAAAACCCTCCAGCACAACAGAATACTCCACAAGTGAAATCATCTGAGAATCAACAGAGACATTAAACCAATTTTTTGTTGTTTATTTCTGATATTAAATAATTATCGTTCTTCCTAAAAAATAATTTTCATGTCTTTTTAATAAATTTCTTTTTCAGGTCTACTTTCCGTCTAAATTGAGACTTTAAATCTCTTGGAATATTTAAGCTTAAGCTCAATAATAAGAAGTGACTTTGAAGCTTACAAGTGTGAGTTAATTGACAATCTAAGGCCTCTCGACAAAAATAAATCAAGTGATATCTTAAAGATTATTAAATTATCAGCCACAAAAACGAGTTAAATTTTCTGTTATTCGAAAATCAAACTTTTATTTGCTTTTCAAATTCAGAACTGGAAAGTCAACAAAATGGATTTCCTTAAAATATTTTTTGCTTTGACTTTGATTTTAATCAATAATTTTACATCAGCCATAAATTATAAAGATTATAAAGTAGCGACATTCATAATTGAAAATGAAGTTCAATTGAAGCAAATGCAAGTTTTGGATGGTGAAAATGGCGTAAGAATATAATATAATTAATTAAAACAACTATAAGTAAATAAAAAAATTTTAAGTTCACATTTTTGGAACCACCAGAATTTGTTAACAGTAAAGTTGAGTTAGTCATGAGACCAGAATTATTCACAATGTTTGAAGAAATTGCATCCTCAACCGGAATGAGTTTCAAGATTGCGACTGACGACTTACAAAGTTGGATTGACGCTGAAAAGCCATTGAAGCAACGCAAGGAAGGCTTCTCATTAGATAAGTACAACATTCTTGAAGATATCTACGCATTCATGGATGAAATGGAAGAAAATTATCCTGAAGCGAGTATTTTCATTGTCGGCGAATCTTACGAAGGTCGAACAATTAAAGGCATGAAAATCACAAAGAATGAAAATAATCCTGGAATGTTTATTGAAGCGACAATTCATGCTCGTGAATGGATTGCAACTGCTACATCAGTTTGGATAATCAACGAAATTTTAACGACTACTGATCCGGAATTAAGAAACGTAATCGACAGCATAACTTGGTACATCATTCCAGTTGTAAACGTTGATGGTTTGTATTATATTTCAGATATATTTATGGATAAATTCATTAATATTTTAAAGGATATCAATACACCCACGATGTTGATCGATTGTGGAGAAAAACAAGATCAGTTCATAATCTTCTTTGCCGTGGTGTTGATCCAAATCGTAATTTTGGATATAATTGGAGAGGTGAGAAAATTTCGGTTTAATAATTTTTTATTTGTTTCAAACATTATTTGTTAAAGAGGGTGGATCGTCAAAAGTTCCATGCACCACCACATACTCGGGCCCAGCACCATTTTCAGAGAAAGAAACGAAAGCTTTAATGGACTATTATTCAACTGTTTCTAATAAAACTGACGCTTATATTTGCTTCCACTCTGCTGCTAAAATGTTGATGTATCCACTCGGTAATACTCTTTCCACGGAACTTGTTCCAAACCGAGATGACTTGCAAGCAATAGCTGAACACACTGCAAAAGCCTTGGAATCTGTTCATGGAACAGTTTATCAATATGGAAATGCAATGGCAACACTTTACGTAACATCAGGTTCTAGTCGTGATCACGCTTATGGATATTTCCACACTCCTTTAGTCTTCACTTATGAAATGAGAGAAGGTCAAGATTCTTCAATTTTCATTCTTCCTCCAGAAGAAATTCAACCAAATTCCGAAGAAATTTTCACTTCTTTAATAGCAATGATTGAAAAAGGAAAAGAACTTGGATATTTTGAACTTAAAAATTAAGAAGATTATTTGGCACTTCAAAGCATTTTCGTTATCAACTTCAATAAAGATTGTGGGATAATTTACTATGTTGGATAAGCCAAATCTAATCTTTTAATTAATCATAAAATATTCTCTAGTGTTTTTCAAGTATCTAACAGACATGATATATTGTTGATTCGCTGAAATGAAGCTTCATTATTTTAAAGTTGCTAAAATAAGACGGTCAACAATCGACATGAAAGCATTTTTGATTCATCTTTTTATTGTAATTTATTTTGTTGACTATTCAATTGAAACTGTGATTAGTTACAGAAATCACAAAGTTGTTTCATTTAGAATTGAAAATGAACATCAATTGCAGGAGATTCAAAATTTGGAATTGCAACCTGGGGTAAGATTGAATTTTTTTAGAATTTATTAATATTTATTGTAAAATATTAACAGTTTGTGTTCTGGGATCCACCAGTGCAAGTGAATATGAAACTTGAGCTTATTGTTCATCCAGAAGCATTTTCAAACTTTGAGGAAATGACAGAAAATTTCAAAATCGATTATCAACTCTTGACTGATGACTTGCAGACGTGAGACTTATCAAAGAATAAATGAAAACGAATTCAATAAAATATTTTTTATTTTTCAGTTGGATTGATGACGAGAAACCTCAAAAACGAACTAAAGAAGGTTTCTCTTTCGAACAATTCAACACTCTCGCAGAAATTTATCAGTATTTGGATGAGATAACAACAGCACACGCTGATATTGCAAGTATCATTACGATTGGTGAATCATTTGAAGGCCGACCTTTACAAGTTGTTAAAATTTCCACGAATGAAAACAATCCAGCAATTTTCATTGAAGCAAATATTCATGCTCGTGAATGGATTTCATCAGCCACTGCTTTGTGGTTAATTAATGAGTTTATTACCTCAACTGATCCTACATTGAGAGAAACTGTTGATTCCATCTCATGGTACATCCTTCCAGTGACAAATCCCGATGGTTTGATGTGAAATTATGTTTTCAAAGTTCAATAATTAATTCATAAATTTTTAAAGGATTTCTCTTTACACACGAAGTCAATCGACTGTGGAGAAAAACAAGATCAAATCATAACATTTTTTGTAGAGGTGTTGACCCAAATCGGAACTTTGGATACAACTGGAGAAGTTTGTTTTTAAATATTTAAATTTCTTGAAATATTTATTAAAATTTATTTTTAATTTTAGTGGGTGGATCGTCGAAAGTCGCTTGCACTGACACTTACATGGGACCAGCTCCTTTCTCTGAAAAAGAAACGAAAGCTGTGATGGATTTTTATGCAACCATAGCTGACAAAGCAGAAGCTTACATTGCATTCCATTGTGCTGCGGAGACTCTTCTTTATCCCATGGGACACGACAACAATCCCGAGCTTCTTTATAACGTCCAAGATATTGTAAAAAATTATGAGAATTTATTTTGATCAATTTTTTAAGTTGAAAATGATTTTCAGCATGATATTGCGGAAGCTGCTGTTGATGCATTGAAAGTTAAGTACAATACAACTTATACGTTTGGAAACACCATTGATATTCTTTACGTTGCTTCTGGCTCCAGTCCCGATCATGCCTACGGAGTTTTCAATACGCCATTGGCTTATACTTATGAATTTAGAGCCGGTCGTGGTACTCCATCAAGATTCATTCTGCCACCTGAAGAAATTGTACCGAACTCTGAAGAAATCTTAGATTCATTGATGGCTTTCATCACAAAAGCTAGATCGTTGGGTTATTTCAATGCTGAAGTTTGATTTTAATTATTTCTGTACAATAAATAAAAGTAATTTTCATTTTGAAATACCTAATTAAAAATTGTCATTCTCACTCGTAAAAAGTGAAGCTTTCGATTAGAAAAGCTCTGAAAGATTTAATTTTCCACACATTATTTTAAGTTTCGTTTATGAACGAGTATCCAAAGGTATTCAAAAAGTTTTCCAGTGTAAATTATTAACTGTTTTGAATAAGTTCCAATTTTGTTAAATTAGATTCCTTTATGTTTTTATGTTTGAATTGATGTTTTGAATATTAAGACATCGTGGGATACATACTTAAAATCAATAGACAAAACCTTCTTTTTTTATATTAAATAATCAACCTAAAGATAAAAAAATTAATCCTTTTATTTGCTAAAACTTAATATTTTGTAACGAGAATTTGCAGAGAATGAAATTTTCATTTGAAGTTTTCTTGATTGAATGATGAAATTATGAAATGAATGTTCAAAGTTTTGAAGAAGCAACTAGATATAAGACAGTGACTTAACTAGTGAAATAAATATCATATTTATGCTTTTCCTCTACACTTTTCATTGCATAAAAGCTTTAAATTAAACATTAAATGTGCAAAAATTTATCAAAATAAAAAAAAGTTCTCGATAAATAAATAAATAAAAAATCTGAAAATGTTAGATTATTGTTGTAGATTTATAATCTCCAGAGATGATAAGATGAACTTACTGGTAAATTTACTTTAGGAAGGTAATGTGAAAAAGATTTTCGCATTTATTCAAATTCCATGTCACTCAACCATAACGAAGGTCAACTTTTAAATTTTCCTGCTTAGAGTGCTTCTAAAGTTATAAAATCGACTTTTAAAAGATTTTTCGTAAGTTTTAATAAACACCTCAAGCAAATTTCTAATAGAAGAATAGATAAAAATTATCATTGATAAAATATTTTATTTGCTCACAAAATTTTTGATGAGAAATTTTTACAAATTATTTTCTCTTCCTGTATATATTGTAAAATAATTAAAGTTCTCAATTATTCAATTATTCAAATTTTATCAAAAGTTTTCTTACATTAAAATTGTTAAATGAAAAGTTCATTAAATGAAAGAAAAAAAGAATATGAAGCTGACGAATTTAAAATTTGGAGCTCGTTTGAAGCATCAATTGCAAATCTGCAGAAATTTTATCAACGTATTTCTTCCAAATTCTTCGCTTAACTTCTTCATTAATGTTTGATGCTTTCTTGCAAAGAGCATCAAGTTTCATCTTAACATCCTTAATTTTCTTTCGTTTTTCAGTTTCAACATTCTGTAAAGCGACTGCTAATGCAGCAGATTCAGCAACATCTTTATCAGTCAACTGCTTCAGTTCTGTCTTCGAGTGTTGAAGTCGTTTGAGCAGCTTCACATGGTGATCTAAATGATCTTTTAATTCTTTTTTTCTTTGCATTCCTTTGGAAACTTCTTTTTTCAATGAATCGTTTATCAGATTCGAAGAATTATTCAACTTCAATGCCTTTATCTCGTTCCAAATCGGCTGTAACATTTCCTTTGCTTTCTTCTTGTAAAGCAGGGAAAGTGATTCTTCTTTCTTGTTTCGAACGAGTTTCTTTGTATCTTGTGGTTTGTCTTCGACAATTTTTGGGTTAGAAATACAAATGTTGACATCCTGAATCAAACTGTCACCAGTTGATGAAGGAGAATTTTTCGTTTTTATCAAAGTGTCATAATCATCTCCATCATTATTGTCGTAAACTATGTTGTCGTTCTCTGATTGATGATTATTAATGTTATTAGAGTCATTAATAAATTTATGAAGAATTTCATTATACTTCAAAGTTTCGAAATTGAATATAATTTCATCTCTCGGAGACTGTGAAGGATTTTGAGCAATTAATGATGAATTTTCAATCTGAGTTTGATAAAGTTTCACTGTAGATTTGTTTGTTTCTTGCTCAGGTGTTATTTCATCACTGAACAATACTTTCTTTTGTCGTTTTGAATCAATAATTTGTTGAGTACTTTGAGATTTTTCAACAATCTGTTCGTCGGCGTTATTTTCATTAATTTTGTGAAAATTTCGGCTTTCTTGATGGAAATTTTCAATGTCCGTGTCAGCATCATTTAAAGTTGGCTTCAATTTTTTGTTAGCATTCGGAATTATTTCTACTACAACATCGACATAGATCTCCTCTGTTATTGCTTGCTTTTGTGTTACTTCGTTTTCTGGGGTTTCTTCCAATGGTCGTTTGCGGGAATTCTTTGCAATATCGCCAAAAATTTTCTTTTGCTCTGATTTTGTTGAATGTCGTTCTATTGCTCTTAAAATTTTTGCTCGATTTTCAGCAATGATTTTCTCACAATTCTTTCTATATTCTGCATCACTGAATGTTTGCAATTCCGGTTCTTGATTTTCCTTTTCCTTCTGCAAAGTTTGTTGTTTCGGAGATTTTTTTACTCGTTTGCTAACTTTTTTATCAGCCGCAGTTCTGCCTCGAGGTTTCGTTGGATTTTTCACAGTCTTCGTTGTTGTTGTTTTAATATTTTTTTTAATTGAAACTTTCTTAGCCTCATTTACTTTCTTTTTAGTGGAAATTTCTGGTGACATCAAATATGTTTCATTTTTTTTATTTATATCAATACCTTGGCGTTGATTCTTACGATTGATGCGACATTGTTGAAAATATTGTTTTGCTGGTGGAAGTGGATCATCGTCACTTGGAATCTCATCATAAATTGTAGTATGTTTCAAAGTTGGTCCAACTTTAGCTGTTTGACGTGTTTTTCTTGTCTCTTGAGTATTATTTTCAAAGTTTGATGTCGACAAATCAATTTGCACAATTGATTCAGAGACATTTTTTGGTGAATCAACAGTTTGTTTGATGTTATCAAGAGTTACTATTGGTTTCGATTGTTCATTCTGTTTATGTTCACTTATAACTGACTTTATTGTGTGATAACTGAACATAGATTCTTGATCAGTCATATCTGCAGCTAATGAAGTTTTGGTCTTTAAAATGGGATAAATAATTGAAAAGAAAACATCTTGATCTGTGATCACCAGAACGACAGCGTCAAGTTGATCAAACACGTGAACAACTTCATCAGATTCATTCAAAAAATGAAAATGGGCTGGTTCAAGCTTCAATTCAATATGATTCGGGTTAATAAACTTATTTTTCTCAGCGAATGCTTCACAATCCTCCATCTCTAAGCAAAATGTTTGTTCAGAAATCTCAATAAAGAAGGAAATTGAAAGTTGTCGCAAATTGAAATCAATTGTCACTTCTTGTTGCAGTGGAAGCGAAGAATTATTTATGTCCATAACAAATCCGTTAAAAGAATAAATAAAAGGTGATGGCAGATTGTGTTGATTGAAAATTTCCAGAAATGGACGTGAAGTCTGAAAAATACATGAATTAAATTAGTAATTGAGAAATAAAAATATTCCTTTTATATTTACTTCAAAACAATACTTTTCATCAATAGCCTTGAACATTTCCATTGCATCATGAATGACAGTTCCACTACAAGAAGCAAAAATTTTGTAATTTCTGATAACATCGAAGCCGCCATCTTCAAAATGTTTCAAAATAAGATTCAAAAGATTCAGAACTTTCAATTGCGTGTAGAAAGTTGATACTTTGCTCATTTTGTGCAATAATAATTCTACTGCTTTCGTATGCAACTGAATGATAGTCGTAATATCATCTTTTCTGTCCCGATCCAACTGTTCAATACATTTTTTGAATGTTGAAGCTGCTTTTCTGATTATAACCTCATCTTTGCGTTTGAGAAGTAATGAGGTTATCATCATTAGCATTGCATTTATATCTCGAACACTCCACTTAACAAGTTTCAGATCTAAGGCAACCTATAATGGGAACAAAACATAGCATCATAACTAGGAAACAATGAAGTTTTTACATACGGTAAAGCAATCAGCAAGTTTCAAAATAATTTCGTTGAACTCTCCGCACGCTTGTATGTTTTTAGCAAAGAATCTTATTCCACATCCAATTTTAGTCTCAAGTTGGGTGTTCTGAAAAAAATTCAATTAATCACTTGTTTGTTCATAAATTCATAATATGAAACTTACGAAATGCTTTCTTTCTAAGTCTTTCCAGATATCATCGACAGTTTTTACCCACTCAACTGCTTCCATTTGAATTTGCTTTATTTCATTTCTATTATCCATTTTCTATTTCATTGGAAATCAGGAAACAGAAGAATTCTTATTATTATTATATAAAGTACTTAATCTAAGTTTTTTGGAAGATTTTCTAGTTTTATAATGAATGGCTTCTCAATTTCGATCAGCGCGCTGCAGCGGTACTAAATTACTAAATGCATTGAATAACCTGGAACAAATGTCATATTGATCTGAAACAACTGAGCAACGGATCAAAAAGTGGATCAAAATCTCAAGTTTAAATTAACGATATTGGGTTAAAATATTCATTAATTCTTTAAAATTTAGATATTACCTACCTAGTTAAATATGTAATTACAAAGATTTGTAGATATTAACACCAGCCTTATAAAAGAAAAACTTATTTACATTTACATTTATAATTTTATTAGATCTCTAATATACACATAAGATTATGTCTCTACCAACTTCTCTTTTTTTTTACCAACAAAACAATTCTAAGCCGTTAAGAGGCCGAGATAATAATTTAGATCCAATGGTCGTTACACCAATGCGTTCCATGGAGAAAGAGTCATTGCTGGTTCATCTTCTGATGAAGAAGCTTGAAGAAGCTAAGAATAAAAAAGCATCTCAGTAAAGAACATCTGAAAACGATTTAAATGTTTTCATTGTTTCTTAATATTACCTATTAGGAAACCTGCTTTTATTATTCAAAAAAATGAATTTGAAATTCTTCATCAACATCAACCTTTTCCCATGATAAACAAACCATGTTTGATCATTCTCATTTATTTTCTATGGCAAAGAAAATTTCCATACCCTTTTAAGATCGAAATTTTAAAAATCGATTCGCAATTTTGTGTTTTGAATAATTTCTTCGCAATAATCATTAACTTATTTCATAGAATTATAGAATTGAATGTATGACGACAGAAGGTCGTCTAGTTTATAGCCTTGCGTGGTTTCACATAAAAGCTTCACACCTCCCATCATGTTACCAAAAGTTATTTGGAAATATGTGTTGCCTGAACTCCAGAAGTTCATTTCTGAAAATCCATATGACTTCAAGTTTTGCTATAAATTATTAAGTTAATTTCAGTATGAACTTTTTAAAGCAGAAATTCAACATTTTACCTTCTTAACAGGGTCCAAAATATGAAAACCAAGGCGATTAATCGCGATTAACAAAGTCTCCGGATAATAATTTATAGTCTTCTGCTTGACAACGAAAAATGTTGAGCCGAATGTTTCCTGTTGTTGAAGGAATTTTAGAAACTCCAACTTGCAATCACTTTCGCTCATTTCTAGAATTTTAAAGAAAAGTGTGAATGAAATTTAATACATTTTAATAAATTATAATTTACCAATTTGTTTGGAGTAAACATTCATGATTTGTTTCTTCCAATCATCAATTTTCATATCTGGGAAGAGATCATCGGGTATCAGTTGATTGATTAAACCTTGTTGGGTTTGGAACTTTGTTCGATCAAGACCAAAATGAGCTCGATAGATTACAGCACCAGCTTTGACCGCTTCAGATTTCGTAATCTAAGAGAGAGTCAACATCATGAGTATGCTTAAAAAATTACAAAACTGAACCAAACCTTGTAGTATCCATTCAAATACTTTGGAAGTTCTTGATAGAAATAAAATGTTTCATCAGCAATTTGATCACGTCCTGGTGTGAAATTTATCCACAACTTTTTCAAGAAGAAAAGTTGATAATGGAATTGAATATTTCTGTCTTTTGTTTTCGAAGGCATTTGACTTTCCATTATGTAATTCACAAGTTCGTAAATGAAATCAAATATGAATTGTTTTTCAGGCACTGAAATGACTTTGTCGCTGATCTTCACAAATAAGCTGAAACCTTCAGATGATTTCATCTTGAAAGTTTTTACAATCAAATCAATTAAATCCTTTGCTTTAGTTGATGATTCGATGAGAAAAGCTTCATCTGTGTCATCAGGGAAGTAAATTTTATGATAAATCTGAATAGTTCTTTGACGAATCGATTCCACTTCAACAATGTACGGAGGATATCTTCGATTTCCACTTCTAATAGTTTTCTGTAACCTTTGAATTGATTCTTTTGCGACTGGATGTGGACGAGTTTTCAAAAATTCTTGCACTTCTTTAAGTAATACTTGAGATGGAACAACGAGTCCACAAGCTAACCACATCAAATCCCAACCTCTCTCTTCACTCGACTGAATGTTGTTTTCTGTCAACTGTTTCATTATCTGACAGTAAAGTTCATCACGTAATGCTTCATCTTCAATGGCTGGTTTGAAGATTTCTTCAGTATTGAGGAGAGAATCTCTGGCTTGTGGTAAGTCGCCCATGTACTTCATAATAAACATAAACATTTTCGTAGCATCATTTGTCCTCTCAGAATCGCCATAAAGTTTCATCAAAAGAGGCGATTTAATTGGTTCACGAGAATAACTCCAAAGTTCAACATGTTGTCGTCTCATAGTGTTGATAGTTGCGTAGGCATTAGAAATTCTATTTCAAAAAGTCATAAATTAAAATTAAATAAAGGAGCTGAAATATTTATAATCTCACTCAATGTTGGGTCGGAAATGATCCACAGCAAATTTCTTTAAATTATACATTTTCTGTCGTTGCAATGTGTTGTAAACACTTTTCGGTTGCTTTCGATCCTTCATCTTATCTTTCATGAAAAGTTCTAAAATTTCTCGTTTTGGTGGCATAATGCAAGGAAGAATATAAACAGAATCGATTGGGAAGAATCCTTTCTTATCTTTTGATGATCCCGAAGCCCATGTTAAGTTCGATGCCAGCAACTTTTCACCTGACTGATCTAATGTGACTAAATCACCTTTTTTCAATTCCAAATATGTTTCATCTTCCGATGTTTTTGTGAAATTTTCAATGGCCACAGCAAATGTTGATCTTTTCTTAAGTTGCGTCAATAAGTAGTTAAGCCACTTAAAGATTGTCGCTGCATCTATTGACACAAACTTCAAAATTTCATTCGCAACTGTTGTGATTGTAAATGATTCACTTTTATCTGAAATGCCTTCTTTATGAGTAACATTCGTGATTTCAGTGAATGAAAGTTCCAACTGTTTAAAAAGTAAACAAAAAAATAGCATTAAAAAGGTAAACAAAATTCCTTGACATACTCACAATCACTTGTTCTTGTTTATCAATCAAATAAACTCCCGTCCAATTGATAGCGAAAATAAAAACATTTTCTGATTCATCAATATTATCAACGTCAATTCTTTGAACTTCGAAAAACCTTGAAAACTTTAAAATCCAAGTTATTTTTGCAAAGAACACGACATCTTCCTTCGCTGCTACTTTCGGGAGGTTATCGCGAACACATCGACATTTGGAGAAAGCAGCTGAGATGAGTTTTTCCCATTCTTGTATGGTGTTTGGTTTATAAACAGCTTTCGGCATGTATTCTGGCATCTTTTTCAACATAATCACTTTGTCATACTTCGATCCAAACTCAGCATAATAGCAAAGTGCTGCAATCATTGCGATATCTTTTTCTGATGTACAAATATAATCGCCATAATTAATTCCTTTAATAATTTGTGAATAAATTAAATCTGTCGCTATTTGATCATCTTCTGGATTGTGCCATGGCAAAAACATTTCTTTTTGAATGTACAATTGCCATTTGACATTTCTTTCTGATATTGCTTGTTCTTTAGCAAATTGTTCACAACTTGAAATTGCGTCGAAGATAAATTGATGTTCACATCCAAGCGTCATAACTTTATTCATGATTGTTATGAAGAGTGAAAAGCCAAGTAAATCTTTTAAATTTATCGCTTTTGCTACAGCAATACAAAGTTCTTCAGATGTCGATGCTGAATCGATTTCTAACTTAACTGAAGCTTCATTCATTAAATGAACCGTCACAGTGATTGGTTCTGTTGTCTTACATGCTTTCAATTCAATCCATGATGGTGGCTGCTTTCTTGGTCCATTCTGAATTGTGCGATCCAATCGATTCTCACAATAAGGTGCGTAAAGTTGCGGACCATTTCGAATGAATTGACGAAGATAAAGTTCAAAATTATCTGATGGTGGAAAGCACCCAATGCAAAGTGACAACAAAATCCAACCTTTCTTAAACGAAATAAGATTTGGATTGTTTATTAACTGTTTGCAAATTTGACAAAAGATTTCATCTCTCAATTCTTCTCTTAAGATTCCATGTCCAATAATGAAATGTAGTTTCTCAATGTTGCTGCTTCTTCTATTTAACCATTCTTGGTAATGTTCAAGATCAGATGAATTCTCAATTAATTCTCGTACTTCCTTCGGTAATTTGTTCTTCTTACGTAAAGTTTGACTTATCAACTTTCTATTCAATTCATTTTCACCATGCTTTAGGAAATCTTGGAATTCTCTTGACTTTGTTGCTCCTTTACTCAATGTTGATGTTAAAATCTGCATAACATTCATTTTATTATTGATCGTATTAGATGGAGAAGTTTCTTCATCTTCATTCTCGTATTTTGCTTCGCCTATATCGCCCATGAATCTTAAAATTGTAATCCACAAAGCTTGTGCTGAGAGTTGTGATTGAATCGAAAGGTTCAATAATGAAGACTTCAAATGTCGTTTACTAAATTTATGAGAAACATTACTCATGAAATATGTTGCAGCAAATTTTTGAAATGAATAAGCTGATAAATCTTCTTGATATCGTTTCATAGCTGGCTGTTGTGGAATTGGTTGTTGACTTTCATCATTCTCTATTGACATCAAATCGTCTGTGTTTGTGCCATCATCCTGTGTTAGTCATAACTTAAGTAAATTTATTCATTAACAAACGAACCACCACTTTATTGTGCAATGAATACCTGAACAGTTTATCCATGTTTTGTGTGCTTTTTCATTTAAACTTAACAATTGTCATGTCCCAACCTTTTGTCTTTCGACCATAAGTGTATCAACAACAACAAACATTAACTCATTTATTTCCATTCCTACACACATTTCTATTGATAAGACTTTTGTAAATAGTGTAGTGTGATAACGAAGGAAATATTTGTTTTATCTTACAAAAATGTGATCAAGAAAATATCAACGTGCGATATAAAACAAAAGAAATTTTGTAACAGAAACAATGTGAGAATTACAAATCAGTTCAGGCTTGATTGCTGAAGTGATATGATGTGTAAATTGTTTGTGTTGGCTGTCATGAATAATGATTTTTCATATTTTACAGGATGTAATAAAAATTTTGTACTCGCACCATGCCGAAAAGAAGAAAAACAAAATTCATGATAATGAGATTTAGATAAATGTTTAGAATCATTTTCGAGCATTTATTTTTGTAACAAAAACTAACAATTGAATGTGATTTATGGGTGGATGTGTGTTTAATTACAGTCTTGATGTCGAACTATAATGATTGACTGGACGTGAGAGTAATCTTGATGGAATGTGCTTTAAGTTTCGACTTTTCTCTTCGAGATATCTTATTAATTTGCTTACTCTGACTGTTGGAGTGTGGCGAGGATTTTTTGGCTGCATTTTCGGTGTTTGCAATTCGGATAAGAATCCAAAAACATCGTCAACGACTTTAGTTTGTTCTTCAATGTTGATGTTATGTTGACGACGAATTTCGTTTTCTCGGTCAAGTTTAAGTTCTTTATTGAGATTTGTAAGTCGAGCTAAGAATCGACTTTCAGCTTCTTCCTTCCAATGTTTATTTCCTTCACGTTTAAGTTGTTGTTCTTCTTGGACTCGCAGCTTCGCAAACTCCACCATTTTACGAGACTTTTCTGTTATCTTACCTGATAAATCTAGTCTTGTCAGGAAACCACGACATCTTGCCTGCAACCCAATCATTGATTTACGAATGTCATGATATTTTCCACTCAATTCTCTTGATTTTATCGCAGCTTGAAGACGATGAAAACCATGACGCATGATGAGAAATCTTTGACGATAGCCACGTGCACGAAAATGTTTTTGAAAGACAATCGCAGCTTCACGATGTCTTTTAATAAATCTCCGGAAAAGAATTCTTCGAAAACCTCGTTGAATGATTTCTATGCTTCTCTCATAAATCTCTGATCTCATTTTCTCTAAATGTTCATCATGTTCTTCCTTCAAAAATATTTTTGTTCTTCCAAGTGCAAATGTCGGAATCGAACTTAAAGCTTCAGTACAGATTTTTGTAGCAGCTGCACGTACGTCAGTTTTAATTGTGATGCCTTTGGCAAGAAATCGATAACGATTAACAAAATCCTTGTATGAATATCGAATGGCATAACCTGCTTTTCTTATTTTTGCTGTCTCCATCATTCCCGAATAACGAAGTTGTCGAAGACACAAAGATTTGTCGAGAATCTAATTGATCAAAATATTAATAATTGCAATCAAATGGCAAAAAATAACTTACGTGAGGTTTCTGAAGTTCATTCGGTTTAATGCATCGGACAAATGACGGTTGACATGCTAAAAGTGTTTTCATTAAAGCTTCAAGTGAGTTTTTAAACTGCAATGAAAGTGTAATCGACTTCTTTGTTGTCTCCAAAGCATCATCGCCACCAACGAATAAACCTAGCAGAAATTTGTTTGTTGATTTCATCAAAAGCTCTTTTAAATCCACGTTAAATGAATCGCGATTTTTTTCAAGAAATCCATTTGGATCGTAAAAAACTCCACCAGCGAAATGTTGAATTCCAAAGAGGATTGAATTATCGTACTTTGGCTTAATGTAAATATTTTTTGTTCCATGAGTTTGATGCAGTTTCGCTACTAAAGTGGTGTCGGATCCTTTAGGAAAAACTGTTTCTTCATTTAACAGCGCAATGATGCTCATTGGCTTCAATCCAATCATGTCAAGAATGTTCTGATTGTCAACAAAATTAATATTCTTCCAATTAATACCTTCGTTTGTATATTCCTCCTGTTCCAATTTAAAAATATATTTGACAAAAAATTGCTGCAAATTCTCGTTTGCGTAATTGATGCACAATTGTTCGAAACCATTTTTATCAAAATTTTCAAAACCGAAAATGTCAAGAACACCAATCGAAGATTTTCTTTTCAATGTTTTAAAAATAGTTTTGTTGATCTTCTCGACTATCATTACGAATATTTTCCCATAAATTGCTTTGACAAAAGCATCACGTGCTTCAATTGCTTGTTCTTTAGATAAGGATGAAATGACTCGTTCGCCATGAGCGAAAATCGTCTTTTGAACAAGCGCAGCTTCTAAGGAACTTTTAGAAATACCCAACATTGTAGCAATTCGGGACATGTTGATCGTATCATTAATTTCACAAGCATCCATATTTTGAACAACTGTTGCTTTGTATTTTAAGTTTCCTAGATGTAAAATCGCAGCAAGAAGTTTCATCACCTCGTCAAACTCTTCATCAGTAAAGGAAAGAACTTTCATTGCTGATTTAATTGATACAAATTCTTGTGCATCGCTCCGATTTTCACATTTGATTGTACCACCAGATGTTAAATAATTATATTTAGTTGCATCCTCCAATTCAAGTTTTTTTTTCTCTTCTTTTGATAAACCTGCCAACATTGCATAAAAAATGTGATAATTTCTCTCGCCTTTATTACTCGAAACAATTCTTGACTTTTCGAGAAGATAATGTTCGATTTTTGCACCCTCAATTGCACCTTTTTCATTGAAGTAAATGTCGATGTATTTGCCAAATCTCGACGAGTTGTCATTTCTCACTGTCTTTGCATTTCCAAAAGCTTCCATGATTGGATTTGATTCAAGAATTTGTTGTTCAATCCAAGAGTGTTTTCCACTAGCAGCAGCGAGATATTGAAGAATCAACTTTGTACTTTCAGTCTTTCCCGCACCCGATTCACCGGAAATCACAATACATTGATTCCTTTTAGTTAAAATCATTTCCTGATAAGCATTATTACCGATAGCAAAAATATGTGGCGCTTCATTTCGATAAGTCGCTGTCGTCTGATTTTTATAAAAATTAATTTGATTATTTGTGTAGATTGGAAGAATTTCGTAAGGGTTTATAGCGACAAGCATGCTTCCGATGTATGTCTGAAAGAATTATTTAATTATTATCAATTCATAAACTTAAAATTCCTTTCAACTGACATAAATCTTCTTCTGTTTATATCTCATATAAAGATTCCTCAAGATTGTAAATTCTTCGAGCTCAAACATTGTAATCATATCATCGACAGTATCAGTCAACGTGGTATGCATAGATTTCAGAATCTAATTTTAAAACAGTCGTAAACATTATAAAAATAAAAATTCCCTTTAAATTCATTTGATAACATGACTCACTTGCTTATTGAAAATCCAGATTTCAACACCTTCATCATTGACAACGAGGCTCTTATCCTTATCAGTTCGAATTATTTTCCCAGCAAATGGAACATCGTCGACGTCTTTCGTTGCCGGTTTCACCCAGACCCATTCATTCTATTATTTATCATAAAAGTAATAACGTAATTAATTGAACCAACTCAATATCGTGTAATTACTTTTAAGTAATAAGTACATGATGTGTTGTTGGATTTTTAAAAGAATCTTATCAGGAGTTCGATGATAACAAACAATGAAAGAATATCAGGTGGCGTACGATAAAACAAGGTGTCAAAAGATTATTTCGGATTGACGAATCATCACAAAAGCATTTCATCATCGTAAAATTATGTTTTCGCACAGATTTCCATTTATTTTTAATATTTTCAAAATGTAATCACTGATTAGTTTTGTTAATGAAAGAAATTACATTTAGATATCAGTTAATCGATTCAATCAAGTTTATTGATTGAATTTCAATGAGATTGAAAACATCTGTGAAGATTAGTAAGAATAAATAGAAACGAAACACTTACAAAATTTTGCATTTTGATGTTTATAACTTCAATAGGAAAGAGTTTACAACACTTTGAATTGACAATTGATAAGATTTGATAACAGCTCAGACACACTGACTTTATGTTTTATTAATTTTCATTTCTACACGTCTTAACTTCACTATTGCTCCCTGAAAACTGAGCGAAAATTCTCACGAAACTTTTTTGCTGGTTCTTATCGTACGTTGGTTTTGGAAATGAAAAAATTTGTCACGTTTCTGTAAATATTCATTACTGATAGAAAATACTACAACCTGTTCAAATAGTAACAAATAATTATTTGTTTTTAAAATTTCTTTTATTCAACTTTTTTTTGAAGCTGAACTCTTCTTTGAATCCACAAAATATTCACGTAACTTGTCAACTGCTCTATAACGATGTGAAATTTTATTTTTAGTCTCTTTGGGAAGTTCACCGTAAGTTTTATCATAGTCATCTGGTTGAAATATAGGATCCCAACCAAAGTCTCGACAACCTCGAGGAGCTACAATAGTACCGTTAGTTACTCCCTGAAAGAGAATCACTTCAGAATTCTCATCGCGTGTAAAAGCTAATGTGCAGATTGCTTGTGCAGATTTATCTTCAAATCCTGCCAGTAGTTTATGAAGTCCTTCCGGTTCAAGTTTATCAAGAAACCATTTAATGTAAGGACCTGGCAAGCCTTTTAATGCATTGAAACATAATGAAGTGTCTTCAACAACGACTGGGCCTTTGATATGTTTTGCAGCTTCTTTACACTTAATTCTACTAATTTCATCAATTTCTCCTTGAAGTTCTAAAATTGAAGTAATTTATCCAAAATGAATTATTTTTATTTTATTGATTTAACTTAAATAGAATTCTTTCAAGACTTAAACAAAAAGAAAAAGATCTCACCCGGCAAATCAATTTTTTCACTTCTCAACTCATAAGGAAAGTTATGACCGAGAATAGATTTAACTTCTTCGAGTTTTTTGATGTTTCCAGTAACGAATGTTATAACTCTACTCATTGTACAATTAGGCTGAGAATGATGATATTTAAAATCAGGGTGTAATTTAATGAAATGTGATTATCCAAAAATGTAAATAAACATAGCCGCGTACCCTTCATTCAACTCGTTGTTTACTGGCAAAGCCGCGCACCCTTTATTCAACTCGTTTATAAAAATAGAATAAATTTAAATTAAGATAGTCAGAAGTGAACACAAAATATTCTTTAAAAATGGCTCAATACACATCTCAAGGAGCAAACTTTTTAAGGGGTTACCAAAAAGCTAATTATCTTAGTGTTGGAAAATCAAAAGGTTTACCGGATGCTTATTTAAAGTTTCTCAAAGAATGGAAAGTTACAACTCCAGCAGCAGTTCATTATATTCCAAAAGAAGGTCGTTATCAGCGGAATATTCGTACCGGAATTGTTACTCCTGTACAAAATAGACCAATCCCATTAAAACGTGTTCCGGAAGAAGATGTTGGAATGTGGGGTGGCGAAGCAATCATCAAAGGATTTCAGAAAAGACATCCAACTAAGCGTCGAGTTCCTCATTTTTGGGTTCCAACGCTGAAGCGTTCTGTTGTCAGAAGTGAGATTTTGAATGAGTTCTTTTCAATGACTGTTACTGATCGAACAATCCGCCTCATATTATCAAATAATGGCTTCGACCACTACTTGCTGAAGACAATGGCTTGCGATCTTTATTCATTATTGGCTTTAAAGATGAAACAGAGAATGCTTACAAGCCTGTTAAATGGTTGTCCTGAATGGGAACATGATCCGAAACGACAAGAGGAAATTAAAAAAGAATTTAACAAATATCTCGATGACTACACACCCGAAGAAATTGAGTGGTATGGATTGACTTGGGAAGAAGCGATTGAAAAAACTAACAAAATTCAAGCTCTGAACAACCCGATAGTTCCTCATAAAATTATATTTCGCGAGCGATTATTAGAACAGCTTAGAGAAGCAGGAATATCAGAAGCACAGGAAACTACTGGGTGAGAATTTCATTTTCTATTAATTTCAATAACATTTTAATTGGAAAATTTCTTTTCAGCGAGTCATTATCATGGATGAAGAAAATTAATCCATTCTCAAAGAAGGAAACTTAAATTAGTTTTAAAACCTGTAAAAATATTTTATTGAGTAAATAAATTAGAATAATGAAAAGTGAAATGTTTAGATATTTATCTATATTTGCAAATATTTTATTGAATACCTTTCATTTAATTAACATTTTTATGATTATTTGTTGAAGAAAAAGTTTGATATTATTGAAAGTTGTGGTTTACAAATTATTTTTGATGTCCAAAAGTGGGAAAAATGAAATTAAGATTTTTTTTTAGGAAATGATTCAAATTATGATTTACAAATTTTTTTGTATGTCCATAAGTGGAAAGGAAGAAAAAACAAGTTTAATAAAGTCGCTGGAACTGAAAATGTTTGGTTGAAATATTTTATAATGAAGAATAAGTTCCAGAAAATTTAAATCATCGAAACGATTTACAAAAAGTAGAGTTGATTGTTGAAATGAGCTGGTGACTCATGCAAATGTGTACCAACAAGTTCAGCAAGTTTATGGGCATATTGAACAACTGCTGGTACACGAGTACATCCACTCCAATTATAATACAAATGAGTGTTTTTGTATGTGATGACTTGAATTTGATCAGGTGACAATCCTGAAGTGTCTTCAATGACATTGTAGCTCGTTGGTGCAACTGTGCCCTGACGAACCGATTGACTGACCAAGAAGAAATCATAACTAAAGAAGAAATCATGAAATATAAAATAATAAAATATTAGCCAATGGATAACTCACCGTTCAGGAAGAGTAATCGTGTGATCGACGATAGTTCCCGGGACAGGATTCATCAATTTATTGTTTTTATCCATGAAGATTCGAGTGTTGATTCGCTTGTTTACAATAATGAATGTAAAGCGTGGTTGTTTGTTGAACGCTCCATAAACATTTGTCAATTTCTCTTTCAATCGATTGACTTCATTCTTGTAAACAAATTCGATCTGTCCATCGCCCACTCCATCACGATAGAAGAAAATGCGCTCAGGAATCGTTCCATGTAAATCTTTGTATGCTTTCAAAGCTGCAACAAGATGATTAGAAATGTTTGCTGAAACTTCTTCGCCATCTTTGTGTGGTGAACAAGCGCTAAAGTAAGCAACTTTTTCCTTCAAGTCCATGCTGGCAACGAAGGCGCCATAAGACTTTGCACGATTTTTTGTATCGTGAGTGACATCGAAGCCAATTGTCATGACTCCTCTCATTGGGAATTTAATCATCCATGGAGCACCACCAAGTTTACAATTCATTTGAATTAAGACTTTCGTTGCAATTGATTTCACTCCTCCAATTCCGCTTTTCTTTGGCACCATCGTACGTGAAACGACACATTGAGTTGGAATTGCTTTATCAACACAAGTCAACTTTTTTATTCCAGCATAACGATCAGCTGAATTGTTCGACAAAACAATCAAAATTAATTTCGGATCCATGGCGACAATTTCTTTGACTTGCTTCAGATATGTTCCAACTCGATCATCCGGCAATTCCTTCATTTTAGGTGCTGACATTTCAAAGTGCATTCCATTAGCAACTTCTTGCAATAATTTCAAAAAATTATGCGATTCTTGAGCATTTCGGGTGGGATAAACGAAGACCCAGCGTTGAAGTGCAAGTGGTTGAAACATCTGATTTGATTTCATTGGATTTGTCCAATCAACTGTATGATCATTGTCAGATCTGTAAATAGAAAAAAAAATTTGTTGTAAATTATAACAATAATTAAAAATTTCCTTACGTTCGTCCACCACCAAACAACATCGTTTCTTGTTTCAATGCTCGACCATTAAAAGTGACAATTCTGCGATCAATGTCAGTGTTAAAGTTAGCCAATTGAGCTTTGCTATCAAGTGATTGATCTAAGCGACGACGTAAATCCGTTAAACGTTCTGAGCGAGTTTGAGGAGGCATCTGAGTATGATCTGCCATTGCACGAGCCATCGTGTAATTTGAACGTTGTTTATCAGTAAGGCCTGTTGCACGGCATAATTCAGGAACCAAAAGAAGCACTCCAGTGCGACCAGCTCTAACATCAGAAGCCTTTGGATTCGAGACTAACATCGGTTGATTGCGATCTCGAATATCAACGCGATATTTGCTTTTGTAGTAGTCAAAGAATGTCATTTTATGTTCTCCTTTTTCGAATGTTGCACTTGGTGATGAACCAAAGTCAACATCATCAACACGGTAAGTCTTGTTGTTATAATCTGTGAGAACAACGGATCCGATGACTTCCTTTTTAAAATTTTCTTGCCACCGATCTCCTTGACTCTTATGATCGCGAAGAATTTCATAAATTGTTTCCTGTCGCATAACTTTATGCGAAATTTCACAGCAAACCAAAACATCTCGTTCATGTTGACGAATGGATGTAATGTAACCTGGCCACAAGTCAATATGAAATTCTCTGAGGCTCACTTTATTCTGTGGATCGTACAAGTGACGACCCACTAATTGCTGGAATTAAAAAACGAAATTTCGTTAATTCGTTGTTTTCAAAATTTAAATAGATATTCAATACCAAATTCAATCCATTCATTGCACTGCGTAAGATGATATTGTAAATTTGGGACACTTTATGGTCATTTATATCAACAGTAACACCAGTAGCTTTAATCGTCATCGAATACTGAACTCCTTCTCTGGATGTGATTTTGAATTCAGCAACTTCCTGAGCCAATTTTCGTGTCGTATACAAAATGCTTTGGCCATCGTATACATATCCGCCTAAATAATCGACTTGTTGGCGAAGAAAGGCTTTTCGCATTCCAGCAAGATCGATTTCTGGATTGAATTCGACATGATATTGCGTCACTTGGAAATCTTTTCCCTGGATAACCTTAAAATAATTGGCTTTAAGGACAACAGGCGTTCCCGATACTCCTTCCTTGCTATTCTCAGCACATTTAGGTCTCGTTTTTAGTGGAGCACTTGGCAGAACACGATTATCTCGCATCAGACCTCGCTTTCGATTTCCGTTGTCGCTATCACCTTCTGACACACGTTTGCCTGATGTCGAAGAGTCTCTTGCTGCCTGTTGTTCATGACCGCGGCCACGTCCTCTGCCAATGCCAATATCAGACATTCTTCCTCTTGTTACTCTGAAATATTCAAAAATTGTTTCAAATTTCTGTTAAATAAAATCAGCAAAAAAAATGTGGCTTCGTTTTCCTGGAAATTGCAATGCTGTTTTTCCAATACACTTATTTTCTTAATAATTTGTAATAAATTTTACCTTATTTGCTTTCTGAGTCAATATAGATGTAAAACTTATGTAATTAACGTTTATTTAAGGGTTTAATTAAACAATTTTTACAATATTTTTACAAGAGCGTGCACACAACACAACGGTTTAACGGTATGAAGTTTCGTTAAGGTAGATCACGAAGTAGATAAGCTGACGAATTTAAAATTTTAACGACTTTTTCTAGCTTTCTATTCCCAGTCATTCCGATGTTCAACATTAATAGTTTTATAACAAAAAGATTCTTAGATAATGAAAAACCTAAAAAGATATTTATTTTAATGGAAAAGTTTGTTACTACATAGGTTATTGTGAAATGTTTGCCTTTTCATATTGAACATTTTAATTGTTTTAAATTTATTTATTTATTATTATTATAAGTAAAGATAGGTAGATAGATATATTTTTTTATTGTTTTGAAGGATAATTAAGTCATACTCGGGAAAACTGAGCATTTTATTTGTACATATTTATTGATGTCTACTACTTACGCAACTGAAAGATTAACTTCAACCTTATCTGCTTCCTTCATATCATCTTTGCACTTTCCACTTGTTTCACTATTTCCACTGCGATCCATTTTATTAAAAAATTGTAATGATTGCAAACAAATTTTTTTATTAATATTCGAAATCTTCACTTGGTCAGACTTTACTGAATGAACTCCAAATACAGAATGTGGTTCGTAAAATGTATCAATTGTTTAGTTTAGATAAGATTCTTAAACAATAAAGAGTCTATGAAAAGGGAAGAGAAAAAATTCACGCTGCTAAAACATCAAAAAGATCTAAAGCGTATTATATAAATAAAAACAAAATGCGTAGTTTTAAATATATCTACATATATTTTCGTATTTCAAATACCTTGTATTGATGGCTAATAAATTTTCTACATTTTCGTTAAAAGTAATTAGAGGAAAATCATGTGAGGAACTCATTTCATAAAGATTAAAAAACATTCATATGAAAATATCAAGGAAGATGTGAATGGTGTCAAACTCTCTCATTGAGAGAAATTTTGAAGTTCTTTTATTTTCTATTGTATAAAATTCACAGTTTTATCTTTTTCTGTCATGTTCGTGATTTTTAAGAGATTAGTAAATTATCAAGGGGCTATTCATCGAAAAAAATAAAATTGGCCGGAAGAAGCACCATTGATATAAAAAGCACTAGACAAATTCCTCGAAAAATTAAGTAAATTCTTGGAAAATGGAAACCCCTTGATGGACAACCCCTTGTAAATTATCTCTTAATAATAGATTCAGTGAAATTCCAATATTATTAATGTTTACATTGATTAAGAACTTCTAACGACACAAATAATTATCTGAAAGAAAATAAAAATCAATTCAATCTATCAAAAATTCTAACAATCTTCATCGTAGTTAAATCAATAAATTTTAATAACAATAATTTAGTGAACATGACATGGTTAATCACGAGATAATGCAAGTTGAATTAAAGGCAGTACTTTGATTGATGATAGATCCGCAAGAACAGCTTCGATGCTTTCAATTGATGACACTTGCATAAGACTTTCTTTACGAAAGCTTAAAATGATAATGGCAAGAAGTGGAAGAATTTCAAGAGAATCATAGCCAAGTATAAGATCCCATAAAGTCAGAAGTTGTTGTGGTTGAAGATGACCACTGAAAGCTCTCATGAGCCATTTGAACACAACTCGAATTCTAGAATGTATAAAGATAATCATAATTGGATAAAAAGAAAAAATATACTCACGGTTGAATCTGAAGTTCACGAAAATGTGACCACAAAACTGGTTCATGAGTTTGTAAGAGTTTCTCAAACATCAAACATAAACTCACAATTCCTTGATTATTTGTATTGACACTTGTCAATCGATGACAATATCGAACATAAAATGCTCGAAATGTGAAGTAAAGTGCAACGGGAGAATCGTAGAGATAACAGAATGGAACAGCAAACATACAAATACCATGAAATGGAACAATCCCACATGGTGGCGCATCATATTGCTTCAGTTTCGCTGAACTGATAAAATCAGTTTTTATCATTTCTGCGATTTCTGTGTCACGAGAGAAACACAACATGACTTGATAAATGATGTCTTCAAACACAAAATATTGATCATCATTCGTTGCTGTTAATTGAACATCTTTGAACACGAGTTTATCAACAATCAGATCGGTGTTTAAAACATCGTTTCTAAGTTCTTCCCACGTTTCATTATGCTGAAAGATTAAAAAATTATTTCATTTGATATTTTATGAGATTTTTTTCTTCTCACATAATCTTCAAGTTCACTGCCGAGAACTAAAGACCACAACTTGCTTCTTATCGGCGTGGGTGTTAAGCCTTTCTTAAGAATTTGTTGACAAAGTGGTGCATGTCTTGTGGTTAAGATTTTTTCACATGTTGCTGTCCAATCATTTAAATTCATTTCACTTCTTAACAATTCAGAGAACATGACACGAAGATCGAAAAGATTCTTTACAGGAAGAGCAATGTGTGAGAATTCCCATTTTGGGATGACATCTTCATCAACTTCAGATTTTGGAATATTTGCGGGGCCTTTGAGTGAAAGCAGCACTTCCAGAAGATCCTTCGGAGCGTAAACTGGTCGATAATTTGATAAATCAACTTGAAAATTACTCAACTCATTCCACTTCCCTAAAAGTTCTTCTTTCTCTGCTTGATTACGAATTTGTCCCTGTGCCGGTGATTTTAATTCTGTACTCATTGCATTGAGTGATTTTCTTACTCTTCTTTCCCATTGGATTCCAGCTCGACGAAGATAATTTAAAGGATCACTCTTCAAAAAGGACAAGTATTAACAAAAGTTTGAAATGAAATTTCAAAAGTCAACTCACAGTTTGCAGTGCAATTTTTGCTTCACTTCGAACAGAATTTCGGATTAAATGGAAGACAATATTACGAATTTCTGTCTCGATGCCATTACGTTTCATTGCCAACTCAAGTGTATGTTTCATATCATCTTTACGAACGTCGGGCGAGCATGCCAACTTCTAAATTGTTTAAAAAAAAATTCAAGAAATCAAATCGTCTTGAACTTAGTTTTCAACAACTCACTTGAATAGTTTTAAAAAGATTGTTATAATTCTTCATTTGTTTTATTTCCTCAGTAAACTTGATTGCTGTGTGATGAATTGAAGCTTCACGAAGTTCTTCCATCGTACTCAAATTTTTCTTTCCTTTTCTTCAGATTTTAGGTGAAAATTATTGCACAGAACTTGTATAAATTAAAATTTTCTTCATTTAAAAACTTTTCTTATTCCATTCAAAATTGAAGTGTGACGACCAAAAGAATTTTAAGTAGAAACGAAATAAAGAAATAAATTTTTTATTTAAAATTACACAATTTTATTGTAATAACGAGAACAAAAATAATGAAAGTTTTCCAATTTCAAGGAATGTGAATGAATAAACAAACAATGGAAGAAATTTAAGTTGTTATAGCAACATTGAAAGTGTGGGAATTATCAGAAATTGTAAGTTGTTGATATGTAGGTTCGTTGACTGAAATAAATAAAAAAAATTAAGAGGGTGGAAAATATTTTAAGTTTTTTTTTAATTACCTACAGATTTCTTTAAATTTTTTTTTTTTTTTTTATTGAAGTCAAGTTTTACGTGTTTCAAACGAGTTTTCATTACAAATCATTTGCTTCTTTAAATAAAAATTTGATTCAGACAAAAACTTTTTCAGGGATTGTCCATTTTCCATCAGAAGTTTTCGAGATTTTAATTCTTATTGCTGAAGAATCAGATTTTTCGTCGCTTGTACTTTGACATTTACCGTCATCATTCAAATTTATTATCTTTGGTTTTTTCTTTTCTTTATGTTTATGTCTTTTTAATTTGTTTTTCTTTTGTTTCTTTGATTTGAAGTTTGACGAGTCTGATGATGGAAAACTTTGTTCAGTTCTCTCAGCTGTTGATTCCACTGGCAAGACATTGCCACAATCATTAATGTCAATTGGTAACGTATTGTCCTGATCAACTACAACTTCTTCAAGAGCGATTATATCAATGTTGGGTTCTACGTCCTTTTGATACGTTGAAGAAGTTTCAGTTGAGTTGATGGTTGAATGAGCAATGCGTTTCTTAATTGGTTTAACAATAGAATAGGACTCTGGAATTTCTTCAATAATGGCTTTGATAAACTCTTTGGAAGAATCAATCTTTTCGAGAGGTTTCGGTGGCTTGACTTTCAATGGAACTGTAGACTTAATTCCTCTAAATTGTTGAAAATCTAACAAAGACATTTTCTTAGATTTCAAAACAGGTTTTGCAAATTTCAATTGATTTAAATTTTTTTGATTCATTTTTCTTTCAATCTTTTTAAATGAATTATTTTGTGATGCTTTAGATGGTGATGCCGTTTTAAGTAATGAAATTTCTTTATCAAGAATCTCTTTGCAGAACAATTTATCGCCCGATATTCGCTCATTTTCGAACTTTTCTCGAATTTTACGTTTTGTTGAATGATCTTCCTTTGGTGGTTCATCTTCAATATCTTTATAAAGTCTTTTCTTTGGCAACGTTTCTACGGTTTCTTTCAATTTATTCAATTCTGAATTGTACATGCTTGGAGCGTTTTCAAAATTTCTGTCAAACTCTTCTTTCATATAATTAAGCATATCAAGGGTGATATTTTTGTCAATGACTTTAAACCATGGTTCACCATCTTTTGTCTCACGTATCTATAGCAGATGCAATTAAAAATTGAAGAAAGATATTAGGAAAAGTTGATTTTTGAGGATATTTGGCTTACTTGATAATGTACACGATCTAAGGTCCAGTAAATACTGAAAGCGGCAACAAGTTGTGGTGGATATAAAATGCAAAAAGTTGTAACATCCAAGCTGGAAAGAGAAAAACATAAAAATTAAATGAAATAGACAAAAGCTAGCATTTCTCTGTTTTACCTGTTCGAAATGGTGCAATAAAAAGTATTTTCAAAGTTTTCCTTATCTAGAAAAGATGTTAATAATTAATAACAAATTTCAAATGTCTGACAAACTTTTGTATACCTTTTTTAAATTTAATATTATTACAGGCTTTTTCTAAATATCTTTGTGGATGATCAACACGGAATTCATTGTTAAGAGTTGCAGCCATGAAGTTTATAACTAATAAGACTTCGTCCATAAATTTCTCAACAGTTTCATAAGACAAATCATAAACATGTTTTGCTTTCATTATTGACGTGACAACATATTTTAATGGATGAGGATAATTTTCAGATTTTGAGCCCAAACAAAATACAGCAGCGGCTGTTACGTCATGAGGAAACATTCTGATTGGATGGAAAACGTAGAATCTGTGCATCAGCATGATACAATTATCAATTATCTTTTGAGGTCTGCAAATAATCATGAAAAACACTCATTTTATGTAAGAGAATAGGAATCAACTTACACATAAAGATCTTCTCCTATAAATCCAATGAGGAGAGCAGCCAATTGTCGCTCTAAAGTTTCTTCATCCTTCGTTTGATTATTTATTTTATACCAATCTTGATTCTTCCATTGTTCTCGATGATATTCAATTTGATTCTCTGAAAAAAACCATTTCGCAGAATTTTTTTCAACGAGAAATGCTCGTGAAAAAGCAATAATTGATTCATATTCTGAAGTTACTGATTGTTGCACTCTTTGATTTTGAAGAATTTCTTTACGTTCATCTATCGAATATGCAGACTTAACATTATTATTATTATTATTAAGACTGTCAAATTCGTTAGTATCTCTATTAATTGAATACGAAAGCGGTGCTTCCATGTTTTTATGAAAATAATTTTTATTACGGTTTCTACAGTTAATAACCTATTTACACAAACAATGTTCACGAAATAAACGGAATTTTTAAATTTAAGTTTTGTAGAGTTTTACGAGTGCCCAGTCGTTAGGGTTGCCAGCGTGTTTTCGTAATTTTGAATCTTCATTGACAGTTTGAAAGTGATTATAAAGCTTGCTCCAACAAAATTTTAATTATTCTTAATAGACTTATTTCTAATTTTCCCTTCACCCTCAAAACATGATGTTCCAGTGTCATGCACAATTAATATCTTAAAAAAGGCATTTTTCATAGTAGATGCCAAAAAAATCATTATACGTTTCGTTTCATTGCTCAGTAAAGATGTAGAGTTGTTGCAGAAAATCGTTTCATTATTGAACGGACATTTTTGGGGAATTCCCCATCCTTGTAAAGTCAAATTAATTAAATCAGGTTTTTTCTTTTTGCTGCAAATATCAAATCGTTGCTGGCTCACTTGAAGACTTTCAACGTAAACTTGCATATCCATCTGAAAAGAAAATTAAATCGATCGGTATAAAAATCATTCCATCAGAAAATGACTGAATTTTCCTACTAAAGCTGTTTGATATTTTTGAACTTTTGAACATGATTGAGCAATCATTTCACATTTTTCATTGAGAAAAATTGAAGAGTTAAGAAGCTTTATTACTTGCTTACCATTATCACAATTTTTCTGATTGATTATTTCAATAGTGGCACCGTTCTTGGAAGAAAGAATGTTAAAGGTAAGAGTTAAATCAAAAATTAAGTTCGTTTTATCACTTACACAACCACTTGAAAATTTTACCAAAAATAAAATTAAATATCCTAGAATCACAAATATTTGCGTGAAACACTTGCCTTCCATTTTGATGATCTGACTTATGTTTTATTTGTCGTTATTTCTATCTTCTCTGAATGTCTGTTCTGTTTAGTTTACTACTAATGAATGAATAATTGAATTTAATGAGATGGATAATATAGATACCTATGTAGCATACCAATAATATCGCTGTAAGATAATTACTTTTTATTTCAGATTCTCCTGATTTTAGATTTTATTGTCTAGTTAATACTAGTAAAGGTTTCAATGCATGTTATTCCTGTATCGCGCTCAATATTTATTAGAGCTTTGACTCTCTTATATCTTGAAAATAATTCAAACATTTTTTCATGAATAGCATTCAATTTGAATATAACACTGTCATTCCTACAATGTTTTTCATCTTTCTTTATTGGACATACGATCGGAATTGCATATGCTAAAATATGTGCCGTAATCATAGTTGGTTTCGGTTTATTATCGCATAAATCGAAAGTTTTGTTAAACACCTGAACGTTTCCATCGAGCACTTTTATATTCATCTGAAATTAATGTTATCAGAATATTTAATTTTACTTTATAATGAAATGAATTGATGACCAACAAACCAAGGCATTTTTATAAGGCTTGACAAAAGAACAAGAATGAGATATAACTTCACATTTCTCATTACTAGAAACATTCACATTGAGTAGGGTAATGATTTAGTTCTTTCCCCCACAATTTTTTATTTGATGTATTCGGAATTGGAATATTTTCTTTTTAAATGGAAGATATTTAAAAGATATTTAAATGATCACGAAACTTACAAAATACTTACACATCCTGAATAAGAATTTAAAATAAACAAAATGAAAATAACTCTTGACCATTGAAACATCTTTTCGAAATAACAAGAATATCAAAAAAGTAATTTATAAAAATATTCCTGACCATTTTTTAATATTTTACCATTAGATGTTATCTAAATGTTCCTCATTTTAATAGGCAATAGATTTTTGACAAAGATTTGTCATCTGTTATTTTATTTGTAACAGTTTACAATAATTTAAGCCACCTTCTTTTGTTTTACTTTGGCATTAAATGTTAAACAAGATTTTCCAGTGTCATGATTAATATTTACTTTCAAGATGACATCTCTGTTGTCGGTAGAAAAATATGAGATTATTTTTCTTGTATTGCTTGAAAATGTTAAAATGTTTTCATTTTGATAGCAAAAATTAGGATTATTGTTCATAGGGCAATGAAGTGGAATGCCAAGATATGAAATGGCAAACAGAACCATTTGTGGTATTGAACTCTTCGGTTGGCTGCATACATTGAATTTTCTTGCATAGACAACAAGAGAAGATAACTTAACTTCAAGTTCTACCTGAAAGATTTATGAAATATTTTGAAATAAAAATATTCAACATCTTATAACTTAAATCAACCATTGCATGTTTGTAAGCTTGGATTTGAGAACAAGAGCTTACTCTCAATTCACACTTATTATTCACATCAAAAGAAGCTTTTTGAATTTGGATGATTGAAGAGTTTTCACAATTTCTGAAGTTTGTCGCAATAAATTGAAAGCCATCCTTGCAAATAAAGTTAAATATAAATGAGTCAAAGTTGAGAAGGAGAAATATTTTTAATGAAACTTACACAAGAATAAGCGATTTTAAAAATTACAGAAATCAAAAGAATCGGAATTAAAAAACTTGTCATTCTTTTAAGGGTACTCAGATGAAATGATTCAACATTAACCTTTGTAATAAAACGAATCGTAATGATTAAAAATACATTTGAACATAAACTTAAAAGAATGTAAAAACTAGGTATCTACTAATAAGGGGAAAAATATTAAGATTAAATCAAAAGTGAATAAAAATTTATTTTCAACACAATTTCCTCAATAATTTTTATTCTTAATTGATGAAATTATATAAATTAGAAAGCATCATTTGTTGGATTATGAACTAAATTATTAAATAAATTTGACAAGTTGAAATTGAAATGAACTTTAACTTATCTGTTAGGGATATTTAGGGATATTTTCCGCCGTTCATTTTTGAATCAAGACTCAAGCATGATTTTCCAGTGTCATGAATAATATTAACTTTCAAGATCATTTCGCGGGCGTCCTTAGAAAAATATGAGATTATTTTTTTTGTATTGCTTGAAAATGTTAAAATATTTTCATTTTGATAGCAAAAATTAGGATTATTGTTCATAGGGCAATGAAGTGGAATTCCAAGATATGAAATGGCAAACAGAACCATTTGTGGTATTGAACTCTTCGGTTGGCTGCATACATTGAATTTTCTTGCATAGACAACAAGAGAAGATAACTTAACTTCAAGTTCTACCTGAAAGTTTTATGAAATATTTTGAAATGAAAATATTTAACATTTTATAACTTAAATCAACCATTGCATGTTTGTAAGCTTGGATTTGAGAACAAGAGCTTACTCTCAATTCACACTTATTATTCACATCAAAAGAAGGTTTTTTAATTTTGATGATTGAAGAGTTGTCACAGTTTCTGTAGTTTCCCAGAATAAATTGAAAGCCATCCTTCCAAATTAAGTTAAATATAAATGAATCAAGGTTGAGGAAGAGAAATATTTTTAATGAAACTTACACAAGAATAAGCGATTTTAAAAATTACAGAAATCAAAAGAACCGAGAATAAAAAACCTTTCATTCTTTTCAGGGCACTCTGATAAAATAAAATGAAGTTAAAGAAATAATTCAACATTAACCTTTGTAATAAAAACTAGATTCGTAGTAATAAAATGTAATTATTTTCAAAACTATTTCCACAATAATTTTTATTCTTAATTGATGGAATTAAATTCAATTTGAAAACATCATTTGTTGGATTATGAACTAAATTATTAAACAACTTTTCATTCTGAAATTGAAATGAACTTCAACTTATCTGTTAGGGATATTTAGGGATATTTTCCGTCATTCATTTTTGTTTCAAGACTCAAGCATGATTTTCCAGTATCATGAACGATACTCGCTTTCAACATCACACCCTTCTTTGGTCTATTCACAAAGTATCCGAGCATTTTTCTTGTCGCTTCAGAAAATGTAAAAAGTGTTTCATTTTTGTAACAAAACTCAGAGTTCGATGCAACTGGACATTGAAGTGGGACTCCCAAGTATGCAACAGCAAATAATACAAGTTGCGGAATGTTGCGCATGTTTAATGCGCAAAGATTAAACTTCGTGTTATAAATGATCATTCTTCCTTTTAATGCTTGGAATTCAACCTGTGAAATTTATTATAGAACATTGGAAGATGGTTAAAAATTATGTTTAGTTATTATGCTTACGATTGCACTTTTGTAAGCTTTTATGTCAGAACAGGAACCAATTTTCAAATCACAGTTTTTGTTCACTTCAAATGATGCATTCAATAATTTTATGACCGAACTGTTGTCACAGTTTCTCTGATTGTACATGTATGGTTGAAACCATTCCTTTTATCGAGAATGAAAATATTCGTCAACTCTTTTGTCACAATTCTTTAATTAATACTCACACATGATGAAGAACTTCGAGATTTATCAGCCTTAAAAAAAATTAATGCAATTAAAACTTTAATTGAAAATATGGAAAAATCTTTCATGACCGACTCTTAAGTTGTTATAAATGTTTCTGGATTATGAATTTGTCAATAAGAAGACTCATTAGGTATTTGTAGTGTTCATTATATATTTTTGCATGCTTCATTATCATCATATGTAGCACAATTTTATTCATCATATCCATTCAGATCTCAAATTTCTAGAAATAATAATTTGCAAAACAGGAAATTAACCAACTTTGCTAATAGTTAATGATTCATGAAATTTGCTAATTATCATCAACACTAAGATAAAAATCTTGAAGTCATCGATAACTTTATTGATATTCTTGTTAGATAAATTGTGATAAAAGCCAACAAAAGTTTATTTTAAATTACCAACCCCGATAGTTTTATTATTCAATGGAATCTGAAAACGTAAAAATTATGAAGATTTAACTTTCTTCTCTAACATTACTTCATATTCGATACAAGATTTTCCAGTATCATGACGCATATCTATTCGTGTTAAAAGTTCTCTTTTGCCATCAAAATATTTCAACATTCTCCGAAAAGAATCAGGCAATCTCATAACTTCAGAACTTTTATAACAAAAAACTCCATTTTGTTTGTACGAACATTGACATGGAATTCCTAAAACATACATCGTAACTTTAAAGTTATCAGGAATAGACTTCTTGCTGCACAAATCAGCTTCAAAATCAGAAAGTTGCATATTTCCTTCGAATGATGTGACTTTCAGCTATTGAATAAATATTATCAAATTACCTATAAATTTAAGAATGAGATTAAGAATGCCACACTTACCTTTTACCAAAGATGAATGAAATGAAATTATAATTATCAGAGCTTGTAACATCAACATCTTCACCTCTTAAAAATGTAACGATTTTCATATGTTATTTATCTACAACTGATTAGTAAAAAATAGATTCACTTATTTAAATATAATTTCATAGCATTACTAATCGACATTTAAATTATGTAATCACATGATCGATCAACACATGTTAATGACTTACTACATCGGGTGATTTCAATTTATGATTTGATATAAAGACGATTCTCAATAGATAATTTGTTTGCAATTTCCAAATATTCGTCACTTAAGATTATGAAATGTTTAATAATTTTATTTGTTTCTATCGATATTTGAATCCGAAATTTTATAAATGGCTTAAAAAAAGTTCTTAAAAAATTCAGAAATAACAAACTTCATTCAAGTTTATGAATATTTCAATTGCCCTTCAAACTTCTTGTAAGTTTACCTTCAATCTCAAAACATGATATTCCTGTGTCATGATGAATTTCTATTCGCATTTTGGTTGACTTATTTTCCGCAAAAAGTGGTAAAAGTCTTTTAAAAACTTTCGGTAAAACTGTTACGTCTGTGCCTTTGCGACAAATGGTTGCATTTTTCCTGAACGGGCATTCACTTGGGATTGCAAATGTATAAAACGGAACTATAAAATGATCGGGTAATGGTTTTTTGCTGCATAAATCAAGTTCTATTTGAGCAATTTGTAGCTTTCCATCAAATGATGACATTTTTAACTAAATATTGATTGAAATTAGTGAATGAGCCTATTAAATTTTTAAAATTGAGTTACCTTTCCTGACCCAAAAGGTTTAATTTGAGAACAAGAACTTGAAGAAATTTCACATTTATCATTCAATTGTAATGAAATGTTTAAAGGTTTTATAATTTGATTTAAGTCCCCTCCACAGTTTCGAAGACTTTTGTAAATTATTTTATATCCATTCTGTATGAAAATAATAAAAAGCATTAATAAGCAACAAAAACTTCTTATTTCGACATCTTACGCAGCTCAATGTCAAATGCATAGAAAACATCAATATCAAAAGTCGCAACAAAAACATTTCCTTTGCTTTGCTGAAAAATTGAATAAAGTTTATTTTGATGTGCTCTTTATATATAAATACAATTCCAGATCCTTATTTGAATGTAATTATGATAATTATTTGTTTTACTAATCGATATTTAAACTGCCCAATGATTGGGCCCCAATCACATTATTAATGACATCATGCTACTTATTACTGCCATAAGAAGGAAGAGAACCTTTATTAATCACCAGTTTGTATTCTTTTTAAGTTGAAGATATTTTTAAAAATAGATGAACAAATATCAAAGACGAACGTTTAATGTTTTCGACTTATTTTTGATTCAATTTCAAAACAGGAAGTTCCAGTGTCATGAGTGATTTCGTATCGCAATCTTGAAGTTAAATTATCTGAAAAAATTGATAAAATCCTTTGAAGATTCTGTGGGAGAGCCTTAAAAACTGTGCCTTTGCGACAAATTGTTTCATTTTTCTTATTAGGACATTCACTTGGGATTGCAAACACATATAAAGGAACTTTATAGAGATCATTGATTTTTTTGCCGCACAAGTCAATTTCCAATTGGTTGAGTTTCATTTTTCCATCAAAAGTTGTTAGTTTTAACTATTAAATATTGAATGAATGTTCCAATAAATTTCAACGAATTTATTTAAATTTACCTTTGCTGTCTTGTAAGGTTTAACTTCGGAACAAGTATTAGAATTTACTTCACACTTTTCATTCAAGTCAACAGTTCCATTTAAATGTTTTATAACTTGATCTCCATTCCCACCACAACTTCTGAAAGATCTTTCCAAGATTTTAATTCCATTCTATGAGCAATAAAGAAACATTAAATTTAAACTTGAAATTCTTCCATTTTTCATCTTACACAGCTCAACGACAAATGCACAGAAATCAAAAATATCAAAAGTTGTAAAACTAACATTTTCCTTTCTTTGTTCAGAAGTTAAATCTTTATTGCGATTTCATGTGTTATTTATAAAGGCCGAAAAAAATCCAGATTTAATATTTATTGAAATATAATTACAAACACCATTTGTGCTTTACTAATCGTTATTCAAATTACCAAATCACATCGTTGATCAATTCTAATATTTTCATATTAATCCTCTCCATTTCTATTCAACTCAATCTCTGCTTGAAAGCAAGACTTGCCAGTATCATGTGTTAGGATTAATTGGAACACCGCCACTTTTCCAAAAACTTGAGACGTGTATAACATTCTTAACTTTGATTCTGTAAAATTTATGACCGTTCCGCCGTTGTAGCAGAAAATTGGGGTCGTCTTATGAGAACAAGTCTTATGAGAATACCAAAAAATCCAAAGCCAAGATTCATCATATCCGTTTGCTTCAATCTTTTCTGTCATAAATTTTCTTTTTGATAAAAAACTGAAAGTTTTTGTTTAAAGATTTGTCATCTGTTATTTTATTTGTAACAATTTAAAATAAATTATCCATCTTCAATTTTTAAATCTAGCATTAAATTTTAAACAAGATTTTCCAGTGTCATGAATAATATTAACTTTCAAGATCATTTCACGGATGTCCTTAGAAAAATATGAGATTATTTTTTTTGTATTGCTTGAAAATGTTAAAATATTTTCATTTTGNTTATCGTTACATTTAATCAAAATATTATAAAAACAAAAAAAATAACAGTTTTATATGAACTTAAGTTTTTTGAAAATGAATCAAAGTTACCTTCATTAAAACTAAAAATGGCAATTAGTTAATAAGCAATTATTTAATAAGCATAAAAACATTCATCCCGCATGTAACACCAAAACATTCATGACCAAAACAGTAGACGTGCATTTCCATTTGTTATTTCCATACAAATATTTAAAATTTTCTTTGAAATTACTATGGTGATTGCATGTAACGAATAAAAATGATTCGATGTAACGAAGAGAGCTTTTAGAAATGTTATCACCATATCCACATAAGGCAACTTTTCTAAAATTGAAAAAAGCAAATTGAAAGGTCTTTTGATTAAGTTCAATGCTACATACAACGAATTTTCAGAAATCGTCGGTATGAGATAAAATTGACCATCAAAGTCGTTACATCGTTTTTCATATATTTATCTATGATTAAATGTAACGATAAACATAAAGCTCATTTAAGCTTGCTACAGGATTTATCTGAAATTTCGTAGTACTACAAAAGATGTTTATTGACGTTTGTAACACATTCCAAAAAGCAAGTTTAGCTTACATGAGTTTATTTGAAAAATATGATCTTTAGAAAATGAAAAAAATTCACAAAATGATTAAATGTAACGAAAAAAAATACTCTTAACCAACTTTGCTAATAGTGAATGATTCATGAAATTTGCTAATTATCATCAACATTAAGATAAACATCTTGAAATCATCGATAACTTTATTGATATTCTCGTTAGAATTCCTAAAACATACATCGTAACTTTAAAGTTATCAGGAATAGACTTCTTGCTGCACAAATCAGCTTCAAAATCAGAAAGTTGCATATTTCCTTCGAATGATGTGACTTTCAGCTATTGAATAAATGTTATGAAATTATAAATTTAAGAATGAGATTAAGAATGCCACACTTACCTTCGACGAATTGTAAGGTTTAACTTGTGAACAGGAATTTGATCTTATTTCACATTTCGAATTCACATCAAAGGATATATTTAAAGGATTTATGATTTGTTCAGAACTCCCTTCACAACTTCGAAGATTTTTGATAACAAGTTTATGTCCATCCTTGATATAAAAAGATAGTTAAAATAAAAAAAGTTGTCAATTTATTCGTCTTACGCATGCCATAGACAAATGCAATGAAATCATAATTATCAGAGCTTGTAACATCAACATCCTTACTTCTCCTCTTGAAAATGCAACGATTTTCATATGTTATTTATCTAGAACTGATTAGTAAAACAAAATTCACTTATGTATTTAAATATAATTGTGATTATTTCATAGCACTACTAATCGACATTTAAATTGTGTACTCACCTGATCGATCAACACATGTTAATGACTTATTACATCGGGTGATTTCAATGTACGATTTGATATGAAACCGATGATTCTTAATAGATAATTTGTTTGCAATTTCCAAACATAAGTCACTTAAGATTATGAAATTTTTAATATTTTTATTTGTTACTATCGATATATGAATCCGAAACTTTATTGATGGCCTAAAATAAGTCCTTAAAATTTCAGAAATAACAAACTTCATTCAAGTTTATGAATATTTCAATTGCCCTTCAAACTTCTTGTAAGTTTACCTTCAATCTCAAAACATGATATTCCTGTGTCATGATGAATTTCTATTCGCATTTTGGTTGACTTATTTTCCGCAAAAAGTGGTAAAAGTCTTTTAAAAACTTTCGGTAAAACTGTTACGTCTGTGCCTTTGCGACAAATGGTTGCATTTTTCCTGAACGGGCATTCACTTGGGATTGCAAATGTATAAAACGGAACTATAAAATGATCGGGTAATGGTTTTTTGCTGCATAAATCAAGTTCTATTTGAGCAATTTGTAGCTTTCCATCAAATGATGACATTTTTAACTAAATATTGATTGAAATTAGTGAATGAGCCTATTAAATTTTTAAAATTGAGTTACCTTTCCTGATCCAAAAGGTTTAATTTGAGAACAAGAACTTGAAGAAATTTC